GCTTATGCAGTACCAATTGTGTGTAGTCCGCTTGCAAATCAACCAATCGGACATGCTAAATCTCATTTTCCGCATATACGTAACTTGCCTTTGGCTGATTATGCAACTGGTAATGAAGATTTATGTATTGACATTCTTTTGGGTTCTGATTATTATTGGTCGTGTGTATTAGGCCATGTCGTACGGGGGGAGAATAACATGGGACCTACTGCTATGCTTACTCGGTTTGGCTATGTTTTGAGTGGACCCGTTAATGTTCCCATTCATGGCGGTAACACTTATTCGTATCATACATCTACGCATGTTATGAAGGTTTTACACGAACCTTGTAAGGATGAAGATTTGAAACATGATCTAAAAATGTTTTGGGACTATGAAACTCTTGGAATAAAAGAGAATGAACCTTCCGTTTACGATGAATTTTTGAACAATGTTGAGTTTTTAAACGATCGCTATGAAGTCTCTTTACCTTTTAAAGAAGACCATAAAATAATTCCAGACAATTACTCTGTTAGCGAAAAGAGATTGTTTTCTCTTTTAAACAAATTGAAGAATCATCCGGAAGTATTGAATGAGTATGACAAAATTATTTCGGATCAATTGAAAAATGGCATAATTGAAAGAGTCGATCCGACTGTTAACTTTGATGTTGGAAAAACGCATTATCTTCCCCATAGAGCAGTTGTAAGGGAGGATAAAACAACAACACGTGTACGTATTGTTTACGATGCTTCTTCTAAGTTGCCTGGTGAAACAAGCTTGAATGAATGCCTTTATACAGGACCAGCGCTTACTCCGTTAATTTTTGACATTTTATTGCGTTTTCGCTTTAAACCTATCGTCTTGATGGCAGACATCGAAAAAGCATTTTTGAATGTTAGTATCAAACCTGATGAACGCGACTTTCTGAGATTTCTTTGGGTCAATGATATTTCTGACAGTGACAAACTCGAGATCGTTTGTTTTCGGTTCACAAGATTGGTTTTTGGCCTCGTCAGTTCACCTTTTGTTTTGAATGCTACTATCAGAGCTCATTTGGCCAAATATGCCCAAAGCAATGAAAAATTTGTACGAAATGTCTTGAATTGCTTATACGTGGACGATTTTATCTCCACCTTTTCTTCTAAGACGGAAGCCTTGGAGTCTTACAAGGAACTGAAACTCTGTTTCAAAAGGGGAGGTTTCAATTTAAGAAAGTGGGAATCTAATTGTTGTGAATTGGCTGATGAAATTGCAAAGATCGAATCAAATAATTTCGAAGCAAATAATGTATTAAAGGAAAGGAAAATTGAAGAAGAAGATGAAAGCTTTTCGAAGTCTTCATTTAAGAACGAAGATATAGAGAATAATGCTAAAATCTTAGGCTTGGCATGGGACAAAACGTCCGACAGAATTAGGTTTGATTTCTCAAAAATCTTTTCAAATGATTGCCAATTCGTAACGAAACGTGAAATTCTGAGTTCAACGGCTAAGATATATGACCCACTTGGTTTACTTTCGCCAATTGTGGTTCCTTTAAAGTTACTCTTTCAAGAACTTTGCAAGAAAAAGGTAAATTGGGACACAAAACTTTCTGAGGAGATCAGTACTGAGTGGAGAACTATTGTTTCGGACATTCAAAGTTCTCCTCCTGTCTTTGTAAATCGATCAGTAACTGATGTTAACAAGGATGAAATTGACCATGTCGAGCTACATGGGTTTAGTGACGCCAGTAGCATTGCTTTTGGGGCTGCAGTTTATATACGTGTTGTCAAGAAATCTGGCAAAATATCTGTTGATTTGGTGGCTGCAAAAACAAGGCTTGTGCCCTTAAAATCTGACACAATACCACGTTTGGAATTGATGGCAGCACTCGTACTATCGCGGCTAATTAAATCTGTGAAAGAAGCCTTGAAGCCGGTGATAGAAGTTGATAAAATATTTTGTTGGGTAGATTCCCAAATTGTTTTGTGGTGGATTTTCAGTCGCGAAAAGGAATATAAACCTTTCGTTCAAAACCGAGTTTTAGAAATTAGAAAACATGTTCCTCCTTCATGCTGGAACTTTTGTCCAACTGATCTTAATCCTGCGGACCTAGCCTCTAGAGGCTGTAAAATGTCACAGATCTCAGGCTCTGAAATTTGGTGGTTTGGACCCACCTTTTTGGCAAAATCAGAAAACTATTGGCCTGCCGTTTTGAACTTTGAAACAAAAACTAAAATTCCGGAGGACGTTTCGTTTGAACTTAATCGTGAAACTAAATCTAATCCTCGGAAGGATTTTAGTGACGTATTTGTGGGAGTGTCCACAGCATCGAATTATGCGCTTGAAAATGTCATTAAAGCAGAAGACTTCAGTGACGAAAATCGACTATTTCGCGTCTCTGCTTACGTTTTTCGTTTCGTGGAAAATTTGAAACGGCGTTTATTAAAGGAAGATATAGAAACGAATGATCTAACAGTGGAAGAAGTGGAAAATGCGCGAATATCATGGCTCCGCGTGATCCAATCTCATTTATCTTCGGAGCGAAACTTTGATAAAAATTTAGTCTATTTGCGCGTCTATGAGGATGAAAATGGTTTGCTACGATGTAGAGGTAGAATTCAAGAAGCTAACTTGTCAACTCAATCTAAATTTCCGATACTGTTACCCCGAAATCATTATATTACGAAGTTACTTGTAATGCGAGCGCATGAAAACGTGAAACATAACGGAACTGCCGAAACTTTGACCGATCTGCGTAGTTCATTTTGGATTATACGTGGCAGACAACTTGTAAGAAATCTTATTTCAAAATGTACCATTTGTAATCGTTTCGAAGGACGTGCTTATAACTCTCCACCGGCCGCTCCTTTACCGAGTTATCGCGTGACTGAAGACTCTGCATTCTCAAATATCGGAGTAGACTTCGCTGGACCCGTTTATATAAAAAACATATACGGTTCTGAAAAGGGAATGAACAAGGCCTATATAGCGTTATTTACATGTACTGTTTCACGAGCGTTGCACCTTGAATTGTGTACTGATTTATCTGCACCAGCATTTTTACGCTGTTTTAAACGCTTCCAAGGGAGACGAGGCGTTCCGAAACTTGTTGTGTCCGATAATGGCAGCACATTTCGCGACAAAACTGTTCAACGACATGCATTAGCAAGAAAAATAAAGTGGAAATTTAATGTTCCCCGCGCGAGTTTTTGGGGCGGATTCTTTGAAGTAATGGTGAGACTGGTAAAACGTTGTTTACGGAAAATTGTCGGAAATGCTCGCTTAAACTACGAAGAACTAGAGACAATTTTGATAGAAATCGAAAGTGTTGTCAATTCACGTCCTTTGACGTACGTCAGCGGTGATTTCGCTGGAGAACCATTAACTCCGTCGTCCCTCGTTATAGGGCGAAGACTTATCGATGCTCCGAATGTTGAAACGTATGCTGAATATGATTCGTCAAAAACAAAACTGACACACCGCCAATCGCATCTTAAATCGTTATTGAAGCATTTTTGGAATCGTTGGTCAAGCGAGTACTTGCTAACTTTGCGAGAATTCCACAAAAACAAGGGAAAAACCGGAGCGAGAATCGTAGCTGTTGGCGATGTTGTTGTTATTTTGAACGACAAAGTTAAACGACAACAATGGAAACTTGGGAAAATTTTAAAGGTTTATCCTGGAAAAGATAATATTGTTCGCGCAGCTGATGTAAAAACGACAGATTCAGCTGGAAGATCTATTATTTTGAAAAGATCAATTACTCATTTATATCCACTGGAAGTACGAGAGGATTCGGAAAAAGATTACGGTATCGCTGCTGCTGCGGAGCCTGCAGTGTCTGATGTGTTTGATGTACCGATTCGATTTATTGCGGATGAAGAAGCTGAAGAGCTGATAAATTAAACACTTTGGTTAAATATATGATTGACCTCCCTCAATCAGGGGGGAGGATGATTTGAATACGAGGCTAACCTCGAGCTTGACTTACTAACTACATTTATAAACGATAACGTTGTTGAATCTCTTACATGATTTTGTGCTTTTAGTTTTTAGCTGAAGTAACGAGGCGTATTTCTATACTATTGTTTTAATTTGTGTAGTTAATTAGGTTACTTCGCGCATCGTGATATTAGGTTTAATCTCATTAGGAACGCTTTTATGTGAATTAGCGTTTAGATATTGAGAGGTTTTTGAATTGAACGTCGTTATGTTAGGACGTATTTTGGACATGAACGAAGGATTTTGATGTTCATGATTGCGCTTATAAATAAAGATGTATCGGAATGATGCAAATAAATATTATCCTGGTATTTCATAATAGTTTGAATTTCAGTCTGAACCTTTACACATCAGTATGAAAGCAAGTTTGCTTTCTGCGCGTATTGTCTTTGATATTATAAACGTATATCAAGTTACGTTATCATTAAACAATTTTAAGGCAATGTGGTTACTTACAAGTTGTTTCCATTTCTTTAACAGCTTACAGAAGCTGCAAAAATGCATATTCTTCAGGGACCAAGGAAAGTGGAACGATCCAGCTACTTTTGCCTACTCTTCCGTTGATTAGCACCTTCTGTGATATGACAACCAAAGGAGGTGGCTGGACTATTATTCAAAGAAGAGTTAATAACGACTTTGACTTTCACAGGAACTGGAATGACTATAAGACAGGTAAAATTGCTTAATTACCCTTCTGTCTGGCTTTTTTTACAAACACACTCATAACAACAAGGGTTAAAAAGAAAAGCTTTTCGTTCCGGTGAGTCGTTGTGATTTGTGAACAACTTTTTTTAGATAAATGTAATACTTTTACTTTTCTGTCTGCATCTAGCTTTGAATTTTCTACTTATATGATCTCACTACTCATTTCTGTCATTTTATGCTCTCCCTGGTAGCCTGTTTTCCTGACCCCATGCTTGGAGGTAGAGCTCTACTCTGGGTCAGATTAAGATAGGTGCTGTTGGTGTTGCAGCATTAAGCCTATTCCTGAAATAGGCCCAGATGAAAACAGACGGCGGTTTTCCTGAAGCTGCCCTTCTCCCCACTTTTGAAATGCTTCCTACATCTACGGTCGAGGAGCAAATCACTCCAAGAAAAGCTCGTACACTTTTTGGGGAAATCCTATTGTTTTATCTGAAAACCCCTGGAAATCCTTTTGTTTTAGGAAAAATCTCGTACGCTATTTGCAACAGTGAATAACCCCTCGTCTATGGTTAGTTACTTGGGGCAAGGCTACTTCCACCTAGCTCTCTCCTATTGTTAAAGAAACTGCTATTTCCCTGTTGATCAACTCGATGGCTGTTTTACTTGGGGTAAATCTTGTTTAGATTTACATCTTTGTAGAAGAGCTTTTCTTCGGTTTTTCTGCAGCAAACGGATTTAGTCAGCAAACGGGAAACCGGGCATTAAAGAGCCTGTGGTATTCAGTAATATGCTAAAGGTGCTCCTTCTCCTTAAAACAATGGTTCGTATTTCGAAGGTCCATAAATGGCAAAAATAAGCCTAGAGGCTCATAAACTGCAGTTTCTTCAACTGGATATTTCATTATAGGGTTTGGCAACGCACTTGGGAATTTCTGGTTGGGTCTCGAAGCTATACACCAGTTTACAAAGGATGGAGTAGTAACTCTACGGGTGGAACTGAAACGAGATGATGGCAAGAGTGGATATGCTGAATACCGGGGCTTTAAGATTGGCGACGAGTCTTCAAAATACAGGCTGACTTTGGGCAATTTTAGCGATAACGGTGTAGGTAACGCGATGGCTGACAATGACGGAATGAAGTTCTCTACTAAAGACCAGGACAATGATGTAGTCTCGTTTAGCTGTGCACAGGATTGGGAAGGAGGTTGGTGGTACCATAGCTGTTTCAGAGCAAATCTCAATAATGGCTTTTATAGTAGCGTTAAAGGCCACCCTGATTTTGAAATGCCTAAGCGAATGAGTTGGAAAACATGGAGTGGCAATTTCGGTGATATAACTTTTTCTGAAATGAAGCTGAAGACGGTTGACTAAAAGTTCATTTCAAAGTTGCGCTGATGAATCAGCTGCTATGCAGTACCAACTGTGGAAAACGTTTTCTCCAAAAAGTATGCAACAAGAACTAAAAAATTTGAAATGTAAGAGCAAAGTAGTTGAAATTTAAAAGAAGTCTGATCTTTGTTTGTATCTATAAATATGTATAGCATAGTACCATTTTACATTCTGTGGGATAAATTGATAATTAGCACTGGTCATACTTTCCAGAAAACTGTTCCATTCTAAATCTGCATGCGTTTAAGTAGAACGATCTTTATAACTGGAAACATCCCTTGGCATCATTTTTTGTCAATTAGCTTTCATGTAGCAAAAAAAGGTTGGGAAAGGTGTTTACGAAAACATCGAATGTTGTAGGACAGGAAAGTGTACGATGTTCCATGGTTTTCAACGAAATGCTGGTGGCGATTTGAAAACTACAATTGGCAGCTACGTTAATCACTGCACTTTGCTTTTTTCCAGGGACACCGAAGAGGGGAATGCTGGTGAGGGAGGTGCCATGCCAGAGTGGGGGACGTGAAGTGGCTCTTTCTATCTGGGCTGCCCTCGTTGCTCTTTAGTCGTTCTGGCGCCCCTGATGTTTTTGTGCATTACTTAGAACAACTTTATTGCTTTTATTCTTTGAAAATTAAAATAGATCTTTCTTTTTATTGTTCTTGAATTGTGACCATTCAATGTGATACAAAAATCATGCACAGGTCATCATGGAAAAATGACAGTTGAACTAAAGTTTGCAAAAAGCTTGGCCACTGGGTTGCTGCCTTTCGAGTCCCTACAATTTGTTCATGGACCTCTTTGTTCAAGCCAAAAACTCTAAGACATCCAGTTTTGCCCATATTTTTTTGGTGATGTTCGTAAACAAAGACGACGGCGTCTCAACAACGAAATAAGTAGAAACATTCCTTCTTGATTTCCTTCTTCTCCAGAAAAAGAACTTTAGAATTTTTCTTTTAGTTACAAATGCCAAATTGCTTAGACAGAGAACCCTGCACACGGAAGAAACTCACTTAAGCAAAGTAAGTGCAACGATAACACTTTACTTTAACAACCTTCTCTCTTGTGCGCCTAGCATAGAGCCATGGCAATAACGGTTTGTCTTCTTAGCATGTCCTTGAAAACTTCAATCCATTTATATTCCATGCACGATCTATAAAGTTTTGAATGAAAAGCGTGGACACTTTTTTTTAGTATTGGCTTAAAAGTAAACTGGTGTTGAAAATATAATGATTTCAGTTAAAAATCAGTGTGTAAAACTTCGAAGTATATAGCAACTGAAAATGTCTTTATTGAGAATTTAATCACTTACTTAGTTATATCGTATTTATTTGCTGCACGTAGTTATTACTGATTTGATTTCGTTGTAACACTTTTTCTTACCTTCCATAGCTTAAGAGTAACAAAATATCTGCCAACTTTTCACAGTTCCTAGATATTCCCAATTTTGGATATTTCCCAAAGTGCTATGGACTCATCTCGTATAACACCTGCAATTCTCAAAAGAAGTATCATAGCATTACCAGTGACGTCATCAGTTGCCAATCTTTTTCAATACACATGTCCATCTTATTCAGTATAAATTATTCAAAGTTCACAATGAACTCAATTAGTGCAGAGCAGCTTATTAATGAATGTGCTTTGAAAGAGTAACCAGGTCTTTTCAACGTTTGTTTATTGAGGTAAATACACCCACGTTTCATTAAACTAAATTATATTCTTCTCTAGAAGTCTACTCTAGAAGCCTTTGCCTGAGAGGATCAGAGGTTGACAAGGATGAGAATTTGTTTCCGCTTTCCTCATTTAATATTCAACTTCTATTATGCCTTTTTAATAACTAGAACTTCAAATTAATGGTAGACGTTAATATTCAAATGTTATAAATTGAAAATCTGTACACAAATGATGCTTTGTTACAGCAGCTGTACAACAAGGATGTGTTTTGTCATAACAGCTTTTTAGAATTTTTACTGATTGGTGTTACAATGTGCTCATGGTAGGAAATACATGGGTATCACTCTCAAAATAATGTTGCTTCAGTTTGGCTGATGAATTGTAGCATAATTAAAACCTTATTGCTTAAGTCACTAGTAAGAAGAACTTTAATCAAATGCTTCATAAAAAATACATTTAATATTATCATTGTTTCTAAACATCTGTGCAATCGCGCATGAGAAGATTCTTTACATCTGTTCCTGCAATGTTCCCAGGAAAGAGCGTTCTTCAACCTAACTTTAGTGTAGGTGCCTCTGGTTTTTTAGAAAGATATTTAACGATAACGTGCCTTAAGAAAGTGCAGGAGTCAGTAATTTTGATCATTCGTTTTCATTGAAGAAACTCTTTTCTAGTCTGAACTATTTGTTGGTTAAGTTCTATGGCCCAGGCAACGTTTGGATTGCACCCGCATCCGGTCTTCGATTTCCGAACGATGAACGTTTTTCGGTTTCTATTCACACTTCCACGACGTTCGAGCGAATCCTTGGTGACAATTTAGCGCGCTTTTCGGTTAGTTATTCATGAGAACAAATAATGGCTGATTTCAATCGACAAAGATTGTTGCTTTTGATGCGGTTTAGAGAAGGCAGTTGAGAGCAAAAGGCATACCTTAGAAACGTTTGGGTACGACCAAACCTATAAAGAGAGAAACAGCTGGGGGGAAGGGGGGGGGGGGTTATTTCAACTTGGTGAAGGAAATTCAATTGGCAGATCACGGGAACTTTAAATATTGCTGGATATTCTCAGCCAAGCCGTCTCTTGTGCCTTCTTGTTTCTATATATTGGATTTTCCGTGTTTCAAACGATTTCATTTTCGTGCACTTGTTCGATAAACGCACCAACTGAATCGTTATTTCAATCAGTTTTTTAGTCGCTGTAGATTTGCATTTGGCCATCTTTGAATCACAGAATACAGACCTCTTCTCTTTTTCTGTGTTTCTGTGTTTGATGGTCGTCTACTAATGCATTGTTCTGATTGCCTAGCGAGCGCGTCAAATTCGGATGCGAACGTTCTGATTCTTTTGGTTTTTTTTACAAATCTTTTAGTTCTAACTGGAAAGTCGGCCGGTATCTGAAGCCATAAAATGTTAAGAAGTTCATTGAACTTTGCCAATTGGAACTTTTGAAGGTTTCATAAAAAACAAAGCACCTGCCATTTGGCGATTCAAAGTTAGAAGACTCTTTAAGGAAACTCTTTAAGAACAATCTTCTAATTCACAGGATTACCAAGTGCAATGGTTATCAAGTTTACTTTTCTTATTACGTCATCAACGTAAGCACGAGTAGCCTGTTACATTAGAAGTATACTATTCAAAGCCGAAGATCAGAAAAAAAAACAAATGTATTGCTCGAATGAACCATTTCTGTTGAATCTCTACAGTATGCAGACGATATGAAAAGTGACGTCATCTTATTATCTAATGCCCGTATCTCATTTGTCTTGACAGTTTCAATAGAGCAGCCAGGAAGTTTATCTTCTTAAAATAGCAGCTGCTTTTATAAGATAAGTTTTCCACTCCCTTGCGGGGAGAATTTGCTTGCTGCAAACCAACGGTCACAGTATGGCAGAAGCAAGTTGCGTTAACCTCAAAACAGTATTGTTTGGGTTTGGTATTGGCTGGCTGTGCCTGCTTGTCAACTCTTCACAATCGCTGTTTGAGAGAATAGACAATAATTCAGATCTTGAGCAAGACACGTCTTCTGTGATAATCGGACAGATATGGCATCAGTGCAGTTTGGATGAGAAGTGCAACTTTGTTGCTAAACGGAGCAGTGGCTCAATGTTTGAAAAGAAACAATCAATTGATGCAATGGGCAGCTATTTTGCTGTGTGGAGGAAAGTTCCAGTAACTTGTAAGTTTTTTTGATTATATTCACCTTCTATGCATAATACTTTTTTGAACAAGGATTTGAAATTAAAGATTTGGGACACCATACAGATTGTTCAATATTTTTTCAAATTATTTGTTATAAATTTTTTTCTTTTTAACCCCAGCCACTGAATTTTAACATCTTCAAAATTTTTTTTTCAATTTCTAGTCATATGTCAGTGCTTGCACTCAATGAATTTGCAAGAGGGTCTAGAATTGTGTCGAATTTTTCTATTTCCATACAATTATTTCGCTTAAAGCCAAATATTGCACATTCATTGTAACTAGAGGAACAAGTCTTGCATTGGTTACCCTTGGTTTTGTGTTCGTGTTATCATTAACTTAAATCTGACTGTCATGCACAATAGATTAAAAGTTTTTAAATCAAGATGACAAAAACACCCCAAAGAAACATTGAAGATTTAAATCATTTAATGGAGAACGACTCTTAATGCATATGGGTACAAACTGAAATAGGCAAAGAGAATTTTCTTGTTTGAGGCCTTCAAGAAACAATATTTTTTTAAGAATGGAGATTTTTATTCACCGAGTTTGCGCCATGAAAGAGCATCATGAAAGACCTCGAGCTGTCCAAAGTCAGTTGAACGTGATACGAATCAGCTGAGATATGATCACATGAGCACAGGCTCGTTCCCCATCAAACCCCTGTTTATAATTCTATTAATAGAGCAAAAATAATACTAATCATGTAGCAAACTTCAAATATTTCGAATCACTCTCTCAGCAAATCTTTTAGTTTCATTTTGTTTGTTAACTCCTGATGCAAAAAAACCTTTGTTGGTTATAGCTCAAAGTTCAAACATTTAAAAAGCAGATTTTTATACGTCTCCCTTAAGAACACTATTGCCTAATAATCGTATTAAGCGTGAAACTTGGAGTAGCGTCTTTAATTATTGTCTTGTTCCATGCACTGAAAGCGTGTACAGCTCTGCCTACATGGCATCGTGCACTTTAAGACAGAATTATGAACAATAATTTTATGAAACCTTAGCTAAAATGCATATCCAGAGTTGAGATTACCTTTAGATTTTTCAATGTTTTTCAACAGCATTCAGCAGCTGCAAAGACGCATATGCTTCAGGTATAAAGGAGAATGGTCTTGTTTCCCTTAGCTTGCCTGGACTCGGTCTTTTGAATTCGTATTGTGACATGAAAACAAGTGGTGGTGGCTGGACTGTTTTCCAAAGAAGGGTTGATGACACTGTTGATTTCGATAGAAATTGGGATGAGTATAAAAGGGGTAAGTAAGCTGAATGCTTTACTTATTTCAGAAAAAATGATATTAAAAGCTTCATCACTTTAGATATATTTTTCGCTGTTCAAGAAACATTGCAGATATTTTGAGCAGCAGTACTGTAGAACAGATAGAATTATTGAAAAGACACAATTGTTTGATGTTAGATGAAGAGCAATAGGAACAAAATTGATTTCTCATTGGAAACAAAGAATTTTTATAATATTTTGAAGGGCATGAGCTATAATAGTAGCTACAGAATTGTTTGTAGAAATACGAAACTGATAGCAGAAATTATTTTGATTGGCTTCATTAAAAATTGATTTAATCTGTTGCAACGAATCAAAAATTTATAGAAGAATGTGCGATGTCCCCAGGGTGTCCAGCGTGTCCAGTGGACGTCAAACCCACTCTGAGGCGTCCATAGACAGCGGGTTGAAGCCCCTTTGGTATCAATAGACAGAGGGCTTGATGCATCGGAGATGCTGAGAGCAGGCACCGCGCAGCTATTGCGCCAGCAAGGGCTATAGCCCCTCAATATTTTTGCAATAGTAGGCTAGAAAAGTTTTTGCAAGATTTACTCTAACGCACTTTGGATAGTATACTCCTATGTAATAGCAGTTCTTCTTGACTGGGAACCTTTTTTGTTCATTTTCAAGGTCTTTTATCATGTTTAATGATATGATGTATTCTTTATTACCCTTTTTATATTTATTGATATCTTCTCGGAACCAGACTGTTTACAAAAATTCAGTAGAAATAACAAAGTATTTTCTAAAAGAGGCGTTTTCCGGCGATCTAGAGGGCGTGGCCTAAAAATTCTTCGGGGACATCCATTTCAGCTTCTTCACTCTTAGACTGGTGAGCGGTCTCTGGCTGAGAGCTGCCTTAATGTAATATCATGTGTACATTAAAATGTGTATCATGGATAATTTCGGAAATAATTCTTATTATTCCAAAACTTTTTCCTTTAACGGATTGGCATTTTTGATATAGAGAAATGTGAGTCGATTTCTCAGCAGACAATGACTTTACAATTCTAGAACATAAACCTATTTCTTTAGCAACTAGGTAATAAAATTACCAGGTATAATTTCCAGTTCAAGAACTTAGACAAGTGGCTAAAAAAGGATTCATATGATATATAGATAGATTTAAGAAATTATATTTTTAAAATATCAATTTAATCATTATGCAGAACTCCTCCGTAGCACTCTTGCTACATACATTAATTTAAACCAGTTAAGTTTGTGAAAGAGGGATTCTGAGTCAAATCAAATGTATTGTTAGGAACATCGCGATCTATCCCAGCAACTTCTACTGCCTTCCTGTGTTTTTCGATGGAGTTCAGTCCTCTTCTCTTTTATATATTTCAGCATGATATTCTAAGATTGCCATACCCAGAGTCCAGGAAAGTTGTCAATATTCCTCCGGCCGAGAAAATCTTGATATAAAAACCTCCCTCCTTTTTATTAGGCTAAAAATGGGCGTGTTCAACAAAATGAGGGAACACAACCAGTAACCATCCCCTCTCCTTACCCCTTTGTTTTTCCAAATGTTTGCATGCTCATATCAATTAATAATAAAGTTGTTTCATAATTTAAATACATAAATTATGAAAAATTGATGCCTAAATTTTACAGTGCAAAAAGTTATGCTGACACATTCATATCAAAAAACTGGAAGTTCATAAACATTATTTGGTTTTCATCATTTTTGCCTGACTGTGTTTTGAAAACCAAAAGCCAATATGATTTCTTCAACTTCGTCGAGTTTCGAAATTCTTGTTCAACCCTTCTTCGATTCCTAGTTGTTTCTACAACATTCCTCCGGCCATTTGCCGTGCGGTCGTGATATTTTCCTGACGCTAGTCATACCCAGGTGATGAAACCCTATAGATAGCTCGGATATGGTCAATCCCAGGAACGTTCGAGGTATAATTAATCTTCATTGCTACTTTCCGGTTTTTGTTACGACGGCATTTATGTTTGGCCCCTAGGGGTACCATTGGAGCTCTAAGCCCCCGTGTACACAACAACCTATTTCATTTCAGGCTTTGGTGAAGTTATTGGAAATTTTTGGCTAGGCCTTGATGCCCTTCATCAACTGACGAATAACGGAGCAACCACCCTCCGCATAGATTTAAAACACAAAACCGGTGAGATTGGATATGCCGAGTATAAGGGATTTAAAGTTGGTGATGAGGCTTCGAAGTATCTCCTCACATTGGGAGAATATTCAACTCTGGAAACCGTTGGTGATGCAATGACGTACAGCAAGGGGCAAAAATTCTCTACCAAAGATCAGGATAACGATAATGCCGAATTTCACTGTGCTGCTTGGTGGAAAGGAGGCTGGTGGCATAACGCATGTTTTAAAGCAAACCTTAATAATAACTACTATAACAGTATTGCCGGTGACCCAGTTGCAGAGATGCCAAGGAGAATGAGCTGGAACACATGGAAGAATGAGTTTGGCGATATTACTTTTTCCGAGATGAAGCTAAGAAAGGACGAATAGTGTACTTGGAGAGGAAATGTTAGCTGGACCGAATCATTTGTTTTTGCACAACACTCAAGACTAAATTAAATTGTGATTCTAGAGATTGAAGACCAAAGGCCCCAGAGCCACGGGGGCAGCACGGGGGCAGCACTGGGGCAGCACGGGGGGCAGCATGGGGTGCAGCACAGGGGCAGCAAAGTGCTTTTTTCAAGAAATTGATTTCCGCGGAACATTAATTCATATAAATATTTTGAATGCAAATGAAATCTAGATTTCAACCATTTCTTTATACCTGCATGCAAGAGAAAAGTCAATATTTTTCATCTTGACGAGAACTGAAAATCGATTTGCCAAGCAATTTGACCACACAAAAAATGTTCGTTGGTGAATTCACTTTACCCTTCATGATCATGCTGAAGAGATTTCAGATTGCTACCAATGGTGGCTCCCATTTTTTCGATATATCAGTCGAGGCATTAAATATGCCTTTAATTCAAGCAAAGGCGTGGGAACCGGAGGGGCAGTGGGTACGTGCCTCCTTTTTTCCAAAATTAAGATGACCTGCCCCTCACCGAGTTGATAGGGTGACCTTTTGGGGCCATGGTCTACAATGTTTCTGTTCGATCTGCTTTTAGAAACACCAAAAAACAGGGTCACAACCAGGGTTACCGTGATGACGATTACAAATTGGCCTTAGGCATTGAGGTTTAGGGGGCCCTCGAGGTTTCCAATTTCTGAAAGCAATTAGTAAGACGTGACAACTTTTCGATCGATTGCAAGAAAAAGACGAATTTTTCTGCTCGCTTCGTTCGCAAAGGGGCTTCATCTATCGGTTGTGCCACGAGGCCAACGAAAACGTCTCCACGGCATTGATCTCAACTAAGTCAGAAGACGATAGATGTATCATTGTAGCCAGGCTTTGTGTAACAGCCTTTTTAACCTTTCTGAAATCTTTATTAGGGTACTCCTGAAACAGGAATTTAAATCTTAAAGAATGTTTGTTAGGGTGCCCCTCTAACCGGGTGTCCCACACTTTCATAATGCTTCCTACGTCCTTGGATTCAGGACGTTTTATTCAAGACGTTTCTCGAGGCAAGAAGTTTTCATGCAGCATGGTATTCCTATTCGACGCTTTTAACGTACCGACAAGTTGGAAATTTGTACATTTAACGTACTTGATTTTCTTATGAGATCCTTATGGGAACCCTGGTGTTATCTGAAATTTCAAAAACAAGCTTTTGAAGCTTTTTCTTAAGCCGAATTGTCTCTCTTCAAAAGTAAGAATAAGTGAATGATATTGTTCATTTTGCTCTAAAGATCTTTGCCATACAGATGTAGTTAAATATTGAACTTAGTTCCAAAACGAAATAAGTATTTTCAAACTTTACAAATATTCAAGAAAGAATCTCAGAATTTTAATGCTTCAATTGTACTTCTAAGTTTTGCAAGGAATATGTATGCAACATCAGTTATATTGGATTTAAATGATATTTATGGTAATTTAAATTAGTTGGCTTTATTTAGCTTTAATATAGCTACAGATTGTACCAACTTTAAATAAAGAAAGAAAAGTCAGTGTGTTCAGAGGAGTTATATCATCAGAACAGATTTTTGTTCTTAAGTAAGGTAGGATTGGGTCCAGCCACCCTTGAGGTTGATATTGGATTGAAAAAAAAATTCAATTTCAAATGCATTTCTATGGGTGATGCACCCATTTCTGAGAATCTTCAGGGCAAAGAAATGGAAAATTTCCCTGGGGATGTTGCCCGCAGACCACCAAACCCCTTTGCTTAACAGTGCCTTCACCTACAAACAGGCTTCGTCGTTGGCTAAACAACTATTCCCTGTCTGATTTGGCAGAAAACTTTGACATCCGAAGGTGCCCTTTCTGCAGTTCCTGCCCCCACCGTATTATGAAGCTTCCCGCGCCTCTGTTGAAGACTGTAGGTGAAATCTGACAAATGATTATGGTCAGTAGTCTATATGTATCTAGCATATATCTATAGCTTTGAAAGGTAAATGGACAGGGAGAGTAAATGTTTGATTTGTGTAAGTGTCTGGTTTCTTTCAATACGACAGCAATCAGAATAATTCATTCCAAAATCAAATTTTCTATATAAAAGTGCTGAATACTATTCTTTGCTGAATAAATATTTCCAAAACGCTGAATTCAATATACAAGTCTACGAAAAATAGATTATAAAAACGTATGAGATCAGCAGCAAAACCTCTGCACCTAGCCCTCCGAAGAAATAAAACCTCTGCACCTAGCCCTCCGAAAAAATAAAACCTCTGCACCTAGCCCTCCGAAAAAATAAAACCTCTGCACCTAGCCCTCCGAAAAAATAAAACCTCTGCACCTAACCCTCCGAAAGACGGGTGTGTGTTTGTAAGTCGAATCTCCATCGTTGTCATGTTACCCTAATGTCATGTAGAACGTAAACTTCAAAATGATTCGCATCCCTGAACTAGGCAATATGGTGCTTTATTGATTGGAAAGATTTGTCTATGATCGGCGACGTTTAATCAAAGGCTGAAAGTAAATATTTAAAAGCTTAAAATGTTTCTAATAGGGATTTTCATAAAGAAGGAAACATCTTGGAAGCGATTGGAAAATTGGATTCTACATTTCAATTTCATACTTTGATTTTCTTGGTTGATTTCAAACATGAATTTTGCAGTTTCGAGCTTGTAGGGATAATGCCTTGGTCAGAAAATACAGTTCCATAACGAGTCTAAAGGTGGAGACCAGCTGGCGAAATTTTGCAACACAATTCGATCGTTAAAGTATTTTGAGTCTCAGGCAGTGCAGAAATACGCAGGCAGTCCTGCAAACCTCAAAGACCGTAAATCTTCGGACCCAACCTCAAAGACCCAGGTAAACATTAAAATACTTTAAAATTCCTGTTTTTTTACATGGCATTGATGTCATGACACGCTTAAACGAAAACGTTTCTGATGTAAACATTGCATACAACAGTCGCCTGCAATTCTCAAAAGAAGCATCATAGCATTACCAGTGACGTCATCAGTTGCCAACCTTTTCAATACACATGTCTATCTTATTCAGTATTAATTATTTAAGGTTCACAATGAACTCAGTTAGTGCAGAGCAGCTTATTAATGGATGTGCTTTGAAAGAGTAACCAGGTCTTTTCTACGTTTGTTTATTAAGGTAAATACACCCAGGTTTTATTAAACTAAATCATATTCTTCTCTAGAAGTCTACTCTAGAAGCCTTTGCCTGAGAGGATCAGAGGTTGACAAGGATGAGAATTTGTTTCCGCTTTCCTCATTTATTATTCAACTTCTATTATGCCTTTTTAATAACTAGAACTTCAAATTAATGGTAGATGTTAATATTCAAATGTTATAAATTGAAAATCTGTACACAAATGATGCTTTGTTACAGCAGCTGTACAACAAGGATGTGTTTTGTCATAACAGCTTTTTAGAATTTTTACTGATTGGTGTTACAATGTGCTCATGGTAGGAAGTACATGGGTATCACTCTCAAAATAATGTTGCTTCAGTTTGGCTGATGAATTGTAGCATAATTAAAACCTTATTGCTTAAGTCACTAGTAAGAAGAACTTTAATCAAATGCTTCATAAAAAATACATTTAATATTATCATTGTTTCTAAACATCTGTGCAATCGCGCATGAGAAGATTCTTTACATCTGTTCCTGCAATGTTCCCAGGAAAGAGCGTTCTTCAACCTAACTTTAGTGTAGGTGCCTCTGGTTTTTTAGAAAGATATTTAACGATAACGTGCCTTAAGAAAGTGCAGGAGTCAGTAATTTTGATCATTCGTTTTCATTGAAGAAACTCTTTTCTAGTCTGAACTATTTGTTGGTTAAGTTCTATGGCCCAGGCAACGTTTGGATTGCACCCGCATCCGGTCTTCGATTTCCGAACGATGAACGTTTTTCGGTTTCTATTCACACTTCCACGACGTTCGAGCGAATCCTTGGTGACAATTTAGCGCGCTTTTCGGTTAGTTATTCATGAGAACAAATAATGGCTGATTTCAATCGACAAAGATTGTTGCTTTTGATGCGGTTTAGAGAAGGCAGTTGAGAGCAAAAGGCATACCTTAGAAACGTTTGGGTACGACCAAACCTATAAAGAGAGAAACAGCTGGGGGGAAGGGGGGGGGGGGTTATTTCAACTTGGTGAAGGAAATTCAATTGGCAGATCACGGGAACTTTAAATATTGCTGGATATTCTCAGCCAAGCAGTCTCTCGTGCCTTCTTGTTTCTATATATTGGATTTTCCGGGTTTCAAACGATTTCATTTTCGTGCACTTGTTCGATAAATGCACCAACTGAATCGTTATTTCAATCAGTTTTTAAGTTTTTTTTCATTTTTTTCATTTCAAAATTATTTATGCACGGTAGCCCCGTCAGTCATGATTGATTTTCAGGGGGCCGTGCCAAAAACTTTACAAATTAAAAAATCTACTAAAATTAATAACGGGGAAAGGAAACTAATTACAATCATAAATAATTTATCTACAACTATTTACAATAAATTTAGAACAAACCCTTTATCTTGTTCTTAAAAGAAGATAAAGAGGGAGCTTGCTTGGCCTCGCGGCTGAGATCATTCCAGATTTTTGCTCCACGAAATGCGAACGCTTTCTGTCCATTACTAGTTTTCATGAATGGCACTAGCAAGTCAGTTTCGGCATTTCTAAGGTTGATAATATTGCGATCAGAATTTCTAACAAATAAATGCGAGAGATAATCATGCGCGAGACTATTAACAGATTTATATACAGTTGTTGCAGTCTCACTTCTGATCATATCCCTCACAGTTGGCCATTTTAACTCTGTAATCAAAGCTTCAGCAGGAGCATCGTAGCTGCTATTTGTAATAATTCTAGCGGCTCGATTCTGCAATTTTTGAAGCTTAACCAGTCGGAACTCTGCACAGCTCCCCCACACAGAACAGCAGTGCCGAAAATGTGGCTCTACAATTCCTCTATATAATTTGCAAAGTACAGTTTTTGGCAAAAATGTCTTTGCATATTTTAAAAAACCTAACGAGCGGGAGACTTTGGATTGAACGGATTTAATTTGCTCGTCCCACACGAGGTATTGGTCAACTTGGACACCAAGATACTTAATACTGTCGACGAGCTCTACAGGGGAATCATCGATAACGAATGCAGGAGAATCCACAGTGTTTTCACCAATCTTTTTCAGATTTGGTCTAGATCCGATTACCATTGCCTGAGTCTTGATTACATTCAAAGACAATTTATTGCCCTGAAGCCATTCTTTCAATCATTTCAATTCGTTGTTGAGCGTTTCAGTTAGATCCTCAATGCTCTTAGAGGAAAAGGATATGCTAGTATCGTCGGCGTACATCGTAACTTTGCAGTTTTCCAAGGCGAATGGCAGATCATTTATATAGATTTGGAAGAGAAATGGACCTAAACAAGAGCCTTGTGGAACACCACAGTTGATGCTTCCAATGTCAGATTCCACTCCATTAACCTTAGTGAATTGCTGCCTACTGCTGAGATATAATTTGAACCATTGAAGCTCAAGACCCTGAATTAGTTGCATTTGGCCATCTTTGAATCATGAAGCACGAGTCGCTGTAGATTTGCATTTGGCCATCTTTGAATCACAGAATACAGACCTCTTTTCTTTTTCTGTGTTTCTGTGTTTGATGGTCGTCTATTAATGCAGTGTTCTGATTGCCTAGCGAGCGCGTCAAATTCGGATGCGAATGTTCTGATTCAATTGGTTTGTATATTTTACAAAACTTTAGTAAGTCCGTCTGTAACTGGAGCCATAATATGTTATGAAGTTCATTGAAATTTGCCAATTGGAACTTTTGAAGGTTTTATAAAAAACATAGCACCTGCCATTTGGCGATTCAAAGTTAGAAGACTCTTTAAGAACAATCTTCTAATTCACAGGATTACCAAGTGCAATGGTTATCAAGTTTACTTTTCTCATTACGTCATCAACGTAAACACGAGTGGCCTGCTACATTAGAAGTATACGATTCAAAGCCGAAGATCAGAAAAAACAACAAATATATTGCTCGAATGAACCATTTCTGTTGATTCTCTACAGTATGCAGACGATATGAATAGTGACGTCATCTTATTATCTAATACCCGTATCTCATTTGCCTTGACAGTTTCAATAGAGCAGCCAGGACGTTTATCTTCTTAAAATAGCAGCTGCTTTTATAAGATAAGTTTTCCACTCCCTTGCGGGGAGAATTTGCTTGCTGCAAACCAACGGTCACAGTATGGCAAAAGCAAGTTGCGTTAACCTCAAAACAGTATTGTTTGGGTTTGGTATTGGCTGGCTGTGCCTGCTTGTCAACTCTTCACAATCGCTGTTTGAGAGAATAGACAATAATTCAGATCTTGAGCAAGACACGTCTTCTGTGATAATCGGACAGATATGGCATCAGTGCAGTTTGGATGAGAAGTGCAACTTTGTTGCTAAACGGAGCAGTGGCTCAATGTTTGAAAAGAAACAATCAATTGATGCAGTAGACAGCTATTTTGCTGTATGGAGGAAAGTTCCAGTAACTTGTAAGTTGTTTTAATTATATTCACCTTCTATGCATAATACTTTTTGAAGAAAGATTTGAAATTGGAGATTTGAGACAACATACAGATTGTTCGATATTTTTTCATATTATTAATTATAAATTTCTTTCTTTTTAACCCCAGCCACTGAATTTTAACATCTTCAAATTTTTTTTTTCAATTTCTAGTCATATGTCAGTGCTTGCACTCAATGAATTTGCAAGAGGGTCTAGAATTGTTTCGAATTTTTCAATTTCCATACAATTATTTCGCTTAAAGCCAAATATTGCACATTCATTGTAACTAGAGGAACAAGTCTTGCATTGGTTACCCTTGGTTTTGTATTTGTGTTATCATTACCTTAAATCTGACTGTCATGCACAATAGACTAAAAGTTTTTAAATTAAGATGATAAAAACACCCCAAAGAAACATTGAAGATTTAAATCATTTAATGGAGAACGACTCTTAATGCATATGGGTACAAACTGAAATAGGCAAAGAGAATTTTCTTGTTTGAGGCCTTCAAGAAACAATATTTTTTTAAGAATGGAGATTTTTATTCACCGAGTTTGCGCCATGAAAGAGCATCATGAAAGACCTCGAGCTGTTCAAAGTCAGTTGAACGTGATACGAATCAGCTGAGATATGATCACATGGCACAGGCTCGTTCCCCATCAAACCCCTGTTTATAATTCTATTAACACAGCAAAAATAATACCAATCATCCCAATGTCTCCCTTTAGAACACTATTGCCTAATAATCGTATTAAGCGTGAAACTTGGAGTAGCGTCTTTAATTATCGTCTTGTTCCATGCACTGAAAGCGTGTACAGCTCTGCCTACATGGCATCGTGCACTTTAAAACAGACTTATGAACAATAATTTTATGAAACCTTAACTAAAATACATATCCAGAGTTGAGATTAACTTTAGATTTTTCATTGTTTTTTAGCAGCATTCAGCAGCTGCAAAGACGCATATGCTTCAGGTATAAAGGAGAATGGTCTTGTTTCCCTTAGCTTGCCTGGACTCGGTCTTTTGAATTCGTATTGTGACATGAAAACAAGTGGTGGTGGCTGGACTGTTTTCCAAAGAAGGGTTGATGACACTGTTGATTTCGATAGAAATTGGGATGAGTATAAAAAGGGTAAGTAAGTTGAATGCTTTTCTTATTTCAGAAAAAAATGATATTAAAAGTTTCATCACTTTAGAGATATTTTTTGCTGTTCAAGAAACATTGCAGATATTTTGAGCAGTACTGTAGAACGGATAGAGTTATTGAAAAGACACAATTGTTTGATGTTAGATTAAGAGCAATAGAAATAAAATTGATTTCTCATTGGAAACAAAGGATTTTTATAATATTTTCAGGCGCATTAGCTATAATAGTAGCTACAGGATTGTTTGTAGAAGTAAGAAACTGATAGCAGAAATTATTTTGTTTGGCTTCGTTAAAAATTGATTCAATCTGTTTGTAGAAGAATGTGCGATTCACTTTTTTGGACTCTTTACAGTCAACTCCTGCTCTGTATGTAGGAATGCCCTTCAAGTGTCTTCCTGGAAATTCAATTTGGGCAATACCTTCGTCAGATGCTAGCTATCATCAGTGGCGGCCTAGCAGGGGGGGGGGGGGGGGGGGTCAGGGCCAAGTGTGAGCCTTCAGCTATTGGATATCAGGCACTAGAATTAATTTGCAACAGCCATAAGATTAGACATAAGTCAAAAAAACTAATATGGTTAGTCAGAAGTCATTGGTTTCACAAAATTATTAGTCATCAGTCAATTGGCAAATAGTCTGCTAGTTAGCTTGTGAAAATCCCTACTACCCCCTCAACAGAAGTCGAATTAATTCAAATATTCTGCACTTGCTTGAAAAATTGCAAGCCACCCAAAATTACAAGACGTTTTATACTCTGAGGAGTTTCAGACAAAAAAGCTTCTAGTTTGTTTAAAATATTTTCATTTTTCAAAGTCATTTTCAAAGCAAAATGTGTTCCTTACAAGGTTTTCAGAAAATCTTGCAGAATTTGCAGATCAATCTTAATATTGCCCAACTTGAAAAAGTGAAGCTAAACTTTTTAAGGAAACGTATAGTACTTTGGACAATTGATGATTGTAATCAATTTTAGTGCTCTGCAAAGTTGCCTTTTCATGTTTTTGAAAAAAATAACTTGGGGTAGAGGGCGCACCGGGAAATTTCCCGGTGTCCAGGTGGGCCAGTCCGCTTCTGAAGATGATAAATCTGCACCAAACTCTGTATCAGTTGCAAAGAAATTGAATTTTTGAAGCTTCTTCAATACCGTTTATTAAGTTCTTGCACACTTACACTCTTTTTTTATAAGAACAATTTTATAAGAACATGAGCCTCAAAAAGGGTCAAAATTTAAGAACAAATTAAGAACAAGCTGAGGCTGAGCTACTGTAAAATGAAATTTTGAACAACGTTTTATCTCAAAAACGAGGATTTTCAGCCATGTGTGGGTGCTTTTTCGGTGAATATCAAAACTTGGCGGCAAATTAAGTTTGTCTCTACACACTTTGTTGGCAAAAGAGGCCTGAACACCTCCCCAGAACGAAAAGCTAGAAATCGCACTGCTTATACCCTATAAATTTAAGAACAAATTCAGAACAATCCAGCCTTAGATTTTCGGAAAAATTAAGAACACTCAGCCTGAACTCAAATTTACTGGTTCTTATAAAAAAAGAGTGTAACAAGCAACGAGCCCTTTCAGTTGGGAAGCCGGCCTTATGTAAAACGACTGAAGTTTTACCAGTAGAAACCAATTATAAAAGAAGACAATTTTCTGGTATTATTATTATTCTTTATCGACACGTCCGTACGTAAAGCCTGATTTACACGAGACGAATTTTTCGCGCGAAGCGAATTTTTCGCCACGAATTTTTCGCCTGCGAATTCGCTGCGAATTCGAAGTTCAATTTCCACTGGCAGAATTTCTTTTGCGAATTCGCCGCGAATAATGCAAAATAAAATGGCGTCTGTTCGAAGATTGTTGTTATTAAAAAAAAGCGAGCAAAAAAGCAAAGAAAGGGGTACTTGGTTCGAAAAATTTATTCAGAACGTCTACAGAAGGGGGAGTTTCATCTTTTGGTAAGTGACTTACGCTTACATTGTCAGGAATAATTACTTTCGAATGTCGCCAACTACATATGAGGAGCTTTTATCGTTTATTGCACCAAAGACGCCTGTTGCTAGAAACGTCCCATTCCATTGTTTATGTTATAGGTGCGGGATTTTCCCAGCATTGTTTAGGCCTGGTCATAGGTTACTCATTCTTCACCCATGTTGTTGTTTGAACCATTGCGTAGTTTTCTGTCGTTTTGCATACTTTTGATTTAGATATGTTTACATTGCGTAGCAGAGGGAGGTCAACTTTTATTATTTAATAAGAATGCCTATATTTTCTTTATCAAAAGTGCAAAAAGTTTGCCAGGAACAGGATGGCCGGAATAAACGCAAGCGTTTATCCGCATCAGCTCGGACCAAAACATTGATGAATCTTTCGAATTGTAAATACTATCTTCAGACAAGCATCTTTCGTTTACCATTCCTTGGTAGATCTTCATAGCTTTATACTTGAGGTACTTTCAGTTTGACTTCTGATGTAGACGCCTGTTACACTAGAGGCGGTGTTGTAGGTGGCGGTGAAACTGGTCTCTGAAAATTCGTTTTGTTCCAGATTTCCATGTGTTTAAACTATATATATATATGGCTTGTAGGCCGAAATGGCCCTTCGCAAACACAATTACTATACTTACAAGTTAACATGTTTACAAATTAACAATAAATCTTAGAAAACAGCAAACAGCTAATACAAAGATAAACAGATGAAAAAATGATTATAAGCTAGAAAGTTTACGTTACGAGGATATTCCCAAAATAATTGCTCATAATTGGCGGGAAATGTCACTGCGCACATTGTTCGCGCTTAGACCTTATATATTTGCAAACAAATTCAGACCTTATATATTTGCAAAAGAAATTCAGACCTTATATATCTGAAATTTCCGACAACAATTTATAATTGTCAAGTGGACACGCATTAAATTAGGGGAAATAAAGTCGATATGAATTGTACAACAGATTTATAATAGATTTAAACAATATATTTACAATGACATCCTATATTTTGTATAATAGACTTTTGTCCCATATGGCGGTGCATACAGTTTGCCCACTTGCAGAATATGTAGGCATCCCCCAATCTTTCTGTAACGTTTGAGCCGTGTTGAGCGGCAGTACTAATCAACCCCCATCTGAGCGGTAGTCAACTCGGTTGTTCATTGGTTGTCAACAAAATTTGTATGCATCCCCCCAGGTTGGCTGTGATTTCTGATGATTTGATTGGATTAGGCAGACTGACTACTGCTCAGTGCAGCTCGAATCCGCTCTACACCGACTCAACCCCCCTAGCTAGCAAGCCATGATTTCATCACCTTTTATTGCAAACATGTGCCTCAGCCAATTGGCACGCAATTTCCATAGCGATAAGGATTAAAAAGTATTTCTGTCTCTATGGAAATTTCAGGCATGTTTCTAGGAAGGAATGCTTGGTTTGCAGCGCGATGAAATATTTTCAATTTTTAAATTTGGTTTAATTAAAGTAGTAGGATAAACATGAAAATGATCCTTGTTTCTATAATTTTTTGAATAATCTGACTACCGCTCAAGCGGTTATGGCGGTAGTCTGGATCCGCCACTGGACCCCTCTTTGATATAGACCCCTCTTTGATATAGACCCCTCTTCGATATAGACCCCTCTTTGATATAGACCCCTCTTCGATATAGACCCCTCTTTGATATAGACCCCTCTTTGATATAGACCCTTATTTGATAGGGACCCCTCTTTGCTAAGGAATTTTCAATAAAAGAATCCCTAGGCCATTGAGTAACTGTTAACAAAACGAATACTGAGTTGAGTACAGAAAAGCTAATGTATAGGGCTGCGTTTGACAGTAATAAACTAGCAGTTCACAGCCTCCTTAGCGGAAGCCTATTAACAATTTGCTGTGTTTCTTGAAATAACAGACGATTCTTATTTAAAAATTCGCATTCAGTCATTTCACTTTCGACTGACATATCTCATCTCCTTTTATCATTTTATTCGAATTTTCTTCAAATATTCTTTTTTTTTAACTGACAGAAGACATTGTTTCGAAGCACTAGTCAATGTTTGTGTTAACGAAGGTTTACATGTTTCCGAACACGGAATGTTGTCCGGGTTCCCATAAACAAATATAGTAATAGGTCGTTATTTAATATGTCGGAGCAAGTTTCCCCGGCAACTTACTACAAAAAATGGAATCTCGTCTAGCCGGGCAAATGATCACCGACCATTTTGAACGATTAGGAGCATCATCATCATAAACAATTGGAATAGGTTTGTGTAAGTTCAAAGGAATTTATAACCCCCTTTTGCTGGGCAAAGCTGTTCATACACTCTTCTTTCTATACGAATCTTTTTCCAGCCTCGATATTTTAAAAAAAATTCCGTTTTGGTTTCAATATATTCTTAAAGTATTCTAAGTTTTTCAAATCTTATATTTTCTTAGGGGAACATCACTCGCTCTAGAATAACAGTAGCTAGGGCCAACATTACATGAGCAATAATCTTATAATATTTGCAATATATTGATGATTTTTATTCCGAATTTTCTAATATCTTCAATATTCTTACAAAAAAGAGTGTATTGGAAAATATGACTTCGTCTATGTAGAATCCTACTAGTACTGAAGCGAGATTTCGGCTAGCCGGGAAAATGTCTTCTCATTTGACTCATATGATAGCTTGTGCTATTTTGTATAATTAAGCTACATAAGGTTGGATCATGGCTGAACAGGATTCCTTCTTCAACAGAAAAATGCCGGGGAAACTTTCTGCAGTTGAACAGGCTCTGAATACGTTAAGTTTAAACAAGTTTCTAAATATTTGAAAGTCATTTTTAGCGCATTCATCGGGACTTATCTGGCCTTATAGGTTGCTAGGTTACACACTGTGTCTAACTGTATCCATAACGTCCTGTAAAGATTATTTCTTTTAATATCGTTCTTTAATGTGTATTTTTACTGTGATAAAATTATCATCTAATTATGTTTAAAATTTAGGCTTAAATCATCATCATGCTTGAAAGCCTTTATGCAATTTCTGGGCATTAGATTTTTTCAAACCCTGTTTTATCTTATCCCTAACCTTTTTTATAAATATAGTATAAATTTGGTCCTCCTCGAAAAATTTTTTGTTTTGAACCTGAAGAGAAAGGGAGTGTAAGGCTTCTCGATTTTTTATAATCTAAGGGTTTGATTTCCTACAGACGGTATCTGATCAAACAAAATGAGCGCAAATAGCACATTCCAAAGCAAAAGCAACGAAAAAGCCTAGTTAATCGAATTTGATCAAATTTTGGTCAAAGTTCGTCTAATCGAGCAATGCCGACATCATAGAGAATATGGGCAATCACAGAAGATTTTAACCTCGTTATCCTGATATTTCAGTACACTCGTCGTGTAAACTCGCTATGAGAAACGAATACTAGAGTGGAGAGTGGAGGATTAGAAAAAATTAAGAGACTTCAGAACTCAAAATAAGTAATTCAGAAACAGTTTTGAAAAATTTAAAAGAGTTTTGAAAAGGCTAGAGCCCTGAAATTTCGTAAATCTATCAATATAATCCGTTTGTCTGCGTATAACTTTAAAATCGGAGAATGGAGTTATGCTCACTTTCTCTCAATGCAGCAATACTGTGGGAGCAATTCTGGTGACAGAGAAGATAGAAAAATCGAAGACTGGACTGGAGATAGAAAAATCGACAATTACCTTTTCTTGCAGCTGCGAAAACCCTACCCAGAAATTTCTGTTGAAAAATTTTCCCAGCATGAAAATTAATCATAGGACTCCGAATGTTGAGACTATGAGATGCTATGAGAAAATGCTATGCTGAAGAAACAATGAGCATTGAATCCTCCCAAAGCTTTAAGAAACTGGAGTACTCAACGTCGATGTTTGTTGCTTAAAAAAAAGAGTTAATTGTTATTTAGTTACCGTTACAGCAGGGTAAAGTTGGTTTACCTTGGGGGGGGGGGCAAATGTTTAAAAGGATATATTTTAATCATTAAATTGCTGGAAACGGCCAGTATCCAGGTATCCAGGTTTTAGTCTCTTGTTTATGAGAAAATGCTATGCTTTTACTCTTTTTGCAAAGGGGATCTCCAAAACTCTCACCTAACATGCAGTTATATGTTCATGCAAGGAAGAAATATGTTTGTTAATGCTTTGAAGTTGCCAAACTTTATTCTCGAGGAAACCTAGATCTTAGAAAAACTGTTTCAAATAATGGCAGCACGCAATGGATTCCATTCTTTTTCTAATCCGATGTATCCTTGACAACAAAGTATCCCTCGTTGATCAGCTTCCCAAATAAGAAGTCCATGGGTGATTGTTTTCATTTTCAAATATAAACTTTGATTATTATCAAAAATATATAAAAATGGAAAAGTACCTTCAATCACTCTATTCCACAGCTCCTTGATCTGCAGCATGGACAAGATTGGTTTTCTCGCAGTTCTGCTGCTTGTGGCAGTGCCATGTAAGTAACAATGCTATATTTTTAATTAAACTTTCTGAAACGAAAATAATTGTGAGAAACTAATTCTCAAACTGTTATTAAATTTATGTTGTAGAAAAGCGTAAGGAAGTTTTATAGAAAAGAACTATAGCGGTTTGGAAGTAGCATTTATGCAAAGGTTAACTTTAACGTCATGGAATTAATTTGATTAAAATATATTTTCTTTGACATTGCTCTGTTAGCTTGACTTTAGAGGAAATCAAAGAATCAAAGTCTAGTATTATACTTACGTGTGTATGAATAAGTAGCTGTCATACTGCTCCAGCTCGCTATCTCTCTCCTAACATGAAAATTCCTTCAATTATTAAATTGTTGTTTAGCCAGCTAGACACTAACTGGCATACACATGAACCGTTTATACAAAATATTGCATGTACTAGCCTGCTAATTTGGAGACAACCTTAGAATTAGTAACTGACACAATCGGATATGCTGCATTGTTAGTATCTTGCAAGAAAGCTTGATGCAAAAAATAGCAACTTAAGGTAAACGGGACGCAACCGCTATTTATAATTCACTTACCCGAACACAGAGAAGTCAAATATCAATCGCAGGGCCGGCGAGAGGCACGTTGGACCCAGACGCAGTCCTTTCCTACAGAAAGCGTTTGCCCTCTCCTATCAAAAGCAACAAAGCTGAAATACGTTTAATATGGATTTAAAATGTTTTTTACTTTCTTCATTTAATTTCAATTTATATTTTAAAGCATTGTTAAGCTTTCCAAGTATAGATATCATTTGTAGTTACTATAACTATGCTATAGAATAGAGACAGTTCGATTACCAGTGGGCACTTAAGATCTGTCAATTGCCACCGAAGTCTTGCGGAAGGGTCACTCGTAGATACTAGATAAACTAGAATCCTACTGATACCAATCAACGAATTTTTATAATCTATTGCAAGATTATAATGTTGCTTTAAACACTGAAGCATATTCTGTTGCAATGAAAGAAAAAGCAGCAATTGTTCCTTTTTTTGTCCTTGCTGATGTTGTTGCATAGGTTGAGTAAAAAGACAACTCGCCATAATCGCCGCCATTATTGTCACCATCAGATTAGCGTCATCATCTAATTGAAGCTGACAAATATAGTCATTGTTCCTTTCTGTGATTTTAGGTAGCAAGGCTTTTAATCAAACAATAAACGGAAAATATGGATGTCTGGCTTCGCCAAATTTCCCATCCAGCTATCCAAATAACGCAAGAAAATCATACCAAATCATAACCAGTCCTGGAACAACAATAGAGCTGAAGTTTCAAGTCTTTGATATCGAACATCATTATGATTGTTCCTACGACTACATCCAGATAGAAGAGAGCAACGGCGCTTCCAGGAAACTGTGTGGCAGTACTCCCCCTGCAGCTTACATCTCCCAAAGCAATGAGCTAAAGATATACTTCAGTTCCGATCAATCGGTTAATCGACCTGGGTTCTTTATTACTTTCCAAGAGAAAAGCGGAACACCAACATCAACTCCTATGCCATCTCCAACACCACTTCCAGGTTTGTTCAGATTTTTTTATCCAGAAAACGTAGTCTTTACCTAGTTAGTTTTGGACATGAACAATCCTGAGAGCTACCATGTTTTGCTTGATGTCATATTTCTAGGAGAGCGTTCCCTGACCCCAGGCGACCTGTGATTCGTTGATGCAGTCAAAAAACTCCTTGACGTGTATGACACGAGGTTAATCGGATTATCCGAACCGGATCCTTCACCTTCGCGATTGCATTTCTCAATTTTGTCAGCTTTTGCCATTGCCCATCTCTTGCGTGTGGTTTCAATTTAAGGCAAACCAGTTCACATGAAAATGCAATCTCTTCTTCACATTTTTCCTATCCCGCTACACGACAATTTGACTCCAAGAGACTCTAAAAAAGATCTTTGGAGAGGTGGTAAAAATCGTTAGAACCATCCATCTACATTCTACAAAGTTATTTTTCGAATAATTTTGCTTGTTCCGCTCCCGGTCCGTTAAACCTCTCTAAAGAATGTCTTTTTTCTGACTTCAGCACAAGTAACCGAAACATGGCAAACTCTTTGTGAAATACTAGTTTCCGTACTTTTCTGGTGCGCACTCGAAATTTCGTTATTAAGTTATTAAATCTAAAAGTTTCATATCCACTGTTACTTCCTACGATCTAGAACATTATTCTTCTAGTTGATGGTGGCTGGTGCAGTTATAATTGGACTTCCTGTTCATCGTCTTGTGGCATGGGCATGCAGAGTGGCTATAGAGCTTGCAACTGCCCACCCCCTTCATACGGAGGGTTGAGCTGTAGTGGTGACTCTTACACAAGCAGAGCATGCGGTGTACCCTGCCCTTCATCATCGCCTAGCCCAATGCCAACTCCGACTCCATCAAGTAAACATTTGCATTTTCACTCATTTTAATTCATTTCATAATTTCAATTTCTGGTAGGCTTGTACATAAATAAACCTAATCCTTGAAACAGCCAATTAAACGCGTTCTTAACTTGAAATTCTTAATTATGGAATAAATTTTTCAATCTTGTTTTAGCTTTGATGTTCAATCTTGCTTGAGTCAGCTCTTTATTTACATTTCATGTAGTGATTGGTGATGCTTCAAACTGCTTCAAGCATCACCAAAAGTATATGAGACTGTCAGGAGAAGGCAAATAGTTTCCCAGACAGTCAAAAATTTGGCGTTTCATAATTGTGGGAAGTTACCGTTGTGTAATGACTGCACCTTTTTTTCAGGCTGCAATCAGGTCCTGTCCTCATTGCAAGGGAACTTCACATCACCTGGATACCCAATGCCCTATCCGAATAATGCACGGTGTAATTACGAGATAGTGGTTCCCACTGGCAAGCGCATCGTGCTTACCTTCAGTGACTTCGATCTCGAGCATAGTTACGATTATGTGCAAATACAGCAGACTGTTGGCGGGTCCCTGCAGGATGTTACCCGCCTTACTGGAGATTCCCTCAACACGACCCAATTTACATCAGCCGAAAGGTCCTTTAAACTAATATTCTCTAGCGATTCAAGTGTGACAAAGCGTGGTTTTTCTGCACATTATCACACAATAGACTCAGGTAAGCTCCAGTTGACCCTTCAAAAAAGCCTTGCGTCAACTTCAGTATCTGTTAAAAGTTTCTGAAATGAAATTCTTTTTTCAAAATTTGGAGCATTTTAGCTTCTCTTGTTCCATTTATATATAAAGTTTTCATGTTGTCTAGATGTTTTGAAAGCTATGATAATTTGTAGAATTTTGCAAAAAGATTTTACAATCTAGTAGGGGGAAAGTGTACTTAGTCGTGCTAGATATTGGCACACATATAGAAAAAAGCGTCCTCTATTACTGAAACGAACAATAAAGTTAGATGTTTTTATCTTTTTAACCACTTTCACTCGAATTTTACAGACCTAAGAAATTTGCGTTCTTACAGAATGCTTGCAACTAGATTTCTTTCCAAGACTGTATCAGATTCTTTAAATTAAAAAAAATTGAAAAATGGCTTAGAAAGCAGACATTTCAAAACACGCATAAGCTTTTGGTCAGACAACTCCACAGAGTATGAAACGTCCGAAAATAGTCTTCATTGTTCCTTTTTGTGGTTCCAGCTAGAAAGGCTTTCGAATAGGAGTTATGGCTGTCTGGAATCATCAAATTATCTATCCAGCTGTAGGGAAAACATGGAAATGTTAGCATGGTTTGGGTATCGAGATTGCACAAGAATGTACTGAAAATTCAAACAGAATTTAGAAAGAAAAACAAAAATTTCTGTGTTCAGGTAGCGGAAATTGAATAATTTTCTCGAAATTTTATGTAAATCTATGATATATGTCATCTTATTTTATCTTTTGTTTTAACACAAGGGATAATTGCAGTCAACGGTGGATGGTGCGCCTGGGTCCCAAGTACTCCATGTAGTGTTTCATGTGGATACGGCCAGCAAACATTGTCGCGTTCGTGCACCTGTCCTCGTCCTAGCAACGGAGGAAGCCAGTGCACTGGTCCAAATGTTTCCCAACAGCCGTGTTACCAAGGAAATTGTCCCACACAATCCTCTATAATTATAGCACCTTCACCTACACCAAGTATGTTGTACATCTATTATTTTTTTGTTTCATGAATCATGAGGCTTCTCGTATTAAGGCGCTTCGAATTATAAGACCGAAGAGCCCTGAACTTGCTGGTGCTAGAAAGGGTAGGGTGATGAGAGGATAAAGCTTTTAGTTATCTTTTCTTGCCTTAAATTTAAGTTTTTGCTATGTAGACATGCTTAAGCAACCAGCACTTATCAAAGACGATGGAATGGTACTAGAGACAGTTGGGCAAAATTGTTTATTTTAGAAGATTTTCAAAATTGTGAGGTTTTTAAAAGATTCGATTGCATTACTAACTCTGAGTAATGTATTACATCAAAATATCTCCTTTTTGAAATGGTTAGTATTCAAATGATTCATAAATATATGTTCCAAAGTGGCAAGGGGAGCTTTAGTTCGTGCTTGCCTTGTACCTGTTGTGTCTCTCCACTTTGCTTTGTCCCGCTGCTGTAACCGATCTTATCTTTTTTCAAATATGTTTGATGGGATTCAAGAAAGTTTCTATAAATTTTAGAATAAAGCAATTCATTCTTATATTAGCACTTCATTTATGCAAGGAAAGCCTCCCAAAGATGCGACGATAGGCTGCTCTAGGAACCATTGGAAGTTAACCTAGCTTGGGACACCCTAGAATCTCCAAATGCTTAAGATTACACATCGTTCTTATTTTTAGTTTTTTCATTTTATGGAGATGCATTCTAAATTCCTTTTTTAGCATGCCAGCTGAAATCGTATACAGCACCGAGTGGCATATTTTCGTCACCTAACTTCCCAGGTCTGTACCCTAACAGCGCCAATTGCGAGTACCAAATCACAGTAGCAACTGGAAAGGCCATATCGATATCCTTTACCAGTTTTTCCGTGGAATCTCATTCAAGTTGTGATTATGATGCTGTGATAATTTATGAAGGAAGCTCATCGACTGGTAATACTCCGAAAGCTAAACTTTGTGGCGATGGTCAAAAAACGTTCAAGTCAAGTGGAAACAGTGTGTTCATAGTATTTTCATCAGATGGCTCAGTCACAAAAAAAGGGTTTGAAGCGACATATGCAACCGTCAACAAAAGTATGTTTATCTTTATCCCTGTTTTACCCTTTCCTATCCATTGCTCTGTGTTTTTAGAAATACAATATATCACTTGAAGAAAGGCGTTTTTGCAATACTAGCTTGCTATGATAACCCTGAAAATATGATGAACGAAACTCACTGCTTTAAAGACGGGGACTCCATCTTTACCAACATTGCTATTGGGAATGGGGCCCAGGCATCTAATAAGATTGGTACACAAAGTCACTAAGAACATGTTATGCAGAGCAACTTTTGCCCGACGATTGCATTGTACATATAGAAATAGGGCATATCTGTGCCACTGTGCAATTAGCTACCTACGATATTGATTGTAAGTCGATTGTCGCACCTTGTTATACCATGTACTCAACACGATGTGTGTTAACAAAATCCAGGAAAACGAACTTATAAAGATATGCTGTGTAAATCTGTATGGATATGCTTTATCTAGAATTGAATTTGAAAATGGCTTTGAGAAAAGCAAACATTTTGCGACACATAAGTTTTCTAGTATGTTGTGCAATGTTTTTCAAAGCCGTTTTCAAATTTTGTACCGCCGAAAAATTATTCGGAATTAAATTTATAAACTTTAAATAAAACTTAAAAAATTCCAGCTGACGGGTCAGGTGGCTCAGGTGGTGCAACTGTGAATGACCCATCCTGCGGAATAACAAAAGTGGCCCAAACCCGTGTTATTGGAGGCACTGATGCTGCAAAGGGTGCTTGGCCTTGGCAGATTGGTATGTACGAACAAGGTTACTTTATATGCGGAGGTACTTTGATTGCACCAAACTGGGTTTTGACAGCCTCGCATTGTGTTGTTTCTTATGGCAGCGTTGGATCCGCATCAGATTACGAAATTGTTGTAGGGGACTTGCATAGGCAGCTGAACGATACCACAGAGCAAAAGCACAAGGTAGAGCGCATTGTCCCTCATCCAAATTACGACGGAAGAACCCTCAATAACGATATTGCCTTGATGAAGTTGCAAACTCCAGTTATGATGAACGACCATGTGAGAACGGCTTGCATCCCAGCCAAAACTGACGTTATTGCAATTGGATCAACTTGCTTTATTACCGGTAAGAAAATAGAATTTCATTGAAATTTTTAACTACTTTCTTCACAGATTGAAATAAAATAACTTTACAAGAAATTCACAAAGGCACATTATTGCACATTTACCAGTGTGCCCAGCAAATTTTTTATGGTTTAAGGTGAATGATTCTCATAATGATTAAGCTATTTTGAGCGAGGACTTAGAAAGAGGTTCGAAGTACAAAATTAAAGTTTTATTTTTGCTTTTACATGATAGCGTATGGTGGCTTTGTATGTGGTGTCTCTTCGCGTCAAGCTTCTTCATCTGACTTTTGTTACAGCATTACTTCGAAAAGAAGCCCTTTATTTTGACAAATTCCTTATATTTACGTCCTTCACTCTTTGGAAGGAGTAGTAATCAAAGAAAATACAAAGAAAAGTACAGAGAAAATTAAAAAACAGACATGGAAAGTGTAATTTCAAGTAATAGTGAAAAGGGAACATCGGCCGTATGAAATTTTTTTTGAAAAGCTCGTTTTACAGTATCTCTTCACAATGCCTGTCGTCAGTCTTAAAAACGATGTTTTATTCATTTTCTTACACATCAAGCATGAAAAGGAACGCCCCTTCTTTCAACGAACCCCTTGAATGAAAGCCTGGAAAAGTACATAAAATAGATTCAATGAATATCCCGGGGGTTTTGAAGTAATACAATATGTGAAAAGGGGTGTGTCTTTCTTTGTTTTAGGTTGGGGAAAAATCAAACATCCTGGAGATGCCCATACTATGCTTCAACAAGCAAAGTTACCGGTATTAAACTCAACTGTTTGTCAGAAAAAACTGGATGCAACTAACTGGGGACTCTCCATTACGAAACAGATGGTCTGCGCTGGTGAGCCTGGTTCAATCAAAAGTGGCTGTCATGGTGACAGTGGTGGTCCATATGTATGTCCAGATTCTACGGGACGTTACTTTTTACATGGTGACGTCAGTTGGGGTTCTTCACAGTGCGATACAAACGAAGCATATACGGTATTTGCAAGAGTGACAGAGTTCGTAGACTGGATCAAGCAGTCACTGAGGGACTTGTAAAGAGAGAAACTCATTAAAAGATAAACTTTCATTTTTTGTCACCATAGGGGATACATTATCATTTTTCGGTATTATAAATTTATTTGTCATAGTTAGCTTGCATTGAAAATTTTCTTTTTCTTGAACAACATCTTCAATATACAGGTTCATTGATTCAAATTCAAACGTTTCAAGTTCCAACACCATAATCAACGCTGTTTTCAGGGAGGGAGGTTCGCCATCAGTTAATGACCTCCCCCCAATAACAAGATTATAGTTATGGCACTAGTATACATCAGAGAAGATATTAGATTGCGGTGTGTCACGCCGGTTTTGAAGAGATTCTGCAGCTTAATCTGAGTTTTCAACAGTAGGAAAAAATATTGGCCAGTTTACTGAGACCACAGTTTGCTGAGAAGATCAGAAGAGGAAGCAAACTGTATGGTCATGAAAACATTAGCGCTGTGTCATATAAAGCAGCCATGTTATGATAGAGCTCAAGAGCCAGCAGTTAGTGCTCACATTATTTTGAGACGCAAAGGTGGCATGTCAATACATAGCTATACCACCATTTTACTTTCGATTATATTCTAATTCAAATGCCAACGTAGAAAAAGCAATTATTCAGTCCTGACTAATTTTTGATTACTATTTCTTCTTCTTTTGCTTCTTGTAAGTGTTACAAAAAGAACTGTCTGCCTGATTGCCAAGTGCGGGCAAATCATTCAACCTTATATATGAAATTGCTACTGCTGGTCATGAAACACTGTTTATTTCAATATCCTTGAATTCTTTTTAGTCTTTAATTGAAGAGCTTCCAAAACGTAATCAAAGCACAGGTCTATCAAATTAACAAGCACTAGATGCGTGCCAGTCCTGGTGAACGTGAGTTTCTGTAACTTGCTTTCACTGCTAGTTGCATATATCTTAAATAGAAAATACTTACCAATAACTTTTAGCAAAAATTCCGAACTTTGAAGCTTTTAACCCTTGACGATCAAACAGCCTTTCTTAAGGTGAAGTCCATGCACATTTCAAATAATTGGGTATATCAACGACCACGTTTAAGTGTGTGTCTCTTAGTTTGAGCTCCGGTACTACTTTATGTAAATTTGTTCCTGATCTTTTTAAAGCTGGGGAATGGTTGACTTTGGTTCTCTTTGTGACACGCCCCCTCGTTTGTAACTAGTGGATTTTGATGAACCTTCAGCACATGCAGTAAGATATTATATAGTATTGGAAAACACTTGGAAATGTGTCGTAGATATGTTTTTATAGAGATGCTTTACAAGAATTATCCAGTTGCATAGATTCCAACATATATGTTTCAAGGGGTGGCTCAAGATTGGAAAATTGTCGATCACAGGGCCGACAACCAAGATACACTCAAGTGAAGTTAAGTTAAGGCACCGAATAGTTAAGTTTTGATAAATATGCCAACTCTAGTTTTATCCCCATCCCTTTATTTATCGATTCTTTGCCGAATTTATATGAATGTAATTTAAGTACAAAGCGTCTGTCAACTGTGCTTCATCGAGAACTATGTTGGGGAAATCGTACAAAGAGTCTCAAGAAGCGCATTCAATAGAACCAGAGAACGAAAAAAAACTATATGCATCTCCTCCACGAATTGTTCCAGCCCCCGATCAATATCATGTGAACCATTTTCAACCCATCGATGGCTCCAAGTTCCACAGGCCCGCCGGAACCGGGGGGGGTGCTGGGGGGCCACATGTTTCCTTTATAACAGTGTACTAAATGAGAAGGAAAACAATGGGCAGCCCCCCCCAATATGAATTTCGTTCCGACGGCACTGCTCCATAATAAGCTATACCGTAATGCCTCGACCAAGCCCCCCCCCCCTCAAATAGGAGCCACCCTAGAATAAGCGCCCACTGTAGAGGTTAAGTTATTGAATAAGCGCCCCCTCGAATAAGCGCCCATCTTTCAACCTTCAGAAACGGGCGTTTTTTCGAATTTTTAACGAAAATATTATTGGAAGGCAATTCACCAAGAAAGATTAATGAACAACGCAATTTGCACCCAAATCTACTTTTGAATAAGCACCTCCCTCGATTAAGTGCCTCCCTCGAATAAGCGCCCAAACTGGAGCCTCAAAAATTAAATAAGCGCCCGGGCGCTTATTCGAGCCAATGTGGTAGTACAATTTCTAACCCCCTGAATATTTTTCTAGTTGCCACGACCCTTCCACGATTTCTATTCATTGTTTCATCAGGAATGATTTTATCTTGATGTATTGGTGCGATGATAAATGCAGTTTCCATGGAACTTGGAAATGTGTCGTAGACATGTTGGAATACTTTTAGGAATTATCAAACAGTTAGTTCCGTAGATGCTGACTTTTAGCTTCCTCAGGGGTGGCACCTGATTTGAAGCGACAATATTTTTATGAAAAGAGCTTATACCATTTGTAAAATTCTGATAGTACAATTTGATTTCAACAAGGTTCTTGATCTGCTCAAAGCAAAGTTTCGAATGAATGATTATCAAGATAAAAACACAATCAGTATGTTACCACTTCGTAACCACTTCGTGGCAGGTCGCCACCAGAAAGAGGCTTAGTAGCCCATTTTGAAAAGGATGGTGCAAGTCAAGGAAAACATTAGACTTACACAATTTAGGCTCGGTTATTTTTTACAATAAGCATATAAAATAGAGAACTGGTAATTTGAAAATTAAGGCAAAGATGCGGTGGGTGAGCATAAATGACTTACAGAATTTTTTCCCAAGCAAATTCCACGCAGTTGTCTTTGTGGCGTACATGGGTTTGTTCATAAATCAAGGTAAGCCAACGTTATAGGCGCTTTTTTCTTAGTTTTTATAAAGACAACTGCCTAATCAATCACTAGAAATATATTTTTTGTTGCTTCCCACACCTGGAAATTCTATAGAAAAACTCTGGAGGTCAAATAAAACCAGTAGAATACTATGAATAATTTTCATAAATTACTCTCATTTTTTATATGAAACTTGTCATAAGAAACAAATACTTGGCAATCAGAAAAATCAAGGTACTTTCGTATTCGATGTGAAAATATTGAACAATTGAATATATTTTTGTTGTAAAAGTAAAAATATTCATTTTCTCTGAAGACTGTATGCCGGAGTGAAATATCAGTATACAATTAATTGAATCTTTTTTAAAAATTTATCTAATAACATTGGATTCTTGCCGCCATTTTGCTTTTTTCCTGCATTTTATCCTCATATTCATATGATGCTTATTGCTAGATTCACAGAATCCATCGAATAGCCTAACCTGCAGCTCATCCTTCTCACACACCAATATATTGCCTGCGGACACCAATTTCCCATCCAGGTACTTTTGTGCCTTGCAAAACTCCTCAAATTTACAACAGATGTCCAAGGGTAGCTTTCCAACCACTACCAATAAACATGGGAAAAATAACATTTGACAATATCAGTGTCAATCAAGTCATGCTCATTTTATGGAATTTTGGGTAAGATCAAATGACATGGGTTGGATTTTTTTCAAAATCAGTAGCTATTTATAGGTCCTGTTTCCTCATTCCACATAAGCAAAGCAGATTTCTGAATGTGCCTTATTCTATGCACGAAGTTTCATATTTTCAAAAGGAACTTGTCCATGCAAGAAACAAAGATTCTAGCTTTGCATACCTTCCAAAACAACAGATTCCTTAGCATGAAAATTAAATGTAAGGTTCCCATGTTAACATTAATGACATCATATATACAAAACCATAGGTATTGAAATTTCCCAAAGAAACAAGTGTACTCAACATTAATATTTTTTTTCTTATAAAAAATAGTATTTACAGGGCACATTATTTTTCCTACAATTACTGCCAAAAGTCTTGGAACACTAACATAGATTTCCAAGGCAAATTCAGCCACCCCCCTCTCCCCCTAAGAACAATGTTGTTTTACTATAGAAAAAGAAAGGGGTTATCAGGTATGCTTTTTCTTGTGGCTTGTTGGATATTTCTCTCTACTTTCAACATTGTTTTGGGGGGAAAGGGAGACAGAAGTAGTAGTATTCAGGAGAACAAATGAAAAGTAAGAAAGCACAGCACAAAGTGTTGGGTGTTCCAAGTAATTTTGGGTGCGATTGTAGCCGACTTGTTCTATGTCAGGCGTTCTTAAGTATTTTTAGGGCCAGGTCAGAAAAAACATGTGTATTTTCTCTGGGGGCCACTGAGTTTTCAACTTTGACATAGCTTGTGTTACAAAGCAGCCCAATATAAAATTCAGATATCATACTTACCAGGCTGATTTAAAGGTTAGATAGGCAGGCCTATTATTAGATTCTATATTCATAAAACCTATTTGGTGTGCTTTTTTAATGAAATAAGTTATGGAAAGGCAGGCGATAGAAGGGAAAGAGGGAAGCCAAAGCTGCAAACTGTAGCAAAGAATGCCAACCCAAAAAGAGGTTTTTACAAAATCTCCTAACATTTGTTACACGTAGCATGCTGCTTTTGAAAAACTTTCAGACAAACTTCTTATGGGAAACATATATCTCACTTTAGGAAAGGAACGAACGCTTCAGTGGCCATCTTGCTATTACAGTGTACCTTTAATAGCAATGAAGGAATAATCTAAATATGGACTTTGAGAAAGGAAATGGTCTGCGGTTGTTATGACAAGAGTAGATAAAGTGATTCAATTGTGGTTTTTCTGAAGATTTGCGGGGTCCTGAAAAAATTGTTTAAACATCCACTGGTAAAGAACTCATGGGGTACATAAATTTGAGTTAATAGAAATTTATTTTTAGGCCACGCCGCTCCTGTCCCAAGTGTGTGTATTTCCATAAAGAAATTTAGTGTCAATAAAAATATATAGCATCTCAACATTGCAACCCCTGTCTGCATTTCTTGTGGCATGCTGGGAAAATATTAGGAATATATTCAAGCCCAAAATGTGCCACACCTTGGTAAATCTCTGCCCATAAATCTTTAACCTAGTCCCCCAGCACCTTTAGAATATTTTTTCCAAAAGTTAAACTCCTTTTGAAATACATTTGAATTGACTGCCTCTTTGGAAAGAAGGTTAAACATCAACTTGTATTATCCAATACAATACATTTATTTTTCTTATACATTACATTACAAACACTACATTACTTTTACTTATTATTAATTTTGCTTTACATCTTCATATTACCATAAATCAGTTACCATTAATTTAGGTTACCATTACAATACCAATTACCATTACCAATAAATTATCACCCTTGGATTGTAAAAATTTGCTTATTGTAGGAATTCTGGTGACATCTACAAAAAACAAAGAGAACCATTATCCTTATAATCCCACAACAACAGTTCTGCTATCAGAATTCCTGAAGTTGCTGGTGTCATCATTTCTTTTCATGAAAGAGTAAGTATCCATCAATGACAATAAATGGAAGATCTTGGAACTATTAAATGATTGGTACCACTACCAGTCACGAAAGTTTTCAATTTAATCAGACCAAGTAAAATTATCCTTCTAGCTACGTTGTACACATTTGTTTTCCAATTATTATTTTTCAGCTTTTGGTTTGGATCCAGCCAGCCAAAATTAATGCTGCTTGGCCAAAAAAACTCAATGAATGAATGACAGTTTTTAATGCAAAGACGGGAAATTGTCAGCATAGCTGAGACACCAACATCAGTTTTTTCTTCTGTTTTGATATAAAGAGCCATTGAGCCTTATACGTACAATTAAATAGAGCTTATTTTCAGATGCAATAATGCATTTTGAAGCTTATATTTTGCAGTATTACAAGCTCCAGAAAATTAGAAAAAGAAAGAGAAAATTATTCAGTTTCCTACAAGTTTTTAATTTTTCTAATTTTGACTGATTAGTTTCAATATCTTTATGATGTACAACATTTTGATATTGTAGACAACTTGGCAATCTCACTTGACTAACTTTTCTTCTAACAAGAATAAAAACAAATAAAAAATTTGGGAATATTGATATCTAGCCCCTTTCAATTTGAAGCCACAGTACAGTTAAAAGCTTTTATCTTTTATTCAGACCATCTGCATGACAATTTTTTTCAAGCAAATTTGTTCATCTATGCAATTTAAATATTTTTTCTAACATTTTGATGAACTTTTTCATTGGTAGGAATTCCTTCTCAGGATTTGTAGATGGTATCAAGAAGCATAGAAAAGGTACACAACATAAACATTTCTTGAATTACTTTTTTATTTATTTTTAATCTGTTCTCAATTTTTAGATTTTCTTGAAATCAAAATATAATAAACTGGCTATTATAATTTATTTCTAATTTTTTGTGGCTATTAAACTGTTGTTGGCCTGCCATTACCTAGTGTCCAGTGTCCAGAAATGTTTTCACCCTTCCACCTGACACTATCCTCCACCTTTAATAATGTACGACAAGAAACAATAAAAAAGGTGCAGGTGACCACTTTATTTTTTGGTCTTTGTTAAATTGTCTGTAGCTAAGTGATCTGTTATTACAATTATCTGTTAGGTTTATTATTTTTATTTAGGGGTCAATATTCATCTGAAATTTGTATCAGAAAACGTCAAACAATTATATCTTTCTTCTTCTAATCTGTTTTCACTTTTGTTGTATTATTTTCTTTCAGTTCTACTGCTTTATTTTGTTCCTGCATTTTTATACTGCCTTTACAACAACCTAACGTTTGTTAACTTGGAGGCATATGATCCCACATCGTATTATCTTCTGCTGCAATTTCGAGTAGTAGTGACAGGCATCATCTACCAGGTAAGCTCTTATGGTGATTGGAGTGTTTTTATGGCCTGGTTCTTGAAATTTTTAGTGTGTTTACAGTCTTCGTCATAAGGAAATCACCATGCGTGTGGCAAACCACACGCATTTCGGACCCTGTTTACACAGTCCTGTTTAAAAACGGAACCGCGACGGTACAAAATTCGTTCTCTTTCGTAACAGGGTCAAAACCATTCCGGATGGCAGAAAAAAATTAGCTCGGTTCCAGAGTGCTAGCGCAAACGAAAGGGCGAGCCGCGACCGTTTTGTCACGGTTCCAGACTTGCACGCAGGGCTCCCTAGAGAATTGGAGGCCCTGGGGCAAAAGTGGAGAAGGCCCCTGCGAGCGAAGCGAGCAGAAATATTTGCGACCACGCCCTTCAAACTAGCTTAAATTTCGTTCACTCGCTTAAAATGTTTTACTGTTTATGAACATAATTTTTTTACTTTGGTTTGTCTATTTTAATCCAAATGTTACATTTTGGGAGAAATATTTTAAAGCTGAATATGGTGATCTCTTCTGTTGTTCTGAATCAGATTGGCAATCTCTTTCAATAAGGTATAGAACTTAAAAATGCCTTTTTTCAGAAAAAAGACAAGAAAAACCTTCGAGTAGTATGATTTATGACACGTGACTTACGTGAAGTTATGTACAAAATTTTGAAAAAATAAAAGCACTTATAAAATTTTTGTCGGAAAATCTAAATTTCTCGCCCCTTTTATAAATTTTCCTATCTACATCACTAGATTGATATTAACCTTGATTGTCGGAATATATTCTTTTTGCGGCTCTATTCGTTGCCAGCCTCTCGCATCTATGATAAAAAAGCCCATTTTCTTTTGAGCAATTTTCTCGATATTTATCCCGATAATGGCGAAAAAGGGAAAGTAAAAGTTTTGTCACTACGTGGCAACCGCCATGTTTCTGGGAGAATTAGAACAAAGCAAAGCGATAAGCCACGATAGAGAGCAAAAATAGGCTTCATTTAAAGAATAAGCCGATGTTGCTCAGCTTATGAAAAACAAAACTTCCAATGTTTCGTTGATGAAAAGAATTTTATTCAGGTCAAAAAAGACGGTCAAATATACAACTCATGCGTGCGATCAATCGCTCGCATTATTGGTGCCATGCGTGTGCCGATGCGTGCGCGTGCGATCGCACGCATTAAATGACGAAGACTGTGTTTATAGTGAAATTTGTATTAAGGTCAACATGTTTTCATTATAATTGACAGCAAGTTTTTTCTGCTGAGAAAGAGTGTATCCAGCTTATAGCTTTGTGAAACACCTTTGGCTGTGTTTCAGCAACACTTCCTTTTGGGATCTGAAACTTCCTTTTTTTTCTTTGAAAAGTGTGTTTTGATTGCTGTTACCAAATTTTTCATTTTAATATCAAAGTTACATTGCTTACTTTTAGTTTGAAAGCTGCCAAGATCCTTCAAAACCCTGAAAGGGATCGTTAGCAAGCTTTATTCTTTGTTCATTGGCTAACAATGGTTTTCTTAAATAACATTTATCTCTAATCACAAAAATGAAAGCAAACAAACCTATCACAAGCAAATTTATTATAACAGCTCAAACGATTAGGTATAGTTTTTTGTTATATAAGCACAAGAGCCACTTAAAATACAGTTTTTTTTAAATTTCTTTCTTTGTTTTGTAGGTGCTATTCAACAAAAAATTGAGCCGAATCCAATGGATTTCGCTTTTGCTCCTCACTCTTGGCTGTGTCATAAAGCAGTTGAATTTTAACAAACTTTCAACTGTATCGTTCAGTATCAACATCAATCTTGCACTTATAATGGTGCAAGTGTTCTGTTCCTGTTTTGCTGGTGTGTACAACGAGTACCTTTTAAAAGGAAACAGTGGGGACGTTCCCTTCATGCTTCAAAATGTTTTTATGTATACCGATTCGGTCGTATCTAATGTCATGGTCCTTGGTTTCACTGGTCACCTACAAAGTGCTATGACGTCATCAAGCATTTCTTCGATACTCCAAATAAAAGTGATATGCATCATAGTGAACAATGCTGCAATTGGCATTGTTACTGCCTTGTTTTTACGCTCTTTGAATTCAATTTTGAAGACTTTTGCCAGTGCCTTGGAGCTCATGTTTACAGCAGTTCTTGCATGGATACTGTTTGGAATAGCAGTAAATCTTTTCACTGTCATTGCCATAGCGATTGTCTCGTTTGCAACGTTACTATATGCCCAAAATCCAGTGGACAATGCACCGAAAGTAGAAGGCACCCAAAGTAAGAAGATACCCGCGACTGTTTAAAAGATTCGCACGCTTGTTGTCAATGTAGCAGATTTGGATTGGAAACAGACAAACAAGTTGTTTTCCTTTGGTTAATTTATATTAAGATTCTGTATTTTGACAAGATTTGTCGGTTTATCTATGCAATGTTTATTTTCTGATTAAGAACTGATTATGCTACCAGTTTTCAGTAAATGGGGCCGGTTAAGGTCTGCACGTGCAATGTATCTTCTCTTAAAAGATTTGTTAGAAAGTCAACTTTTTTATGATACCGCTAATTATTGTAGGATTTCAAAGGAGTCGCCAGAGTGCTTAGCGTTGCAATCTATTTAATATACAAATATATTTGCCGAAATGTGCAAGAGAAATTGGCACACAAAATAGGCACCTATTAAATCGCCATTTGCTTAACTGATGGACAATCAAACAATCCAAAATTAAGACTCTTGTAGTCAGAGCGGTAAGAACCAAAATATTGGTGAATCGCGCAAATTGTTATAGAAAAGTTATCCTGTTTTCTAAATAAACACCCAAGATCAATTTCTTTTCGAAGTTCCATACTTTTCGAAGTATCTATATTAACCTGTAACATCAATCTGTTCTCTTTTATACGAGAATCACGTCCTGCATTATGTATGAGGGTTGCCCCTTTTTCTCCAAAGAATGCCTTTGCATGGCATCACCACACCTTCTCTACCACACTTGCAGAGTTCTCAGAGTCCTCTGGTTTTTCCACTTTCAGACATCTAGTTATATTTTTATCAGTGAGATTATGTATTCAGATAAATAGATGTGTCTACTAGACAACAATGATTTTATTTTTCAAAGATTACTTTAACTTAACGTTTAAGCGTTTTCTGTCAATATATCACGTCATATGCGATGTGAGGTTGAAATCTAGAATTACGCATTGAATTTTTTTTTGAGTACTGGAACCAGCGACGGTTCCGTTGTGCCTTATTGCAGTTGGACAGACCATTTTAATTTTCTAGAAACCCAATAGTGATATTTTTATTTGTTTAATTCATCGGTTAGTTATTTTATTAGGCTAATGACAATTAATCCGTATAGTTTAGTATAAAGCAAACATATTTTATAAATGAAATCTCTCGTTCAACAGTCTCTTTAAATTAATTTTAGAAACGGACTTAGAATTAATTCTTAAAGAAACTTGACTTGCTTTCAGTTGTAACTATCCGTTTGAATGTACCTTGATTCTAAAAAAAACAAATTAATTGTGAAAGAGACGTTTATTTTCAACACACTGCTATAATTTATGGTTCTTTGTTTTTAGAGACTTTGTTTAGAACATTTATGGAAATAACAGGAAGATTGAATGGATTTGCTTGTAGAATATGGTTCTGAATATGGTTCTGGAGTTGGCTTATAAACTGTGATAAGTGACATGCATTTCCCAAAAAACTAAGCTATTGTTTACACATTCTAGCCAAACTGGAACAAGTTTTGCAGTTATCTGGATGCTCAATACCATTTTTTGGCAGTGTTGTCAAATTTCACTTTTCGTCAAATGGAATAGAAAAAACTCCCCGTGGAATCCATGCACCTTTTTATGGGAGTGTCCCTCAGGGTGGGGTCAAGCCATTGTCTTTATAACAAAGGGGCAATAGTCTTATATTCTAGCTAGGTGGTTATCAAATAAGCTCTTTGGGTCAAAATATGTTTGCAAAAACCTGTTTTTGAATGGCCACAAGGTTGTCATAATATGAATGTGTTGTATTATGGTGATAAATATCGTGTGTTAAACTAGCAAAAACTAAATTCTCAATGATATTGCGACTTCAGCGTCACTGATCCTTTTTTGGATTTTTTATATTAATTGTAGAAAAGAAAAAACCCCCGGTTCAATAATTTATGATCAAGGCAATAAACAGTTGCCCAGTATTACGTCAATTCAGGAAAAGATGGCGCATTGGTTCCACAGAAATCCATTGAAATCAGCGTCGCCAGTCTCGTTTGATGCGCTGAAACTGATAACAACTAACAAATCAACCCAGAAGATATGCGGGTAAATAACTTTTTAAGTAAAGCAGTGATATTCTAAGCCAGTTTACTTCTGTAGCTATTCATTTAGTCATTGCCTGGGCCTAAGCCTAACACGTAAATTGAATTTGGCATTATTGGATAAGGAAACAGTGGGTAAATATTTTTTATGATGGAACTGATCATTGCTCCATTTTATCCTAAGCTCACATATTTATTTATGGATTATTAACAGCCGACTAACAGAGTTGGGTTATTTGCATTTTTTTGCTCAAAGGCCCCCAGAAGGATGTAAACATAACATTGGACTACAGTGACGTTGGATCTGCATAGGGGAAGAACTTTCCCGTCATTGCCCTAGTAAGAAATGAATATTCAGGGCTGCTCCATTTCATTTCGCAGAGATTTCTAGTTTCAAGCTTTTAAAATCCTATATGTTGTAAACAGTAACCCCACTTTTATTAAAATCATTAAAATAAGAGCAGAAAGTATGAATTCAATGTTTTAAATAAAAATGCAAATAGGTGCTATAAGGGCTCTAGAATTCAATGCTAAAACTCTTTCTTGAAAGCTCTTTCCAACATCTTAAATGCCTTCTAGTCTGCCTAAAATATTTTTGCTACACTGACAGAGGTGCTAGTACCATACTTTCTATACAGGCCCAAGCCCTGTGTGTACTTCTCAGGATTCAATCCCCTATAGATCTGGTGAATTCCTATTTTTTGTTAATTTTGTTTTTAGGGATTTGAAAACAACCCGTGCAAGATTTTTAACTGCCCTGACTGATCCTGGAAACAGCATAGCAACAATTGAAGCAGCAGCAAACCAGTACATCTCCCTTTTACAAGGCCTTTGTTGTGATGTTGGTGGTCAAGGTGAAAGCCAGCTGAAAAATTGTGTCAATTTCAAATGGACAAATAGCATAGGTGGAAATGAAATATGGTGAGTGATATGATTCACAGGCAAAAGTATTAAAAAAATTGAACAGTTTTTTGCTGTACAAAATGTGACAATGGCTTTGAAAAAGCAAACTTTATGTAACATGTTAGCTAAAAGCTTTTTGGTCTGACTCTCCTCAGAGCATAAAACGTCAGATTTAGGGTCCAGGAAAACAAGATGGAAAATATATACCCAGTTGTGGATCAAAATAGGCCCATCACAAAAACACAAGCACAAGACTGGTATAGTTGTCCAATCAGTGCTGCGTGCTTAAAGAAAACAAATAATCTCCTTAAAACTGTCTACACAATACTCCTTCTGTCTACACAATAGCAACTTTTTCGTTACTGACTCTCAAAATCTGACTCTCGAATCACAAAGAAGTGTTACCAATCCATGGTAGTTTAAGATAAACTGGGTCCTTTTTGCAGACCAAACTTCTGAACAGCCATAAAACTTGCAATCTTCTCCTTAGTATAAGACAAAATGACATCTGGAGAGCCGTTGTCATGAAAGATTGTTTTAAGTTTTTCCAGTTCAGCATGAAGTTTAGATTTCGAGCAGATCATAAGTGCCCTATGTACTATAATTTTGACAAGGTTGACTTTGCATTGTTTTGGGCAAATGAATTCCAGCCTATGTCAGGGGCGGATCTAGAAATTATTCTGAGGGGTGCTAAAACGTAAGGCTTGGTAACCAAGGGTGTTGCTATGCACAAACTCCGTAATGAAATGAAAGTCCATAATAAGCCATAATGAAATGAAAGTCTTCCATAAACTAAAAAGCCTGGGTGCCTTGATCTATATAGTGATTTTTTGCTAAACTTTGATCAGAACTTGGAACTTTGGCTTCAGCATTTATGCAAAACACAATTTGCAGCTCTCCCCCTCATATTCACTTAGGGTACAAAAGTATAGAAACTGTAGTCAAATATTATATCATGGCCCGCAGTGGCAAAAGGCCCGAGCCCACAAATTTCCAAAGCAAAATTTAATTTTAGACTCTTTGCAGCCATTTATTAGAACTTGATCAGCTTGATCAAAAAATTAACGTGGCTGGTGGAATGAAGCCCTTGAACTTGAAGTGCAGTGCACGTCATTAGAGACAATAGAACAATATAAAAAAGTCGGACAAAAGTTGAACACAGGGATACAAACACAGCATGCATGGCATGCATCGACATTTGATACCAAACCAAACAAAGGAGGCCCTGAACGTTTCGCTATGAGTATTTTTATAAATTTGAAATCTTTAGAGAAAAAAGTATTCGTAGGAATATAAGTAGGAATAAGAAGGAAACCCCTTTTGGTCAAGAATAGTAAGGGCAAGTTTTTGAGATGTTTTGTATGTAGTTCTTGAATGATTAAAAAAAGAATAACAAGGGCTCGGGCAAGCTTTATCCTCTGAATATAAATCATACCTCATGGTCTATGAATAAGACGTGAAACACGGAGTTGAAACTTGAAACCGTTCTGTTATATAAACCAAAGCGTTTACAAGTTCTGCCGTTACAGCATCAAGCATCAGGTAAAGATCCTCAAAAGATCCACAAAAACATATTGCAAATTTGCGCCTAAGCATTCGTCGCGTGCTGTATCATAATTCAACTCCCCCTGGTCAACCTCAACTCCCCCTGTTCAAGCTCGACTCCCCCTGGTCATAAACCACTTACATTTGACTGTAGATTGAAGCGAAGAAACTCCCCCTGGTTTGGTCGGTATTCTTTGATGATTTTGATTTTTGAAATCTATGGGTTCTCGCGCCAAAGTTTAGAACCCCTCAACCTAGCACCGTGATTGGCTAGATTCACTTCCACGGGTGCAGAAAATCGTATAATTTACAGGCCACGGGTTCCTCAAGTGGCTGGTTATAAGAGGAGACAATGCTTTCAGAGTCTGTAGAATGCTATACAGTACAACCAGGGGGAGTTTGATAACACTTCAATGCATGGACTGAAATAACAATGTTGAACAGTTGTGAGACGGGGCTTTGAAGCGGATATAACAATTTCAGGAGATGTGCATACTTCTCGGTAAAAGAGATAATAAATGGTTTAAATAATTATAAATAAAATTGCGGTAGAATAAGCTTTAATCCCCAAAAAGTTTTTCCTCAAATCTGAGGGGTGCTCGAGCCCCCTTCGCACCCCTCTGGATCCGCCCCTGTATGTACTGACCGGTAGAATTAGGCTTGCGATATACACTGGTGAGAAATCTAGTGTTAGAATTTTTGACCAAAACATCTAAAAATTGCAAGGAATAATTTTCTCCCTTTTCAAACGTAAACTGGGGGGCTGGGTGTAGGCTATCATACTCAGACTCTGTTTTGAAAATGGTATATGTGTCATCCACATATCAAAAATAGACACCAGGCTTTTGGTCGTAGTTAAACAAATGCTCTTCATGAAAGCCAACAGAGATATTGGCCAACGCTGGCCCTATAGGGCTATCCATAGGAACACCATCTTTTTGTTGGTACATTTCATTTTTGAAGCTAAATTCAGCTGAATGTGTCACAGTTTTCATCAGTTCAATGAATACTTACTCTGGGAATGGTGAGGTAATAAGCTTGCTCCACTACAAAGCATCCTGCACATTTTTTGATGGTCTAACTTAAAGGAATATTTGTGAAAACACTACAGTGTTGAAAGAACGCATGAAAGATTTTTCGTTTTCGATGTTCAAGTTTTGCATGAACTCAGCAAAACTTCAGAAAGCCACTTAGGCAGTTCATGTGGTCCTGGGCCAATCATAGACAAGATTGGTGTAAGTTAATGCTGAAATGTTTGAATTTCTGATCAATAATTTGCTTATTGATTTAATAAAAAAATAGATTTAAAATTTTGTTTGGTTTTAGTGAAATGCCTGATGGACATTTTGAATTGGTATCCATTCTTTGTGAGATGGGATTATGGTTCATGAAACATGCTTCAAAAATGGCAGCAAATGACAGGTAGTAATTGCTTATTGTCTCTCACACGAAAGTTTGAAAAATTAGCACTCTTGGGCATAAGTACATTCTGAAGTTAAAAAAACAACCATTTGGCATCATTTGATACCCAAATCTGGCTTGAATTTGTGTAGTCATTTAGAAACTGTGCTAGTGGTGATTTAGCTTCACAAATAATTCATTCTCCTTTGATGCTCAAAGAATTTTGTTTACTTATTCTTTATTTTACTTTACTGTATCTTGTTTTGGAATGAGTTGGATTTGTTTTATATTTGTCTTAGTGTTACTGATGATGAAGCAAAAGAAATTCACAGAAGTCTGCGTACTGCTGCAGGAATTTTTCAACAAGTTAAGGTCTGATGATATTAGGAAAACTTGTCTGATTTTATGGCATAAAGTACAATTAGAACAATTTTCTTAACATTCTTCAAAGTATATATGGCCTTTTTTCAACAGTCCTTCCTGAACTGCATAGCGTTTTGCCAACTTGTATCTTACGAAACTTGTTACCTTTAAACTTATTTAGTGAAAGTTGTTTGCCTGCATCATCCAGTCTTTTGCTGTTCAAATTTTCTTTAATCATAAATGTGAATTGCCCTTTGGTCTGTAGATCATAATGGCTCTAGGTCGCAGCCTTGGGTTTTAATTCTTATTTCCAGGATCAAACAACTGTAGGCATAAGAAGTATAATCTTTAAATCCAAAGACAGATTCTAAGGTATTTCTGATTTTTTACAAATACTTCATTCAAACTTTGTGTTGCTGATGATGTAAATTGGTTTACTTGCTGGCAGGACATTAGTGCAAGCCGCTTAGGTGCAGGCTCTTTGCCGAAGCATGCTGACACAGATCCCAGAATTCTTGATGCCTATATTTTACAGTGCCTCGGAGAAGCTCAAGAAGGTATTACCTTGTTTTGCATTAGATCACATCAAAGGATGACAATTTCACCCCTTTTACTCTCCTTTCACTGTTACGGCCATGGCAGCCATTTTCTCATAAAATTGGTACCAGATACTTCCTCCAGAAACCATTGATAGGCTCTATCTTCTATGATCGAATTTTAAATGTAGAAATTAATGAATTTTAAATATAGAAATGTTAAGTCAAAAGTAGGAGAGAAGAGAACCACAACTGGGTATAAATCATTTCAAAATTACTTAGTATAAATCAAACAAGATATTCACAGGCCTTCTGCTAGAGATGTGGTTGTTCTTAAATTTTCTTATCATCCTGATTGAGTTATTTGTGTGTGTTATATGTGTGAGTATTTCTAATTCATAGCTGATTCAGTGTTCAAAGCAATTCATTATTGTTTACTAGATGGTAGATAAGCTCATAATGTCTTGCATTTTAGTGACAGTTGCAAGAAGCGTGGAATTGAAGCATAAACCAACAATCACATCTGCTGTGGCAAACGAAACTTCAAAACTGTTTGACAAAGCTGGTGAGCTTCTGAATAATTCTTCCCATCGCCTGTTGTATTTCAGATGCTTATGTTATTAACTTTTGCTTTACCTTTTCCAAATCTTCAGTCCATTAGTCAGATGTGCTGTTCGTAAACACAAACATCCATGTTCATATATATACTAGGTGTTTTAGAATTTGGACTCGTTTTGCTTAGATAGTTTCCTATCGTTTGCAGGTGCCAACTTAAAAACAATTGACCAAGGAAAAGTTGCTAAATGGAGAAAATATTTACAGTTGAAAAAAGACATATACCTAGCCTATGTAAGTATTTGCTTTTGTAGGCTGCTACCAAAAAAGTATCATAAGAACCTAGCAGTATAAACCCAAATAACGTCTAGAAATGATCTGTCTATAAATGTCTGACATGACGTTGGATGGGACTTTCTTGCAGTCTGTAACTAGGGGCTTCGTCTCAGTTTTATCCTTTTGGCCCCAGATGCCTCCGTTATGCGAAGTTCAATACTTAAAACTTCTTAATGCATCCTGTCAGTGTTGTTGTAGCAAAATTGACCTTCAGCTTCTATTTTCGTTGTTTATTATTTCACTTTCCATTACTGATAACTTTTAATGTTGCATCGTTTAGTTATGAAAGCACCTTCGTTGTTATTTTTCTTGTATCAAACACACTAGCAGTTGATTTGCCCCAATGCCAGCTAACTGTTGTTGAAGCTAATATTATTGCGTTTAAATACGCAAAATGTATGTCGTTGTTCATTGAACCGTTTTGACGAAGCCTGTGTCTCCTGAATCGTCTTTTTATTATTATTTGGCCAAATGTTGGTTGTGTTTTTCAAAGCTCGTCAAAAATACTTTTACATTATTTTAGGCTCATGCATTTGTTGGTGAATCAGAGCTGAATGAAGATCAGTGTGGCAAGGCAATTAGATCACTAAAGGAGGGCGAGAAATGTGGGTACAATCTTAGAAATTTTTTTTGCAAGAACCCTGTGTAATATAAATGTTTCATGTAGATAGAGTACTTTTTGAAGATTATGATACAGTTGCCATTTTAAAAACAGAAAAGACAAACAACATAAGTATTTTGTTCAAGATGTATGAACGGTAGCATAGGATTGCCCGCTGGATTCTGTGAATCTTGCAATGAGTATAAATACGAAGATAGAGCTTCATCAGAGTGAATGAAGCCCTGTATGCCTGGGCGAAATATTAGTATTCGTTTTATTAAATTAATTTTGAAAATTTTTATGATTACATTGGATTCTCGTTCCCGTTTTTCTTTGTTCCTGAACTTTATCAACATAAATATTGTCTATATTAACATAGTAACATCATTTGCGATATCTTGCTACTCCAGTCTTGTGGTAGGACAAAATTTGCACAATTCAACCTGTTCTGCGAAACTGAAAACTTGCTTTCAGAATCGTTTTGTCAAGGTCTGTGAAATCGGTAACATGTCTTATCAATAGATTACCAGTCGGCAGCAAGACTGTGCAAAGAGTATGCTTCAACAAGGGGGCCTGGGACAACAGCGAAGCCTGGAGAGCATCTGTTCTTCAAGAGACTTGGCCCAATCATATCAAAGCGCTTGGATAAAGCAACACATGAAAATGGATTCATGTAAGAGACCTTTCTTTGCTTGAATATTGTAATTATTCAAATATGAGTTTAAAGACAACTAAAGTTTACAAAAGATCTTTTCTTTGAGAAATTTACAGGAGTACATACTATATTATTTTATTTGCCGAGCTTTTTTTCATGAATGATCATTGTTTTATGTATAATGTATGTATTACCATTGCCTCCATTCTGCGTGAAAAATCACTTTATCTCTGATCAGCTCACTATCAAGGGCTGGTTTTGCTAAAAAAAATGAAGATTTGAGAAAACTTCTTTCAATACCTTCTGATGTCTATGTTATTTTGTAAGTGTTTTGATGTATCCAGTAAAATATTTAAAGCTTAAAATATTTTCCTTCTTTTTATTGTTCACAACACTTGTTCGCCCAGATATCATCAGAAAGTTCCAGCAGAGCCAACGGAGCTCGAATCAACCCCACAGTATGGAGTAGCCAGCCCGGTTGAGTTCCCCATTCCAGCTCCTGCTCCTGTTTGGACAGCTGACTTTTTGGCTGGATTTCAAGTTTCAAAATCACAACCAAAGGTAACTGCAGTCGCAACATAACATTTTACCATTTCCAAATCTTAGATTCATTTTTAGTGACATTTTCATTTTAGCTTACCCACTACTCTGTACCAGTGGCCATGATGGTCATTTTGACACCTAAAATTCACAGTGGGTGGTAACCTTTGGATAATCTCCCAGAACTGCAAGTAATGACAGAGGATCGATGCCGCAGTATACACAGAAATTATGGTCACCTTAATTTAATTTCTCAAGACCATTTAGGCGTTGCGATTACCACCTTTTTGTCACCAGATTATTTTCCACGACGTCTTGTTATCAATTAATGAATTAGATAGAGGAAGAGGACCATGGCTTTGTGCAATAGAAAGGTAGAGGACCATGGCTCTACTTTGATGACTTCTTCCCTTAGGCGACGCTCATCGTGCATCATTGGTATTCTCTTTTGCGACATTCTCTTGTGATGGCTTTTGTTTTGTTACTTTTTTAGTTCGCTTTTCTCCTGCGTTTTGCTATTGGTTATGGTTTTCTAAATTTTTGTAAATCAGTTAAAATATTGTTGTAGTGTAAGTTGTATCTGTGTCAAATACTGTCCCATAAAAACTCAAAAATAAAACGTCAGTGTTAAAGCTCAGCGTCAATACAAATATTTATACGTCCAAAACTCTCTGTAGAATATCACATGTGCAAATCTTTTTATATGTTACTACATTGAGCAAGTCAAAGCCTGTAATTTTGGTTACTTTAATCTAGTTTGCCGCCTTCATAATAGTCTTCTATTCGTAACAGCCAAAAACGTTAGATATTTTTGTTCTTTGAGCCCTGATCAGGTTGCCAAATACTTGCTGATCAATTTTTTATTTCTAAACGATTCCCAATTATTTTGCACAAAAGGCCCAAACCTTAGGATTCAAAAATTTGAATTACTTGAGCAGCAATGTAAATTTTGAGTGCTCACAATACATACTTCACAGACCATGGAGAAAGAATGACTATTTATCTTAAGCCAAGTGATCCAAAGTTTTTCCTTGCCTTAAAGAGATTATGTGTAAAAACCTTAAAGGTGTCAAAGTGAATTTGGGATTCGAAGGCAGGTAGATAGGAACTGTTTGTCTTCAAAGTCAAACCTTAATTATTGGCATTAAGATGCAAGTAACACAGCAAAGTAAGTCGTCAAGAATGTGGTTATATTCCAGAAGTACCCTAAACCTACACCTAATGTTCAAGAGGTAACAACGAACTGATTTAAACCTTTTATACATGAGCTTCCTTCGATGCAAAAGATGAGCTTTGACAATGCTACTTAGCGACTTCAAAACACAAGAATTTTCGTAGCAAATATTTTTTGTTTCAGTTTCTCTCTGACTTTGGAAAGCTGGGTTAGAAATCTCTTGTTATGGATCCCTTGGGTTTTCCTTTTACAATTTCTTGGGTTTTTGAAACACTGAATAGCATATATCTTGTTAAGACCATCGAGGTATTATTCCTACGTACAAACGTTGAATGTCGGCCCAATGTATGGCGTACTTGAACCGAATAGCCTAGGTTAGGTAAGGTATATTTCTTGCTCTTCTCTTCTGTATTTCTATAAGTGTATTCAGACATAGTCCTCAATATAGGTTTGAGACAGCATACTGATAAAGTTCTATGTTACATGATGAAGTAACAAAGTATTTAGAATTTATAAGGTCTATTGTACTGCAACGGAGGACCCAATCAGTAAAAAAATCAACATAATCCAAGGCAGGGTCGTAAATCTGTCATGTGAATTGGGGGGGGTGGGGGTCAGCAGAGCGAATGAATATAAAGTATGCAGTGGGTCATGGCACCACAAGGGATTTATGGTATGTGTTATGGAAACAGTTGAGGGGCAAATTACTTTAAAAACAAAAGTCAATATTTTTGGATTTCTCAAGACTTTCTGCTCTATAGAAGGTATTTACAGATATTCCTTAGTACATTGACTTGTGTGTATGATTGGATGGATAACATTTTTCAGAGACGGCCCCAAGAAATTGAACCTTTGGAGCTAGGAATCAAGTTTACTCTCGTAGGAGGACCCACCATGGTTGGGTCCGACGCGGAAGAAAATTTTTGAAATTTTACCTTCTAGAAAGGCTAAAAAAGCATCCCCCAGACTAAATTTAATAAAATACTAGAATCGCTCAGGATAGAAAGTTTGGCGTTTCTCAGAAGAAAACAGATTATTGTTTATTGGGTGAAATTTTGGAGGGGAATAGTCATGCTTAAACCTTAGAGACAGACTTTGGGGAAATATGGGACACTGTTGTATTGATTGGTAGAAATTTACTTTCTGAACAGAAATGTGCGTCTTCCTTATTTTGACTGATTTCAGTAGGCCATGTTTACACATCAAAAATGAATACATTTTAATGATACAAAAAGTGATTTACTAAATAAAAGTAAATAATAGACAAATAATAGAAATGTACGTAAATAAGTTAGTAAATAGGTCAAATAAAATGACAGATTGCTCTCTTTTTATTTCATACTTTGTTTTCAAAAATAAAACGGTAGAAAACAGTAGAAAACGGTAAAAAACGGTAGAAAACGGTAAGTTTTTATATTGTAAAAATATAAAAACCACTCTGCTTGCAAAAATAACCTTAGTGGCGGAGGTTTGTTGCAATAACACAGAAAACGTTGTTTGGTTCTAACCCGGCTACCAGGGATTTCTTTCTTCCAAGAAAAATGATGGTAATTTCTCCAAAAAAATCGTTTTGCTCCAGATTTTTGGGGGGGTCCAGTCCCCCCCGTCCCCCCCCCGGGATTTACGGACCTGATCCAAGGATAGAGAGAAGGGCGTGAATCAAATGTTTTTTCTGTAAAGCAAGCCGATTTTCAAGTGGCTATTTTAGATCCAAATTTTGGTATAGACATCTTCACAATCTGGTTAGCAAAGAAAATTGTTCTGTGACATCTTGCAGTTTGTTGTCATATTTGGACACTGATGTAACTTTGTTGAATAAAGTAACAAAGCTTTGACATTTATCTACGATAAAATTGGACGAACCTGGTTTTAATATACCAGTAAAACAAACAAATGTGGTCTCAATAACATGACAGGTTTACATGGAGGATGTAGGACTAAGTGACTACTTGCGTCTTTTGAAATAACCTTAATTGATAACACTTATTTAATGACTTATATTTAAGATCTACTGACTTAATGCATTCACTAATTAATTCACTAATGCCACATAAATAACTAAACTTAATTTTATATTGGGCCTGTTGTATGAAGTCACTATCTTTATTGCCTTCGTGTATACTCAAGAATTATAGCCGCAAGGAAAAACATGGATAAATTTATTCAACACTTAACTATTATTATGATATTATTCACATAATGATCTATAAAATATTAATTTTTACAAGAAAATTGTGCATGGCAATCAAATTTTATTAATATTTGTATATTTGTTTTAATCTAGGCACATGGAACAGATGCAGAGGTGGAGCAAATTAAAGAGCCAGAAATAAACCCCAAATCATCAGGAAACAAGTCTGAAACAGGTTGCATAGTGTCATAAGACTGAGGATCCATAACTGAAACCTTGGGAATCGATACATATTTCCTAGGAAATTAAATATTGCAATCTAAACATAAAATAGAAGATATTTGACTTCTTTTCTCTTGGAAGAGGGGTTGATATAAATATTATGAAGCAAGTTTCTTTATTGTGCACATGTTAAAAATTTCCATGAAACATTGTGAGTTGTTCAAAAAATTGTATAATTAGAAATACGTTCATTGGTGTTTATGATCTTTTTACATTATGAATAATAAGTCATTTGCAATTTTAGTTTCTGTTAGAAACAAGGAGAGATAACATCCATCTTGATTTGAAAGCAAATTGTTATCCAGATAAAACAAAGTCAAAGCTGAAAACAGCTGTCTGTAGTGATATAAGAAATATTAAATATTTACAATAACAATCAAGCATGTAGAATCAGTTATAACTACCAATGAATTTTTGCATTTACAATTAAATCAGAGTTCTTGTGTAAATTTTTTATTTGATAGCAAACATTGTTTGTAAATGCTTGTATACTCATGAAGCAAAAAGACCAAAAGTGTTGTTGTATGTGCATTTTCAGTGTAGATTTTAACACTTTATTCTACTTTAAAGAGAGTAATATCATGTATTCTTTCACAAACATTCTTTTTATTAGTTTCAATGGCATGATAATATTGCTCTTGCTTGGACTAATGTTCTATATATTTGTGATGGAGTGCTACTACTCAGGGCTTGTTGCTTTTCCTTGAGGACTGCTCCGTCGTCTTGGAAAAGAATCTTTCTGTTTATCATCATCTAATGCATCTTTTATGTCTTCTAATAAGTCTTCACTTATTTTGTTTTCTGCAAGGTTGATCTCCCTTAGCGGTGTATTGTAAGTTGTGATTAAGTCATAAAGAAGCTCTGCACCTACATCTGTAATTCCACATCCTTCAAAATCAACTACTTTCATATTCTTTGAAGCTGCAAGAGCTACTGCAAATGCTCCAGCACCAAAATCACCAATATTATTATAATCAAGAAATAAACTTGCAAGAGATGACCCATTAGCAATTGCCATAGCAAGTTGTGCCCACCCGGCTTGTGATATTCCCTGATTCCCAGTAAGTGTTAGCTCCATTATTCCTGCTTTGCTTCCATTGGATGATAAGAGAGAGCACACATTAGCCAAACCATCGTCACCTAGCTGACAGTCACCTAGATCCAAGGATTGAAGTTTTGGATGATCATCAAGTGCTGTGACAATTATAGACATTCCTTCATCTTGCAGTGGTGTGCCATGCATCCTTTGAAATAAAATGGAAGATGTTTATTACTTTTTATGATAAGTAGAGTTGCAAGGCAAATCAGGATGATTTGTCAATTTTTTTAGTGGCAGGATTCAAACCTTTTCCTGGCACTATTAAGGTTTATTGCCAGCAAATGAAGGTCTTCTTCAAGGAAAGTTTGGAAATATGTTATTCTTTCAGTGCTGTGTTGTGTTTTACACATATAGAACCATTTAGACTTCTTAAAATCTGGCAAATAACAATTTTAAACTAAATGATCATGGGGGTGGCATGTAAAGTAATATAATTTAGCTTTCCAATGCAGATCTGCTCTTTAATGTATCATTTATTAAACCTTTCTGGCTAACCAGCACTGGCAGTTACCTAAGTTTTTGTTGAGCAATCTTTGTTGCTCAAACATTAGGGTCTAATACCAACTTTGCAAGTAAAAAAGAAATAAACAACTTTTAGAAAAGTAGTAAGCTGGTTTGATTTCTGCCAAGGTCATGCAGAGATAGATGCTGGAAAGGATATTTCATAGGACATTGATATGAATAATATGAATAATAATTTTCCCTTCAAACTTTAATCAATTGTTTCATATTTACTATACTGTCTGTCTTTTACATACAGTTTAACAGAAAAAGTAACACATAAACAAAACAGGGTCATCTCAAATAAACTATTTTCACTGGTGTTTGCATCAACAATTGCACTCTGTCCCATCTTGTCAAACGATAATACCATTTGTTCCACTCACTTGACTTTTGTACAATAGTTATAATTTTAATGTTGAAAGTTTGCAAACAGCAACCAACTAGCCTGTGATATTTGCTGGCCAAAGTTAGTCTCCACGTCTACATTTGTAGAAATTTTGATTAGGGTTTGAAGAGCAACAATATTTTTTTGATTATATGTAAATTCATGAAAGTGATTATTTAAATTTTCCTACTAAACGTATAATCTTAAATAGATTCTAGATGAACGAGCCCCCTTAACGAACGATCAAATCCTGGATCAACCAGTGCAAAAATTACCCCCCAATGACCATGAAAAGGCCCGTAAATTGAATTTTATAATAATATCTATATTGAACTTAGGACAAAAATCAATTTTGTTAGAAGATCAAACAGGAACGACTGTAAAACATAGAGTTGAAGCCTGGGGGATCCCTTTGGGGACCAAATATTGTTCATATTATCAAAACAGCAGTCATAAAAATATAGAAAAACATACAATAAGGAGGTTAGAGAATCATTTTGTATAAGGCCTTCAGTAAGCCATCTTATCCGATCCTTTGAATTTACTACACCAAGGTTCAAGTTGAGTTGTACGAGGCTGTCATTTCCCTTTAGACTTTCTGTTAATTTTTGAAAACAGCTATCATCCATGTGGCATCCCCGCAGGGAAAGCAAACGTATTGAATCATTGTTTAATGATTCGCAGATGTCCTTTATCTCCAAAATACTGAGCTCTTCTCCAGCGATTTGAACAGAACCGAGCAGCATTTTGTTTGCGAAGTTTACCTCTGAAAAATGTAGCCATTAAATGGCCTCGTAGCCTCGTAGTACAACACCTTTACCATAACCATGGTAACTTCATCTCGCGTTTTGTCGCAGGATTACCGCGGTTAAAAATCATTGCACATCATTTGAAAATGTTATGGGAAGGAGGTTCAGAGATTCCAACATGGAAGTCCAAACAGGTTGTTTTTATGTTGTGCCTCGGTCACTGTTTGCTATCGTTGGGTTCATTGCTCTGATTAAAGCGACAAATAATAATTCAAGTAAGCTATTATCTTAATTTAATAAGACTTTGTTAAATTTTTGACAACTATTTCTGTTTTCATCATTTTATGTTTTGTTTACATATTTTTTGGCTCTGTGTTGCTTAGATGAATTTTTGTTACAAAGCTTAAAAAGCAAATGGGACAAAGCTTGAAAATCCAGCTGTGTTTTTGAACGGGTCAGACCATTTTATTTTCTTTTACTCGCTGTTAGTTATCAATTTTGAAGTTCACTCCACCATTCAGGAGCGTGGGAGTAGAAAAATATTTGTATTAGTCTGCTGAAATTGGAATAGAGCTGATATGTTTTGATTTATGAAGGTGGGAAGAAAACGTTGGAATGGCTATTTGCAGCTTACTGTATCTTCGAAAATTATTTGGAAGGCACTGGCCCCGCAGGCCCTCAAGACAATGATGTTCCTAGTTTTGGCTCTTGCAAAACATATATATGGATGATTGCTGCAGCCCCAAGGTGCCCATTAGCCCATTAATTCTAATACTAAGAGGCTTTTTGCCTGCAAGTGAGATTCTAGTACGATTCAGCGAGCGATTCACCACAAAGATATGCAGCATCTGACAAAAATGTATCATCTGACAAAGCCCAGCACACACAGTAAACTTTTGTCTCTGAAAGACAAAGATTTTTGTCTTCTGCTGTGTGTTCTTGTCAAAGACAAAGATTTATGTCATTCAATGACAGTCTTTGAAATTAAACATGTTTATTTTTTTAAGACAGTTTTTGAAAGACGAAGACAAAAGTCTGTCGTGTGCGAACTCCAAAACAAAAATCTTGTGAAGACTGACAAGTAGATATCAAGCAGACAGTGAGCCACTACTTTTTCATCACATGATGATTTTATCTTCAAGTTGAAAGCTCTTGCCAAAACACTCTGGCTATCAAAATTGTCCCCTTCACTGTTGAAGTTTGTGGACGCAAGGAAGAGAGGACCTCTTAGTTACCTTGTGGCAAGAGCGTCCTTGTTTGTACGTTATTACATCACCTGACTGTGCAAACAGAAATAAAAAAGCCCTTGCAATAGCTGAAATAACAGAAGAGCTGCAAGTTACAGGTCAAAATGTTTGTAGTGTTGGCCATCTGGAATGCTTTCTCTGCAAACCTTTCTAGTAAAAATTAAAAACGGCTCCAAAATGAATGTGCCCAGTTCCCTATGACTTCTACCCATTTGCCCTTTGTTCAAAAATCTGTTCTTCACATATAAAAATATGTCATGTGCAGAGTCTTTGAAGACACAAATCTCTGTCTTTCATAGAGGAAAATCCACTGTCTGTGGATAACTCGAAGACAAAAGTCTTTCTTAAAGTATTGAAAAAGTTGCATTGAAAAAGTTGCTGTGTAAATGTTGATTTTCAGTGATTTTAGAGAACAAAATTGCCCTTTTTTTAATAAAATTGCATTAGTTTAATACCTTTAAGACTAGAAATCTACAATTACACCCAGAAATTGTTTTTAAATCATTTAGGTGTGAATGAAAGGACTGAATTTTTCTGTCAATCTGAGTTATATCTGTTGTTTAGTTGATAAAAATATATGCACCATATTTGTTTGTTTTAATGCTATATGAGTGCTCAATTGAAAGCTATCAATGAATGACATTTTTTTAAGGTACCCAGCAAAAGGCATATCTTGGTTACATTTGGGAGAATCCAAGAGCTGAGAACCACAATGCAGAGGAAGTTATAGTGGATGGTTCCAATGATGAGCTTAGGCTAACATGCATATTGGATCCTCCTTTGCCTTTAACCAAAGAGAACTTTATATCTAGAGATAAGATAGTTAAATGGATGAGAATACAAAAGACACATGGCCACCAGATAAAGTCAACATTCTGGTCTGATGACCAAGGAATCACAGCCATATCATTATCAAAGTTGAAGTTAAGAGATCTTGGCACATATGGATGTAGTTATAGGTCTTACTTAAAGACAATAAATTTAACAGGTAACAGTGGTTCTGCATTTTTTTCAAGGAATATTTTGATTGACAAGACATGAAAGTAAGAAAATAAATAAACCTAACAAAGCTTGTTCTGATAATTTGCCCATTTATGACACCCCTTTGTTTGTCAGTAAATGCAAATTAAACCAAATGCAGATGATATAAAGTCTGAATGATTTTTCTTACTGTTGTGTTGTGTTGAATATTCATTATCTCAGGCAACACAGTATGCTTAAGAATGATATTCTTTAGAGTGATACATACAAAGTAGTTACAGCAAGCTGCCTGAAAGAAAACCAGTTAGAAATGGTGTGCTGTTCAAGTCATACAATGAGAGTTAGGAGCTTCATAGTTTTGATTAGCTGGGCTTTTGCATTTCTGTGGTTTTTAGGTTTTCAGACATGTTTTGAAATTTGACACAAATTTGATTTTTATTTTAGCTTGACAAAAAAGCTTTTCAACTTATACACAGATACCAATTTTTTTTAGATATTCGAAATCAAATAATCTAAATTTTAATAGTTTTGATATGAAATTCTGGTTTGTTTAGAGATTAGTTTAAGGAGTTTTTTGAGATTGCAATATTTCTCAGTGCTCTTTTGATATTATTCCCTTGGAATAAGATGATTTGGCAATAAAACAAGACGGTCTTTGGTTGCCAAACCGAGTTTTCTCCATGAAGACCACTGTACGGTTCTCCTTCATGGCTTCAAGCACTATTTGGTAGACTGGGGAAACAGTAATTTTAATCCCTTGGTGCCATGTTTGCATAAGAGGTGCTACAAGTTTGCTGCTTGTAAATACCACAAGTTATTGTTTTAATGATAATGTTTTTCTGGAAATGTTTCAGTGCTAGAGGCCTTTTCATAACAAAGTCTTTGCCTGATGTTTACGTTTTTCAAGAATTTCTAAATTAACTCACAAAAATGTCAATGCTGACTATTTCTGTCATACGATTCCATGCTAACCATTAGATTCCTGTGTTATTCTTTGTAAATATTTGAATAATGCATCATTGAAAAAGAAATTGATGTAAAACAAGTTTGGAAAAGATTAGATCAGGAAGCATTTGTCACTTGCAAAAAATTAGTCACTTTCCCCCTGATTTCTTCCCTGTTAAGGTATGTGTTTTGGTGACATGAAGATATGCATTTTGTAGACTGGTTGATTTCTGTTTTAGTAAGCAATATTGCTGAGATACAAAGACTGCCAGAAGCAAAATCACACTCTGACTTAGAAGGAGCTGTCTTGAATATCAAGGAAGTGAAAGGGCTAGAAAGCTGGAAACCATTGCCTGGAAAGGAAAAGGTAGCATCAATTAATCTGCATTAAGAGTAAAATGTACATAAATTTCAATGCCACACAGAAGCATGATAAACCTATTAGTTCTTTTGTTGTTAGCCATTATTGAAAGCTTGATTGATAAAAAATTTCCAGGAATATTGAAGAATCAATAAATTATAACTGAAGTTTTTAAAATTTAAAAGTTTCTGAATATGTCTGTTTGATAAACAATTATTCTCAGCTGACCACTTTTAAATACCTTGTCTCTACACAAGAAAAAGTAATTGATTTGTAATTTAGGGTTCATTTGGAATGACGATTTTTCCATGTTCAGTACCCACAACACATAACAGTAAAGCTAATTCTGGTAAGTGTGTCATTTTATGCTCATTCTTACTCTTTGGCGTTTACCTGAAAAATTATTTTGAAATGATGTGTAACTTTCTGCTTTTATATTATTCATTTTGTAGTACCAAAAAAAAATTTCAATTGCTTCAATAAAGTAGCTGAATTCTGATACAATACCTAAATAGATCTGCAGAATAGGAATACTTAGAAAAAAAATTTTTGCTTGTTGAATTGGACAATGGAAATGGCATTTGGATGAAGGGGGGAACCGAAATGGCTTTAAATGTGCATATGAAAGCATGAAAATCTAGGGAAATGAAGCTTACAAGAATTAATTGGAATAAAAGGATGAATGTTTTGATTGCTAATAAATTATTATGCGTATATCTATTTTGTGTAAAAATTCACCAAGAATTATTTTCTGCTGGGGGTGAGGTCATACTTGAGAAATAGATCAATGGCTTTGAAAAAAGCAAACATTTAGTAAATTAAAGCTTTTCGTCTGACACTCTTCAGAGTTTAAAACGTCAGAACATAGATCGAAAACTCTACGCTAAGAAATATATATACCCAGTTGTGGATCGAAATAGGCCAATCAGAAACACGAGCACATGACTGTATAGGTTGACCAATCAGTGCCGCTTGCCTATTAGAATGTTACCAGTGGAGTCCTAAGGTGAAAACGAACTCCTTTTATCTACACAGTAGCGGTGTTTTCGTGCTTATGTAGATAGATTCTAAAACTGCTAGGTGGAACGACGATCGGGCTTTACCAATAATCCAAAACAGGTCGCCATTATAGCTTTTGCACAATCTGGGTTTTCTAGTAAATGCTGCCCGATAACAGAATCGCAGGTTTACAGATCAGTTTAAATTTTATAAAGCTGTGTTATTTTCTTAGCTAGGAGTTTTTTTGCGTCTCAGTATTTAATCTCATATTTAAAGCATTGCAGTCTTGACACTGGCATTTTGCACAAAAGAGAATTAGAAGATATATTAATCCTTGTATCCAAAACGTGCATATATCTTTTAAGCGAGGATTGTATAATTAATTAATTAGCTTGCAAAACTTATAAGATTATTTGAAATGTTGAAATTATAGAAGTCTGAATAGGCCAAGCAGAAACAAGATTCATTTACCAACGTCTGGAGTGGAAATGACAATTTTATCTGTTAACTAAAGAGACTTAGAAGATATTTTTTATCCTTATATCCAATATGTGCAGATATTTTTTAAGGGAGCAAAGGATTATGTAAAGAATTGAAATGATTGCCAGCAACCTTACAAAGATTAAATGCTGATAATATTTTTGTCTACTTTGTATGATATAATCCTTAATTGGTTTTAGATGCTGAAAAGCAATTCAACATACCCAAAAATTAAAACACAATGAATCTCAACCTTAATTGGATTTATCCTATAAAATAGGACGGAAAATGTAGCAAAATGTGTTGGGGAGGCAATCAATTGTTGTTCTTTGCTGAGCAGTTGAAAACTCACGCCTCACGAATCGAAGGATGGAATTAAACTATTGGTTTCAAGTAAATGTGATATTGCTACGTTGGCTATTAACATGGTCATGAATTTGAGACATCTTTAGGCCCTCTAGTTCCCAACAGATTTCTTGAGAAAAACATATAATTTTAGTAAATCATCATGTGACAAATGTGCGATCAGGTTTTCACGTTTACTACAGTGCCCAGGAGATTTTAACAAAAAGTAATTCAACTTTCACGATATTTTTATTTGGAATCAGTATAACAATATCGTTTTCAAAGGGGATTGATAACAATGTTTGAAGCAATCAACAGCTATCAAAATGGCTTAAGCTGTCAATCAATATCAGCTAATGAATGAGCATGCGAATGGAATCACGCTCACTGATTGGTCAATTTTTTTTAATAATGGCTTGAGCCCCGCTAGTATCTGCCGATTGCCTTAGCTTTCCTGGGACTTCAGTTGGGCTGATATTTAATGGACGAGTCATAATGATGTATGATTCGATTTCATCATCGTGTAATCCTTTCTAGATCGTTACCTTATCATAAAATGTTTTCGCCACTTTAATCTGCTCTAATTACGTATATCATGTTTTTCATTTATTTATCATATGAACTTATGCTAAGCCTCACTTCTTTCATAACTGCTCCTTGATTGCATTTTTTCTCAGTTTTATGTCGAATCTTGATACCAGACCTCTTTTTATAGTGAATCAGCTACAACCAAAAGATATCGACGTCATCCTTAGTCTTGGAGGAGCTTTTTCAGTAAGCATTTTTATCGCAGTTTGTGTTCAAACTAATATCAGACCTAATGTGTACTTTCGGAAAAAACAATTTTTTGTTGATCTGGCTAATTTCTGAAAATGGAAGCTGGCTAGTTTCCTAATTTCTTTGTACAATGAAAGGTATGTATATATAAGCCTTAAGACAAATGTTACTTGTCGCTGCTAATCAATAACATTAGGCTCTCTATTAGACAATCAGACTTTGAATTGGTTGCTCAGGATGCCAGTTTTAGTCTCCTAACTATGTCCAATGATTGCATTTTACTTCAAAGCACCTTTGTGAAATTGAATTTAAAAGATTATTTGTCTCAAACGTTTTCACTTTCTTTCCAGAAGTAATTCATCTTTCGTCTTATTAGCGTAGCTAGTCACTATACCAAATCACGGTTTGATTCAGCTCTTTAAATCTCTCTCCTCTGAACACCAGTGTACGTTTGCTCATGTTCTTTGTTCTCTTTAGACGGGTGTTGCCACTGGTTCATTAACTGTCCCTGGCTTGTTTTCATCACACAAAACACGCTCCTTCAGGTGAGACTGATTATCTGCTCTTCTGTTTCATGAAAAACGTTCTTCTGTTTGATGTAGGTTTACTTTCTTGAACAGGGTTTTGCCTTTTTTAATGAAGACTTTTCTTCTGGAAAATAACATTGTATGCTTAGAAGAGGACTGATTCAAAGTTTTGTTGTATCAGGGCGAGTATAGCATTTATCGTTGCAAGTTGTTTCTGTTATACTTAGTTGTACAGTCATTGATAGATATGGTAATTAATGTGTATAATAAAAGTGAAATTTAATTTCTCCAATAAGAGCTGTCGTGAATAGATAGCAAAACTCTTCTTTTGTTTCTTCTGCATTTAGTTTTAAGGGGTTAATTGCCTGTAGCTTTATTTAGCTTAGTGTTGCCCTTAATGGCTTAACAGTGATCATCACGATTGTTTTGAAAAGTTGCTTTTTTCTGTTGATAAAGACATTCTACCCCAGCATTACTTTTTCCTCTATATAATCTTACTTATTTTTATTCTAGCATTGGTGGGAAATTAACTGTGGAACATTTCATCACTTTACCGAGTAACTGTCCGATTTTTATAACATTTAGCATCTCGTTCTATTTTGAATAATGCTACCTAGTATCTCCTTTGCGATGTTTGTGATGTTTTCAGCTTGTGCATTGACAGCGTAACATCGAGCTTGTGCTCTTACACAAGCCATCTCGTTTTTGGAAACACAACTCCTATTATAAACCTTACAGTAAGCCAAAGGCCTATCGTTATTCCCTCCATCAATAGCTTACAAAACCAAGGTTTACTTGCCAATACTTTTCCGTTTACTTTATACTCTGTAGAGTTTGATATGGATGATGCCTTGGGTCTCTCTATCGTTTCTACAGGAATGTTTACAATCGCGAACACCTATCAATAAAGGAATCGTCCAAACAACGGGCTGGTACTCTCTACGAGAATTTCATTCCTGTGGCCAAAGCTTCGTACAATTGGCTCCAGGCACCTTAAGCCTCCCTTCTTGTGCCACAAGCGCACCCACGTGTTCGCTTTATGCAGATATGGCTTTTTTGCAAATATTTTTTGGAGTTTCTTTGTCACGTTTTAATTTCTATTTCATCAATTTTTTGGTAGGTATTCTGAAAAAATTCAACCCAAGTTTAAAAGGTGCTATTTTCGAAGAAGAGACCTTTTCTACTATAAACTATGGAAGCTCGATAAGGTAAGATCACTGAATATTGAACAATGCTTGATTTTTTTGTAACATTAACCATGAATTGCTTAAAAACTATGTACCTAATAGGGAAATTGTCTATGCATAATCTTGTCCGTGATTAGTGTGATATTTTGCGCTCGATCAATAAACAAAGCAAAATGTGCTATGTGCTGTCAATAAAGCAGAATAGTGGCATACTTCGACAACGAAAACAAAAGAAAATATCTTTGAAATTATATTTTTAACATATTGATACCTGGCTTACAACCCTATATCTTACACACCCCCACACAAAATGCTATTTTTATGTAAGCCATTTTTGTAGGCTGCTTAATGACAATCAACATTAAACCACGTGCCTATCAACAACTGACCAATCAACGAGCATGATACCACTCACAAGCTTATTGATTGGCCAATGATTGATTGACAGATGGCTAAAGCTACTTTGGTGTCTTCCGATTGTTTAAACGCGTCAGATATTTAAAGACATTTTTTTTCGATATATGCCAAACACAAACGCCTGTCAAACAAAATTATTTTGAAATTTGGTTATCCCTTGTACGTGCATGGCTATCGGCTTTCGTTGTGCCCGAAGAACCTTAGTGGTCTACAGTGGTGTTTTATTAGTCTACAAATTCTCATGTGAGCGGAAGTGCGTGGGTAACAGGGCTGGAGAGTTTCCAGCTAGAACAAGGCGACGATTAAGCAAACTGATGTTTCACATACCCACTTTCTGCAAAATATAGGCACAGTTTCTTGTTATTTGTATCCAAGCTTTTTTAAAGATAGTGGGGGTGTTTTTAAGGCTACATTTTATCTCCTAGAACTTCTATTATGGATTCATACCCAGACCCGCATTTGCTCAGCCGGGATTTGGTCTCTTTTTTACCTTAAGGCTCCAGCTCATTGTCATCTCTCTTAATCAAGTAGCTATTGCTCAAATCCTGATGCATCTATGCTGTATCTTCAGTATCCAGTCCCATTTTGTTTTTTGAATTCTTTTGATCGCTATATTATTGCTTGGTAAGTTTATTTATTAGATTGGGGACTATCATTAATTTGTCACACCAAAAGATTGCAACTTCTCGCCTGTCGAGCAGTTGTCCCGGGGCACGCTTTCTAATTCTTTTGTTAGTTTCCATTTACAAAATTTGTAAGAGAGAATTATGAAATAAAAAGAATGACTGCTTTTCATTGCAAAATTACTTCCTTTTCCTCAAATTCATTGAATTCACGGCCATTTTCTATCGTTGTATAATTTCTCCACTTTTCCCTTTTGTGAGGCCAAATCCAGCCAACACCGCCTCAAGGAAGACGATTAAGTTTCGGCCTCAATTAGACTTTTGAATCATCGAATGATTGATTGGATGAACACCTAACGGTCTTATCGAGTTATTTCCGGATAAGGGTCATGTTACAAAAATATGAAGATTGATGTGGTAGCCATCTTTACTATTACGTTAGTCCGTCTCAGATGACAAAAGCAGCCGAATTTAGAACAGTTGTACCATTCAAGCTATTCATTGATTCTTTGTAAAGGTCCATGTCTAGAGGAGTTTTCCATTGTTTTCATAATCCGCAAACACTTACACTTTTTCTTAAATGAAGTGATAAACTATTGATAGGTGTACAGTAGCTTGAAGACCATGAAGAGGATCATTAATGCTTCTTTTATGAATGCTATAACATTTCAGATAAAGATCAGTTAAAAACGCATTTTGGTCCTTGAGTGCATTGAGTTGATATCATCTCAATTTCTCTTGTTTATACTTTGGTAAAAAACTGACGAAGGCGGACTAAGTTCATTGCATGAAAATTAAAAGACGAAAAAACTAGGACCGTTAGTTGCTGAATTTTAAGAGTCTGGATTTTGTGGATTCAGGGGGCTTGTTATAAATCGTCATATCTTGTTATTAGGACTGAAACTTTTTAGATGCGTAGAACCCCAGATTAAGGCAATAACTTAAGGCTAATAACTAAAGAATTTCCAAGTCAGTCTGTTACCAATTATGTTAAAATGTTTTTGTTCCATACGCCTTCCCTATCTTCTAGTGAACATTGCTTATGAATTTGTCTTACTCATGAACATTGATTTATTGAACATTGGACATTTAATATGGACATCATTTTTGCTCAACTGATTATGTTTCGTGCGAATGGAAGCTTGATATTGTTTCTGCCCGAATTAATGGTATTGTTTGAATTGAACTTTGAAGTAAAATGCTTGACATTAGTTATGATTCTGCTGGCAGCTTGAATGTTTGTTTCTGCATGGTTTTAGGCAGCTGCCAAGAAGAGCTTTAAATCTCATTAGAAAACTGGAAACCCGCAAGGTGAATTTTTGTTTGTTCTTTCATCATCTCATTTAAACTTCAGTACAATGCTTTGCGTTTTTTATTTTTAATGCCAAGCAAGGCAAGTCTACCTACGAGCAAATAACGCTTGCTTCTTGTAGATTAGCCAGAAATTTATCATAAGCCAGGCTCTTAAGCTCGATGGTGGCACTGCGAGGGGACTGTGGGGGCGCTCTCTCCGAATATTATTGGCAGGATCAACGTTGTGATGTGATTCTCTGATTTTTAAATGGCCTTTACGTGACCTTGGCGTTCCCTTGTTTGTAAACCTGTGTTGCCTGTTGATAACAGTAATTTTTGATAATATAAAGGATTTGTCCTCTCCCTTTTTTTCCCCAATTGCTTGAGCTGCACTGGCAGATAGTTCTATCGAAAGTTTAAAGATAACTAAAAGGCCATTGGAATTAGTATCAAGGTTCTGAATGAATGAAACTGGAAACCAGGAAGTTTGCTTGAATTGAAACCCTCCTTTTGTTGTCATGTAATAATAATTTCTTACAATTTCATCAGATACACCAAAAAAAATTTACCTGCAAACCAGCCAGTTCCTTTTTTGGGACAATTAATGCTAGTATTTTCCGAATTCTGCTAACTGGATGATGAGATGAGATGTATTTAAATTATTTCCAACTTTTTTGATCTTGCACTTTCCAGAAATTTGCAGCTAAAAGATCTTAGTCATGTTAGGCGAAAGATTGTTTGCTTTGAAACCCAATTATAAGATAAATGTTTCAGACAATGAAAAACCTTGTTGGTTCTGCAATAAGACTTTCTTAACTTTGTAATCAAGACTTCATGTTATAATTTTCTTGACAAATGGCTGATTGTTTATTATTTGACAAGAACAGTTGCTGAGAATTGCATCGAATATCAATACCCAGAGATTCATTTTACCAAGGAACAATGCAAATCTTTAAGTTGTAACGGATATTTTTCGTGTTGCAAATTCTGATTACTTCTCGTAACTTTTTTATCACCTCCAGCACTCCACTGACGCTATTTATTTCGTTTTCTATAGGACGTGGACTTTGAAAGAAGTTGGAAGTTGCTGACGCTGTCTCTGGACTTTGATGACTATTGCATTGCATGTCGTTTAGAATCGGTACGTATCTCTTGTATTTATTTGTGTTGTCTGTTTTTCCTTTTCTCGTTCTTGTTTTATTATTTGTTATTGATTTTAGCCAATGTGTTGCTACCTCAAGGCAATTATAGGTTTAGCCTAACAAATTTGTTGTTTTAACAAAATTATTGGCAATCTGCTATTAAGTTATGATTTGTTATTCTTTAAATTTGTTCCAATCGAACATATATTCTCTACTTTAACTTTATTTCGTTTGTTTTACTTCGTAACTTCGTTAATATTTAGTCATCTTTGGCTTTGTAAAACACGTGCTAGCAATCTCTGTGTTATTTTGATTCGGTTTTCCTCAAATCTACCTATCTACAAACTCGATTCAGCTCAAAGTAAATTTTATTCTGCCACTGTACTTAATGCATAAAACGTAATAAGGGAAATATCAAATCTGAGCTCTTACTGCATTGTACATTTTTCACGATTAAATAATTGTTGGTATGATTTGCCGGATGGTTTTTTATTTTTGTTTGAAGGGATGGGACGATCATTTGAAGTCAGTTGTTGAAACACTTGATACCTTGCACTCAAAGGTACGTTAGTGGCTTTTCAAAATTAATATAATAATAATGATTGATGATTACCCATAATTTAGTTTTTTCACATCTAATAAGTTCCACATATAATGCTTTAAGACAGAGACGTAAAATCCTACAAGCATATAAATCTGGTTTAGAGGAAGATTTTGCCTCAAAAATGAGGAAGGTTTTGCTGACTAAAACAAAGTTTTATGCTATTGTTTTTTGTTCTTTTAAGTGTGGAAATGAAATCACCTAATGGCTAGGTTGTACTTCAAAATATGACAAAGTTAAAAATCAGGCTTGAACAGTCGAGGTAATAAAAGAAAGAAAATCTTTGAGGAAATATAAATGAATGCCTGGCAAATTTATCGTTGAAGAAGCATGGTAAGAGCCCTAATGCTGCGGTAAAAAAGAAAAAGGACACTGGAAGACCTCTGATTACATGTTTTGTCAGATACTGATCACTGCTCGGCTGTTTTTGTGTTTAAGTGTTATCACTACATTGTGGTAAGATCAGGACGTTTGTGGCAATACATTTCTATGTTTTGGGAAAGGTCAACGACTTTTTGCAACTCTGCTTGAAGATATGATAGTGAACATGTAAATTTATACTAATAGTTTTCAATTAACAGGTTCCAAGGCTATTTGTAAACCTTGTGCTAGCACCAAACGTCACACAACTATATAGCTCTCCATCCAGTCAGAAATGCTCCCAACTCTATAGGTGAGTAGACTCTGTAAAAAACTTTAATATTTTTAAATATCTATACCAGTCAGTTTGTTTCCAGGAATTGTTGCACTGCATAGATGGCAAATAATACATAGAATTTTTTTTCTAACTGCTTAGGTGGTACTGTAGTAAATATTTTGTGAAAAGATGAAAGCTTTGTCGTCTTATATAAACGTGTGTCTTGAACATAATGGCCTGAAGTTTAGCAAGTTTATGCCTAAATGCTGGAATCGATTAGCATAAAGAGAGCAAGACATACTTTGGCGCTTCACTTTGACTATCTATGCTTTGACCAACAGTCAGTGGCTTCTATCACGTGACGAGTTCTAGTTAGAAATGGTTTTTCGTAAGTCATATGATTCTCCAATACAGCAGCAAGATTTGATGTTCATTATTTTGTGTTGACTATGTATGTCACGTATTTTTCCTATTAAGAAAATCCTGCGAATGCATGGACTCGCAATCAGATGAAGACAAGACAAAGGTTGCCCAAATGCAAAATGATATGAAGGTACAGAATTTGCTTAAAAATTGTGATTCAGGATATTTTCATGACTTTTGGTGTGACAAAGACCAATCTTTGGTACATCTCATCACTAGATGTTGCATTACTGAATTTGTTTGTTTTCATAAGAACTTTTCCAGATGAAACCATTCTTTTTCCATCCTACTGGAATTGATAAATTATTGCCAAGAATAAAGACTTGTGTATACGATAAAGAGCTCTACAGAGCAGATGCACAACAGAATTATCCCCAAAATTTAAGAGAGGAACACTACACTTTCTGCACATCGACAACAAATTTTGGCATCTTTTACTTGTTTTCTTGGGGTGTCCCGCCTGTCTCATGCAAGAACCAATTTGTTGACATTACCTGCGGTTTTAAAGGTTGTAGAAAATGCCTCTGGTTTAGCAAAATTGCAAGGAATTGTCTTGCCTTAAAAGATGGAGTGATAATATAGCATTTGGAATCTGTCTATGAAAATGTCCAGAGGTATTTTGGATGATGCAAGCATACCCGCAACTGTTTGCAACAGACTTCGCTGTCCATCTTTTCATTTTCCACTTTTTTTTGTTCCATCTTATCTACAGAGCTTGGTATGCAATGCAATTCCGACAGGTTTAGCCTTTTTGTCTTGGCAAATGTCTCATCTTAACAGACCTGTCATTATTTGTCAAACATTTTTTATTTCTTTAAATAGGGTCTCTTTGAATAAGGTAAATAACCTTTCAGCGTCCTTTCTAATTTAACCACAAACAAAAACCTTTAGCTCATGGTTTGCGCCAGTTTGCAGACCATTAATTAAGATACTAATGCATCAGGATTTAGAATAACCATTTCTAAACAATATAGTTCTTGACAAATCTTTTTAATACCTTCTCTTTGTATCCAAGATTTTTCATTGTCCCAGTAGGTAATTTTAGGCTATTTTACAGGCATTTGAAAGGTACTTGTTTCTTCTTCATACTTGCCAACTACAAACACGTTTATATATGCCAGTTGATAGCATTCATAGATGTCTTGGTTTGCGCCCATTTCAAATACTTGTGTACCTCTGTAAGATTTACCCGAAAGATGTTCGTATCATGTATGTTTATAAAAAGGGTAGGGAGATGTTGCCCTTTAATGTGACATTGCTGATAGGTGTACACAGCGGAGATTCCATATTGCCTCAAAGAATATCACAACCGCACCCTTGATGATGTCTTGTTACAGTAGTGCCTCGCCAAAAAGCCTTTTCTCTCACTTAAATTGGTTAGGTTTCATTAAACACATGTTCTTCTGGAAGCAGGCTAGTGCTACCTTGGAGAAGTGGTACGCTCGGTGTAACTATAGACCTTTTCTTCTTCAAATATCACTGCGATAGACTACAGAATTGCTAAAGTCTCCTTTGTTGTCCTTATCTTGTTGTATGACGGGTTTAATTTTTACTTGAATCAGTTTCAATAGCTGTATTCCTCTGTGGGGATGTACCAATTTTTTAAGAAGAGTGATATGCCTATACTGAGGCTGCACTTATTATTCAGAAAATTCAGGGCTCATTCAGGAAAATACGATTATCAAACAGATGCCCAATTATTGCCTGCTCGTTAGTAGCTATGAATAAGCTTTATAAAACTATTTTAGATCGTTTAATCCAAGTTTTAGACTTGTGTCTCAACCTGTTTGTTCTTCAAATATAAAGTAATGCCTGGAGCAACCGCAGGTTTTCTTTACCAATGAGGCAATGCTTATTCTTCTTTCGAATTTGCCAGTAGAATTGCCAATTGAATGCTTCAAAGGTTTATTGGCCCTTTTCCAAACCGCTGTTTTATTGGAAGAAATTAGAATTTGCTTTTCACTTAAAAAGTGCGTAGCCTTGTTAGCTGCAACGAGAAGTAATTATAGGCCCGTACATCACATTTCCATCTCAAGCCCTGTTCAAAAGTAACTAATTGGTCCTAGCTTGTTTAATCTGTAACCTATGACCGTCCAAGCCCTGAGCTTGGCCCAGTTTACTTTGATAATTTTTTTATAGGTAGGCTGGGCCTGCCCTGACCTGGCTTGGCCGTGTGAGGCCAGTTATCAAGGATCGTCTTTCATCGAGGAAGTCATTTCCGTTGCTTTCTAGAACCAAAATCTATTTTACAAAACAGATGTTAGCGAATTAGTAACTCTGTGCAGCGAAGAATAATTGAAAGCATGTGTCAGTTTTTTGGCGTATAAAGCGATCCCACTAAATGCCGAAAAATGATCCTAGTGCTCACCTAACCCTATGACTCGGGGATTCTTTTCTCCTCCTAAAATTTTTAAGTCAGTGAAAAGAATAGAGGAAAGCGCTTTAAGTTTAACTTTAAGCAACTTTTGAAAGCATTGTTTGTCCATGTTTCTTTTTGTGAAGGTCTTTTGTGCCTGTGCATGCTATCAATACGTTCACTTTTTTGCAAAAGAAAATGGAAATGTTTACGAAAGAAAGGGGAAGGGGCTCAAGATGAGTTGGCAAACTCCTGTGGTTGTTTGTCACCATTATCTTCAATGCCACAGCCTTGATATTATACTCCTGCAAAAGTTGGTTGGGGTGCTACCGACCACCTAGTCCCCGGCTTTGCACCTAGCCCCCCTGGCTCCAGAGTGCCTGAGTGTTGAATATTAGAGTTAAGCATACAGTTCTTCTAAGTTTACAAGTTTTTTTTGAGCAGCCTAGTTTGATTGATTGATTTTGATTTACTATTCAAGTTCTACTACAATAAGATTATTAACATTAAGAAAGCAACACAATACAATTAGATATATTAGAATTCTTAAGGAGGAGCTCTCAAATTAGCTAGGCAGACGAGATGAGAGCACCCCCTATTGTATGTCGGAACCATAAACTCAAAAGCGATGCTAATTTTTGACAGTTTTAATTAATAAATTTTTGTTAAATATATGAAATAAAATTTCATACAGGCATCCATATTGAATTGAACAAATGAAGTTTTAATTTCTTTTTGAATAAAAATCTTGAGGTAGAATCTCGGATGTCTAGTGGTAGATCGTTCCAGCGTTTCGTTCTTGGTTTATGGAGTTAACCATTATTTCGCTTAAATCTTCAATTACTTTTCTGATAGGTTGCATGAATCATTTTAATAGATTTTAGAATTCAAAATAGACTATCAACGTCGTGTTTTATATTGCGTGGGTACATACTGTCTGCCTTGATTTTCTTATCAAACGGGCCATTGAATAAAACAAGAAATTAACCAAATTTTGCAGATTGATCTTGCCGCACGTTAGTCTCAAATCAAAATATTCCAGTATCAAGTTTGTTTTATGGCCTTTTAAAAATATCATTTCAAAGACAAATTGATATTGCTACGATAATCACTTCGTCGAAAAACAAAGATTTCTGGCGATCGTTTACTTTGACTCTCTCACGCCGCGATTTCTTCCGTTGCTCGTACCATATAGACAGTTTTAAGGCTTCCACTCTCAAAATTGAACTTAAAACTTTAATTTTTCCCAGCGTTGTCTTTTAAACTGCATGGTTCTTTCCTAGAAATATATGGCCAAAATTGTCCACAAATATAACACTGGACCAAATTTTACTGTTGTTGTGCAGCCATTCTGGACTGATATTATCAGTGACAGGGTAGGTTGAATGAATTCAAGTTTTGTTTCTTATTCCATTTTTTTCTAACAAATGTCTTGGAACTAATTTACAACGTACAGAATATAAAGTGTGATCAAAAGGTGTGAATATGTTGAATTCATCAGAAATAGAATTGGCAAAGCCATACACTTCTTTGGAGGCAACAGATGAGGAAAAGTTTGATCGATTCCCCGCTTCGGATTGTTATCGATCATTTGAAATAGATATTAGCAGGAAGTATGGTTTTTCTTTGGTTAGAAAACGTTGTTCAGAAGGTCACGTTCAAATGGAAAGCTTCATATTCACGTCGTCATTTCCCTTGGACTTCGACTTCTGCGAGTATGTTTGTTATTTCATAGAACTCAGGCAGTATAAATGCATTGCTCAATAATTTCCTTTATCCTTCAGGATTTAGCGATGATATGATTAATTTTGATCATATTATCGACTTTTTCTTAAAGAATCGCATGAGAAAATTAATAGACAGTTGTCTGAAACGTGAATCAATAATTCTCCAATATCTTGTAATTTCATACCATATATACGAAAGAGTCCGTTTCCATTCAAGAATTGGATTCTTCTGATTTGTTAAAAGTTAAACCCAAGTAAAGGACAGCTGTGTGCTGTCCTTTCCTATCGGCTAATTTCAATTCCTATTGGATGTCAAATTCATTGTCTGTTAGGCATCATCCAATCAGATGTCAGAAGATTTAAAAAGCATTTACTCAAATTTTATTAATACGAAAGAATCACAATTTCTAACAGTTGAAGATATTTACTGGAGATAGATTATAAAAGTTTCTCCTTTGATTTTCTAGGAAGATTTGTTTGCTAAAGATTGCTTTCACCTGTCATCAGTAGGGCAAGAACTGGCCGCAGTCAACCTGTGGAATAACATGGTATGGTTTTAGGATTTCCAGAGTTTACACAAACATATTTTCGGTGCCATTAAAAGAATTAGCTCATATATGAAAGATCAAAGTCTGCAACATGACCTGTTGGACACTCGATAGCCCTGATATATTGATGCTAGTTAGACGGTAGCATCAAGGTAAGGATGTTCAGGGTAAACGTTAGCATCAAGTCTCCTTTAGATTTGCCGGGAGCTCAAAAGAAGAGCATTGTCCGATGGACATATTCTCCTGATTTCACTGCAAACTTTTCTTAGTGAATTTACATTTCTATTTTCCACTGATTTGCTCCGCTTTAGTTTTCACAGCTTTAATTTTCAAGTAAAAATTAATGGAAATCCTTGATTATTGGGTTTGAAAACCAAAGGAAATTTCAGGTTGTTGGCACGTGGCTTTGAAGGAGCTTGATTGTCATATCGGTCCTTCTGAAGTCCCCGCATAAAGAGATGTTCTCTGGTGAGAGCTTATAGTCCGGTTCCTTCTTAAGGGCCACCAAATAAAAAAATATTTATTCAATTTAAAAGAAGACAGTAATGATTTTAAAGAACCTTTCATTAAAACAATGCCGTATAAGAAGAAAACTTGTCAGTTCGATAGCTCCGTTCTCATTCTACGAAATAGCAAATATCAAATAATAACAATTAGCAAATATCAAGTAGGATATAGGTTTATTCAGGAAACTGCTCAGTAATAGCAGCCTGCTACCCAAATGGAAAATTGTTGATAAATGATTTGATCGCTATCAAAATTTTGTGCCGGTATCACCCTTGAAAACAGTTTCAGTGACATGATTATCAACAAATGTTCCACCCGTCAGCGGGCATTTGGTTCTTCTTTCTCTCAGAAACAAACTAAGCATCGATTGTCTCTCAGCGTTTTTCGTGCTTTCTTTGCATGACATTCCATGTAACTTTTATTTTTCGATCTTCAAAAGCCGATTAAAATATATCTTCGAGATTGGAAACGTAATGGTAGGAGACAGCTTGGATTCCAGCATTCCTCTCTCAAGTGTTGAGAGTATTTCCTTGTAGATACTTGGGTATTTGCGCGAGGCAGTTTTTTTTAATCATCCTAGCTTCCTGGTACATGCAGATCCCTTGATTCACATCGTAGTCACACAAACTTTTAATATTTTTCTTGCTGCCTTTCGTTATATACGACAACTTCTATATCTTCTATTGATTTTCGTTTTCGAAAATATCAATTTAATTTCAAGCGTCTGAAAGACTATTGCTTTTAATTTTGGGTGCTCGATAAAGACGAGATGATTGAGCGTTTGTAATAATGTATATTGTATATTGTTTCTTTAAACTTCTTACCACTTCAGCTTTTGTCTTATCTTGACAGCTTGAACCTGTAGACCTGAAGCATACACAATGGATCACAAGAAAATCTCTAAGATGTCCAACGCCAGTAAGCTTCTTAAGTCATTATCAACTCTGTTTTTTCTAGTATGCAATCAACATTCTTAATGCACAACAATACTAGTAGGCACCCGAGCTTGCGAATCGATACCATTCCTAACACCAGATGTCAGCTATGGACTAAGTTAAGTATTTCACTGTGGGTTAAACTCTTATCTAACAAACATTCGTTTCACACTTACAAGATGGTCATCAGAAATTGACTTCCTTTTGACCTTTCGTCATTTTCCCTTTTGACATTTAAACTTTTTATATTAGACAGTTTGAAGGTCAGTTTGGCGAGATATTTAAAAGTTACGTAACCCCTGCTTTTCGTATTAACAGTTTCTGTCCCACAATTCATAGCAATCGCACACACCTTCTCGTGATGATTTTCTTGTCTATATGAATATTTTGTTCGTGGAAGATATGTTACTGTTTAATGCTTTGCTATTGAGTATGGTTGTATTGGCATTTATGTGGATTTAATTGGCAAAACTGTATTAGAAAATTTGAAAGAACTACACATGGCCCTTTTTTATTAATCTGTTTAGGTTCAAACACAAATTTTTAACAGGGCTTGCCTTGTCTCATTGCTTTGCCAAATCATCAGATCTATTCGATAATAAGGTTAAAATTAAATTATTTTACGTTTATTGAAAATTGTTTTAAGTTTTGCGCTGAAAAAGAAAGGATAGAAATTTATGGTGTATCAACTGTTGGAATTGAGACCTTGGATGGATATGATTTTGTTTTGAAATGTTAAATTATTTTATAATTTCTCGCTGATAAAGCCAAATGTTCGTTCCAGACGCATCCATTTTTCTTTACATTTGCAAACAGCAGGAAAGTGCTTCCATCCGATTTTCCCATGGCTGATACTATAGAGGTAGATGTGGCAATAACAGCGAAGTCAAAGTCGACCATGGTTGCTCTAGGAGTTGGTTTGAGCCTTTTTGTTGTTGTTGTTGTAGTCACCAGTACCATCCTTATTTACATAAAGAAGCAAAGTTCGGTTCCAATGAGAGACAGAATCCGCATTCTCGCCACACCATGGAAAAGGATGAAAGAAAAAGTGTAATGACGTTTTTAGAAAAGTTTTCACTGAACACAATCCTTTTCCCGCCCAACACTACACAAAAGATTTTTTTGGCCATTTTGCAATCTTGGCACGGACATTTTTATACCTGGGAAAGTTTTTCCCCTAGAAGTGACTGACCATAGCAGCTATTCATGTCATCAATGGACAACCTGACTTTTAAATGTAAATAGTGTAGAGAATATATTGTCAGATATGATTACATGAAAGGACTATGTGTATAGCTGGAAGTTGCAATCTTTCTGGACTTTTTTGTAAAAAGGTAATTTATTTTCCGAATTTTGCAGTATTAATTTGATAACCCACTAGCAAATCATGAACACGCAGTGTAAGTAAGGTATAACTGAATTTGTGCTGTATGGGTCACATGAAAAGTCCAAACATCTGAAAGTGTATATCAGAATCTATTATCAGGTTATTCACGAGACAAAATCATACAAGTACCTGGGTGTAAATTTAGATACCCATCTGACCTACATCTTTAAAGATTTTTCTTTAAAATCAAGCTAATTTTTATACCTTAGAAGCATGTTCAAAAATTCATTGTCTGAAGTCTTCAATAAACACGTAATAAACTTCTAGTGGCAAAATGGCCCGGCAATTCAAGAAACTGCCTACCGACCCCGGACCTTATTTTCTTATGAAATACGTGTATATCGTATTGGTAACATTCATATGGAAAGTTCAGCACAAAATGGGCGTGTCTGAGGAAATAGATATTTAGCAATGCCATTTGTTAGAATATCAACAGAGAATGAAAAATTTCACCACGTTGATATAAAGGGAAGGGATAAATCATCAGTTTTTTTACCTAAAAGTATGAAGCATTTGAAACGCAATGTGCTAGTTCTGCTGTGATTCAATATAGAGCTTTTTACTTTTCTCATATTTGAAGTCATATTTCTGACTTGAACAGTGTTTATCTTTACCAACGGCTTATACCCTGGGAGCATTGGGACCTTTCCGGCACAGTGCTGTTGAAGCCCTTGTGATGTCAAGTTTTTATGTATTTTGAGTGGTGCAAAAAGTTGTGTCCGACCCAAGTTCATCTTATGTACAACCCATTCTTGGCGAAGGCAGGATATCTACACTGGCAAACCAAGGGTGAAAGAATTTGGGGGCAAGAGTGAGCCGAGTATTCCAGAGGAGGAGGGCAAAAGCATGGCACACTACGCCTTTCAGAATGCTGGATAACGCCCACTTTTTAAGAGGTTTTTGAAACAATCTTAGTGAAATAGTTTTAATTTTTTATGGCTGGCCCTATTCATTCCAAAACTCGGTAAAGAAATTATTTTATTTCTTTCATTCTTTGATATTGATATAGGTTTCAGATTTCAATAATAGATATAGCTGCCTTATAAATTTATCCTTTTGAAATAGAAAAAACTACATTGCTAGTCACAGAAAATTTCAATTCATATATCATTTTTAATTATAATGAATGTAATTATATATCCTATGGATTTTAATAGAATGTAATTATGGGATCAAGCAAAAAAAGTGAAAAAAAAAACATTGACATACATCTCTCAAATGAATTTTTAAGATAGGCAGGGACAGTGTTAATTTAATCTTCTTACCCATAATTTTGCTCAATTATAGGAAAATTCGTTTGAATCTGTGTATTTTTCCCACAGAAGTGTTTTAAAATTGTTTCAGTAAAGCCAAAAGTGAATTAAGCCACACCTGAGTAGATTAAAATTTGGTGCTTTTGGATGGCTATATGATTGATATAGGTTAGTTGTAAGATGGTCTAAAGATTAGTTGCGGATGTGCTTGAAATTGTCTACTAAATGTTATCGAGGCTGCCTCAAGTATACCATTAGCTTCGCGAATTGTTCCCTCGCGTATAGCTCGCTTTGAATTAGTCCCAACCCTGGAAGTGAAAACTCATAATGAGCCTCCAACACAAGAAGTCGCTTTTATAATATATGATTGCAAAATGGTTCGATTTTCAAATGAATGCTTTAAAAGCTATTTAACAGCTATTTGTATGGCGAATTCCAGATAATTATTATACTTTGAAGATTTATGATTATCATGTTTTGTTTTTATCATCTCTGGTTTTTTTACCAATAATCTTCGTGAGAAACTATCCAGATTGCAGTATCAAGGACTAAATTTCTGAGCATTGGCAGGTAGCCCTAGCTACGCTGCTGGAAACAAGGTTTACAGCGCAGTTTACAGCTTTTTACAAAAAAATTTTTCCTCAGCAATTCGATAAGCAAGAGAGTTTTTACTTCTATTAGAATTTGATATGGTTAGCAGTTTTAAATAGAGGCTCAGCTATACCTCTTTTTGATTTCAGATTTCGAAAAGGTTTCGGCAACGCATCCCTGTATAAGATTTGTCCTATGCTGTTGATGTTGTGGTGGTTGAAGATTAAGCGTTCCGCCTCAGATTTGATAAATCTTGTCAAAGCCAAGACTACAACTTTTATAATTTTTGTTTTCACATATAAATAGAATTGGAAAGTCAAAAGATGGCCGGCTTAGAAAGGTACTTTTGACAATTAAACCACCGTGAAGAAAATAAGTCAAAAACATCGAAAACCACAATTTATTGAAGGCAAATCCTGTTCTGTATCTAAATTTAATTGGTATTTGTGAATTGGAAAAGACGGTTGGTCACAAACCTGCTTGAAAAGCTAATATCAGTAAAGCAAACAAAAAACATAAAAATGAATGTATTTCTAGTAAAGATCAAATAAATCTATCTGGTGCCTGTTAAAATGCCGATTATTTTGACTTTTAATGATGAAACAGAAAAGGCTCTGTCACACACTGCACCACAATAATCTAAAACCCATGAACAACATTGATGCCAAAGTACATAGGGATAAAACAGGATGAGGCTCCCTCCTTCTTTAGAATCTTTCTTGGCTTCGCCTTTCTTCGTTCTTTAAATGTTTAACTAGGCCTCTGTTATCCGAACTTTATTTAGAAATCACACCTACCGTAAAAGCTCTATTAAGCCTCCGGGGGGCTTATTTATTTTTTTCAGTCCTAGAGAGGGGGCTTAAAAGAGAGGGGGCTTATTAAAAAATGGAAGCAATAAAAGTTTTAAAAATTCTCAAAAAACTTTGCTAGCAGCTTGGACAGTTAAATTAATCAATTTTAAGGTGCTCATCTTCATCAACATCGCCAGGATAAATTGATAACCCTTGGACATCGTCTAAACCAATTTCAACTGACTACTAAGTCGCACAAGTTAGTCTTTACATAGGCCGTATTTATTGCACACGATCTTATCATCATCACACCATCAAGAGACCCACTAAATGCGCATGATTTCTTGTTTGACATCAAAGGCTAAAGGGAGGGGTCTTCATAGAGAGGGGGGCTTATTTAAAGTTAAAGAGGGGACTCAATAGAGAGAGGGCTTAATAGAGAGTGAGGGCTTAATAGAGCTTTTACGGTATATTATACACGATAGATGAACTTTGTGTACTAGAGTTTCTTAATGATGCGACAATTTTCAGTACTTACTGTTTATTAGGAGATTCTTAATTTCATTGTTATTACATATAACATTTCGGGTCCTTTATGTTATTGTCCATACTGTGAAAAGTGTTTTTTATATTCTTGTAGTCAGATTCTTTTCAGGTCATAAAGACTTTTGAAACTGGTTGTGAAGGAATTTCGAGGCTGAAGTATTTTTATTGCGTTTCCTAAAGTTTTAAGAAAACCAGTCAATCACGTTGACATAAGATACGAAATTTTGGAGCTCTATAGTTCTTCAAAATTCATTTATTTCTTTATTTTTTCTGTTAATGGCGTTTCTTTGTATTCCTGTATAGTAAATTTCTTTATATAATATTATGGTATTTGCAAAGACTTTTTAGAGATTCTTCTTGTTTATAATAATTTCCCGAAATAAAAACAGTGAAATACGCTTTCGAGAAAATTAAAAGTAAAAGTTTTTTCAAAAAAGCAAGTCACGCCCTTGCGAGTCTAGAAAATGTCCAGAGATTCGAATAGCCTGTTTCATTTGAGTTGACAGATATTACTAAGATAATTTGAAATTAATTGTTTTGTAGACGAGCTTGTTGGAAAAGGCGACAGTCAGTATTTGAAAGCCGCTTGCTGTATGAACAAGTTTAAAAGAAAAGCGATAAGTTTTAAATACAACGCTATATGGCCTGAAGAACATAGCTAAAAACATTGCTGTAGTATTCGCTTTTGTTGTAAAAGAGAACTATTTCTGCCCTAGGAAGCTTGAATACTTATAGCATTCGTTTTTCTTCTTGGCAGAGTTTATGGTTAAAATCTTCATCGACAGTTCACAGTTATTTGTAGATGCAGTTTATCAATGGGAGTTTACAGGAATACTGGGAATATCATAGGCATAACCATAAACTTTTCACTGTTCAAGTGGTATTGGATTTGGGTTCATGGTCCAGGTCATCAAAAGTTTAGTTCATTCATTTAATTTTCATTTGTTACAGTGGCTTCAGGTTAAGTCCTGTCTACCCCTGACACCAGTTACTTTGAAAGTTGCGGGAAAATGATAGTCATAAGAAAATCCGCCAAAAAGCTAAAAACAGAAGACTGTAAACGGGGTTTGAAAAAATAGAAGCCGAAATTAGTAGGCTCTTGCCCTGGCCACTTGATCAGGCTAGTTTTTTGTACGGGGAAAGGGTTTATTAATTTTTATAGGCAGTATTAGCCAGAACTGCAAGGAAGGCACGTTTTAAATAGTGCCCTTCCCTGATATCCAATCTATGCAGGTCATATTCCCAATGTAGTTAGAATATAAACATCGAACCCTCGATTGGCGAACAGGCGATTTTCACGTGGTCGCCTTGCGGAAGCCATGATCCACAGTTCTTGCCGGTGTCATTGTTTCTTACTGTAAATATGTTGAAAATAAAGATAACAACCCCAGTATAATAATCAATGTCAGTTTTTATCTTGCGGATATGACATAGACAAGATGTAAGTCAGCAAGCAATGTCCTTTGTTACTTGGGTTTTGTTTGCCATTATTCGATCGCCATTGTTTTGAGGAGTCATGCATCTGAATGGTTTCTTATCTTTTCCTAAGAATAATTGATTGGTCAGCCTACAGTCATGTGACTTTGTGGTCGGCGAAATCTAAGTGTTCTAAACCGAATATTGTTTGGGGCTACCAGGCTCAGCCATGTTCAGGTTAAATGCCTAATAAACCACACAAAGTAAAAGTAGGTTCCAAAGCTTGGTACGCCAGAAAGCAGATAAATCAAATATGTCTGGTTTCAAGCTAACGCTGCTAGTCATCTTCAGCATCTTCGGACAAGGTAAGAGAAATTTTTGACAACGTATGGCCACCACATTGCAGGCTAGGCCACAGTCGACGGCAGCTCAACTTTTGTCAATTTACTATGTAAATAACGAGCCAAAAGATAAATAATTGACATATTTGTTTGCACAGGATGTAAAGTCTTTCTGAAGAACTGTTATAGATTTTAGAAATTCTTGTAGAAGCGTTGACAGTTTGATTTTTTTACATACTCTTGTCAGATTGTCTCTCAGCTCCAACGAAATTTCCCAAACATCGCTGCTACTTCAAAACTGAAAAGGAGTGTCGAGCTTTTTTTCTCAAATATCCACCCAGCATCGACTGTAGAAAAATATTGTTGTGTCACTGCCCTGTTCGTTTTGCTTATTTGACTATTGTTTTCGCAATCACAGACAATGCAACCGTTGTTGATTAAAATTTGTCCCAAAAACAATCGTAAACCCTTTTGGATGACAATTTTTGCCAGACGCCATGTTTGCTCCTTAATTCTAGTTTTCAAATTTCCCACACATGGAGTTTCCTGCTTTTAAAGATATGTCAAGACCAGGGCAATTTTTACGTTCCTCTTTTTTCAGTTCATAGAATAGATTAAATTCTCTACTCAAAGCAGTCTGAATCTGGTTAAACAGAATCATTCTCAGCCAATACTTTGTCTTATTAAATGTTAATAGCTCTCAGACAGAGGAATTTCGACACGAGAGACGTAGTTTTCAGATTGACACCGGAAGCGATATTATTGCTGGATGCGAGCGCTCACTCATCATCACATCAACTGCTCATTTCATTTGGGCATCAGATAAAACAAATGAAATCGAGAACAAAAGAATTTGATTAAACGCTAATCATCTACTCCTGTAAATAAAACACTTTTTGACCTACAAGTCCTGTCTAATAAAAACTCCACACTGTCCTAAATTTTTTACACGACAGTCTTGGAAATACATGATGCTTCCGTTCAACACAGTTTTCACCGCTTTCTATATTACAATTTTAAAAGACATGATAGGTGGCTAGTCCCCTTGTAAAAATGCCTTTTACTTTATGTCTTTATTGACCATGACAAAGTCACATGATATGCAAAAAAAGTCACATGATTAGAAAGCTTTATTGTGTAAAACATATGGTCACTTTAAGGTCAAGCATGAATTGCCTGCACTGTTCCCATTATACACTTTCTTTTTTTATAAGAACCAGTAAATTTAAGTTCAGGCTGACTGTTCTTAATTTTTTCGAAAATCTGAGGCTGGATTGTTCTTAATTTGTTCTTAATCTAATAGGGTGTAAGCAGTGCGAGTGCTAGCTTTTTCGCTCTAGGGAGGTGTTCAGGCCTCATTTGCCAACAAAGTGAGTGAGACAACCTTCATTTGCCGAAGAGTTTGAATATTCGACAAAAAAACACCCACACTTCACTAAAAATCCTCGATTTTGAGAAAAAATGTTGTTCAAAATTGCATTTTGCAGAAGCTCAGCCTCAGCTTCTTCTTAATTTGTTCTTAACTTTTGACCAATTTTGAGGCTCGTGTTCTTATAAAATCGTGATATCGCTATACATACATTCTTTTTTATAAGAACACAGGCCTCAAAATAACTAGCAATTGCATTGCTGATGCCCTAATAATTTAAGAATGAATTAAGGACAATCCAGCCTCAGATTTTTGTAAAAATTCAGAACAGCCAGCCTGAACTTCAATTTACATGTTCTTATAAAAAAGCGTGTATTAATGTAACATATAACTAAAATGAGTGACAATAGTTTTCTACAAACCCAAAGAATTTTCTCAAGTAAATATAAAAACTTTAGGAATAGTAAATTTCAACTATGCAATCGGTAGCAACACCCCCAACTGCAGAGTGGAGGGTAATGGACACAACTAATGAGACCACACCCTTTTATTGCTTTATCAGTGCTTTATATCAGTTGTTTTTTCCATAGGCAACTCATGAAACATTATAGCCTATCCTTAACTAATTTATTTTTATCATTTCTTAGAAGAATTATGTTGACCATGTATTGATAAAATAGGGCCAGGGAAATTACCCCCCCCCCCCCATACCATTCCCTGGTATTATCACTCGATGAAATTTATGTAATCATTCTGGTAACAAGAATACTTTTATACTTAGTAATTTAATCATCATAACAAACTAATTGCAATCCACAAGTAATCATGTTTTCAATGTTTGACATTTATTTTGTAATTTATGTACAAGATTTTCAATCACATCTTTTTCTCTATAATTTTCATATTATTTGCAAATTTTGAAAGCAGGTGATAGGGGAAAAGCTGCTATCAACTAGGCAGGGCAAAAGTCTATTATTTTCAGTTTATTCATGGGTTTTCTAAAATTTTCACATTTTTATCCATCTTTTTTATAAATGCACTGTAAATTTACTTTGCCAGATGTTTCTGTATCTTTTTTTGTTATTTATAGTGCGTTTTGCCCTCTATTTGTTTCATTGTAGCATTTTGAGTTATTACAGGGAAATATTTTCAAGTAGGAGAAGTTAATCCACTTTTTTTGTATATACTGTCTAGTGCACAAAATTTGGTATATTTTTCTGTATATACTGTATGAACTTTGATTGCACACAAATTTAAGTCGCATAAGAAAGAAGCTGATGTCACTTTGAATTTTTCTTTTATTGCCTACAAATATCAACCCAAACGAACTTGTGGTTTGGGTGTAATTTCATATTTTTATAAACCAATCTCAAATTAATTTGCTAACTTACAAGTAATGTTTTGAAAATATTAACATGTGGAGGACAATTGGGATTGTGTCATGGTCTCTTCATACCCCCTTTTCTAATTTCTTTTTGCTTCCCTTAAAAGGAACTTTGCATAAGTAAATGTGAAACCATGGCTGGTCCTGGAATTCTCTGATTAAAATGCTTTTGCAACATTTGTTAGTTGATTACAATTTTTCTCCAGAAAATTTACATTTTGTTCTAGAGCTTTTGTTAATGAATATATTATTAAATTTATATGAAGTACATATATATATTGTTCTAAAGATTTTTATATCAATGTAGATGTTATTGTTATCTTTTTTTTCTTTGTAATATTACAATAATTTTTAGGTTTCATTTTGATGGCAATATCTAGTTACAATGTAGTGTCAATATTTGCAAATATAAGCTGTTTGTTAAATTACTCTTCAATGCCGAATAAAAAGGGGTTTTACTGAAGGTTCTTTTCCTGATATTCTGTAGTTTTGCAAAATGTAAAGGGGGCTAAAGCCCTTGTCCAATCCCCCTGCTACAGTGCCTGTTATGGTGCATTTTCAATAACGAAAATCAAGAATCCTTTGTTGTTATTATGGGTAGATTCTGGCACAGCAAGAGTAGAACATTGTTCATTGTTGATCTTCATGTCATGTATAATTGTTTTTATCAAATTCAAATTGGAATTTTCAATTTTGTTTTAAGAATTTATCAGTTCCAGTAAATGATACTGTTCTGATAACCCATAACCAAACAAATAATATATTTTATTAAAAAACTCCAATTGGCTTAGGAAATTACTGTTTTCTGATCTGTTATTAAAGGTCCCATACAGTATAGGAATTGTTAGCTATACATGCTGTTGGTATGTTGAACAGGTTTGTTTTAAGTTGCAACTATGTGTAACTTAATGCAATCATCAGGCAGCTTTGTAGAGCTTTGAGTAGATTCTGAACATTAAACACAAGGGATCATTTCTGAAGTAACTGAGTTACTTAAGGCTGGAAAATAAATTTTGGAAACTTATAAAATAATCATGTTCACATCTTCAGATTTTATGTAAGCAGCTCGTTAATGTACTTAATGAAAGACTCAGTTTGGATATTTGCCAAAATGTTTAAAGGTTTCTTTCCTTGGATAAAAAATCTGTAAAAATACAATAATCTCAACCATTTTGATCAAAATTAACTTCTTAACATAAACATCTTCGTCGTTACCATCAACAACAACATCAAATCAATCATCATCATAGTCGTCCGACAACAACATCATGTAAATTCAAACATCAGTCAGAAAGACTCAGAAGCTGGCCCCCCTTTCCTATAAGAACAAAAATCTTTAGGTGCTGATGTTGAAGCCATCCCCATCTTGACATTTAATATCATGCTAGTAAGAACATCCTGTGTATATGAACGGTTTTGCTTTTGATGAACTCAGTAAAACATCATCTGCTTAGTTGGCTGTATACAAAACTTTGCAGTGCTTCCTTCCCCCCATAATATTGAACCAGAAATATCAGATTAATAATACTAAACCGCCATTGTTGTTGTGCAAGACCACTAATCTTTCTGACGCGTTATTCATCAACAAATATATTCCTTCGGGCTCTCCGTAAAATACCAGCTTTTGTAAGCTCTCTTATTCTGCCAGTGGCTCTTCCTTGATTGGCTTATCCTTGATTCCTTGTGTATTCAAAGAGTTTATGGTCTATGTGAATAAAGAACCCATATTATATTTCCATCCTGCTTCTTGAATCGTTGTATTAAAAGAATTTGCTTCATTACCGATTATGAGCACAATGCAAAGCTTCTTTCGTCTAAAATATAGCTGGTCTCCAGCCTCTATTTATTAATGCGCTGCTAAAATTTTATATTTATGAAGTATCATATTATAGATAATTTGTTATTATTATATCTGTGTTGATATTTTATATGAAATATCGATTCTTTTATTTTCATACAGGTTTTCTGTCATATTTGTTTGGTTCTGTCGTAGGGAGGACTAAGTTGTCAGTCAATGTTCAACCGGGAAAGGTGCTTGAGCCCAAAGGCAGCTCCATCTTCATAGACTGCTCTGCTAGTGGAACAACCAAACCAGTAACTATCACGTGGTCATTTAGCGGGGAGGCGATTGAGAATACTGAGGAAAGAGGTGTTTTCCCAAACAACACATTATATATAAAGAATTTCAAGAAGTCTCAGAAAGGATCGTACAGTTGTAATGCCAAAACTGATGCGTCTTCGGAGACTGCCGTCGTTAAAGTGGAGTATGCATGTATGATCTGATTTATTTTTGCCATTTAAAGAAAACAATTACTTATTTCCGGGGCAGTCAAATTATATTTCTGTTTGCATTGGTCTATTTATATAACCGCGTTCTCATCATGCAGACTGTTTAGATTACTTGATTGAAACCGAGGCTTACAGTATCCTGTTATTTGTCAACGATATTCAAAATGTTTCAGATGGAAATATTATTGCTTTACAATTCATTCAAAATTGTTGCTTTCTTGTTGAATACAAAAACGTTCAAAACACATATACACTGCCTAACACGATTTCCGAAATTCGTTCAAAAATAACTTGTCTCAAGTCCGCGGCCCGAGTTTTATTTTCCGGCAGTATGTTGTTTACTGTTTTTTATTGCGTTGGAAGTTTACTGTTAAATAGGATAAAGATACAAAAAGTTTAAGACGGCCCTGCTTTTCCCTAGCTAACTAGTGAATGTCCGCGGCAAAGTCAACTTAATTCGACTGTCGTTTAGATTTAAGGGTGATACATTTTTGGGGAAATTTTGTGCAAGGACTCTTAACAGTTTTCTTGCCTAGAAATAAAAAGTTAGTCTGATGTTTCATTTTGCAAAGTTTCTTTACAGTTAATATTTTTTCTGGTACTGTATTTTTAAATTTTCGGGAAAATCGTTCATGATTTTGTATGAAATGAACATTACGATGTAGTGTAATGTAGCGTTTATATTTAGATAAGATCTCATAATGTGGTCCACGCTCGTTATTATCACATTTCAGCAAAGCTTTGGAACTTTTAACAGAAGGGCAAATTTCTATTCTATCGTTCTGATTTGTAATACACACGAAGCGAATTTTCCGTCCATTACAATCAGATCATCCTCTTGTTAAGGAAGTGAACACTTTCAAATCGCATGCCAGTCCAATTTTATACTATTCTAAGGAAGAAGATATATAGATCACTAAGGCGCTTTGAGATGTGGTTTGTCATGCTTTTCAAATAAGGCAATTGTGCAATCAAAAAAGATAGGATTATATTAACGAGTTTAGGAAAATCGTTGTATGAAGTAGGATCACCTTAAATGGATTGCGTCACTAGTTCACAATAGCATTCACAATTTTATTTTAGTTTTAAAGAGAATCCCTCCAATGGAAGATCGTATTGAATTTAGTAATAAAGTTTCGACAATCACCTGCCCAGAATCAAAAGCCTTTCCCGCACCAAAAATTCGATGGGAGGCCGATGGGAAAGAGCTGCCCACGGACGCAAGGTACAAACTTGATGGTCGTTCACTCTCGATTCATGCTTTGAAGTCCGAAGACTCCCGCAACTACACGTGTGTAGCGGAGAATTTAGCTGGCGTGCAGAGGCAATCAATGCATTTGCAAGTGTACGGTGAGTCTAACTGAACCAATATTTCTATCTTCTCAATTAACTATGTGAAGTATATTTGCATTTTGTTGCCAATTTAGTGATTTATAGCTAGTGGTTTCACAGTACAACCTAGCCTAGCCAGAAATGGATATTTTTACATAACTAGCAATCAAAGTTAAACTAAAAATGGAAGCATTAGCAATAAATTTTACATTTGACATCAGAAATTATTTCAGTATGTTCTTGATGTATCGGCAATATTATCTTCGACCCTATTTGGAGCCAATCACCTTTTCGTGGGTTGCAAGCATGAACTGTTTCCTGTTAGCGATGTCAGTTCCATTTCCCCAGATTTTGTTCCTTTTGGAGAGCCCGAGTAATGTTCCAGTTGGAACCTGGGTCATTTTTTGGTTGCAGTGTGCTTCAATAATCTCCCAGTTGCCTGCTCTGTTTTCAGTAATCTGCAAGACGAGAACGCGATTGATATGCTAAAAAAGATTAAATTTTAATAAACTGCTGTTCGCGTTTTTTAGATAAGGAGTTCATCATTCATTATGCGAATCCACATGAAAGAGAACGCCATTTTATCTCTCTGTTTCACATAAAATAGGGTCTTGCGAGAGAATCCTGGATTATTGATATCTGAACAGGAAATTATTGAACAGTTTTTCGAAAAAGCCTCTAGCGATATGGAAATCATCAATCTCATCGTGATAATCTTGTCCTTCTTTTACATTTCTAATGCAAATAATTAGTCATCGATTTATTCCTTTGAATCCTTGACTTTTGTATAACCGTATCACAGAGGACCATATTGCACTATCATTTCTCCGGTGGAATTATGCTCTGCCCATCGACTATCTCATCCATCTATACTACAGTGTCCTTTCTAATTCTTTTTACCATGCATATTTTCATTTGACATCTGATGCTATGGAGGAATACATTGGAGTTCTGAGACTTCAATCATTCCATAGACATCAAAGTTTGATTTGTGTCCCACTGTGAAGTTCAAAATCTTCTTGCGTGAATTTTGTAAAATTTTTAAGTTTGCACAAATGCCAACGTATCTGCTTAACGTCTTAAGCAGCCCATCAAACCGTCAAATCTTTATTGTCACTCAAATCCAACGATCGAGTTCAACCTCAGCTAAAGTTTCTTGAAGCTTTGTTTATGGAGGGGCCTTTGAATGCAGTCCAGCCATACATATTATTTCCTATTTTTACAAGCTTTGTATAAGATCCTAGTGTTTCCAAACCCACAATGCCACTATGTTACGCATTGCTCTTTAAGCTATAGTTACGGAAGATAATACAGGAGATCTTTTCGACCAGCTTCGTAATAACGAAATCTTGACGCAAGGCCTAGGAGGATAGATTGCCAATCGAGTGTCGCTTCGAATTTCAGCAGCAACAAATTATGTGTTGCATTATATTCCTAACCTTTGGTTTATAGTACCCGGTTCAAATGACGTTACTCCAAAAATTGTGGAAGTATTGGAAAAGAAAGCAGCCTCGTTTCAGTGCAAGTCCAACGCGAAGCCTCCTTTTCCTAGCAAGCTTTTTGTATGGATAAAGAACAATAAAGACGTGGTAAAGACTACTGATAGAATTGTAATATCTCCAGACAACGGAACCTTGACTTTCAAATCAGTAGAGGCATCTGACAATGGAACATATGCCTGTAGTGTATCAATGGTTTCGTCTTCGAACGACAGAATGGACTTTAAAGACGATTGCAATCTCATAGTGTTAAGTAAGTGCTTAGCTATTTAAATCTATTCCTTAGCCACGCTCCATATTTCGCTGCTGTAATATCCTGCATTCACTTCAAAAGAAGCTTTTCAAGCTGCAGGGAAACTTCCGTGTACAGTCATTTTTGGAGAATACTTTAAGTATGACTCGCTAAACTATATAACTACAGTTTAATTGACATCTAGTTTAGAAACAACATAAAATACAATTAAAGGGAGCGTTCGGGGTCAACTTTAGAACTTTGATGAAACAGAGACGTGAGAATTTTATTCATGTTTTGGTTTGAAAAAATAAAAATGTAGCCTTGGTGTCTTTTATGTCAGTACAAATGTGAGCGTCTCAAGGCTTGTCTCGCGTTTCATCCTAGTAAAATCTTCGCCTTTTAAGACTTCTGGGCTGAGAGCACTTTCACAGAGCCCTGTCGTTTTTTCTTGAAATCCACCGTCTCTTTAAAAGATTTATGATAAAACAGATTTTTTCGGGAAAGCCATTAAAGAAATCTTTTATCAATTTAAATTGTTCTGTTTTCCAGGATATCTCGTGTTTGATCCAGTCAAGTTTCGGAAAGTTCAAAGCTTGGATCGCAAAAGCACGAAGGTCCATTCGGTAGTATGTGCCTTCATTGGAGACGGATCAATAAGTGTAACATGGAAAAAGAGCGGCGTCGCCTCCCTGCCAAGTCATATGAAACCAGTGGGGAATTCTCTTGTTATAAATGATATTCAGGCTTCTGACGGGGGTCAGTACGAGTGCAGTGCAACTGGCCCATATAATTCTATTAAAGCTACAATAACAGTAGTAGTTTTTGGTAAGTTGGATGTTGGCCTTGCCACCTTGATTTGTAAAACTGTGTTTGATGTTCTCGGTTGCAGTGAGTAATCGCATGCATAGTGAAATCTCCTCTTTATTACAATAGAAATAACCAAAAATATGTATTGTTATTTTTAAAATTGTCTCTCAATTGGCTTTCTAACAGAAACAGAATCTGTTTTCATAACCCAGAAAGATTCTGAAGAATGTTTTAAGTTAAAAATTCTTTTCTCATGATTAAACTCGTACTTTCTTTTTAAAATTACCAGATGTTGCAAATCTATACGCTTTGTCACAGCATGATTCCCTATTTATCTTTATAATAGCTCGTTTAAACTAAATGCATTTAAGAGCGGATGCTGCTAAAATATTATGTCTAGACGTGAAGTCTCTGCTTGAAATGAGAAACCTGTTATTTTTTTTTCTGATTTTATTCATTCTTTCATTAATTTTTTCTGCACATCAAAATGATTTTTATATTGGGTTTTGTTTTTATTTGTAGAGGGTGTAGAGTTTACAAAAAAGCCCACCAACATCACGATTTCAGAGGGAGAATCTGGTCAGACATCTTGTGAGGGAAAGGGGAAGCCGATGCCAAAGATAACTTGGGCAAAGGCGGAGACCAACAGTGCCCTGCCGAAGAATTTCAGAGTCGTAAAAAACAAGACTTTGGTTGTAAACAGTGCCGAGAAGTCCAATGGGGGGACTTACTTCTGCATGATTGCTAACGGACAGACCTCAAGAAACGTGGAGTTTGAAGTCATTATTGCACGTAGGTTTCTTGGGGAAGCATGTTTATATGGGTCTTGGAATGCCTCGTTATGGAATGATTATTTATATTTGTGCATCAAGATGTGCGTTCATGGTGACTTTCAAGGGTCTAATTGGTTCAGTGCCTGTCTTCAAAAAGATATACCTGATTTAGGAAATGTGCACCTTTAGTGCGATCATTGATAGATATCGCCCGCTAAGGTTTGTGTCCCTTTCTGGTTCAGCGAATGTAAAGATATGGTTAGTTTAAGAATCAATTAAAAACAAATAAGCGTAGGCAACTCTCGATAGGTTCCTTGAACCTGTGTCACATTAATCGGCTGTTTGGACCGTATGCTACCAAGTAAAAATCTTAAGTGCCTCGATTTTGTTATAAGGAACATGTTTGGAAAAATGTCGATTTTGAAGTACCGTTGGCCAAACATGAAAGGAAAGCCAGGGTATTTGCAGTTACTGGTTCATGGAAGTTTTTCAACCGGCTCATTTTATTGATAGGTTACCGCACCGATATTATTGGCAAAGTTTGTAATATTTGCCAAGATTTAAATTTTGAACAATGGACAATGATTCTTGTCACTAAAGAAACGAAAAACCTTCTAGCCTTCCTAAGACAAAAAGGGAAGTACGGCGAATTTAAAGGGATATTTTTATTCGTATTCCTTACAAATTTTAGAGCATGTAGAATAAGTTATTGTGATTTGTTGAGAGTCGCTTTATTCGGTCCTGACCTTACCTTTGATTCGTCGAACTTATTTTGACTGATTACATATTCAAACAGTTCTTCAATTTTTTACATGGCAGAGAGCAAAAAGAAGCCCCAGAAAGGGCAACAGTCAATGGGTCGTACAGTTGGTATTGCGGTTGGCTGTGCAGGAGCATATATTGTGTTGGTTATTGGTCTTATGATTTACTGCAGGAGCCGGCGTTCAAGGATGCTAAAGAGGCAAGGTACATCATCGTTACATCCTAAGTCACTGTTATCCTAATTCAAGCGTAGTTTATTTGAGTATACCTTAAATCATATAGCGTATACATCGTTTTGTTATGGGAAACTGATGCCTCCTAAACTACTGACTGGTTAAACTATGTTCTTTACAGGTAACATAGCAACGGAAATCGAAGACGGTGAATTCAACAAGGACTTACTTGAAAATGGCGATGAAGAATACCCAATGAATGGTGATTTGAGGCATTTGGAAAAATGGCACTTCCCGAGAGAGGATGTGTCAAAGGAACAAGTTTTGGGACATGGAAAGTATGGTGAAGTATACACTGCGAAGGTGAGCGGAATCTGTGAAGGCACAGTGGTTGCGGCAGTGAAGCAGTTACCGAAAGGAAACGAGGCATCTCGCAAAGAGTTTGACCAAGAGTTGGAGATGTTGACTCAACTTCAGAACGAGCACGTCATCAAGCTGCTGGGCGTATGTTTCAAGGACTTCCCGTTGCTGATGATAACCGAATACAGTGAACACGTAAGGCGTTTATATGCTATTTGTTAAGAATATTGTTCGGTTTGAAAGTTGTTTCTTGAAAGCTTTATGATCTGCAGAAGCTCTATTGGTTTTAGTCGTAGGAAAGCATTGATTATATTGCTTAAACTGTCCGTCATTGATTAGTCATGGTTTTCCTTGGGCATTATCAGAGCCATGGATACATCCAAGCCGCTGTATAATTTGTAAGAATGAGTACTACCAGTGTAACAAATAAAACTGATTTAATCAACTGGTTTTCCTGGTGAAGGTTTTGAAACCTCCCTTCTTTTTTCGTACCTGCATCCAATTCTTCATTTGCCTGATGATCGCATTAAGCTCGGATGAAACTCGGAGTAGCAACTTAGAATTGTCCTGTTCTTTACAATATTTCAAGCGATTTTTATAGCATTGTATCTATACTGTTGACACCTCTGCTCCTCCGCGTGTCATGATAGTTTCTATTATCAAAAGATGCGAGACCGTACATGATGCCCTTTGTAGGACTTGTCAGTTGTCTGAAGGCGTTGTCCTACGTCCGAGGGCGTTATTCAACGTCCGTAGATTACTACAAAGCTTAGATCTTAAGTAAAATGTTTCAAATGAAATCATTTCTATGTTTTCCCGTTATTTAGAGTCTGTTTGGAAAGTTTTCACCTTAAGCCCCGGCCAAACGAATGAAACATCCTTAAAACATTACCAAACATTGTTGTTATGACCTGGTCAAACGAACAAAACAAATGTCAAAGCTTTATGCTCTACCTTTTGTTTTAATACGATCTTTTGCATTTTTAGGGTGACTTAAAACAATATCTGTCAAGCCACGAGAGTATTGGCTTGCCTGTAAAATTGAGCATATGCTCGCAAATCGCCAAAGCAATGGAGTACCTTTCAGCTAATGGCATTATCCACCACGATCTTGCCTGCCGTAACTGTGTTGTCATGTCGGAAGATTGTCATCTGAAGGTTGCATTCTTCAGCATAAGTGAAGACCTGTACGTCGATGACTACTGTTTGTACAACGATGCTCATGTGCCTCTGCGTTGGCTCAGCCCAGAGGCGCTCTTTAAAGAAGAATATTCAGAGAAAAGTGGAGTCTGGGCATTTGGTGTCGTGATGTGGGAAATCTATAACAACTGCAAACGGCCTTACCCTGGCAAAAGTGATGAGGAGGTAGTCAAATGTTTAAAGAAGAAGAACCAATTCGATACATCGGATAGTATCCCCAAGCAGTTGAGTAAGTTGGTGAAGAATTGTGTTCGAATTAATCCAGACGAAAGGCCTAAGTTTGCTGACATGGTTTTGGAGATAGAGAGCATTCCTTCTGACAGCAGTGTCTGAAACTCGACTTGCAAAAATAATCTGCGAACACAGCTAGCCTGCTGAAGAAATGCTTGATCAACAACAAGAACAACGCTCGAAGAGCTAGAGAAAACTTGTTGCTAGACGAAACATATGTTCAGAACAGCAGGAACGTCCCCTGTTGACGAAACAGGATTTTTAAAATGACACTTTTTACCAATTCTTATGAACTGGTTCATGAGCGAACCTATTCTTGGATAATTTCATCTTTCGGGACACCAACGAAAGTCTTGCAAAACGTGATGTGAATAGATGAAGTAAAAGATAATTAAGATATTTTGTTGTTAATCGTGAAAATTAGGTAGGTAATTGTAGATATTACGTTCAATTCTAGTCTTTCAAGGCTCTTGTGACAGGATATTCCTGGTCGTACCCCATATCTGTTTTGTTTTTGTAAGCAGAATTGCGACCATGCGCAGAAGAGGAGTTCCTTTTGTTTGGTAATTCCCCAGCTGTAAAGGAATTTCTGGCTTCGTCTAAATACATTGCTTACATCCCGGAATTGAGTGTCTCTTTCTGAAGATACTAAGATTTTAGGGACGATGTAGTGCCTTTTACTTGGCAGGTGAACATTTAAAAAGTACTGTGCACTTTGAAGGGAGGCCATTTAAACCTTGTTACATGCTATCAATAGCTGAATTTTAGTAACAGACCACCATAAGGCTGATTTCCACGATCTGCGTTAAACCAAGGATAACGAAGGTCACTTTTTACCAACTAGGAATATGAAATCGACTTTTCCTGTATACCAATGTAGCATCGTCTTTGGTTATTTCACCTTTATCGTTCATAAGCCACGTAGCTGCTCTTGCTTTTTTATCATTCAATTATGAGTAAGTGATTTTGCATAACGACCCGGTAGCTTTCGTGGCATTTTGTGACACGCGGAAAATTGCATTGACATACCACGCATTGGCATTTCTACGCATTTCAGAAAGGGACGGGAAATTTTTTTTATTCTTATTGCCATTAGTATTCATTTCTTCGACGTTTTTTTAATGTATTGAATTATTCATCTTCCATTTTCATAAATGAAGTTTACAAGATTTGCTGTTATTTCTTGCCGTTTTTGTTTTCAACTTCGCTTGTGAGATGGAAAAGATGCATCAAATTGTTTGCATGTCAATGTTTTGAAGGTTTTTTTCAGGTATTCACCTTTAAGGCCAATATAGTTTTGAATTTGTTTTTCTTTTGCTAAAATCCTTAACTCACCCATGTTTCCGGCATGTGACTGTGTGAGCTCAAAGCTCCGATTCTGGGCGAAAAAGTCTGCTTTTATCATTTTGTAGTCATTTTTTATTGTTGTGGTTTCTTGTGCAGAATTTTATAGAGAAATTGCTGGTGTGTTTGCTTGGTACCTTGTATGCTCCAAAAACGAGAATGATTCATGTGGTTGTGGTTCATGTGGGACATCCGGGTTGGAGTGTGATTCATGTGTTCAAAAATATGATATTGTGTACCAAGGGTTTTGGTAGGGATACCTTGCTAATCACTTTTTATACAAACGTTATGTGTCACATAGATGCTTAGGAAAAATGTAAGGGATATTGTTTCTTCTGCCAAACGAGAGCTGCATCAGACATATGACTTTAGGTGTCATTGTTCAAGCAATGTGAGGTTTTGTTATAAGGCCTTGTTTAGAACTGAATCATTCTTACATAGAAGACCAAAACAATAAACAATGCCATAATATATGTTCCAGAAAAGACTAGAAAATTCGCAGGCACTGACTTCCTTAAGGAAAGTCAATGAAGTAAACGATTTCAACGACCACACCCGGTTCACGCCCAGGTCCACTGTCTATTCACCCATGTTGTGCAAATTTTTGCTTTTTCCCAGTAGAAAAGTGAACACTTTTCTTGACCTTCCTCTCTCTTCTTTAGATCGACACATTTTGCTGTAAGTTAGTGTTTCCAAAAAGCAGTTTTAAAAACGGGTTTGTTACTACACTTGTTTCTCGTATCTAATTTCAGGCGATAATTAAAAAGCGTCTTATGAGGGTATTCTTGAATTTACAAGATCGATTACTAAGCGTCACCAAGGGAAAATCATAAAGGAAACCAGAACCCCTTCAGCGAAATGTCATTGCGGGCAAAAAATCGCATTAAATGCAGGATCCAATTTTCAAATCATTTGCCAGTTATTTCCTTCTTTATAAAAATCCCTATTAGAAACCTTTTGAGCTTTTAAATATTTACTTTCAGCTTTTAATTAAACGTCGCCGATCATAGACAAATCTTTCCAATCAATAAAGCACCATATTGCATTATTCAGGGATGCGAATCATGTTGAAGTTTACGTTCTATATCACATTAGGGTAACATGACAACGATGGAGATTCGACTTACAAACACACGACCGAAATACAGTTTTACACGCAAAAATAAGATTCTCTTTAAGCATAAATAATTCAAATCAGAAGCGCCAAAAAACTGGCAATTGAGCTGCCATTAGCAGTACCAAAGACCTCCCAGCTGCCAGTGACCGGGATTATTTACCAAACATTTTCCAAAACATGGCTGCATGATTGTTATTAATTAAGAGTGATCAACGTGGACTGGATAGGCCTGAATCATGTTTTTCAAAATCTTTTTAGAGCGTTAGGAAGATTTATTTTCTCAACAGACAGCTGAAAATATGACCATTTTGCAAAGCCTGAAGCCTTACCTTTCGACATGAAATGGTCTATCAAAATTCAATCAAAAATGTTGCTTTTTGTTGAAAATAACCAAGATATACGCAGTTCTATAGGTATGAGATGATCTATCTCGTCTGAAAACGTATTTTATTTGGTATAACAGACAGCTGAAAATGTGACCATTTTGCAAAGCCTATAGCCTTACCTTTTGACATGAAATGGTATACCAAAATTCAATCAAAAATGTTGCTTCTTTGTTGAAAATAACCAAGATATACGCAGTTCTATAGGTATAAGATGATCTATCTCGTCTGAAAACGTATTTTATTTGGCATAACTGACAGCTGAAAATGTGACCATTTTGCAAAGCCTATAGCCTTACCTTTTGACATGAAATGGTATACCAAAATTCAATCAAAAATGTTACTTCCTTGTTGAAAATAACCAAGATATACGCAGTTCTATAGGTATAAGATGATCTATCTCGTCTGAAAACGTATTTTATTTGGTATAACCGACAGCTGAAAATGTGACCATTTTGCAAAGCCTAAAGCCTTACCTTTTGACATGAAATGGTATACCAAAATTCAATCAAAAATGTTGCTTCTTTGTTGAAAATAACCAAGATATACGCAGTTCTATAGGTATAAGATGATCTATCTCGTCTGAAAACGTCTTTTATTTGGTATAACCGACAGCTGAAAATGTGACCCTTTTGCAAAGCCTATAGCCTTACCTTTTGACATGAAATGGTATACCAAAATTCAATCAAAAATGTTGCTTCTTTGTTGAAAATAACCAAGATATACGCAGTTCTATAGGTATAAGATGATCTATCTCGTCTGAAAACGTATTTTATTTGGCATAACTGACAGCTGAAAATGTGACCATTTTGCAAAGCCTAAAGCCTTACCTTTTGACATGAAATGGTATACTAAAATTCAATCAAAAATGTTGCTTCTTTGTTGAAAATAACCAAGATATACGCAGTTCTATAGGTATAAGATGATCTATCTCGTCTGAAAACGTATTTTATTTGGCATAACTGACAGCTGAAAATGTGACCATTTTGCAAAGCCTAAAGCCTTACCTTTTGACATGAAATGGTATACCAAAATTCAATCAAAAATGTTGCTTCTTTGTTGAAAATAACCAAGATATACGCAGTTCTATAGGTATAAGATGATCTATCTCGTCTGAAAACGTATTTTATTTGGCATAACCGACAGCTGAAAATGTGACCATTTTGCAAAGCCTAAAGCCTTACCTTTTGACATGAAATGGTATACTAAAATTCAATCAAAAATGTTGCTTCTTTGTTGAAAATAACCAAGATATACGCAGTTCTATAGGTATAAGATGATCTATCTCGTCTGAAAACGTATTTTATTTGGTATAACAGACAGCTGAAAATGTGACCATTTTGCAAAGCCTATAGCCTTACCTTTTGACATGAAATGGTATACTAAAATTCAATCAAAAATGTTGCTTCTTTGTTTAAAATAACCAAGATATACGCAGTTCTATAGGTATAAGATGATCTATCTCGTCTGAAAACGTATTTTATTTGGTATAACCGACAGCTGAAAGTGTGACCATTTTGCAAAGCCTAAAGCCTTACCTTTTGACATGAAATGGTATACAAAATTCAATCAAAAATGTTGCTTCTTTGTTGAAAATAACCAAGATATACGCAGTTCTATAGGTATAAGATGATCTATCTCGTCTGAAAACGTATTTTATTTGGCATAACCGACAGCTGAAAATGTGACCATTTTGCAAAGCCTAAAGCCTTACCTTTTGACATGAAATGGTATACCAAAATTCAATCAAAAATGTTGCTTCTTTGTTGAAAATAACCAAGATATACGCAGTTCTATAGGTATAAGATGATCTATCTCGTCTGAAAACGTATTTTATTTGGCATAACTGACAGCTGAAAATGTGACCATTTTGCAAAGCCTATAGCCTTACCTTTTGACATGAAATGGTATACCAAAATTCAATCAAAAATGTTGCTTCTTTGTTGAAAATAACCAAGATATACGCAGTTCTATAGGTATAAGATGATCTATCTCGTCTGAAAACGTATTTTATTTGGTATAACCGACAGCTGAAAATGTGACCATTTTGCAAAGCCTATAGCCTTACCTTTTGACTTGAAATGGTATACTAAAATTCAATCAAAAATGTTGCTTCTTTGTTGAAAATAACCAAGATATATATATATACGTATAAGATGCTATCGGAGGGATAGGTGCAGTGTTTTTGCTGCTGATCTGTAGCTATATTAAAGCTAAATAAAGCCAACTAAGTTAAATTACCAGCGCTAAATATCATTTAAATCCAATAAAACTGATGTTGCATACATATTCCTTGCAAAACTCACAAGTACAATTGAAGCATTAAAATTCTGTGATTTTTTCTTGAATACTTAGTAGTAGTTAGGTAAAATTTGAGAATACTTATTTCGTTTTGGAACTAAGTTCAATATTTGGCTACATCTGTATGGGAAAGATCTTGAGAGCAAAATGAACAATATCATTCAATTATTCTTACTTCTGAAGAGAGACAATTCGGCTTAAAAAAAGCTTCAAAAGCTTGTTTTTGAAATTTCAGATAACACCAGGGTTCCCATAAGAATCTCATAAGAAAATCAAATCGCTCAAAACCTCCCAAGAAGCTTTTAGTACTGGCTCATAAAAATACATATGAATTCTAGCACTGTTTACCAAATTCAAGCTATTTTTCAAGAACTTCTAGGACATGCCAAAGGGCCCACTTGGACAAATTTCCAACTGGTCAGTACCTTTAAAGCGTCGAATAGGAATACCATGCTGCATGAAAACTTCTTGACTCGAGAAACGTCTTGAATAAAACGTCCTGAATCCAAGGACGTAGAAAGCATTATGAAAGTGTGGGACATCCGGTTAGAGGGGCACCCTAACAAACATTCTTTAAGATTTAAATTCCTGTTTCAGGAGTACCCTAATAGAGATTTCAGAAAGGTTAAGAAGGCTGTTACACAAAGCCTGGCTACAATGATACATGTATCGTTTTCTGACTTAGTTGAAATCAGTGCCGTGGAGAAGTTTTCGTTGGCCTCGTGGCACAACCGATAGAGGAAGCCCCTTTGCGAACGAAACGAGCAGAAAAATTCGACGACTATGCCCTTTAGATTAGCTAATAATCCTTTTCACATTATTTTTAAAGTCTTTTTCTTGCAATCGTTAAAAAAGTTGTACAATTTTGTTACGTCTTACTAATTGCTTTCACAAATTGGAAACCTCGAGGGCCCCCTAAACCTCAATGCCTAAGGCCAATTTGTAATCGTCATCACGGTAACCCTGGTTGTGACCCTGTTTTTTGGTGTTTCTAAAAGCAGATCGAATAGATACATTGTAGACCATGGCCCCAAAATGTCACCCTATCATCTCGGAGAGGGGCAGGTCATCTTAATTTTTTGAAAAAAGGAGGCACGTACCCACTGCCCCTCCGGTTCCCACGCCTTTGCTTGAATTAAAGGCATATTTAATGCCTCAACTGATATATCGAAAAAATGGGAGCAACCATTGGTAGCAATCTGAAATCTCTTCAGCATGATCATGAAGGATAAAGTGAACTCATCAACGAACATTTTTTTGTGGTCAAATTGCTTGGCAAATCGATTTTCAGTTCTCGTCAAGATGGAAAATATTGACTTTTCTCTTTCATGTAGGTATCCAGAGATACTTGAAACCTGAATTTCATTAGCATTTAAAATATTGATATGGATTGATATTGCTTGGAAATCGATTTCATAAAAAAGGCACTTTGCTGCCCCCGTGCTGCCCCCGTGCTGCCCCCGTGGTGCTGCCCCCGTGGTGCTGCCCCCTTGCTGCCCCCTTGCTGCCTCCGTGCTGCCCCGTGCTGCCCCCATGGCTTCGAGGCCCTTGGTCTTCAATCTCTAGAGTCTCAATTTAATTTAGTCTTGAGTGTTATGCAAAAAAAAATGACTCGGCCCAGCTAACACTTCCTCTCCAAGTAAACTATTCGTCCTTTCTTAGCTTCATCTCAGAAAAAGTAATATCGCCAAACTCATTCTTCCATGTTTTCCAGCTCATTCTCCTTGGCATTTCTGCAACTGGGTCACCGGAAGTACTGTTATAGTAGTTATTATTAAGGTTTGCTTCAAAACATGCGTTATGCCACCAGCCTCCTTTCCACGAAGCAGCACAGTGAAATTCGGCTTTATCGTTATCCTGATCTTTGGTAGAGAATTGTTCCCCCTTGCTGTACGTCATTGCATCACCAACGGTTCCCAGAGTTGAATATTCTCCCAATGTGAGGAGATACTTCGAAGCCTCATCACCAACTTTAAATCCCTTATACTCGGCATATCCAATCTCACCGGTTTTGTGTTTTAAATCTATGCGGAGAGTGGTTGCTCCGTTATTCGTCAGTTGATGAAGGGCATCAAGGCCTAGCCAAAAATTTCCAAAAACTTCACCAAAGCCTGAAATGAAATAGGTTGTTGTGTACACGGGGGCTTAGAGCTCCAATGGTACCCCTAGGGGCCAAACATAAATGCCGTCGTAACAAAAACCGGAAAGTAGCAATGAAGATTAATTATACCTCGAACGTTCCTGGTATTGACCATATCCGAGCTATCTATAGGGTTCATCACCTGGGTATGACTAGTGTCAGGAAAATATCACGACCGTACGGCAAATGGCCGGGGGAATGTTGTAGAAACAACTAGAAATCGAAGAAGGGTTGAACAAGAATTTCGAAACTCGAGGAAGTTGAAGAAATCGTATTGGCTTTTGGTTTTCAAAACACAGTCAGACAAAAATGATGAAAACCAAACTTTAGGCATGAATTTTTCATAATTTATGTATTAGAATTATGAAACACCTTTATTATTAATTGATATAAGCATGCAAACATTTGGAAAAACAGAGTTATAAGGAGGGAGGATGGTTACTGGTTGTGTTCCCTCATTTTGTTGAACACGCCCATTTTTAGCCTAATAAAAAGGAGGGAGGTTTTATATCAAGATTTTCTCGGCCGGAGGAATATTGACAACTTTCCTGGACTCTGGGTATGGCAATCTTATATTATCATGCTGAAATATATAAATAGGAAGAGGACTGAACTCCATCGAAAAGCACAGGAAGGCAGTAGAAGTTGCTGGGATAGATCGTGATGCGCCTAACAATACATTTGATTTGACTCAGAATCTCTCTTTCACAAACTTAACTGGTTTAAATTAATGTATGTAGCAAGAGTGCTACGGAGGAGTTCTGCATAATGATTAAGTTGATCTTTTTTAAAAGAAACTTCTTAACTCTATGTAGATGTCATAGGAATCCTTTTTCAGCCACTTGTCTAACTTCTTGAGCTGGAAATTATACCTGGTAATTTTATAACCTAGTTGCTAAAGAAATAGGTTTATGTTCTAGAATTGTAAAGTCATTTTCTGCTGAGAAATCGACCCATATTTCTCTATATTAAAAATGCTAATTCGTCAAAGGAAAAAGTTTTGAAATAATAAGAATTATTTCCTAAATTATCCATGATACACATTTTAATGTACACATGATATTACATTAAGGCAGCTCTCAGCCAGAGACCGCTCACCAGTCTAAGAGTGAAGAAGCTGAAATGGATGTCCCCGAAGACTTTTTAGGCCACGCCCTCCAGATCGCCGGAAAACGCCTCTTTTAGAAAATACTTGCTTTTTTCTACTGAATTTTTGTAAACAGTCTGGTTCCGAGAAGATATCAATAAATATAAAAAGGGTAATGAAGAATACATCATATCATTAAACATGATAAAAGACCTTGAAAATGAACAAAAAAGGTTCCCAGTCAAGAAGAACTGCTATTACATAGGAGTATACTATCCAAAGTGCGTTAGAGTAAATCTTGCAAAAACTTTTCTAGCCAACTATTGTAAAAATATTGAGGGGCTATAGCCCTTGCTGGCGCAATAGCTGCGCGGTGCCTGCTCTCAGCATCTCCGATGCATCAAGCCCTCTGTCTATTGATATCAAAGGGGCTTCAACCCGCTATCTATGGACGCCTCCAAAGAGGCTTTGACGTCCACTGGACACACGGGACACACTGGGGAGATTAAAGCAAAGGTCCAGACCAACGATGACATGAAACCTTGCGTGAAATGATGATCGTCTATTGTACAATATTATTTGTGAAATAAATCAACATGGCCGCCCCTAGCTAACTTCTGACCAAGGTATTGCCCAAATTGAATTTCCAGGAATGCAGTTGAAGGGCGTCCCTACAAAGCAGGAGTTGACTGTAAAGAGTCCCAAAAAAGTGAATCGCACATTCTTCTATACATTTTTGATTCGTTGCAACAGATTGAATCAATTTTAATGAAGCCAATCAAAATAATTTCTGCTATCAGTTTCTTATTTCTACAAACAATCTAAAAACTTTTAATATCATTTTTTTCTGAAATAAGAAAAGCATTCAGCTTACTTACCCCTTTTATACTCATCCCAATTTCTATCGAAATCAACAGTGTCATCAACCCTTCTTTGGAAAACAGTCCAGCCACCACCACTTGTTTTCATGTCACAATACGAATTCAAAAGACCGAGTCCAGGCAAGCTAAGGGAAACAAGACCATTCTCCTTTATACCTGAAGCATATGCGTCTTTGCAGCTGCTGAATGCTGTTAAAAAACATTGAAAAATCATCTAAAGTTAATCTCAACTATGGATATGCATTTTAGTAAAGTTTTTTAATAAAATTATTATTCATAAGTCTGTCTTAAAGTGCACGATGCCATGTAGGCAGAGCTGTACACGCTTTCAGTGCATGGAACAAGACAATAATTAAAGACGCTACTCCAAGTTTCACGCTTAATACGATTATTAGGCAATAGTGTTCTTAAGGGAGACGTATAGAAATCTGCTTTTTAAATGTTTGAGCTTTGAACTATAACCAACAAAGGTTTTTTTGCATCAGGAGTTATCAAACAAAATGAAACTAAAAGATTTGCTAACTGATTGATTCGAAATATTCGAAGTTTGCTACATGATTAGTATTATTTTTGCTCTGTTAATAGAATTATAAACAGGGGTTTGATGGGGAACGAGCCTGTGCTCATGTGATCATATCTCAGCTGATTCGTATCACGTTCAACTGACTTTGGACAGCTCGAGGTCTTTCATGATGCTCTTTCATGACGCAAATTCGGTGAATAGAAATCTCCATTCTTAAAGAAAATATTGTTTCTTAAAGGCCTCGAACAAGAGAATTCTCTTTGCCTATTTCAGTTTGTACCCATGTGCATTAAGTGTCGTCCTCCATTAAATGATTTAAATCTTCAATGTTTCTTTGGGGTGTTTCTGTAATCTTGATTTAAAAACTTTTAGTCCATTGTGCATGACAGTCAGATTTAAGTTAATAATAACACGAACACAAAACCAAGGGTAACCAATGCAAGACTTGTTCCTCTAGTTACAATGAATGTGAAATATTTGGCTTTAAGCGAAATAATTGTATGGAAATAGAAAAATTCGAAACAATTCTAGACCTTATTGCAAATTCATTGAGTGCAAGCACTGACATATGACTAGAAATTGAAAAAATGTTTTTGAAGATGTTAAAATTCAGTGGCTGGGGTTAAAAAGAAAGAAATTTATGAATAATAATTTGAAAAAATATTGAACAATCTGTATGGTGTCCCAAATCTTTAATTTCAAATCTTTGTTCAAAAAAGTAATATGCATAGAAGGCGAATATAATTAAAAAAACTTACAAGTTACTGGAACTCTCCTCCATACAGCAAAATAGCTGTCTACTGCATCAATTGATTGTTTCTTTTCAAACATTGAGCCACTGCTCCGTTTAGCAACAAAGTTGCACTTCTCATCCAAACTGCACTGATGCCATATCCGTCCGATTATCACAGAAAACGTGTCTTGCTCAAGATCTGAATTATTGTCTATTCTCTCAAACAGCGATTGTGAAGAGTTGACAAGCAGGCACAGCCAGCCAATACCAAACCCAAACAAAACTGTTTTGAGGTTAACACAACTTGCTTTTGCCATACTGTGACCGTTGGTTTGCAGCAAGCAAATTCTCCCCGCAAGGGAGTGGAAAACTTATCTTATAAAAGCAGCTGCTATTTTAAGAAGATAAACGTCCTGGCTGCTCTCTATCATTTGAAATTGTCAAGACAAATGAGATACGGGTATTAGATAATAAGATGACGTCACTATTCATATCGTCTGCATACTGCAGAGATTCAACAGAAATGGTTAATTCGAGCAATACATTTGTTGTATTTTCTGATCTTCGGCTTAAAGCGTCTTCTAACTTTGAATGGCCAAATGGCAGGTGCTCTGTTTTTTATGAAACCTTCAATAGTTCCAATTGGCAAATTTCAATGAACTCCTTAGCATGTTATGGCTCCAGATACAGATGGACTTTCTATTTAGAACTAAAAGATTTGTAAAAAATACAAACCAGCCCTTTACCTTTAGTTAATACCTTTTGGAAACACGAAGGAGATATTCATGCCATACATTGTCTTTGCAGAGATATTTCTCGTGATGTTGACAACAGAAAGGCACAAAGGCTATTGTTCTATAATTATATGTAATAAAATATGCAGGTAAGATGATTATATTTCAAAGGAACCGAGCAAATGTTTAATTAGTAGAATTCAATGACAGTTGAAGCAGTTATTAGTCTATGCAGGGAACCGTCAGCTGGTTTTTGCCTGTCCGCATCCGAATTTGACACGCTCGCTAGGCAATCAAAACACTGCATTAATAGACGACCATCCAAACAGAGACAAAAAGGAAAGATGTCTGTATTCTGTGATTTAAAGATGGCCAAAAGCAAATCTACAGCGACTCAAAAACTGATTGAAATAACGATTCAGTTGGTGCGTTTATCGAACAAGTGCACGAAAATGAAATCGTTTGAAACACGGAAAATCCAATATATAGAAACAAGAAGGCACAAGAGACTGCTTGGCTGAGAATATCCAGCAATATTTAAAGAAGTTCCTTCACCAAGTCGAAATACCCCCCCCCCCTTGCTGTTTCTCTCTTGATAAGTTTGGTCGTACCCAAACGTTTGTGAGGTATGCATATAGTTGTAGAACAATAGCCTTCGTGCCTTTCTGTTGTCAACATCACGAGAGATATACCTGTAAAGACAATGTATGGAATGAATATCTCCTATCTCCTTCGTGTTTCCAAAAGGTATTGTTTAGAAATTTGATTGATTAGTTCATCTAAAGCTAGCTATAAGCATCTACAGCTGGTAAATACTATCATTGAATGTTCTGTACATGTTCATTCCTTTTTATGTATGAGACAACTCTGATTCCCTTTTTTTAGCTAAATGAAAATATCAAAACTGTTGTCTTTTTTCAATAATACGACTTTGACATCAAAATTTCATGATTTCATGCATTAGACATTATTTTAAAGACAGTAGTTAGATTGCTAAACTCAATATTTAAAGTTGACTACTTTTCCATTACTTTAGACTCAACAAGAAATACAAGGCAATTATACTACTTGAAGTCAACGACTTTCAAAAAACTAGAAACATTGATTGACCATTTAAAGTTCGGAATTCAAGGTTGAAAGTGAAAAGAGATATAATTTGACTCATTTTATTATTGGCGATAATTATTCAATCCAATGTATGGACTCTTTGGATAGTGTGAACAGTTGCTAGCTCTTACCAGATGACAAGAATTTGGAATAGAAGTAGACTAATCTAAAACTCGTTATTTCAAAACTCATGCTCTGCATTATAACATCAAAAGGATTTGGAATTAATCATTTTAATGTATTATCGATATGATCTGAAAAAACTCACTTGAACACATGACAACATGAGCGTTGGCTCTTTCGCGATCAAATCAATATGACTTGATCCAAGCTCAACATATTATCCTACGTTGTCTAGAAAAAGCTACCCTGAAACATTACTAATTCCGCTTCTTGCAACATTGCTGTACCATACTACTAAAATCGTACTACAGGCAAAAAGGTTTGTCAACATTGCAGTTACTTCGTAAAACTTGGATCTACTCAGTAGCTTAGTGAAGGGGAAGCAAGAGGGACTGGACGCAAACCCTCACCCCCAATGGCAAAAAATACCTTTGAAAAGAGGCGTTTTAGTGTTTCAAAAAATGTGGGCCAACATTATGCTCTCGTTCAATCTTACCACCCTGGCTACGATACTGGATCTACTGTAGTTCGTCTCATTTTATATATCACATGAAAGTTCCTTAAGTTTGAAATAGTAATGAGAAAAATGGTAATGACAATGAAAAACTCTTGCTGTTAATTGCTTGTCTTCGTAACACTCACTTGATAGCCAATGTCAGGCAGATCTTCATATTTACTACGATAAACAAACAAAAATACAAGTAAGTACTGCAAAAAACAAACAAAGCAAGAAAAAAGTGATTGAGTGACATGTAGTGTATTGCATCATACATCTGAATAAGTGATTTATTCAGGACGTAATAAAGCAAAACCTTTGGCAGGAATATTTTGTCGTGGTACTTGAGATGTGCAAAGCAACAAAATTTTTCTGTATTCTCAATGCAATCGTTTATATTGCACATTGGCTTTGTGCTTTTTCTACCATTGTATTTCAATTTCTGGAAGTTCAATCTGCTGGCACAAATCCTCGTGTAGGTAAATGGGACAAGCCTAGTGGGTTGTTAATACTAAATGTAATCATTGAAGTGGGTCGGAGCAAGACTACAAATTTGTATATAAAAATAACAATATGTAGTGCAACAGAAATCTAAATTCACGACCAAGTTGATTCAGTTTAAATAGGTAGTGAGGATACAGGCAACATTGGAATTATCCTGTTCTTGCCTTTATTACTCTGATAACATCCTGGTTTGAAAAACAATATTGCAACAAAAACGACAGTAAGATTTGTGAGCATATTTCTAATCATATCAAACAAAGTAAGACGTCTGTTTCCATTTCTACCAAGGTCTCTGTGCATCACTTTTCGCGATGTTCTCCTCCATGTTTCCAATATGAGCAGCAGAATACTTAATTGATTCTCATTTTTCAATTGAGATTTATGAAGTGAAATTAACACTCAACTTCCATTTTTTGTATTGTTTTATATGAAGTATTGAGATCAATATATGAACAATTTTTTGGAGGTACAAAACTCGAAATGGCTTTCAAATAAGCAAAAATACTACAAGATACTAAAAGCAGCTTTTTCTTCTGACACTCCTCAGAGTATAAAATGTCAGAATAATGGTCCGAAAGCCATATGAGAACAAGGATCCGTCAGAATAAGGATTCAAAAGAACTTTCCTATTTTCCATCTTGTTCTTTCAGACCCTGAAGTTTTATAGTCTGGGGAAACTCAGGTGAAAAGCCTTTTAGTATGTTGTAAAATGTTTCGTTTTTTTAATGCCATAATTGGTATATCCTTGGTTTTTACATAGCTTTGATCTTACTTCTAGTCAATGAGCGAGGCTAAACAAAGCCAAAAGGGAATTTGGGCCTTATGAAGGTAGTACCTAAATTCATTGTTTAGTTTATTGCATATACACATTTCTTCCATGCTTTTGACAAAAAGATTGAAGATCGTTTTACGTTTAATTTTTAATAATCAGCGCCATTAGAATTTTTTTCTTTCCAATATGTGACCATTTTAAAAATTCTAGAGATTTACTTTTTATGGAAAATCAACACTGATAAAAAGTCTCAATTTTTTCATAAACCGCTTCCACTGCATATCTACATTGATTTCTACTCAATTTTGATCGTTTTGAGTCAATTTTTGAGCAAAAAATCCGCTTTTTAACTTGACCATTTTTCCAAGACTGTAGACTTACTGTCTAAGGAGAATTAACAGTAGCCAAAAGTCTTTGTATATTTGACGATTTGGCAATTTATTCCAGAAGCTTTTTGTTGCAAAGCTTTTGATCGATCATCTTCTTACCTACATTTCACAATTATCTGCAATCTTTGGCTTACATTTTCTTACTCAACAGCTCAACAATCTCGAAATCAGCAAGGCTGATTTAACATTTTAAATTTTGATGTGCTTTGTTACCCTATGCAAGTTTTTTCTCCAACTCCAGAAGACAAAAAAGCTGATAATCTAAAACATTATCTTAGTCAGATAATCTAAAACAAAGATAATTGAAATATTTAAGAATAAACTTTTGGAAGTTTACTTTTGGACAGTACAATTTTGAACATCTTTGTTCGCAAAAATTATTCCTTGCCATAAAAATGTTTGTTTTGCTAAGACTTGTTTATTGTATTTCAATCAACAATAGCGATGCCAGAGGTATATGGTCTCTGCAATCTAACGAGAATACAAATGCAGCCAAATCTGCAAGAATGATTAAAGCAACTTTATAAAATTTAATAAACATAAAAATGAACAGTAAGAGGGTGAGCCAACGACCAAAAACAATTAAAAGTGTCTATATCGTACATTTTTTTAAGACTTTCTTAAACTTTTTCACTTATCAAAATTTGTCGAATTCTTTTTTGCATTCAATAAGTAAAATGATGAATTACATAAGATATAGAACGCTCATTTACTTCATATAGACTAGTAAATATTCATAATGAAAAATTTTGGAACTTCCTGCTTGCAAGAATCGAATGTTTTGACACCTTTGGCAATGGTTTATCGTAAGATTTTTTAAAAGCAACCTGAAAAACTTTGTGCAATAAATTATTATCTTGATATGATATTATATGAATTTCAAGAAAATATTGTCTATTTACATTTTTAATTCCTTTCATAAAATTATGAAAAATTGTATCTTTTATTGTTATTTTGTTGTTTTGTTGCTTTGGCAAAATTTGCTTTGGCAGCATTTTTGTCGATGGCATAAATTTGATGTGATTCAAAGAGAAGCTGTTTTTTATTTCAGTAATTTTCTTGCGTTTAATGTGAAAAGTGTGGAATAATTTGACTCAAAATGAAGGAACATCATTGTTGGTACCAGTTTTCTCAACCTATTGGTGTTATCATTGTATGAACAATTATCAATTTATTATCGTGATAGCTGTTATAAAAAAGAGCCAAAATTTTAAGGAATTAACCTCGATCCTTTGTTTCTTTCGGATTCAAATCTGTGTCGTGTGCATCTTGTTTTTAAAAAAAAAGAGACTAGAAACCAACAATATTTTTGTGCACGGATTTTGTAAAATGTGAAGATCTTTGACAACACAAGCAGTAACCAAAACACCAAAGAGGGTCCAGAGTTGACAAATATGGATTGCGAAATTGGACATTCAAAGAAGTCCCACGAGGTGTACCTCGATTGTTAGGCGAAGTTGGATCAAAGGGTGCAAAACGTGAAGTGATTCTTACTTCTTTTCAGTACAGATATAAAAACAAAAAGATGGACTCCCAATCGATTTCTTTTCAAAACACTAATAAAACAGGGCGTTAACAACTATTAAAGATTAGGGGGTTTAAACAAGCAAAATATCATCATGCAATGTCCATAGGCCATTAGAAATATATGTTGAATTTTTGTACAATCTTTCACGGGATCCTACAAACAAATCCTGAAGAGTCAAGAAATTCTAAGACTCCATGTCACCTAAATATACAGAAAAACTGGCGGTCGCATCAAAAGCACTGGTCATAAATTTTGGGATTTATTTTTAGCATATTCTTAAATTTTGGGATATCATTTTTTAAAAAAAGGGGGGTTTTATTTACTTGATTGAGTTGTTGGATTTTTGCAAATTTGAATTAAATTGAAAAGTGTATATTTCATATTGTATCGAAGTTTGTGGGTAGAATTTTAAAAAATTTATGAATTTAAGGTATGCTTTCATATTACAAAATGGCACACCCCCGTCCTCCGCCTATTGAAGTTCCCTGCGGTGTGGAGGAGATCATCATTGGCGGGAAATTTTTGCGGGAATGGCTGGTGGCTGCACGGGAGACTTTTGTTTCAGAATATGGCGGGAATTTAGTCCAAATTTGCATATGCCTATAAATACCTGGTTTCTTTGCTATTCAATTAGTTGGCACAAAAGAGTAGAGATGAGGTGCTGGTGCAAAACACTCATGTCTTCATCTGGCCTACAACGGCATGTAAACCTAGGTGAGACCTTTTTGTCAAGTGCAAGATTTACGAGTCTACTAATGTCAATTGATAATGCCATTCGCAACTATTAGGTTGTCATGTTAATCGAAATAAAGCAGGCGAAACTAATCCAATACAAAACTGTGATTCTGCTTCCTTATTGTTGCTATATGCTTTCGATTTTTAAAACTGATTTATCGTATCGGATTCTTCGTTCCTTTTCCTCGTACGTTTTCTTTGTTACTCAAGTATACACCGAAAGCGAATGTACAGAAGTGTTCGCATTGATAAAAATGCTTTTTGCCTCATTTTAAGGATAATGGAGTGAACATAGAAAAGCGACAAGTTAAAAGTGATTCGTTGATCCGACGTCAATCATAGCTCTTGGCGGGGAACAGGTATGAATATTTTGTTTGTTTCTTCTTTAAAAGAGAATAAATGTTAACTGAACTATTTTGAACTGTTCTTAGAGAAAAGTAATGTCGTTTTGCTGTGTTTCAAATTTCTTTCATAAACCTTCCGGACGGAGGCCACACCACAAGAAGCTGTTTGTGTTAATAGACAGCCTGACATCAAATTTACTTTCATTTTTCAATTTGACATGTTTTTTAATGAATGCTTAAGCTCATAGCCAAAAAAGCAAGTTCTTTTTTTCAAAAATACTCTATTGACATACTTGGTAAAACATTTCATTTCAAACATTCACTGTCATTTTGCTTTAAATTTCATTCAAGCTATGCATGGAATTTTGTATTTATATTATGTAAGCTCTGATATATTTATAAAGTTGAAAATGGCACACAAAAAATTTCATTATTTTAATTTTATAATTCAACATAAGATTCACTTTACTTAATTGACCCTAAAAGGTCTTTCAACTCTCAATCCAATTCTTTTAGTTTTGTTTCCATTTTTCCAAACCAAATTCCTGTCTTCTCAAAACTTGATTATTTCTTTTTTAAATTTTCCCAGATGACTCTTAGGTGTAAGTTAAAGGTTAAAGAAAAGCTAACTGGTATGTTTTATTTCATAATTTTTAGAATTTTAAATTAGACATCCATTTTAAAGATTTTTTCAATATAATTTATGCCCTTCCTATTGAAACTTTAGTTACAAATAAAGACAAATGTTTTAGTGTTTTTAGTTACTTTACATTCTGCAAGCTTTATTTGAAGCAATTCGTTTGGAGTCAGTTTTAGTGAGATCTATTCTCAATTTTCAATCCATTTTGTCATTATTTTATGCTAATATAATGATACTTCATTTTATACTTAATTTTATACTTTATTTCTGTCAATTGAAATAAAATGTTTGAAGAAAACTCTCTTTGCCCTTTCATTTGTTTTCATTGACATGATTTGTTCAAGACTGGGAGAGAATGTCAATCAAAGCTCATAAGTTACGTTTCTCTCAAGCAAACCCTTTCAGACAGGCAGGAAAACAAAACATAGAGCAAATGTTTAAGATTTTTAAGCAAGTTGAGATAATCACATTTGTCTATAGATATTAAGATATTAATTTATAATATATTTAAAGCTCTAAATTAATCTGAAATAATTCTCTTATATCTTTGTTTGATATCTTTGCTGTTTTGGCCAATATTTAAATTATTTTGATTTAATTTTAATTTTAAGGCCCTCAATGTTACTATTGGCAACAAATCTGCAAGGTTTGTAAACTCTGTTCTTTTGTCGAGCATTTTTAACTAATTTTTCTATATTTATGTTGTTGTCGAGACAATAATTCTCCAAGTTCAAAACTCCACTGAGCCAGGATTATATTTTTTAAAACATTATATTACTACTGCATATGGGTATTTATTTCCAACATTCCATTACAACTTTTTTTCTGGTGATGCATATAATGAAAAATTAGCATTTTTTGTATCAGGGTTCTGAAAAATTTTTGTGCTTGGAAATAACTTTTTCATTTATTTTTTCCAAGTTCAACATGTCAAGTGTGGTGAATTCTTGTGAGCTAGAGATTAGTAAGGTTTGTATTAACCCCTTTGTATGTCTAATATTTGATGAAATATCTCTCTGAGTTTTGATTTCAAACACTCCTTTCTATGTGTCTACCATATATAATATAAAAAATTATCCATTCTTTGAGACAATAATTCTTCAAGCCAGAAACACTGCTATGCTGGAATTTGATGTTTATTTTGAAAGATCTTTAATTGAATTACAGCAATGATATGTGTATTTTTGATGCTGCACTCCAATTTTTTATCCTGGTGATGAACAAAATGAGAAATGCACATTTTTTGTACCTGGTTTCTGCAGATTTTTGAGTCTGGAAATAACTTTCTTTAATTCCTTTTATGTTTCAATATCATTATGTCAGGTTTTGTGAAGTCCTATGAGCAAGATGTTTCTAAGGTTTGTAAATATTCCTTGTTATATTAACTGAGTACATTTGATCCAAACTTTCACTGAGTTTTCTTCCATGAACCTGTTTTTGCACAATTATTTTTTCAAGTTTTTAAACTTCATTTTGATAAAATTTAATGTTCCTTGTTAAAGGTCTTTAATTAACATTAAATAAGGATATATTTTCAGTTGTATGTCTGATGCATCTTTAAAATGGGAGCTTTGTTTTTTCTAAAAGATTTGAGTGCTTTTTGTATATCAGAGGTTAAATGGCTTAGATATTGTAGCATACCATACTTCTCTCTTAGGGAGAAAGAAAGCTGAATTAATCATAGATCATACAAGAAAAAAATCTATTTGCTGTTGTCTGCTTCCTTTTAAGGCCACCTTTTCAGTTTTAAATTTCTCCATGTTTGAAAGCTTTACAGTTTGGCAAATGTACTAATATCTTATATTTTTTTGAATTTTAGGGCTAGAATTTAAGATGTCTTGGAATTTAATGAACAAGGTGCCATCAAGGTTTGTAGACACTTGCTATGTCTTTTATGTGGACCTAGATTTAACTTTTTAAGATATTGTTCCTCGTCTTAACAAGACAAGAGTTTGGGACTTTCTCATCTTGAGACTTAATGGGCAGATTTAAGAAATGTAATAAACTCAATTTGCAGTGTAAGCCTGGCAACTTCAAGATAATGTTCTTTTTTGTTAAATTACTTGAAGATTATTTTTACTTTAATTATATTTCCATAGTCATCTGTATTACATTAAAATGTCTTTATGAAGACAAGCTATAATGATTATTTGGTCTTTTCTGGTCTTTATCCAGATTTAAATCTTTGTCTTTTTGGTTTTTGTTAATATCTCTACATTTTTATGACAGGGTAAACTGCTTCATGTCAATAAACAATCTACTTTTTGTGAAATACACCTGCAAGGAGGGTAAAGGTAGAAATGTTTATTTTATATACATCTTCTCATCAAAAAATGAAACTTTGTCAATTTATCTCCAAAATATTTCAGGCACACAGTGAAACGTTTTACAACTGATTAATGTTAGAAATGATAATCATTTTAAAAGGAAAAAAAGTTGCCTGCAGGTAAAAAACCTTTGCTACTAGGTACTTTCACTCCAGGATTTTTAATGATATATTTTCTTACATTGTGTAACTTTTATTTTATCTCTACATTATACTATTGTGACCTATATATTTTTTTGCAAGAGCCAGTTTAATATTCCGCTTGTTGCACTAATAATAATTAATTTAAGTTTTAATGTTCCAGCACCTTAAGGAAAGACTTGCACGAAGTGATTTTCAGCTAATGCATTAAAGACAATTTCTAAAATTTTTCTGCCATTATAATTATAACATTTAAATTGTTTCTCATTTGTTCGTAACCACTGCCCTAATTTTCCTAATTTTCATGATACTCCAATGTTATTTCTGATGTTATTCTTTATGTTACATCTGGCCTTTCCTTTTGTTGATGAATGTTTACTTTATTTACAGAATAACATGCTGCTTGTCTCGAAACAATCAACTGTTGTTTGTGAAAGTCACCAGCAAAACATACAAAGGTACATATATTTATTTTATATTTTTAGATAATCGCTTTTCTTCAAAAAGTATTCGAACAGAAGCCAATGTTGTGTCAGTACTGGGTCAAGTAATTAAAGCAAAAGAAAAAGTGATGAATTATATTTAAAGAATGAAAATAGGAAACAGGTCAGAATTTCAGCCAATCATAAAACAGAGCATAATTTGCTGAATTTCTAAATTCAAGTCCCTCCATGATTTCATTATAACTCAACTATAAATGTTCCACAATACAAATAGGCAACACAGAGTCAACAAGGAATTATGCTGTTGTCTGTTTCCTTTTAAGGCCACGCCCCCAGTTCTAAATTTATCCATGTTTGATAGCTTTACAGTTTGGCAAATATACTAACATCTTATATTTTTTTTAAATTTGAGGGCTAGCATTTAGGATGTCTTGGAATTGAATGAACAAGGTGCCATTGAGGTTTGTAAAAATTATTTAGAATTTTACTTATTTCAGATGTCTTATCAAGACAATATTTTTGTAATATAGTGCCAATTCTTATCTTGACATTTGACAAATGATTTTCAGTATTGTAATGTTTGAGCTACAAATAGTTATGGAGAGCAAGTTGTTACCATTATATTTACTCAAACTTAATGGACAGATTCAATAAACTTGATGAACTGAATTTTCAGTGAATCTGACACTTTCCAGATACTTAGCTATACGCTATATTTATTATGCTAAAATGTCTTTATGCAGACAAGCTAAAATGATTATCTTGTCTTTTCTTGTTTTTATCTAGATTTATTTTTGTGACCTTTTTGTTTTTTAATAGCTCTTCATTTTGTTGACAAAAGCTGGATGTCCATGAGAAATTATCAGTGAAGTTCACCTGCAAGACATGCAAAGGTAGAAATGTTTTCTTTATATTTTTGAATATAGAAATATATATATTACATTAAATATTTATTAACTATATTTGCTAACCAAAATCCAATATATTTAATCTACTCAAAAAATGAAACTTTGCCAATTAATTGTCAAAAGTTCTCAGGCACACTGTGAAATATTATAGAACTGATTGCTGTTGGAAACAATAATCAGTCTTATATGGATCAATATATGGTTTTATATGATGGTTTATTGTGACCAATATTATTTTGTTGATAAGGAACTAGTTGTTACATTAAATAAGATTATTATTTAAAGTTTCACTGTTCTAAAAGAATTTTTTTGAAATGATTATTGATTAATGATGCATTGGAAGATAATTTCTCAAATGTATTCTGGTAATCATCTATGTAACATAAAATGTCTCTATGCAAATGTGCTTAAATATTTGAATGCCTTAATTTTCCTAATAATTTATGTTGCTTCACTATTGTTTGTTTTATCCTGCCTTTCTTTTTGTTGATGGATGTTCACTTTTTTTACAGGGTAAACTGCTGGTCGTCTGGAAACAAAAATCTGCTGGTTGTGAAAGTCACCCCAAAAACATTCAAAGGTAAAAATTTTATTTATCTTTTTTAAAATATATATATCTGCATATTAAGATATTCGAACTGAACAATACAATTTTTCAATGAAATTGCTAGGAACACCTTTTCCAGATATCAAATGTTTTTTTAAATTAACTGTTGCTGCGTTTTCGAGGAACCGGATTCGTTTCATTTTCCATAAAATAGAGTTTTAAATATGCTTTTTTGATTGTTTCGACACTCTGAGCACAATTTGACTTAGATTTATGTAAGCGTTAAAGAGACTTTTTATATTGGGTACTAAGACTTAGGGATTTTTAGGGACATATACATTTGTATACTATTACTTATGTTAATCTCTATTAATATATATTCTTATGTTTATACAATACTGTGACCTATAGTATTTTGTTTGTAATCGTCAGCTTAATATCATTTCATTACACTGAATAAGATATTGATTTAAGTTTTATTTTTCTGAGTCTTAAGATTTGTACAAAGTTGACTAATGCACCAGAAGATGATTTTCAAATGAGCTTTAATAGCTGATTGATAGCCTACACAATTTACTGTTGATTGTTTATTATTTCTCCCTAAATACTGCCCTAACTTTTGTAATTCTTCATGTTTCTTTGATTTTATTGTTTATGTTACAATATGCCTCTACTTTTTGTTGATGGATATTCACTTTATTTGCAGGGCAAATGATGGCTGTCCAGAAACAATTAGCTGCTGTTTGCGAAACTCACCAGCTAAACTTGCAAAGGTAAAGATATATATATAAATATATATTATCTTTTTAGATATACACTTTTCTCCCAAACATATTCGAACAGAAGCCAATGTTGTGTCAGTACAGGGTCAAGTAAATAAAACGGAAGAAAAGTAATTAAATAATATTTAAAGAATGACAATAGAACTCAGGTCAGAATTTCAGCCAATCATGAAACAGGTCATCATGTGAACGATATTTTTAAAATTAAAGTCCATTCATCATTTCATTTTACCCGCAAAACAAATTAACAGCACAGAGTCAGCAAGGAATTGAACAAAACATTTTTTCAATGAAATTGCTAGGAACACCTTTCCAGATATGAAATGTTTTTCTAAATTAACTGTTGCTGCGTTTTCGAGGAACCGGATTCGTTTCATTTTCCATAGAAAGCCAAAAAATCAATAGTATTTTCAATTACATTCAGGTCTTTGAGAAAAATATCCAAAGAACAATATAACGACTTCATTAGGCCTAATGCTACCCTCGAACCTTACTGAAATTCTTCCATTAACATTATATTGGTCGAAAAAACTTTTTCAAACCAGATCTACACTTAACTGATAAGTTATAGGTCATTCCTTTATACCTTTTTTCTAGTTTCGCTTTTTGCTGAAAAATATTTTGCTAATCTAGCAACAAGAAATGTTTTCTCGACGGGTCAGTTCTCAATTATTTTCTATTCGACTTTAAAAAATAAAACAAAATTTTTTCTACTTTTGATTACGATTTCTCATAAAACAGAGTTTTAAATATGCTTTTTTGATTGTTTTGGTAAATAGATGACGCTTGCGCTTTATCTTCCCGCCAAAATTTAATAACGATTTTTCTTTTGCTTGGCAAAAATAAATTTTAGGCCAATAATTTTGCTCGACCGTCCGAATTATTTTTGGAGGAGAGTGTATATTCTTTTATCATGCTCTAAATATAAATGCCATGTGATATGTCGAGACCTGAAAACTGGGTATCACAAAACGAAATATTCATTTTGATAGCATTATCATTTATAACATTATTTCTAATCAACTGTTACAAATTGTCGATAAGAGGTTAGTCAAGTTCAAAAATGGAAATGAAAAAAATTACGGAGGTGATAAATGAGAAAAAAATTCAACTTTGGATTAATTGCATACACTGAATGTAAACACAAAATCGTCAGTTTGAATTGATCACATCTTTAAACTTTATGCAATGGAATCTGATTGGCTTTGATCGTTATTGACAAATTTTTATTCAGTGTTTTTTCTTTTAAAATTTTTTCTTGCTCATCAAGTTATAATATGAATAAGTTTTTTTCGCAAACTTTTCTAATTTTTTAAAAAGGTTCATTTTTCACCAAAAACGAATCAGAATGGTCTACCCATGTTCTTACTAATAAAGAGTAATAATTCCAAAAACTGCATAATTTTTGTGGCATTTGAAGTGGGTTCTAAAAATGGATTCACGAAGAAATCTTTGGCATCATAAACAAACAGTTCTTTATTTCTAAGACTTTTTCATTATAGATTTTATCAAAATTTAATTTGAGTTGACTTTTTATTGAATTCAGGTTTTCGAGGCACTCAAACTTTAACAAGTTATGAATATCTGATGAATTAGTTTTATCTCTCATTTAGTTAATGTATATTTCGACACTCTGAGCACAATTTGACTGAGACTTATGTAAGCGTTTAAAGTTTTAAAAGAAAAACTATTACGCAAAAATGTTTTTTCATACCACGTCGTTTAGGAAGTGAGAAGTAGGCAAAGAGTGAAGTCGTTTATCCTTTTCCAACCTTTCCAAAATTTGAGTATTAAAACGTTTCTTAAGATCAGATTGCAAGACTTTACTCTCTATTCCAATTTATTAAAATATTACGGTTGGCAACTGCAAAATCTTCTGTTTTTAAAATCGTTTAATTCCAGATAAACTTTGGAAAAAATTGCGCTAAAGAGTCAACAACGATTCCACGTCAAATCTTATCTAAATTCCTTAGATTTGCCAATTTTGATGGACCATTTAATCACATTTCAGAATCATATTTCAGAATCACATTTATTGTTTTTATTGAGTTCAGCACATGCGAAATTTTTTAACAATTGAGAACTAGCTGTTAATTTTTTATCATTCTTGGTTACTGGCAATGTTACTCTGCTATTTTCGAATGCTGAATTTCTGTTTCCTTTTTAATTTAGATGTTGGCGAAAAGAGAGCAAATGCGAGGAAGAAGCAACCCAATCACTCAAACGAAGATGATGCCAAATTTTTTCTGCATAATTTCACTTAGACTTAACAGCCAAAAGGCTGTAGTCATTTAGAAACTAGGTTAGAAAATTATTTGATTGTTGAATATAAACTTTTTTCTGTTGGTATGTCTCTCGTTATTTCTTTATTTGTCTCTTTGACTTGGGCTGATTTTCGTGAGCGGAATTTCGCAAGGTTTTAAATGCAGTTCAAAACTCTAAATAAAAAGTAATGTATATATAAATAGAATATAAAAAATAAATAGATTGATAATGGTCACTTTGCGTGTTGTCCGCTTCAAAATTTGAAATGCTGCATTTATGCGTACCAAAGTCTCATCCACATCACTTTCCACTTTCAGAAATTCATCATCATGAACCGTGGTCCACATGTAGAAAAGCAAAGAATCGTTAATCGGACGGAAACCTCTCAAATCGCTAGCCAGTTTCAGAAAACATGTCCAGTGTACAGAAACAGGCTTTAAGGTGCGTAAGTATGCCTTTTTTTTCTTCCTTTCTAAATTGGATTTCCTGCTTTTTTTCAGAGGGGGGCAGGTAAGTATGCGGCGGCGCGGGATGCCCCACTAACTTGAACTGAGTCTCGACTCAGTTGAGGTTAGTAGGAAACTGTTTTCCCGGCTTAACCGGCGTAAAACAGTTTCCTCTTCAATCGTGTGCAATTGCTTACAGCCTCGGCTGCAATTGCTAGCCTAGCCACCCAGCTCCCCGGTCCTGGCCCCCCCCATCCCCCGGTCCGCAGGGGGGATGGGGTGGGGCCAGGGCCGGGGAGCTGGGTCGGCCGGCCGGCGGCTGTGGCCGCGGCCGTGAGCGGTCGCACACGTGCGACGGGGGTAGGGTGGGGGCAGGGGGGTAGGGGCGGGGCAGGGGGGAGGGGGAGGGGTTTTTTCTTTTTCATTCGTTGCTTGTTTAATCTTTCTTTCTTTTTGTTTTTGTAGGCTCTGATGAAACAACAAGATTGACAGGGAACTGAGGAGGTCCTATTATTTTTTTAGGTCTGAAAGAAAGAGGACTTTGAAGAAGCAGAAAGACGTTTTGGTCCACTCTACAGTTTTGCAAAGAACAAGAAGCAGCAAAAAGACGTCAAATTGGATCCAGCTACCAGCAAAAGACGAGAAAGTTGTCGTGCTAGACTTTGGAAACTAGTTGCAAAAAAGAACAAGAAAAGGCATTTGTCCAGGTGCCCCAGAACAATTTGTATTGATAATAGCGGGACATTTCTTTTAGTGTAAATTACTATAAATGTATTTTTGGTACATGTTTCTGATTCTTCTGGAGAATTATTGCAGCATTTCAAGCACAAACAATTCTTGTAGTGTAATTTGTTTTAATGTTTGGCCTTTTTCCAATGGTCTAGCATCTCAACTGTTTTTTTTTGCTAGAGAACCACATGTTTATCTGGAAAAAACGATAGAGCAGCATTTCGAGCACATGTGATATACCGATAAAATTAGAACTTTAGAACTTTTACCAATTTTCTTCTAGAGAGTTATTGCAGCGATTCTTGTAGAGTAAATTATTTTGATGTTTGTCATTACGTAGAACTTGTTTCTTAAATCACATGTCTCCAAGACTTCTTCAGGAGAGTTACAAGAAATGGCAGAACAGCATATCACGTACATCTTAGAACTTGTAGGCTATTTGGAAATCGCTGTTTATCTTGTAGGCCATGTTTATCTGAGTCTTATATTTTTTGCGTCTCTCTCTCGTATACTTAAACAAAAACACAACATTACAACAAAAACAATCCACAGCATGACCTCTAACAATAATACCCATTACATAATACTCCTCTAACATAGCAATACTCTAACAATAATACCCATTACATAATACTCCTCTAACATAGCAATACTCTAACAATAATACCCATTACATAATACTCCTCTAACATAGCAATACTCTAACAATAATACCCATTACATAATACTCCTCTAACATAGCAATACTCTAACAATAATACCCATTACATAATACTCCTCTAACATAGCAATACTCTAACAATAATACCCATTACATAATACTCCTCTAACATAGCAATACTCTAACAATAATACCCATTACATAATACTCCTCTAACATAGCAATACTCTAACAATAATACCCATTACATAATACTCCTCTAACATAGCAATACTCTAACAATAATACCCATTACATAATACTCCTCTAACATAGCAATACTCTAACAATAATACCCATTACATAATACTCCTCTAACATAGCAATACTCTAACAATAATACCCATTACATAATACTCCTCTAACATAGCAATACTCTAACAATAATACCCATTACATAATACTCCTCTAACATAGCAATACTCTAACAATAATACCCATTACATAATACTCCTCTAACATAGCAATACTCTAACAATAATACCCATTACATAATACTCCTCTAACATAGCAATACTCTAACAATAATACCCATTACATAATACTCCTCTAACATAGCAATACTCTTCCCATTACATAATAATTCTCCTCCTCCTCTCCAAGACCCCTTTGACACTTCTCCTTTGAGGAAACGTCATTTATCTTGTATTTTATTTCTGAGTCTTATATTTTGTGCGTCTCTCTCTCGTATACTTAAACAAAAACACACATGACACTCCTCTCATTCTTGGACATAATGGCTGGCTCTTTCCTTGACATAACACTCCTCCCATTGACATAATTCTCCAACTCCTCCTCTCCAAGACTCCTTTGACACTTCTCCTTTGAGACAACGACACTTTCCCTTCTTTTTTGAGGCATCACTCCTCCTCCCATGAGAAAACCCTTCCATCAGACAACACTTAACCTTCCAAGAAACAGACAGCCTCCCATGGGACATTGGTCCTCCTTCCATGAGACGCTGGTCCTCCTCCCTTGAGACGATACTCCTCCTCCCGTGAGACGCTGGTCCTCCTCCCATGGAAAGATACTTCTCCTCCCACGAGACGCTGGTCCTCCTCCCATGGAAAGATAGTCCTCCTCCCATGGGACGATTCTCCTCATCCCATGAGACGGTAGTCCTCCTCCCTTGGGACGCTAGTCCTCCCCCTTCGGACAATACTCCTCCTCCCTTGGGACGCTGGTCCTCCTCCATTGGGACGATACTCCTCCTCCCTTGGGACGATACTCCTCTCCCTTGGGAAGATAGTCCTCCTCCCTTGGGACAATACTCCTCCTCCCATGGGAAGATAGTCCTCCTCCCTTGGGACAATACTCCTCCTCCCTTGGGACGATACTCCTCCTCCCTTGGGACGATACTCCTCATCCCATGAGATGAATTTCCTCCTCCTCCTCCCTTGACATTTTTTTATTTTAGGAGGAATTTTTTATTTTTGAAGGATTTTTTTTATTTTAGGAGGATTTTTTTATTTTAGGAGGATTCTTTTTATTTTACGAGGATTTTTTTTTATTTTAGGAGGATTTTTTCTATTTTAGGAGGATTTTTTTCTATTTTAGGAGGATTTTTTTCTATTTTAGGAGGATTCTTTTTATTTTACGAGGATTTTTTTTTATTTTAGGAGGATTTTTTCTATTTTAGGAGGATTTTTTTCTATTTTAGGAGGATTTTTTTCTATTTTAGGAGGATTCTTTTTATTTTACGAGGATTTTTTTTTATTTTAGGAGGATTTTTTCTATTTTAGGAGGATTTTTCACTATTTTAGGAGGATTTTTTTCTATTTTAGGAGGAATTTTTTTTATTATAGAGGATTTTTTTATTATACGATAGTCTTCCTCTCAAGGGACGATAGTCCTCCTTGTTTATATTGAGTTTATTTAGGAAAAAAACTCAAAATTTAACGTTTTATAGGAATGATTTTTTGTTTTTTAAAGGGAGCTCTGTTGCTATCAAAGGGGGGATTTGTCGTGTTGTTGTTTTAAACTAAAATGTTGTTTTTTGTTTTGATATTGTTTTAGACTCAGTCTTGTATTGTCTAAGTCTCGTGTTAGTCTGCTGTTGCCTAAGTCTTGGTCTGTCTAAGTCTCTGTCTAAGTCTTGGTCTGTCTAAGTCTCTGTCTAAGTCTTGGTCTGTCTAAGTCTCTGTCTAAGTCTTGGTTGGTCTAAGTCTCTGTCTAAGTCTTGGTTGGTCTAAGTCTTGGTCTGTCTAAGTCTTGTGTGACGTAAGTCTCATGTTAGTCTGCTGTTGCCTAAGTCTTGGTCTGTCTAAGTCTTGTGTTGTCTAAGTCTCTTGTTAGTCTTGTATTGACTAAGTCTTATGCTAGTCTGCTGTTGCCTAAGTCTTGGTCTGTCTAAGTCTCTGTCTAAGTCTTGATCTGTCTAAGTCTCTGTCTAAGTCTTGGTCTGTCTAAGTCTCTGTCTAAGTCTTGGTTGGTCTAAGTCTTGTGTTGTCTAAGTCAGGTGTTAGTCTCGTGTGGCCTAAGTCTTGGTCTGTCTAAGTCTTGTGTGACGTAAGTCTCATGTTAGTCTGCTGTTGCCTAAGTCTTGGTCTGTCTAAGTCTTGTGTTGTCTAAGTCTCTTGTTAGTCTTGTATTGACTAAGTCTTATGCTAGTCTGCTGTTGCCTAAGTCTTGGTCTGTCTAAGTCTCTGTCTAAGTCTTGATCTGTCTAAGTCTCTGTCTAAGTCTTGGTCTGTCTAAGTCTCTGTCTAAGTCTTGGTTGGTCTAAGTCTTGTGTTGTCTAAGTCAGGTGTTAGTCTCGTGTGGCCTAAGTCTTGGTCTGTCTAAGTCTTGTGTGACGTAAGTCTCATGTTAGTCTGCTGTTGCCTAAGTCTTGGTCTGTCTAAGTCTTGTGTTGTCTAAGTCTCTTGTTAGTCTTGTATTGACTAAGTCTTATGCTAGTCTGCTGTTGCCTAAGTCTTGGTCTGTCTAAGTCTTGTGTTGTCTAAGTAACGTGTTAGTCTTGTGTGGGCTAAGTCTTTGTCTGTCTAAGTCTTGTGTTGTGTGTACGAGAGGGAGACACAAAAAAACAATGTACTTTGCGTGTTGAGTCAAAACAATTTATTGATAACAGCAATAAAATATATAATTGGGCTCAGTGAACAGCTCTTTTGAAGAACCTGAATAATCTAATCTGAATAATCTGAATAATCTAAGTATAATTATGAGGTGTCCCTATCTTAGGGAGATATTATATGAGATATCCAACTTTACGCAAATTACATGTGCCTGAAATGCTGTTAGTGGCTCTTGTTCCTGATCTGGATGTAGTGGTCTGGCTGGTCTGGATGTAGTGGTCTGGAAAAATCGCTTAGTGGTCTGGATGTAGTGGTGTTTCGCTTTTGCTGCTCCTTTTTCTTTGCAAAACGGCAGTGGTCTGGAAAATCGCTTAATAGTCTTTATGTAGTGGTGTTTCGCTTTTGCTGCTCCTTTTTCTTTGCAAAACGGCAGTGGTCTGGAAAATAGCTTAATAGTCTTGATGTAGTGGTGTTTCGCTTTTGCTGCTCCTTTTTCTTTGTAAAACGGCAGTGGAACCAAAGTGTCTTTCTGCTTCTTCAAATTTCTGCTCTTTCTTCCAAATCTGAAAAAATAAAAGGACCCCCTCAGTTCCATGTCAATCTTGTTGTCATCATTGTCACCATGTCAATCATTACACAATCTGAAAAATAGTAAAAGAAAGAAACAACCAACAACAAGCAAAAAATGAAAAGAAAGAAAAAAAGCGTGGCTGCGCAGCGACCGCTGACCTTTTGGGCTAGCAGCCGCTGCGCAAAATTTGGCCCCACCCTCCCCCCGTCGCACGTGGGCCGCCACTCACAGCCACAGCTGCCGTCTCGCCTCCGAGCTCCCCGGCCCTGGCCCCGCCCCATCCCCCCTACGGACCGGGGGATGGGGTGGGGCCAGGACCGGGGAGCTGGGAGGCTAGGCTCGCACTTGCGGCCGACTGTTGTAGTTGCACACGATTGAAGAGGAAACTGTTTTACTCCGGTTGAATCACGCCGTGTGACCCAAGCCGGGAAAACAGTTTCCTACTAACCCGAACCAACCAGTTCAGGTTAGTGGGGTTTCCCGAAATGGCGCCGCGACGCATACTTACCTGCCCCCCTCTGAAAAAAAGCAGGAAATCCAATTTAGAAAGGAAGAAAAAAAAGGCATACTTACGCACCTTAAAGCCTGTTTCTGTACACTGGACATGTTTTCTGAAACTGGCTAGCGATTTGAGAGGTTTCCGTCCGATTAACGATTCTTTGCTTTTCTACATGTGGACCACGGTTCATGATGATGAATTTCTGAAAGTGGAAAGTGATGTGGGTGAGACTTTGGCACGCATAAATGCAGCATTTCAAATTTTGAAAGGCATATATGTAGCGGACAGCCCGTGTATAGTAGCGAGCGCAAGTGATCATTATCAATCTATTTAACTTTTATATTTTATTTAGATATATGTTACTTTTCATTTAGAATCTTGAACTGCATTTAAAACCTTTTTCGAAGTACCGCTCACGAAGATCAGCCCAAGTAAAAGAGACAAATACAGAAATTACGAGAGATTTGCCAACAAAAAAGACTTTAAATTCAACAATCAAATAATTTTCTAACCTAGTTTCTAAATGACTACAGCCAAAAGGCTGTTAAGTCTTAATGAAATATGCAGAAAACATTTGGCATCATCTTCGTTTGATTGACTGGGTTGCTTCTTCGTCGTATTTGCTCTTCTTTTCGCCAAAATCTAAATTATAACACAGAAAATCAGCCATCGAGAAGAGGAATGTAAGGCTATCAGCAATCAAGACTGGATTGAAATTGAAGAAAGTTGTTTTCAAAGGAACAAAAGTTCGTACATTAAATAAAACAATAATTGTGAATCTACAATTTAACTTTTTGTGTTAAGATAGACAAAACGATGGAATTTAGAAAAGTTTATAGAATCCTTGGAAATTGTAAAGTCGCATGGATTTTGAAATTTTTCCTATTTTACGTACGCAACACAATGAATGGTCACCTAGAGGCTTGTCTTCTGATTCGTTATATTGGCAAAAGTTGAACGATATATCTGAACCTCGTAAGAAAAGTTTGCAAAAAAGGAGCTTTTTCATAAAATTATTTGATAAACTAAGAAGAAGGCAATTTTCTTAACAGGTCTCATCCAATGAGATTTCATTTCATAAAATTTCAGACTGTAATCCATTCATACTGATAATTTGGTGTTCAAATTCAGTGTGATTATACCAAAGTTAATAACATTTTAATCATACATAAAGTACCTCAATAAATTTCTTTATGCCAATTGTACTTAATTGTTGTCGACATTTTAAAGCTTGTATATGTCTTAATTTAATAAGGAATTATTTGATAAATAATAACACTGTCAAAAAGAATATTTCAAATAGAAAGCAAAACGAAAATTTTCTTATAATTGCCGGTTGATGGCTCTCTCGACCTAGGTTGCATTACTTCTTTCAATCATTTTGTAGTTATTCTTTTTTCGTGTATTGGTCTTTCATTTTATTGCATTTAGTGGTATCCAGTAATTAAATCTCAACATATCACATTGCATTTGTATCTAAAGCATGATAAAGAATATACACTTCCCTCAAAAAAGTATTCGAATGGTCTAGCAAAATTATTGGCCTAATATTCATTTGCGTCAAGAAAGTGAAAAATTGTTATTAAATTTTTATCAGATAGCAAAATTGTTATTGTATTGAATGAAACAAAAGCCTCAGCTATTTCACAAAACAAACAAACAAACATATTTTAAATTATGTTCTATGGAAACTTACTTGGGAAATCTTTTTCAAAAGTGGAAAAAATTGCAATGGTAAAAAATTCTTTTTGCAATGGTTAAAAAATGGACGAAGCAGTGCAAATCGCCACAAAGTTTTTAAACTAGATAGGTCATTCATTTTTGTAATTTGCAAAGCAAGTGATCTGCACAATTCTACTGCCCATTTACCAACAAAGGGTTAATTTTGAAAATATTTTTCAAAAAGGGTTTCAATAGTTCGGGGGTAGTAGTATTAGGCCTAATGACGTCATTATATTGTTCTTCTTTAGCATTCAGTCATCCTTTGAAAAAATATCTTTAATAGTGCCAGATTTAATAGACCAATAAATCAGCCTTAATTTTTCAACAAGATGCTCCATGTCATATGACTATAATAGTTCTAAGTGATCTTTTTGCTGCCAATAGAATCATAACTCTTCTAGGACCCTCTCAAAGATTTTTGAAAATCGAAGATAAGTGAAGATAAGTGAAGATAATTGAAAACCCTATGGCTTCTTTGGCTTTCTATGAAAATTTAAACGATACTTTGAAATTGCAGCTACAATTAATTTTTATAGAAAATTTAATCCGTTCAATTCCTTGTTGCCTCTTTGTTGTCTCTTGTATCACGGAACATTGACAGTTGAGTTATAATAAAATGGTGGGAGACTTGAATTTAGAAATTCAGCAAATTATGCTCTGTTTTATGATTGGCTGAAATTCTGACCTGTTTCCTATTTTCATTCTTCAAATATAATTCATCACTTTTTCTTTTGCTTTAATTAATTGACCCAGTACTGACACAACATTGGCTTCTGTTCGAATACTTTTTGGAGAAAAGCAATTATCTAAAAAGATAAAATAAATATCTGTACCTTTGTATCCTTTGCTGGTGACTTTCACAAACAACAGTTGATTGTTTCTAGACAAGCAGCATGTTATTCTGTAAATAAAGTAAACATTCATCAATGAAAAGGAAAGGCCAGATGTAACATAAAGAATAACATCAGAAATAACATTGGAGTATCATGAAAATTAGGAAAATTAGGGCAGTGGTTACGAACAAATGAGAAACAATTTAAATGATATAATTATAATGGCAGAAAAATTTTAGAAATTGTCTTCAATGCATTAACTGAATATCACTTTGTGCAAGTCTTTCCTTAAGGAATTGGAACATTAAAACTTAGATTCATTATTATTTAGTGCAACAAGCGGGAATATTAAACTGGCTCTTGCAAAAAAATATATAGGTCAGAATAGTATAATGTAGAGATACAATAAAAGTTACACAATGTAAGATCATAAAAATATATCATTAAAATTCCTGGAGCCAAAAGTACCCAGAAGCATAGGTTTTTACATGTAAGCAATTTTGTTTCCTTTAAAATGATTATGGTTTCCAACACTAATCAGTTATAAAACATTTCACTGTTTGGCTGAAACATTTTGGAGATAAATTGACAAAGTTTCATTTTTTGATGAGAAGATGTATATAAAATAAACATTTCTACCTTTGCACTTCTTGCCGGTGTTTTTCACAAACAGTAGATTGTTTATTGACATCAAGCAGTTTACCCTGTCATAAAAATGTAGAGTTATTAACAAAAACCAAAAAGACAAAGATTCAAATCTGGATAAAGACCAGAAAAGACCAAATAATCATTTTAGCTTGTCTTCATAAGACATTTTAATGCAATACAGATGACTATGGAAATATAATTAAAGTAAAAATAATCTTAAAGTAATTTAACAAAAAAGAACATTATCTTGAAGTTGCCAGACTTACACTGCAAATTGAGTTGATTACATTTCTTAAATCTGCCCATTAAGTCTCAAGATGAGAATTTGCACTATATTCCCAAACTCTTGTCTTGTTAAGACGAGGAACAATAACTTAAAAAGTTAAATCTAGGTCCACATAAAAGACATAGCAAGTGTCTACAAACCTTGGTGGCACCTTGTTCATTAAATTCCAAGACATCTTAAATTCTAGCCCTAAAATTCAAAAAAATATAAGATATTAGTACATTTGCCAAACTGTAAAGCTTTCAAACATGGAGAAATTTGAAACTGAAGAGGTGGCCAGGAGAAAGGAAGCAGACAACAGCAAAGATATTTTTCTTGTATAATCTATGATTATTTCAGCTTTCTTTCTCCCTAAGAGAGAAGTATGGTATGCTACAATATCTAAGCCATTTAACCTCTGATATACAAAAAGCACTCAAATCTTTTAGAAAAAACAAAGCTCCCATTTTAAAAATGCATCAGACATACAACTGAAAATATATCCTTATTTGATTTTAATTAAAGACCTTTAACAAGGAACATTAAATTTTATCAAAATAAAGTTTGACAACTTGAAAAAATAATTGTCTCAAAAACAGGTTCATGGATGAAAATTCAGTGAAAGTTTGGATCAAAAGTATTCAGTAAAAATACGAAGGAATATTTACAAACCTTAGTAACATCTTGCTCGAAACTTGACATAATGATCTTGAAACAAAAAACAAAGGAAAGAAAGTTATTTCCAGACTCAAAAAATCTGCAGAGACCTGGCACAAAAAATGTGCATTTCTAATTATATTCATCACCAGGATAAAAATTTGCAGTGCAGCATCAAAAATAAACATATCCTTGCTCTAATTCAATTAAAGATCTTTCAAAATAAACATCAAATTCTGGAGTAGCAGTGTTTCTTGCTTGAAGAAGGATTGTCTCAAGAATGGATCTATACAACAGTCGTTGAGTCCCGCTATCTTGCTATTACCGCTTCCTTGCAAAGGAAAATGAAAAAATTGTTTGACATAGCAGGACTTTGCGATATCCAGACTCCAAATTTTAAGGATCAAAAAGAGGTCATTGGTGTTTAAAATTTGAATATGAACCAAAGAAAAGAGCTCATTTTTGTCCAAAACTTTGTTAAATTTTAAACTGAACTAAAATAGTCTATTTGAAAAAATCATCAATTTGAAAAATGATGTAAATGACAACAAATGAAAAGGCATATAGAGTATTCTTCAAACATATCATTTTTAATTTATAGAAATTAAATATAAATGAAATATAAAATGAAGTACAATTATGAAGTATAAAATAATGAAAAATGGATAACATTGAAAATAAAAAACAGAACAAAACAAAATGCAAATAAATTGCCTAAAATATGGTCGCAGAATGCAAATTAGCTAGAAAATTTTGAAAGATTTGTCTTTATTTGCAACTTAAAGGCAGTCTGTCCCCTATTGTGCTCAACTTTATTTTCATGGGAGTGAAATTCATGCAACATTGAGCTTTATCGATAATTAATAGATTTAAACCAATCAGAGACAACTTTGATTCCAGAGCTTTTGAATCAAATGGCTGTGTTCCCATTGTAGTGAAGCTGTGGCTAGTAAAATATGGCTCCCTGTTTGGTTTCTGCAACAAATGTGTCAATAACAAAAGGGAATTGCTTCCATTATCATCATTTAATTCCAGTGATTAAATCTTCTTGCCACTACCGATAGCTTTTAGCTCACAGTTTCATGTGTCGTCAACTACCGCAGCTAGGCCAGCCAAAGCAAGCATCGTAATCCATTATCCGGGAAGATCTATTGTTCATATTAGCCAATCATTGAAGGGACAGACTTCCTTTAACTTTTAAATAGCATGAACACAAATTCTATTGAAAGATATTAAAAATCTCTAAATTTGATGTCTAATTTAAACTGCAAATAATTATCAAAGAAAGCATACCAATTAGCTTCTATTTGACCTTTAATTGACACCAGTTTCTTGTCTTCTGCTGGAAAATTTAAAAAAAGAAATAAATAAGCTGGGAGAAGACAGGAAACTGGAAGAAGTGGTAAAACTAGAAGCTAGAAGAATTACATTTAGGATAATAAAAGCAAAGTGAATTTCATGTTGAATTAAAAGTTTAAAATGATGAAAAATGTGTGTTGAAACTTCAAAACCAAGGTCTATAGGAAAGTGATTAAAACTGCTGGACCATTTTAAACTTTTTTAGTTATGATGCATAGCTTGTATAATATAAATATAATAGTTCATGCATAGCTTTTATTAGATTTAAAGTTAAGTAAGAGGAATATTGAAATAAGTATTATTTCCAGTATGTGACAGTGTTATACTACACAGAATATGCCAAATATAGTATTTTTGCAATTAAATATAACTTTCTTTTTTAGGCTAGGAGTAAAAGCACTCAGTAAAAAACATCTGATAAACTGGAGACTGAAATTCATATGAAAACCCATCCAAATTCAAAGAAACTTATCAAATAAAAATTGACTGCTTGTGTCATTAGGCTGTACAAGTCAGAAAAAAAGGCTTAATTAATTGCAACTTAATTTTCCTGGCAGCTTACAAAGTTCAGCTTTATTAACAAACATTCAAGAGAAAGACAAAAGAAGCAATTTTTCTTCACAATTTGTAGGTCACAATTCAGTTTTTCCACAATTCAAAAATTCAGCTAAAACAATCATTCTTTTTCTTAGTCCTTTACAATTCCAGTTCAGTTTAATTAGTAGCCTTTTAATTTAACTAATTAAAGAAAAGTCTCAGTTAAAATGCTACTAAATTTTACAGAGTTTAGATACAGATGTATGCTTTTTTGTGCAAAGGACAAATGAAAACTGTTTTTAATATCCAAAAAGTTTTGACAAGCTTTTAACACAAAAATGTATCTATAAAAAAGGCAATAAATTGGATGTCATTGGTCATTGGATGTAAATAAAAGGTCATTGGATTGGATATTTCATCAAATATTAGACATACAAAGGGGTTAATACAAACCTTACTGTTCTCTAGCTCACAAGAATTCACCACACTTGACATGTTGAGCTTCAAAAAAAATAAATGAAAAAGTTATTTCCAAGCATAAAAAATATTTTCAAAACCCTGATACAAAAAATGCTAATTTCTCATTATGTGCATCACAAGGATAAAAAATTGGAGTGCAGCATCAAAAATACACATATCCTTGCTCTAATTCAATTAAAGATCTTTCAAAATAAACATCAAATTCCAGCATAGCAGTGTTTCTGGCTTGAATAATGATTGTCTCAAGAATGGATAATTATTTATATTATATATGGTAAACACATAGAAAAGAGTGTTTGAAATTAAAACTCAGTGCGATATTTCATCATATATTAGACATACAAAGGGGTTAATACAAACCTTACTGTTCTCTAGCTCACAAGAATTCACCACACTTGACATGTTGAACTTCAAAAAAAATAAATGAAAAAGTTATTTCTAAGCACAAAAATTTTTCAGAACCCTGATACAAAAAATGCTAATTTCTCATTATATGCATCTCATTATAATACAAAAAGTTGTAATGGAATGTTGGAAATAAATACCCATATGCAATAGTAATATAAGGTTTTAAAAAATATAATCCTGGCTCAGTGGAGTTTTGAACTTGGAGAATGATTGTCTCGACAACAACATCAATATAGAAAAATTAGTTAAAAATGCTCGACAAAAGAACAGAGTTTACAAACCTTGCAGATTTGTTGCCAATGGTTACACTGAGGGCCTTAAAATTAAAATGAAATTAAAATTATTTAAATATTGGCCAAAACAGCAAAGATATCAAACAAAGATTTAAGAGATTCATTTCAGATTAATTTAGAGCATTAAATATATTATACATTAATATCTTAATATCTATAGATAAATGTGATTATCTCAGCTTGCCTAAAAATCTTAAACATTTGCTCTATGCTTTGTTTTCCTGCTTGTTTGTTTTGTTTTGTATGTCAATGACAACAAATGAAAGGGCAAATAGAGTTTTCTTCGAACATTTTATTTTAATTGACAAAAATAAAGCATAAAATTAAGTATAAAATGAAGTATTGAGAATAGATCTCACTAAAACTGACTCCAAACGAATTACTTCAAATAAAGCTTGCAGATTGCAAACTAACTAAAAACACTAAAAAGTTTGTCTTTATTTGCAACTAAAGTTTTCAATAGCAAGAACAAATTATATTGAAAAAATCTAAAAATCTTTAAAATGGATGTCTGATTTAAAATTCTAAAAATTATGAAATAAAACATACCAATTAGCTTTTCTTTCACCTTTAACTGACACCAAAGAGTCATCTGGGAAAATTTGGAAAAGAAATATTCAAGTTTTGAGAAGACAGGAATCTGGAAAAATGGAAACAAAACTAGAAGAATTGGATTGAGAGTTGAAAGAGCTTTTAGGGTAAATTAAGTAAAGTGAATCTCATGTTGAATTATAAAATTAAAATAATGACATTTTTTGTGCCATTTTCAACTTAATAAATATATTAGAGCTTACATAATATAAATACAAAATTCCATGCATAGCTTGAATGAAATTTAAAGCAAAATGACAGTGAATGTTTGGAATGAAATGTTTTATCCAGTATGCCAATAGAGTATTTTTGAAAAAAAGAACCTGCTTTTTTGGGTATGAGCTTAAGCATTCATTAAAAAACATGTCTTTGATAAACTGGAGACAGAAATTCATCTAAAAACTTATCTAAATACAAAACTAAAAATCAACAAACAACAATTGACCTGATATGTTATTAAGCTGCACAAGCCCTTCCTGGCAGCTTATGAATTATTAAACAATTTTAGCTTGATTAACATATATTGAAGACAAGGACAAAACAAGTGATTTTCTCTTTACAATTTGTAACTCACAATTCAGTTTCCTCTCATAAAAAAAAGCATTCCATTTCTTAGCTCGTTATGATATCAGTGCAGTTTAATTTGTAGTCATTTAACATAACTAATTAAAGCAAAGTGCTCAAATTTATTGGGCCAATATAAAAAATGTCATCTGGTCTTATTTTTGTGTAAAGGACAGATAAAAACCATATTTTATTTGTCCAAAAAAGTATTGACGAGCTTTGAACACAAAAAAGGTCAAATTGAAAAATGAAAGTAAATTTGATGTCAGGCTGTCTGTTAACACAAACAGCTTCTTGTGGCCTGTCATTTGGAAGGTTTATTGAAAGAAATAAATCTTGCTGAACTGTCAGTTACCATCAACTAGCATTCTTTTCCAAGATAAATTTGAAAAGTGCAAAAGTAGCATCACTGTCTTTCTAAAAATACTTCAAAACAATCCAGCAAACATTTACTCTATTTAAAGGAGTAAAAAAACCAAAAATTCATACCTGTACTTTTCAACAGCCATACTTGACGTCGCAGCCAAGCAGCCCTTTTAACTTCATTTGTCGATGTTTTGTGCTCGCTCCATTATCCTTCAAATGAAGCAAAATGCACTTTAATCAATATTGCACTGCGAATTCTAATTTCTCTTTCTTTAAAGAAGTATTCCTTGAACTAACATATAGTCTACAAAAATCTTTGCAAACAACAAATTAAGAGCAGAAGAACAGGTTAGGTACTCCATTTAGCCAGTTGTCACGCTGTTTGCATTTCATGAAATTCCAAACTATCACCTTATCATTCCAATCACAGTTTTGTATTGGATTAGTTTCGCCTGCTTCATTTAGATTAACATGACAACCTAATAATTGCGAAAGGCAATATCAATTGACATTAGTAGACATACTCTTAAATCTTGCACTTGACAAAAAGGTCTTACCTAGGTTTACATGCCGTTGTAGGCCAAGATGAAGACATGAGTGTTTTGCACCAGCACCTCATCTCTACTCTTTTGTGCCAACTAATTGAATAGCAAAGAAACCAGGTATTTATAGGCATATGCAAATTTGGACTAAATTCCCGCCATATTCAGAAACAAAAGTCTCCTGTGCATTCACCAGCCATTTCCGCCAAAATTCATTCAAATTACCCGCCAATGATGATCTCCTTCACAGCTGCTCAATGCCCAAGAGCTGTTGCGCATTTTCAAAGACAGAAGCCTCACTAAAGGTTATTTACTAGAGGTGTTTCCTGAAGATTTCGCGTAGATTAGCCAATGTTCTAAATGTGATTTTCAGATGAACTGTATATATTAGGTGATGTGGAACTATAAGATTTCTTGATTTTTCAGGCTTTGTTTGTGGGGTCCAAAGAACGGGTGTACAAAAATTCCACATTTGGGAATTGTCTAAGGACGTTGCATGATTATATTCCCTGGACCCACGTTTTCTTATAGTTGCCCAAGCCCTGATTTATCAGTGTTGTGCCAAGAAATCCCTTAGGAGTCCATCAATTGTTTTTATATCTGCACTGACAAGAATAAAGAATCACTTTATCATGCTTTACATCATTTGTTTCAAGCTAGGCCATAAGGTTTGCTAAACCCTGTAGAATTCTTTGAATATCCAACTTTGCAACCTTTGTTTTTGCTGTGCCATCGTTTCGTAAGGAGGTAGACGTAGCCAAAGAGTGTGTCCCATTTGGGCGTTTCTCATCAAGGATGTAAAAGAAGTCTTCCATTGCTTCCTCAATCTGATAAAACTACAAATGATCAATTTTTTATACCAACTGAAATTTAAAATACATAACTACGAAACTACAGTTCGTGAACAATACCACAGAGGGCATTAAATTTCATTACAGTCCTGTGGCAATTCACAATTAACTCAAAGTCTATTCCAAAAATGATTCTAACCGAGATCTCTATGGAGGCTAAATTAATACCAAGTGGAAACCCAGGTTTTAGATGATGGCAAAACACAAATTTTATTATATATCTGACTTTTTGCTAATACGTTCGTCAATACAAGGACATTCTAGGTTTCTGTTAAGCAATGGGATATTAAAATTAGCATGACATTAAAAAAGAATACGGAGAAGTATACGAAAATTATTCAAATCACAAAACTGTGTTCAATTGAAGGAGAGTCGATTCTCAATGTTTCGTAATCCTTTGTGTGCAGCAAAAAGATTAATATCTTTGAAAGAAAAGTTTGAAAACACTTTCAGAATGCTTAGAATCATTGCTTCCCTAAAACAAGCCAAATTTCGAAAAGCTAGCGAGCCCTTCAAAAAAGATCTGGGCTACAGGCCTAAGCCTTGAACAACTGTCCGTTCAAATCGTGCTCAAAGAACAACGGTCTTAAATAAAACCGAAGTCCGTGCGCATAAATTTTGCTCTGTTTAATAATCTAGACATTTAGGTTACATGTTATTTCTGGAACGAACTTTAACATTTTAAAAAAATTGATAGCGACAGCTGTAATCAATAAAGCTTTTTGCAGACCTGTTTGCTTTGAAGTTCAGTCCCTGAAGTACTATCCCTTTTTTAGTAACAGCAGTCTAAAAATGTTACTAAACAAAATTTCGTCTTTTGGTTTACTCAAGATATAATCTACAAAATTTTAATTAGGTTCCGCCTCTAGATCTTAGAGTACCTTTCATCAGAGGGGGGAACTAATTTTTCAGAGGGGTGGGGGGAGGCAAAATCTCACAAAACAAGCAAATTTGCCGATAAATGACAAAATTTACCGAAAGAGTGCCAAAAACTGTGTTTAAACCGACAGTTTAGCAAAAGGTGGGGCTCTTTGTAAAAAACGACAACTTAGTAAAATCAGGGGAAATCTCGTAAGATAAATTAATATATAGATATCTAAAGAATTAAAACAATAAATGTTTTCAGCGAGCCATCAAATCCATCTTCAAAGCCCCAACTATAAATCCATAGGCAAGCAGTGTATCTTGTAACTAAGATGTGATCAAGAAACGATCATTTATTCGGCAATTTTATCCGGAACTATTAATATAGATTAAAAGATAAGACTAATACGCTTTTTATGTGTTTTAGATAATTACTTTTATGAGATTAATTTTTAACTGTAAATTTAACTGCATAGGGTACAGAAGACACATTAAAAACAGCAGTCTCGTTGAAGTGTAAATCTTGTCAAAGTATTTATTATTATATAAAATACCGTAACACTAAAAGAACTAGGTCTCGGGAGAAGAACGTCCATCAAATGGGCTTATGGCGAAGATCGTTCGTCAACACGGGGGTCTAGAGAAGAATGTTCTTCAAAACAGACCTTTGGAAAAGAGCATTTGTCAAATTGGCTCACTGTAGAAGAACTTCTGTCAAAATGGGCCACTGTGGAGGATAGTCTACAATGACGAAAATTAACTGCTTCAAAATTGGACACTGATATTCTACCGAAAATTAACTGCTTCAAAATTGGACACTGGGATTCCGTTGTAGAAATAATGATGATAAAGATTATATTTACAAAAATAGTCATACAATATCTTTACCTTGATTCCAAAAGCAGTCTTTTGAGATGACTGCCCCATCAGATCAAGAAATCCTTAAATGTTCTTGTACTCTATCGGTTCGCTCCTCAAGTGCTCAAGGATGGTCATCACCATTATCTTCGAAAAATGTCTACTGCGTCATCAGACTGCAGCCATTCGAAAAACCAAGCAGCTTCTGAATTTTGAATGTGACCAAATGAACTTTCTAAGCAACTTTCGGTCTAAGCATGCATAATCGACTTACTGTAAAAAGAAGAAAGATCGTTTGTTAATAATAAAATGGCTACAAAAATGGTGATAGAGAGAAAATTCTTAGAGAAAAGCCTAAATATTGGGACACTCGAACTAATCGACTAATACCCAAGAAGATTAAAAGAGTTGAACAAAACAGAACATCATACAAAATAAAGATGAAAAAACAGTACTTAAAAGAGTTAGGTAGAGAGAAGCATTCTATAAAAACAGATAAGCAAAATCAGTCACGGTTAGAATGTGTCTGTTTCTCTTCCTGAGCTTTTTCCTGTCTAACATATCTTAACAGTCTTTTAATCATATTTAATCGGGCCTCTTGGTTAACATCACTTCTTGCACGGTCACTGAAAGCTATATTACCACGCCCATTGCTCTCAGGATATCAGAGATATGATCCCTGGCTCCTTTGAGACATGTACGTAATACCAGATACTCTTCTAGCGTTCACCCTTTCCAAGTCTCCTTGCCAAACTCACGAACTCAATCCCACAACTCTTTCCTTCCTCCCTAGATCTTGTAAACTTTGAAATGCTTTACCCCCTTCCTGCTTTCCAGACTCTTACAGCCTGTCTTTATTCAAAACAAAAATATAGAAGCCTGATCTTTTCTCTCTCTCTTCCTAATTCCTCCTCCCTTTTCCTTTTTAGCGCTTAGCCATAGGCTCTTGAGCCTTCCCTAGCATTACCAAGTAAAGAAAAAAGACGTCATTGGCAGACGTCAGAGCTTGAAGAAGTAGTTTTGACACGTCTCAGCTGGATCTACAATTGGGCATTTGCAAATAGCATTACATCTTGTGACATACCAATTCGTTGTACAAATATTATTGCCGATTTCGAACTAATAAAAAGCGATCGTAAGGCAATTTTTGAACATCTATCTTGCACTATGTATATAGTTACGTTGTGTAAAGGAATACCAAATAAAATGGTTATATTAGAAAGAAGGATTACCAGGCCAAGTCAGAGGCTTTCGTCAAAGAGTACTTTAAGATCAATTTAGATTCTTCCTTCTTCTGGTCATCTTCCTATGATATTTTAGTGGTATATTTCGTGAACATTTCCCCCAATTGATTCTGGCCTTCTAGCACAGCGTTGACTTTTGCTATCAGCTTCGAAATAACGTGAATATTTGCTCCAACTGAACCAGTCCTGTAAAAAAATATTTATATTTTTTAAATTATTAACAAAATCAAAATTAAGTTCTACAAAGAGTCTAAAAATCCCCATTTTTAAAAAAGATCTTGCAGAATTTAAGGAAAGATCACACATACATTTAGTGGAATCAATAAATGAAAGTCATTTTAAATAGTATCTTAAAAGCAATAAACGATTTATTTTATCTAGAATCACACATCATCTGCTCGTCTTATAGCTGGTATTTCAAAAGAGACCTAAAGGAACCCAACCTCGAGCTGCTGCTTTAATTTCCTTCAACAAACGAATGTGGGTGGCAACATCTAATGAATCCTATGAGAGAAAAGGACGTTCTTACTTTATGTGAAGATAGAGAAGCAAAATCTTACTCTAGCTGAAGATGTACATCTGAGTCATCGTGAGCTATGTTAATTTGATATTTGATTAATTCATAACTTCGGTTTAGATTGCAAAAATACCAAAAAAACAATGAATGTAACGTATCGATGGACACATTTACGACATTGAACGAAACAAGCTGCAAGAATCAACAAACCTTGAACAATATTGATAAATTGTAAGTTATCCATTTTTATAAGAATGTGCGGACAGCATGTGAATAGAGCCTCATTATGAAGAGGTAATATCTTACTTACCCACTCACAGTTAAATGCGATTCTACAGCCATACAATAACTTTTGCCTCCAGCTCAAAGGTATTCTTTTGAGATGTTTGTTTCGTCAGTTCAAGAAATATCCAAATGTCCTTACACTCTATCAACTTTCTTAGCAATATCATCCAAATATGGTCATCATTTTCGCTAAAAAGAGTATATTTAGCTAAAAAATGATATCAACTAAACAAATTTGACCTTCAAATGAAAAAATCGGTTAATAATTCCTCAACGTACAACGAAGACAAGGTAAAAAGATATATTAGAAAGCTTCGAGCTATGCTCACATGGTATAGTACAACTATTCCAAAAAAGATGAGCATTTTTCTTCAGATGAAGGATTTCGTGACGAGGGTCCTCTCCTGAAGCCGTTATCTTACGCCAATGTTTTTCTGCATATAGCATGTGAAGCTTATCAACTGACAAGAAACTTTAAGTCACTTACAAAAGGACTGTTTGACTGGCAATGAATTTTTAATCTTGAAACATCTTTCCATTGTGCCTTTATTTACAGGCTAGGAGAAGGGGTGATGACCTTCAAGGAGTAAAACCCACAATCAGGCAATTTCAACGTTCAGCAATTGAATTTATCGATTGACTAATCAAGGACAGAACATATGACAGCATAAACTCCTTTGCAGATCCACCTTAGAATATTACATTGAACGACTGAACCATTCCAAAGTGAATTCTAAGATTCCTTTACAATCCAGAACTTTTGCAGTATCATATCGTAAGGAAATAAGTAAGATTTAATAAGATTTTCAAGTAACAAAACAAGCAAAATAAATAACAGATGCAAAATTTCGAAACTGAAATTAAAACGGGTTCCCCTTTCCAAAAATTATATAACCCTCCTAGGGTATTGTCTTATTCAAAAAATTGAAAATGAAAAATGAAATGAAAAAATTGTATTGACTTACTTCATTTCAGTTGCAGCAGAAGCCGGCCAAACCAACAGCAGTTGTCCAATATCACTGAATTCACTCGCATTTAACTTTCTTTTACTACATCCAAAACAGGTAGAATTTGTCTTCATTCCTTTCTTTGTCCTGAACTGATATCTAAAAAACGAAAAATGGAAAGCTAAAGAACTGTCAATTTCTCGAGCTGGTCTAGAAAAAGTACTATTTGATGATGGGGAATTCTCTTAAGAATTCTCGAAACACATGCAAAATGGTTTGCACCAGCAGAAAAATTTGACTCAGACCACCCTATAAAGCCACTATCTGAATCGAGAAAGTAAACTCAGGCCAATATAAACAGATGCTACAGAAACAGTCTTCTCTACAGGCTGCTTGTGAAACTGTTTCACGTTTCTTTGTATGGAAGGCCTAAGACACTTTTGTACATGCCGATATCATACAAAACATGGTTATAGTCTTCAGCAGAGACAAACATGACGCTGTACTCTTATCGTCTAATCCAGGTAAGCAATGATTAAGGTGAGGGATTGAGGGATAAATTGTCGATACAGTAAAACTTTCTGAATACAGTGTGTCAAATTATATAGCAATTATTTAAATGCAAAGAAAACCAAAATAAGAGCAGGGGCAGCAGAAACTGTCAGGTAAATTACATCTTTAACAACCATGAACGATTTGAGACAAAGCAAGTTTCCAAAACAGCTTTCGATCCAAGTTCGATGAAACTATTCCATCTGTTTTTTGATAAATAAAGAAAACTAAAAAACCCTTGCTCAACTCAAATGAATGCTTTTAAAGCCACGAAATTTCCAATTTCAGAATTCTTTCAACTTTGATGTCTTCACACAGTGGCCTAACAATCTGCAGCAAGTCCTGCTCAGACAGTAAAGTGGCATCATGTTGCAGATATTCATTTACCGTATCTAACATATCAGCAAGTTTATCGATTGGAGCTGAATAGCTTGAAAAAACTTCCTACTTAAAATATATCAAATGTACAGAATATCCAATAAATAAAATGACGATTTGAATTAAACAAAAAAGCAGACCTTAGCATTGTGTATTCAATTTTGCAAGAAAAGTAAAAAGAAATTAAGGATTGTATTTTTTTCAGTGAGAGACATCAACACTTTAACGCCATTTCATAGCAACTATCTGAACATGCATATTTCTTGAAAAAAATTATATCAAGCCTAAAATGAGATACATTATTCATCATTCTTTGTGCTACAGAACAGCATTTCGGTATAAATCTCTGAGACAAGTTTCCCTTCCAAGAAAATCTGATAAGAGAAAAACTACAACTTTACAACAAACTAACTTACTGTGAAACTTTCAAGTTTTTGAAAACACTTGTCAGCGCCCTCTTAAAAGCGACAGTTACGTAGAGAGTATGCTTTCCTTTGACGTCAGCAGTCTTGAATATCTCAAGAGCCTCTTCTTGCTTCTCTTGTTAAGAAATAGATCCCTGGTAATTTACTTACATAACACAAGTCAGAACACAGTAAATAAGTTCTATCTGGATACTTGCATTTCAATTTCTACGATAGATTCAAATAACATGTAAAAAATATCTAGAAATCAACGACAGCCGGAATACAAAAACAGGACAGACTCATTACAGAATAATCTCAAATCCATTATTTACGAGAACTAGCTCTAATAAACATATTAATAACCAAGATAACTTTCTGGAAGTAAATGTTTGAATAAAGAAGCGAGCCTTGCTCTGTCCTAGTAGATGTCTGTGAAAAAATCATTGTAATGGCTTAACTACGTTGGGTCAAGCTGTCGAGATCAGGTAATAATTGTTCTCTTCTCCTGTAAAAAGCCTTGTTAAACTATTGTGAGTATATTCAGTAGAGATCGAGACCTTGTATGTCTTATTTTCGTAATTGCAATTCAAGTAGCAAAAAACTGTCACCGCAACAGCAGTTACAAAGTTACATGATTAAAAACTAACTCAGGTTTTCATGATGTTCATGGTGAACTTACTCAGATTCAATGATTTAGCACATCTGGCAGATATTGATAGACCCAATCTTGTTTTGAAATATACATTTAAAGAAATCAAACGATGTTTTAAGACTACACGAATGTAAGGAAAACTTTACATCATCAGACTGCAGCCATTCGGAGAACCAAGAGGATTCCAAAATTCTTAATGTGGCCAAGTGATTTTCTAAGCAGTTCTCCGCCTAAGAATACATGGATCCACTCTAAAATGAAAGGCAATAGTTTTGTGAATAAAATTGCAAGGAAAATGTTTAAAAAGAGAATGAAAAACTAATCAACTAATACCCTTGAATTAAAAAGATTTCAGAAGATGCTGAACACGAAAGACTAGCATAGAAAATAAAGATGAAAAAGTAAGACTTAATGGTGAATGCAAAAGAAACTAGCAACAAGTTTGAAATTTTTACAAAACAAAATATTCACAAACCTGTCACGAGTCTGTGTTTTTTAGCATTTTGCTGTCTTATATATTTTAATAATCTTTTTACCATATTTAATCTTGGTTAATCTCAAGGTGTGAATATCGTTAGCAGAGAGTGTGACGAAGTATTTTTGACAAATATCAAATCGATTAGCCATAGGACATACAATAAGTATAGGACACAGCATTTGCAATACGTATAACGTATTATGACATAGCAATATATTATAAGTTATTGGAGATTCAGAACTAATTAATAGCGTTAATATCGATAATAAGGAAATATCTAGGCAGCATTCTTTGTAGGTGTTACGTATTTTGCTTTTTATCTTTTTTATTTAGAATTTGTCTAATCTCTAGCTATACTGAAGCTAATTAAAACCAACTACAATTGGACGATGAAAATTCAGAGATTTTTCTTGAAGATTTGTAAAATTGGAGAGTATATTATTTCGCTTGGTATTGAGTTCCATATATGGCCATATCTATATGACCCTGTACAAGATCAAAATCTATTTTGTAATGAGGCTCCGCTGTTTTATATTGGAAGGTTCTTAAGTTATATGGCTATTCATTTATGGAAAATATTTCATCCAGTAAAGGAGGATTTACACTGTTAAATCTTTTATAAACTTCTATCGTAAGATATTGTAAATTTTTTTGTCAGAATTTATTGATTTATTCTTTAACAAAAGTTATTCAAAAGTTGATTGATGAATCCTGTTTATCCGGCTTTTACTTTCCTACTGCAAAACATCCAAATAACAGGACAAAAATTCAAGTTTGATACAATAAGGCCGTTTACTTTTTTTCCAGCTTCTTTGCAAAAAATTTTATATGTTCTTCTAATCTAAGTTGAAGGTCCAATGCTACTCATAATAGTTTAACATGCTTGCCTTCTTTTATAGTAAAACCATTAATCTTAACTTTAGATTTCTCTAAATTGAATTGGCTGGCTTTAAAAGTTGAAAGCTTGCTATTATCATCGTTAAGCACAAAAAAGTATCACATAACCATTCATAAACTATTGCAGTTTCTGATTCTAAGTCACCAGTTAGTTCATTTATTTTTTAAATATGGCAAGCATTAGCCGTTTTCATAAAAAAGGGAACCGAGACAACATCTGTTGCCATTTTAAAAACTTTTGACGGAATATTATCGGCTACTGTCAACTTGTACTGAAATGCGTGCGGTACAATATGATGCTATAATAACGGAATCAATGTAAGTAAATTGTACCAGGAAAAAATTTTTTTTTAATTAATAACGACATTTCGAGCATAGCCCGTTATCAAGTGAATAATGGGCTATGCTCGAAATGTCGTTATTTATTTAAAAAAAATTCCTGGTACAATTTACTTACATTGATTACGTTATTAGTGTTAACTTGTCTTCATCAAGGTTGCAAATTATCCCCTTTTTTTTCGAAAAATTCATTTTCAAAGTTAAGCAATTGAGAATTAGATGAGGTAATTGGTGATGGTTATCAAAGCATCTCAATCGATCCAATAGTGCTGAGGCCGTACTTTTTTCGGACGTTTGGTGTACATTATCAGATAAAGGTCGGCTTATATTGAGGCTTTCAGTAATATTTTACATACATGCATACATTAATAGTCATAAATTAGTATGATTAATTATTTCAAGTAAAGGGTTAGGGTTAGGGTTAGGGTTAAGGTTTAGGGTTAGGTTTAGGGTAAACTAATTACGTCATCAGGTCGAGCAATATGGAAACTAGACAGCCCCTGGCCACTGCGCCCTGGTTCCCGTTTCTGACGATCAGCCTCGCATCAATAAAATCTCGTTTAGATGTTTGAAAATGGCCGACGAAAAAGATGCAAAACCTACCAAGAAGAACCCTTTCACAGTAAGAATTTTATCGTCTGTAACAACCTTTCAGTGAATGCTGTTGATAAATTGAAAAAACGAACTTAATTTTGCAATTTTACCGTGACTTGCCAAAGCATACCGCTTTATTATTATACCGCAGAGCTGTTTTTACGCACATTTTGTTATGTAACTCAACAACAACAATATGAAAAGTCGAAATTACGTACTTTATTACTTAAAATGCAATCGCATGCAACAGATTTTAAATATTTCTTTTATTGCTCACTCTTTTTTAGATTCTGATCTAAATTTTTTTGCAAAGCTATTTAATTAATCATTTACGGTTTTTGGGTTTTCAGCACTACACTATTTTTTAGTATTTTTATCACTCAACTTATTTTTCTCAATAGAAATCTTGCGAGACATTGTGTAAATTTGGCTTAGATTGAAAATCTCCTTGCATGTTTAGAGTCTCATTTGTTTAAATGCATCCCCATACCCCCTTGACTGTGGGAGTTGGTGTTAACAAAACTTATATGAAAAGCGAGGATGGCTCAGTTGTTAGAGGCGCCGACTACAGACCAAAGGGTCTGTGGTTCAATTCCTTGGCATGACCAAACTTTCACCAAGTTTGAGGAGAGTCACCAGCTCTCTGTAATTCTAGGCAAAGGAATGACGAGGTGTGGTCCCATCGAGAGAAGGGACAAGGACACTGCTTGATAACCATTAGTTCTCAGTGTCCTAGAAACCACCTTCAAATGCTAGGTAGAAACAAGTACAAATACAAAATACAAATACAGAAAATGCTAACTTGCATGGCAAATGTTAAGGCAGATTTTACTGCTGGTTGAAGCATAAAAGTTGAATGTGAAATTAAAACAAAAATTTAATGGGCTAGCTACCTCAACACTGGTACTAGTTGAAGCCTTTAGATGGGAATGTGGCTTGGGCTAGAAAATGAACAGAAAAATCAAGATTATGTGACCTGTCAGTTTATGTGAAATTAAGTTGGCAAAAATGAATGATTGTGAATTGGAACACCTGTCAAAAGAGAATCAAATATGAAAATTACTTCTTCAATTATTACTGGTGTATTCTAATTAATTTCATCTCCACTGGAAAGCATGCACAATCACTGATGTTCTTGTGAGGTCCTTTTCTGCTCTTTTTCAAGATTGCTTATCTGAAAGATTTCATAGAGAATACACCATGTGCTAGAAATTCGTTACTTTATGGATTGGTTGGAGGAATGACAGTTGGGACATCAAAATATATGTATTCAAGTAAATAATTTCAATTTTTTAGAGCTTGCATTAACATTCTTTTTTTCTGAATAAGACACACCTGTGACACTTTTCTTAGAAGCATGATGTTCCTTTACCAATAGGGGCTTTGCCAAAAACAATTTGTTTTATTTACTTTAATTAAAATTAAAATGATCTAGGCAAATTCTGCCACTCTATACAAGATGATCCTAACTGGATCATGCATGAAATTATTGACCTGATCTATTGATGTGATCCCGCATCAACTTTCGTACTGCTTAAAAATACATTGAAGAAAATCTTAAATACATTTTAAGAGGTATTATTTACCAGACAAGTACAGAAATATGCCATATTGTAAGTGTTCTAACTGTATTTCAGAAACAATTTTTGAACACCATGCTAACCAACCATAAGACATTAACGATTAGGATTAATGATGTTATGTCCAATCCTTTTATTAGATAAATTAGTACTTTTTTATATATCTATGTATAGCCATGATGTATTTTCTATCAACCAGAACAACCACCAAAAAGGCACTGATATGGTGAAACATATTGGTAGAGTGTAGTATTTCTCAAGGTGTATTTATTAATCATTTTATACTTAGGAAACCATTTCATTATTTGCAGAGCACATCAGACGGTCATGTGATTACGCTGTAGCTTCATTTGCTTTAGTTTCAATTGGCAGCTGGTATGACCAACAATTACATAAATTACATCTTCTCTCAATTGTCAAGCGTTCTTTACTTTTACCTCCTTTTCAGAAATAGAGTTCTGATAAAAAGAACAATCTTGTGGGTGTACCTTCAATACTTTTTCAGTTGATCATATATCCTGTTTTTTTAACATAATGTAACTATATATATTTGCTTTAGATATCTGTTTTTTTCTTTCTACAGGCAGTTATGTAGATATTTAAACTGGAAACAAAGGAAGGAAATTGACAAGACAGTTGAACTTCTAACAAAATACTCAAATTCAAAAGGAAGTGACAATGACCAACCAAAAATTGTTTGAGTTTAGTTATCAGTATGGCCAAGACACCAAGTGTGCTTTGGGCAATTGTTGAGGATATCTTCAAGGTTGATGTTGGCACCCTAGTTGCCCCTTTTGGCAGGACGGAGTGAAGCTCACCAGTGTTTGTGTGTTAGTGTAAGCATTGCAAGACAATTCAAAAATACAGACAGCCACTAGAAAAATCATTGTTTAGTAGAACTAAAAAGGAAAGTACTATGAACTCAAGTATAACAAAAATTCAATTGAAACTTAGTAAAAATTAAAACATCAGTGAAATCTGAAATGCAAATTGTCATACAGAAAGCTTTTGTATCTAAATTTATTGTACCCATGCTCATAATTGAACATTTACCATTATTAGCACTCTTTAATCAAAATTCTATCAGGCTTTCGTATGTCTGCTACATGATAACTTGAAAATTTTATTTCAAATTGATGATAAAAAGGGGCACAAATGTTTAGCCAAATGTACCATAACCACCAAATATACAGATGATCATACATTTTCAAATATTTGAAACATAACATGCTGAACAGGACCTTTTCAGTACAAAAATACATACCTTTTAACAAGCATCCTTAGTACATCACAACCAGTGCAAAGGAAATGACGGGTGGTTATATTTTGTGGTGGCAATACAAGTGAAATGGAAAATTTACGATGGCCATCTTGTGGATAAAAAGAATCCATTGAAAGAAATAAAAAAGAAATAAAAAGAAAATAACCTTTTCAAAATGTACCCAGTATATTGTCACATCAACAGGAAAAAGATAAAAGAAAGGAGCTCCTCCAAAGCTTTTTTCAATTGTTTTTCTTTTGTGGAGTTTAAATGAATTTGTATATCTCATCTAGAGAGTTACAAGAATAGATATTAATGTTTAAATTATCCCAAAATGATGATACTGAAAATAGTTTAACGAATGATAGGAGCATCAACAAAATAAAAATCGATAAATCCATGTTTATAAACAGGCAACAAATCATAATGGAACTATTCTGTTATAAGACATTTCGTACAATTATTTACAGCTCCATTTATTTGCAAAAGTGAATTAAATATCTTAACTATTTTAAGATTACCAAGATATAAGCCTGTTGGTTCTCTTTAAAACAAGTACTGAATAAAACAGGCCTCTTAGTAAATAAAATGTTTTCTTTGGTCTTTTTCAAGAAAGAATTTGGAGTCCAAACCCCAAACATAAGTTAGCCCATGCTATTCTGTCACTTTCCTATGCACAATGTAATTTTGCATTATTCATTTCACCTTTTGGACGAGTTGAAATTAGCAATGATCTACTATACATTTAAATGATGCTTAATATTCACATAAATATCTTTACTTAAAATTACTGAAATTCATCTTTAGTTGAATTTTTGGTTGTGAGGATAAGGAAGAAGAGGATTTCAAATCTTGCTGTCTTTTAACTTTTTCTTTGTCAGCCTTCAAAGCCGCTTCCAGCTTAGTCCTTATTTCTGGTGATTTCTCAATTGCACCCTTAAATGCCAAGGGATACAAAGGTCCTATCTTTTTCAACCGTTCCAGTGAATGCTGATGAAGTTGATGAGAAAATTTTGTTGATTTTATCTGTTTTGATTCATCTATAAGAACTTGTGTAAGGCAGGAAATTAGAAGTAGCATTGCATTGGTACCTAAAAGATAAAGCCTTTATGTATTGGTATAATAGATTAAACAGCCAATTTTCTTGTGGTGCAAAAATTGAAAATGGTTGTGAAAAAATTGAAAAATTTTGAAAGATAGTAAAGCTTTTCGTCTGATACTCTTCAGAGTATAAAACATCAGAACATAGATCAAGACAAAGTTACAACATTAATACAGTACACCCAGTTGTGGATAAAAAGAAGCCAATCAGAAATCCAAGTACAAGACTGTAAAGAGTTGCCCAATAAGTTACACTATTAAGGCCTATATAAAATTTTACCAATAAGCCCAATGGTGTAAAAAAACTCCTGTCTATACAAACAATTAAATCAGAGAAAACTAAGAAGGAAGCATTTGATATTTGCTAGTGACATTTAGTATTTGCTGGGTAAAGGCCCAACTAAGGGAACCTATTTAGCAGCTTGTATATACTCTTTGCATGAAAGTAGAATATTTGGGCAGGAAGGTGAATGATTTGCATCTTCCATCTCTAATCATAGTGCAGGCTGCATACCTTAATGAAGGCTGCAAGTGCAAATATTCTTAGGACAGACAGGGGTAAAGCCAAAAATACCTTTAAGGAGGAGCAAAGTAATGATTTTTGCCGACAAACCCGTCATATGCTTCTGTTTTTCTGATTGGACTATTTAGATCCACAACTGGGTATAAATTTTCCATCTTATTCTTAGGGAGTCTTACTCAGATGTTTTAATACTCCAAAGAGCGCCAGACAAAAAGCTTCTGATTTGTTCAAAACCATTTTCAAATATTGTGCTGCCAAAAAAATTGCTACAGAAATGTTAATATGTTACAATTATTACAAAAAGGTTACAATTTTACTAACTAGGATGAAATGAGAAGTTTATTCTTTTACCCGGAAAAATTTTTTGTGCCGACGGACAAAGTACAGCGCTCTCTATACCTCCTTTGGCGATGCCCCTTAGGACAGAACGCCGCTTCGGACTATTGCTGATGAATTATGTCATATGAAAACTAGCCTTTATGCACCGCTTTCTCACCCAAATCCTAAATCAAGGCGTTACTCTCAAGGAAACTCGAGAGGTTGCTCTTGAAGGTGATTAGAAGACAGAAATTGTGTCAACCTTCGATTCTAGTGGATGATATTACTATGCAATTATGGACCTCTCTTATTGATCAAACAAAGATGGTGTGTCACAATGGGCCTTGCAGTGTGGAGATTTCATAACAACTGACACTTACGTGAATGCTCCGGTGCCATGCCAACCAATGTTTCCAGCAAATTGAATACTTCAATGCAGAAATTGAATTCCAAATCTGAATTTATGGATACTTGACTTTCAACTTTATCAATTATTTGAGGGATGCATCCATGAATGAAATTATAGGAAATAGATGTATCTGTAGATTTTATGATTGATCCAAGAATTCTCACTGCATTGAGGTTGAGCTACAAAGAAATTGACTTTTAAACACCACTAGTTTTTCTGTTTATTACAAAGGAATACATCATCACTCTTGGAAAAGGTTCTATTCACATAGAAAGCTTTAATTAGACCCACAAATAGCAAATATAGCAAAGTGATATCAGCTACATGATTTTTAAATTTACATCAAGGTGATGCTAAAAAATGAAACGACCTCTATCTAACAACTGACAATTACCGTAAATCCGCCCCCTTGAAAAAGCCCCCCCCCTCGAATAAGCCCCCACCCTAGAACTACAAATTATCAATAGGCCCCCCACTGCTACCTTAAATTCTCGAACTGGACCCCTCCATTTGATAATTTTTGCCATCTGAGGTTGCCTATGGTGTTTTATTGAATTACCACAACAAATTCATACTTTGGTAGTAATTAACTAAATGCTCATAAAGAAATTCCTTCTTAAACAAACGAGGTCTTTTAATAATGTCTTCTTAATGTCTACAATAATTTTATAAGCCCACCTCCTCGAATAATCCCCCATCCAAAAATATCAAAAATGAATAAGCCTCCAGGGGGCTAATTCGAGGATTTACAGTACTGATTGAATAAGGAAAGACAAAACCACAGAGAATACCTACAATGCTTGCCAAAAGTCTTGGAACACTAACGCCAATTTCCAAGGTCAAAATCAATCACCCCCCTCTCCCCTACAGAACAATGTTGGTTTGCTATCAAACAGGTTAGGATTTTTGGAAGCACTTTCTTTTGCGCTTCTTTTACGATATTTCTTTAAATTATCAGCATTGTTTTAGGGGGAAAAGGGGCGGAAGTAGTAATTTTTTTTTCATGAAAGGAATGAAAGATATCAAATGCAGCGTAAATTGCTGGGTGTTCCAAGTACTTTCGGCAGGCATTGTATATTCGTTTTTGTAGTGGTTTAGTAAAGATGCAGTATTAATGGGCCAAAGTCAATCATAAAAAATTAAGGTGACCATGATATATGATGCATGAGAAGTGCCTGTTAAAGAGGATGCTTGTACCATGGAGTACAAAAAAGTACAAAAGTACAATAAAAAGTACAAAAATTATTAAAATTAGCCTTGGTTCAGGGAGTTTCGACGAAGCCCTTGTAAAAACTATAGTTAATATGTGAAAGCAAACAGACACGAATGGAGGTCTGCACAACTGGTGGGCAATAGTATTTTGCTCAACATATGACTTTTTGCCGCACCTATTATTAGCATTGGCACTTGTCTAAAACTCAACTGCTTCTCTACAAACACTGCTCAATTCACATTAAAATATATCTGTTTTGAAAATGGTGTTATGAAAATGGGTGCATTTAAACACACTATTAAAACAAAATCGAACGAAACAAAAACACCAATTTGCAGTCCAAGCACTGACGGTTTATTTGAAGCGCAAATAATGGTTGTATCTTATGGTTCCAACAGCACCATCCGAGCATATATCACTAAAGCAGCGTTTTCATTTGACTATGGAGTATGCGCTATGACGGAAGCAAGACAATGAAGAAGCAATTTGCTATGTTGCTCTGGCATTAAGGGCTCCTTCAGTTTACTTTATTGGTTAGAAGAGCGATTGCACCTGTTAGCTTAAACTCTCGAGCAGTCGGCAGTCCGGTTGCAGATTCATTCATGAAAAGGGCTGTGATAAAACTCATTAGTTCTGAAGTGAATTTTCAGATACAAAATGTGTAAAAATTCGTAACGGATGATGAAAAAAATGAATACCTTAGGATCTTTGTCTTGGATAAATTGAACGAAAAGTTGAATTATTCTGTTTAATATTTCGAGGGGCTCCACGACATCCTTTCTGCCAGTTAACAGGAAAATTGATAAAACAACAAGCATTTTCTCTCGATCAAATTCCAGAGGTTGCTCTGCAGCATCGAGTAAAGAAACCAGAAAACTATAAAAAGATAACAAATTATGAACAGAAAATCTAAGCAATTCAACTTTATAAATCATGCACAAATAAAATATGAATTTGACGTGAAGAGATTATTCAAACTTAGCAAGGACGAACAGAAAGCAGCGAAGAAAATATTACCCCCTTGCATGCATGGCCTACTGTCACTTTCACTTCGATTTGGGAATAACATTCAATTTTCATACCTAGCAAGGCAGCATCTGAAACTTATAATGCATTAGGGGCTCGGACGCAAGTTGGAAAGTTGGAGGGGGTCAGGGATGAATTAAAGAATCGTAACAAAAGAATTTCCTAAATGCATTGTTGTTTTGATAGAAAGTGGGGGCATGGCCCCCGTTGATATGGGCCTTGAGCTTAAGCAAAATAATCCATGTAGCATTACAAACCTTCGTAAAAGTTTGACCCAGTCAGCTTTGACGTCATCATTGCTTAAGAAGGGTGAAGTCAGAACGCTCCTAACACTCTGGATGACCCTTTGAAACGACTCTCTTTCTCCCATTTCTTGAGACTTTACACTCTTGCAATGGTACTTGATAATTCCGTTAAGTAAATACAACACACTTGGTAGACATTCAATGCTTGCAGTTGGAGTGCAGATGTTTGGAATATCAGCCAGAAGAACGGACACTTGAGAAAGCAGTTCTGCTGGCCCACAAGAAGGGAAACCTACACAGAAAGAATAACCGATATATTTACGACAGAAGCATTTTCACATAAATAAACTTCTCACAATTCTGGTTTTAGTGGTTTATCAACTCTATTGATGTTTTCAAACTAAAATAGCAAGGGATCTGAGTAAGATAAGACTAGGACTAATTAAAATGTTGGCCAATAATCACCTCAAATTAATTGTGAATGTTTTATAAAATAAAAGTTTGATTCATATTTTGGTGTTATGATGAATGTGGCCAGCCTTTTTTACGAGGGTTTTGGCCTGTTCTTGGCATGTGCAGAAAACTGCTAGTTTTGGATTCTAAATTGGAGGCTGCGAAGTCAAAAAATCTACTATGGATTACCAGCGTAGCTGTGAAATACCAGGGTTGGTAACAACATTTATGGAAGGTAGCAGAACCTTTTTCATTTTTCATTTGAAGGTGAAGCTTTCTAATTAAGGAAATGCATTAAATGAACAAAACGGTACAGAATATAAGCAACGAAATTTTTTTCTCATATATCTACATGAATTCGTCCGAGGAGTCCTACTCATACATTAAATTTGCCGGAGAACAAGTGGGATTTTTCTTGTTATAAAATGAGAATGGATTGCGAAATGTTCTATTTTAATTATTTTTAGGCAAAGTTTTGAAGCAACACTAAAATGTAGTCAAAAAAATAATGAATCTTGGTTGAAATTTCGCAAGAACGTAATCATATCAGCGCAATGAAGATATTTTATCATGTGAAAATTTTGATCAATTTTTTACACAAACCAATCATCTTGTTTGAATTGGACCTGTAATATCTAGTGAAGTCACTCACTGCTTACTACTGGTTACAATAGTTCAAAATGTCTACCCAAAATTTCTACAGCTGTTAAGTTCAGTCATGAGTCACCCTTCTATCAAGGCCAAACCCTCTAAAACACAAGCAAAGAGTAACACAAGAGCCGCTTGTTTACTTAAATGTAACTTCTAGTTGAATTGCGAAACGATTATACAAAAAGCTGTCCTAAACAATCCCTAATTTGACCAAAATGCCTGCGGATGTTCGTCGCGCGGAAATCAGCAAATAAAGAACAGGCAATTTCGATAGAAGTCATTAATTTGCAAGAGAGAGTAAAGGGATTACGAAACATAGTTAGAGTTAAAATCTTAAGACAACAGGAAACCGAAAAGTTCTTTACGTATTAGGCTGCTGATGTGATAATAAAATGCACATTGGAATTTAATCATATCTAGAAAAAGTTGCAAATAAAGAGGTGGGGAAAAGATGCCCCCTAGGCATGCAAAGTGATTACAAAAAATTTAGCGTTGGCAAATAAATATCAAATGAAGGTTGTGACAAAGATAGTTAAGAAGAAGAATCTATAAAGTTCTATTAGATTTTTATTTTAATTTCATATTCTATTGACATTTTTTATAACACTTTTTTCTATAAAGAAAATCTGATTTATCGCAAAAACAGTAACATTAATAAAAATTGTCCTGATATTTTGCTTAGCTAAGAGGGGTTCTACCATGACATGGAAAAAACTATAGTTTGCTTACTGGTTTTTCTTGAGGAATGCATTTTTGGCTTCTTGGTAGCAGCAGGAATCATATCTGGTGCATATTTTGATACAACAAGCAGCGAAACTTCCAAAAATGAAAACACAACGCTGGCACCTTGCACGATCTCATTTTCAGCAGTGTCATTATCATCTTTCCGTGTTTTCTCAATCAATTCCAACGCGGCTTTTGATACCTGCTTCGTTATGTTAAGTACACGCTGTTCGGTTTCTGGGTCATCTTTACTTAACAGAATTCGATAAATTATGACCAGAAGCTCCGTTGATAAAGCCTGGAAAATGAAAACCGCTTATTCAGTTTCAAGCAAAACAACACAACGTCAAACGTATTCAACGTAACAGGAACCAGTAAACTTGGGTTCGAGCTGGCTGTTCTAAATTTTTACAAAACGTTGAGGCTTGGTTGCTCATAATGTGACCTTAAGTTACGAGGGTGACAATTTGGAGACATGCAAAATCTACATTGGATAGAGGCAACAAGTTCGAGACATGCAACATTTTGCTGCGAAAAAACAGTATATGGTATAGAGCGGAAATTCTCTATTCAATAACATTAGCAAACGATATGTCATGACAGATAAACATTTGATGTGTTTAATACAAGTGTTTGATGTGTCTAGCAGTTTTGGAATCTATCTATATTACCACGAAAAAACCGCTACTGTGTAGACAAAAGGAGTTCGTTTTCACCTTAGGACTCCATTGATAACATTCTCAATAGGCAAGCGGAACTGATTGGGCAACCTCAACAGTCATGTGCTCGCGTTTCTGATTGGCCTATTTCGATCCACCACTGGGTATATATATTTCCTAGCGTAGAGTTTTCGATCTATGTTCTGACGATTTAAAGTCTGAAGAGTGTCAGACGAAAAGCTTTAGTTTACTCAAATGTTTGCTTTTTTCAAAGCCATTTACAACTAAATTTAATAAAATTTCATCTTATGAGGCCCTTATCACCATTTATATCACTTCCTCAACAAAAAACGAATAACAGAAACGACTGGCCTAAATAGCTCGAACAGTAAGATCATTCATGACTCACTTTTTGCTGAGCTAATCTCGCCACACTGCGTAGGTATACGTGACGCCCAACACAAAAATGCCGTCTTAAGATAAAAAATTCTTAAGAAGCACCGAAGTGATAATCAGTAGACACAGCGTATGCGAAAGAAAATGCTCAAGCGGCATAGTCGACAAAGAATCGTATTACATGGTTATGAATGGGCATCTCCAAAGCTGACAAAGATACCTTTTGCTGGGTCAAACGTTGTCTGCCAAAGGCCGTTTCGAGTAGCGACTGCACTGTGCACAAACAGTAACGAAAGTCTTCATCTGAATACATCACAAATTGAGAGCACAGGGCTTCAAGGCAAACTCCAGATATCAGATTATATCTGTCTTTGTTGATGTCTTCAGGACATTTTGGAGAGTCAAACATGGTCGATGGGTCGGAATTTGAAGGAGGTGGCACCTCATCAGCTGAAATTATAAAAAAACCATTAAAAATTACACATTTTTTATGATGAACAAATTTTTTAGGAATTTGGAGCACAAAAGGGTTGAGACTTTTTGATGAACTGATTGAGAGTAAAAACCAGGATTAAATTCAAACGACAACTAGATTTTATATCTATTTGCGTTTTGGAGCAAAAAAGGGTTACATTCACCCAAAAAGTTCGGGGTACACACATCAAGATTGTGCTAGTGTGCTTCATTTGTAAAATATGATTGAATGATTTATGACTGAAAGGCTTATGAAGAAATTTCTTCTGCCTGAGCAAAAATTGTATTCTTATGAAAAACAGTGTACAAATCCAAAACAAGTTTCCAAAAAGGTTCTTCCTTACTTACCCTTAATATAACCCTTACTGCCTATGCATTGACAATTATTTTCCTTACTCGGACATACTAAACCCAATTATTCATGTAGAATGCAAGCTGGTCATTCAATGCAACCGTTTAATGAAACAACAGATTCCAAAAGAAACCAATTCACGTAGAGCAATCCTTTTTTATTTCGAAAATTTGTACCATCGTCAGAATCGTTTCTTTATATAATAAATTGCCCTGATTTAGATTTTCATAAAAAATGTATCTTGAAAAATAAATCTTAGAAAATTGAAAATCATTGCGGCGATGATGATCACTTAGCTATACAAAAGTGTTCTCTGAATATTAGATGGTGCAGATCCTATAATATATTGATGTGCTATCGACTTTAGAGGCACATTGCGTCACTCAAACCTGCTAATTTCCTATAAAAAACATCTCACAGTTACCCACAAGTTCTTTAAAAATTATGTTTTCAAAATTTTTCAATGGGCCTTTTCATCCATAGAAGAATTTCCTTGCGAACACAAGGATGCAGTTTTTGTCAATCTGGGAAAGGGAGTGGATACCCAAACAGTGCTGTTGCGGTTACCTTGGTGTGGAAAAATTCTTTATAATAAACAAAATTCCTATAACTTTTCCCATTAGTCATTTATGCTAGAACCCAATGATGGGGTTTAAGAGAGGAATATTCACTCCTTTTCAAGACACCCGTTCTAGCAGCACAATCGTGATAAACATCAGTAAGAGAGTCTCTCTTGGACGGGGAAAGAAACGTCCTGACTGTATTAAAACTTCGAATAAACGGAATATTGACAGAAACATCTACAAACCAGCCCCAAGGACAGTTTCTTCTGGATTCGGAAAACCGTGACTTGTCAACCATAGAGTAAAGGCATGCGCTATAGAGGGCCAAGCATTGCGGTAATGAGGTCGAACTTCTTCGATCGTTTCTTGTCTAGAAAAATAGAATAAAACCTGCTTATTGGTCCATTCTTTCTTTACTTACTACAATTCTGTGCCAACAAAAAAATCTAAGGTCACAAAACAAATAAATATTGACTCATATTCAACTTGAAAATCGCTCAACAAATTCCAAAGTTTCAAATATGTTCAGCGTAAATGATGTTCAGCAGAATGCTCTCTCTAAATCTCGCTTCAGATGGAGAGCACCTCGTCTCTAAACAATACTTTTTGATACGTCCTAACACTTGCTTGTAAACGTTATTTCGATAAGATAAGAGTCATTTTTCTAGATAAATCTCTATTTAAAGGGGTGTAATTTTACAGAAAATGATTTAGCTCTAATACTAAAAAAGTTGAAAAAGAAAAGAGAACATTATTGAACCTGTAAAAAGTTCCTCCGTCACTTGGCAGCTGTGAATGGTATTGCTTTGGCAACATAAGGTATGCATAATCTCTTAAAACCTCTATCCAGTGCTTGGCAAGTAGCCGGAGGTCCTTCTCCACCAGTTCAAGCAATTGTCCTCCAGATGATGGGCCATCTAGCTCATCTTCTGCCTTTGGCGGTGCCTCTTCGTGTTGCTTTGCCATGATGTAAATCTGTTAGGAAAAATAAACCAGCTTGATTAAAGGCAAATTCAAAGAAATTGTATCAAACATTATAAATTAGTGATATCTTATTGCTGTTCTGTGAAAAATACTCAAATTTTGTATTGGAAGTTATATGAGAAAGTGATTTCTAATCTGACACGAAAGTAAGATGTTCTTAATCCTGGATGAATAGAAAAAGTTGAATCATAAAGGAGCGTTAACCTATTCAACTCAATTTTTAAAATGACGATCTTTGAATATATTTCAAAAACTGGACGCCGAGGCATAATATTCAAGTGTTGTAGGACTACAGCATTTTAGCAGGAAAAATTCATTTAAAAAATCATCCTCCAATTTGATTCTTTAAGAAACAGCTCTTAATAGGCAAAATATAAACAAGGATGGCGAAAAATCAAATTTGCAATATCAATTGCATTCTGGCTGTTGTCAATATACAAAGGAAAGGTTAAATCCCAAAAATTGCAGCTATCAATGAAATTGGTATGTACTTTTGCCCATGCTTTCAAGACTGCAAGACTTTCTAAAGTGTAAGAGCTCTCGCTGTAAATTTGGTCCGTTCTCGTTTCTTGTGAGCTGATTTTTGCCAAAGATGACGTAAGCATCTGTTGAATGCGTCTGACGTCGTTGATGTCACGAGATATTCCACTTCCAATCCACTCACTGCAAACCTAGCAGTAAATGGATAAGTAAATTTGGTCACGTTTTTAACATCTTTGAGGCATAAAAATATTTATGAAATCTTGAAAGGCAGGATTAGGAGCACCATTTTCACGTTAATACTAACAGAAAAAAAAGAAAATAGAGCAGCAATAATAATTTGCTGTCTAAAAATCTCAGAATAGCCAACGGTTACACGTCATAAGGTCTGTAAAGCAATTCACCTTTCTAATGAATTATGGTTAATTATGTGCTTGTTAACGTGGCCTAAAATGCCCTTGTAGCCTACGCTATCTTATAAAAGAGATTTCTTACAAGAGTGGTTTGCCTGTATGCAAAACATCTTTAGAACTTCGATATATCATTTCCACCAAATAGTAGAAAGCAAAAAATATCGTGCCCAGCTATTTGGTGTCTATTCAAAATATCGTGTTACTAAAGCCTAAATTAAAGCGTGAATACAAGCCTAAATTTTGATTGTTACTAAAGCTACTTGCTAAAATGCTACTTAATTCGACATGAAAATTTAAAAATATAGACTAATTTATATCTTATAAAAATAATCTCGAAAATAAATCTCTTACTTCGCATGCCATTGCAATAATGTTCGGTGGTGTTGATGGAGTGAATGCTGGCTTTAAAGCAGTACCGACCTAGAAAAAAACAAAAAAACTTGTCAAAAAAACTAAAATATTTGATAAGGCTGTTAGCCTCTTCAGTGTACGCCACTGGGGGCGGTTTAGCATTATAAATTTACAAATCATTCGAAGAAATTTATGCCTATTTTCTTAAGCGTAACTTCATTTGCTACTCCGTCACTCTCCCGCGCAGAGTGCTACTCCGCTGTAGTTTGTAATGTAATTTATTTGGCTAAAATAAACATAATGCTAGATTTTTGTTGTCACAATAAGACTTCTTTTGGAAGCCTGTATCAGTTTATTTTTCCGTTTTGTTTCTCTGTAAACGTTAAAATTCTCTTTGCAGTTGGAGGCTTGTAAATTTCAAAATAAAACCCTTTAACAAGAACTTTTCCTATCCATAGCTAATTCATCACGCATACTGTGCTGAATGGAGCATGCTTCTCCAAACCAATTTGAGGCCTCAATTCAACATACCTAATAAGATGGTCTACAGAGCATACCTGAGCCTGAAATTGTTCTAGGATCACGTGGCCTGGAATGTCAGGATCTTCGGACTTTGCAAAAAGCTGAACAACATCCTAAAATCAAATTATATCAGAAATGTCACACAATTGCGGTTGTTCTGACAAATAGTATTCGAAATTGTAAAGCTTTTCCATTTAAAGCAGAAAAATTACCAGCAGATATTATCAAGTTGCTACTGAAGACATAAATAACCGTGTTTCCTGCTCTGACGTTCTATTTCCTTTCATATTTTATCAGTACTGTTATTTTAAAGCATTAATTTCACATTATGGCATCTTTGACATAAACATTTGCAGCAGCTTAAAACCATAAATGGAAGCGAATTAAGCAATTTACCAATAATGCCTTGATGCCTTCGAGCTTCAGCTGGTCGTTGTTTGAAGTGCCAGCAATAAATGCCATCCTCACCAGCTCAGACAAATGCATGACCAAGAATTCACCCTCTTAGAGAAAAAAAGAAACATTACTGTAAAAATATTTATGTTGCACCGGAAATAAAATGCAATTAATGAAAAGCTTTTTCGAGGATGGAAATTAACCAAAAGAGAAGAATAAGAAATAGTGGAATAATTTGAGGGGAGAGCCTTGCAACCATTTTCTCTACATTCCTTTACACTGACGACAACTTTTGATTGCTAACCAAGCAGCCTTTATTGTGGACATGATTAGGTTAAAGTGGCCAGAAATAAGACATTTGTGAGCTTTAATCCTGATAGGATTTCGTCATGGTTATCTAAACTACTTCATCAGTCTCATGTAGTTGGCATGAAACCAGCTCTTTCGACAAGAAATGGTTTTTCAGGATTAAAAAATTCTTTTCTGTTTTAACAATTAAGCGTAATTTGGAGAATGACACAAGCCAATCATTGAAAGGATTTATTTTCAGCTGGCAAAAATTCCCAAGTTGGAAAACTGGAGTAGACTGCCAAGATTCTCGAAAGGAAAGTCGTTACATGGCAGTATTCATTTCGAAATTATAAACTGTTGGACACACACCAAATAAGGAATGCCAATAAATTCGAATACAGTTCTACAACTGGACATAGGTAACACGGAAACACATTAGGAACGCCTGGAAATGGAGGTAGTGTGTTATAATTAAACGAATATTGTGGCATTGCAGGAAAAGTATTCATTTGGCAGCTTTTCGAATGGAACGATACAAGTAGCACTCATTATTTCCCATGCCACTTAAAATTTGCCATAAAAGTGTATAGGTTTGCAAATTCAAAAACAGTCTGCAAGACTTATAGAAGTAATTTATTGCAAGCAAGAAAATATTATCATTCTGCTGTTGTTTGAAATCTTAAACATCGACTGTAAATGATGACGAAACAGGGATTTTTAATATGGCATCAAAGAAAATTTGACCAGAACTCTCTTTGTGGCAAGAACATTGGTTCAGAAGTACCGCAACAAGTTGAGATTCGGAAGCAAAGAAGACGCAGATGGGAGTTTAAAAGATAAGCTTTCAGAAAGGTTTAAAGTTTGTTGAAATGGGAACATGGGTCAGAGAAAACCTTGCCAGGAAGGGAGGCTAGACAAGTCTGCTAAAGACAAAGAACATAGATCCCCCTCAACCAAGAATTTGTGACGTGCGTAACCTAACTGATATTTTTAGAACGACAGACTGGAAATTCAATCAAGGAGATTTTCTTCGGGTTTATCGAGATAAAATTCCTAGATATGACTTGAGTGTTAATTGAATCAGTAATAATAGCAAACAGTAAATCCACCGCATTAGAACCTACTATCAAGTTTTAAATTTAGAACTGTAGAAAAATTCATAACATAGACTCAAGATTTAACCAGAAACAAGATTTAACTTAAGACAAAACCAACGTCTTTCACTCCTTATAGGTTAAAGATTTTTCATCTTTTGATGTTTTTGCGTCTGTTGTAGTCTGCGGCTCAAAGAGACTTTCATTGTACAGTTCTTTGCGAAAGGAATTTCGTTCGTTTGACTGACGGGTTTTGAAAATCATTCATCTAGGTAAAACATCACTGTCCTTCACATTAGTAACATCGTTGAGTAAATCAAATTCGGAGCGAAAATGAAACTTTCTATTACTTGAAGGTGAATTTTTCTCTTGACACAATACAGTTATATGTGGAAATCAGCACCACATCTCAAATGGGTCAAACCAAAGAGGTAGAATAAAATTAAAAGAAGAGGAAACGACAGAAGAAGTTGTAATTTAGGCCATTGGAAACGAAAAAGCACATGCTCCACTTTGGGAACACTGAAAACTTTAAATGCCACCCTTTATTATCGTGGATCAATCGATTATTGCCTAACTGGCCCCTTACCATAGTTATACATATCGTTATACAACTCAAGGAAAAATAATCTTTTTTTATATATACATCTTTGATTAGCCATATTCCGATCTTTTTATTTTTATTGTAAATTTTACAGTCTAAAACGTTTTAATTTTGTAGGTAGTTTTTTTTGCAGGGTCAATTGTAAAACAGTATTTAGACTGAATTTGTACCCTGGGTAAATAATTTTAAAATGAAAATGAAAATATAGAACAGATTCCAAGTAACACAGATAATAAGTCTATGGAAAAACAAAATGCACTGCCCTCATGTTTTGTAAAGGTAAAGCTAGAGTCTTTTGAAAAACCTTTCGCGAAAGAGGATTATGTTTTTCAAGATGATGTTTCTTAATTTTTCAATATCTCCTGAAAGATGAGACACAGAAGAGCATTTGACATAAAAACTTACGCTGATTTGAAATTTGTTCTTTTTGCCTGGCAAGTGAAAGATCCAGATGTGCCGGGATTTGCTTGCACGTTTCAATGATCATTCGAATACATTCCATAGCGAATACCCTTGTAGGCCATTTTGGTGTCACAGTTTGCTTGTCTTGGCTACTAGCATTGAGGTTTAGGCCACCCGCCTCATCTTCGTCTTCCTGTTCTTCGTTTCGTCCTGGGGTAAAAAAGAACTGTAAGGTTTTTATTCACGGACAAAAAGAAAACGGCAAAAAGCTGTTATACGACAGTTGTTTGGAAGGCTATCACGAGATAGCCAGGAAAACGTAACCTTGCTTGTTCATCGAAGTCCCAAAATAGTACAACTATTTAAATCACAATCAATAACAAGGATAAAAGTGACATATATATCATTATGATTGAAAAGAAAGCAAAAATGGGGGGGGGGGAGGTGGTTTGGTAATCATTTGCAACAAAGGCTTGGGGTTACCATTAAGAAAACCCTTTCTGTTACAATTACTTTCGTGAAAGATTCGAACTTTTGATTTTATTAAAAAAATTGATAGGCTGCTTTCATTAAAGAATCAAAATCTTGCTTGAATCTAAGAATGTTTAGCATAAGGAGGTCGCCCCTAAACCCGACAAAACTGCTTCGGATTTAGTTTACTTCTATACCAACGGTGTCATATGATTGCTGCTCATCTTCAGAATTTATTTGTTTATAACCAGCAATTTCAAATAAGAAAATCCGTTAAAAGACTTCTCCTAGCATAGCTGTAGCTTAGTCTTTTCTAAATGACATTCGACAACAAAAGAGAAGAGCTGTTATCACGGAAGCATAAGAATTATTTAGTTTCAATTTCGTGAAAACCTAAATTAAAGATGACAGCAAAATTCTGGAAAAGAATTTTAAATTACGAGAGACAGCAGCAATCAAATGAAACTGATTGAGATTGGCCACGAAGTAAATTTGAACAAGAAAACGATTGATCTAACATAGCCTCGATTCCTTGCGTCTTAATATTATCTGTTATTAATGGTCGAGATCCGTTTAGCGAAACAACGACGGGTAACTGCATTACAGCTAAAATTTTAGTCCATGACATAAACAACATTCATGAGCGAAACTGCAATCGAAAAATCTTGATATGATTCGGATGTTGGGGTTATTAAAACTTTATAAAAATATATATAATTATAAGCGGACTAAAGAAAGATGATGAGTGAATGGGGGATTAAGAATTATTATTAAAATCTTTACTTAGAAGCCCCTTATCAAATTGTGGAGGTTTCTACGAATGGCCTCTGATACCACAACTGAAAGGTTTAATCCTGAAGAAAGTAACGTAGCTTTGCTCGTTGCTCTCAAACGGCTGCAAAGTCCCCCGTTAATTACAAAATGATATCAGTTGCAAATGTCGTTTGGCTTAATATGCTCTAGGCACAGTGGAGCTTTCTGAGTGGTAGGACACACACAGCCTGTAACCCGAGTCAATGGCTTCATACGCCTTTTCTTTTGCCTCAAAGCCCATCTTCGGTTTCTGGGATCATTCAAAGTCATATCGCATTGGGGAGGGGAGCAATTACCCCCACAACCCACCAATTTCGGTCACAAAGAGCAACAACATAATCTTTGCGCTAGTTGTAGTTCAGCTGATAACTTTTTCAATGCAATAAGTCTTGTTGAAATCTCTGCATAGTAAATATCAATGTAACGCCTAGCATTTCCATAACGTTAAGGGATGCTAACAGAAATCATTTCTTGCCATATAAAGAAAAGCTTGCCCTTGTTGATGGTCAAAACTGTGGTTGCATCGTATCATGGTAAATAAATTCAATTACGATATTTCAGAGCCAATTATATTCAACTCAATTATTTTCAATAGAAAGCAAATGTAACGAATTAAAGCAGGAAAAGTTGACTACACGAAACTCGATATTTTGATTTGGAGATACAGTTAACCGAAACGAAGCAGAGATAACTTTGTCGAGCGAAGATTACTTAAACCAAATCGGAAATTAAGAAACTGGACAGGAAGTATGACCTAACCCAAAGGTATATACAGATAAGGGGACTAAAACAGGAAAGCTTTGATAATCCATACAGAAATTCTGATAAACGATGACGCACGCATATTGAATTTACACTGTAATTTATTTTGTAGCAAAATAATATAATTTAAGTAATGACGCTTCAATTGAAATTCTGGTCTCAAGTCTTCAGTACGCAAGAAAATTTACTACACGGCCTCTTACGCTTTGTCATGATGAAGATGAGATGATATCTATATCTACTGTCAAATACAATGCCTGTCATTAGATTTGGAACACTAGTAGGATTTTTGTCAAATACATTGGCAGTCTCCCCCCTCAAAAAATGAAAACATGTTGAATTATCATACAAAGGGGGCAACTAGGGGCAGTTGCTCCACCCTCGACGAGTTAAAGCAAGTCTGGAGCCCCTCTTTTGGAAATTGTGCGCCCCTTTCGAAGAATGAGAATCAGGTGAAAAAGATTCTGAGACCGAAAGGCTGATTTGCTTCAAGGATTACCTCAAAGTTATGTTGATCATTCCGAAAATTGATCTGAAATTTTTGTATACATCTTACTCTCATCATCAATTTTTTGAAAATTTTTCAGCGCCCCCACTACCAACTGCCCCTCCTTCAAGTTTGCTCTGGATCCGCCCCTGTTATCATATATAGAAATGTACTACTTGAATGTAATTTATTATTTTGAAACTAGAATTGATGTGGCTGTGGGGAAAGGGGGCAACATGTTTCTTTAGGCGTGAATAAATCAAGAGTTAACTGAAATTGCTTCCATTATAAGAAGCAGCGGTTTTGGGGACTGCGGGGCCCGGGGCAAAAAACATCTGCGGGGCTCTTGTTCTTTACAATTCTATCTTTTTTCTTTACAGTTCTTAACAAGGCTTGGGGCCATGGCCCCCTGGACCCCTCTTAAAACCGCCATTGATTACAAGCAACTTTGGAAGTGCCCTCCAACAAAAGACGATGATGACTCCAAATGCTGGTTACGTTTGAAGGTGAAACGTATTTCAATAACGTATTTAAACTTGTTGAAAAGTGTGAAGGAATTGGACTCTGAATACCTAAGAAAATGCAGTTTATCAATGACATATCAGCAGTGATATTCTTATCAGAAGGAAATTTTATGTTCGAAAGATTCTTTACTTGAATCCGGCTCTACCAATTTTCGATCTTTATCCACATGTCATTTGGCAGTTATAGTTTGATAGCATAAAACCATAGTCATGCATAAAACCAACTAGGCAAACATGATTCTGAGGCTGAATTACCCAAAATACAACACGCGTGTTTCCAGTAAAGACGCCAAGCAGGAATGCACCGCGAATATTTCTCAAGACGCTTTCTGATAATCATGGGAGTGATGAAAATTGAGAAATGGTATTATCCAATTATTAACCAGTTGATAATACATCAGGAAACCGTTAAGAGCACCGGTACCATTATTTCATACAATTATGTGAAATCCTAGGCAAATCTGGTTGGGGCCAGCTAATAACTGGCTATTTAATATCACCAATGAAGAAGGCTGATCTTTTTTAGGACCAGTCTGATCCTACCTTAACAAAGTAACCGTATTTAAATACGCTCTTGAATCCTTGAAAGTCTTTAGCAATGAGATAAATAGATGTACTCGCATTTCCACTGTGACTCTATGTCGCGTGGGAAAATACTTCAGAAAGACATTGACCTTCGGACCGAGGAACACAGTACGAATGTGTGGTGCTAAAACGCTAAATATCCTAAAAGGCCTACAGCAACATGAGCCATAGTATGGTTTTAGTATACAAAACGCAGCGCAAAACCCCCTCATGCTGCCCCCTCAGCCCACCTTCTCTTTCGCAGCCCTTGCACAGCATCGAATTTTTGTGTTAAATTATTATAGCAACAAACCGTATTCCCAGTGACCAGATGCAGAAATTATATTCAGGCAAAAATAAAGATGACTTCGTACATAATCTGTTTGAAAGGGAGAATCTGATAAAGTAGAAACATATGCTTGGGCAATAATCTAGCGATGTAGTGTCCCCCTGATTGTTGCCAATAGGCTGCTCATTGGACAGGAGTCGAACTCATGGGTTGGGGACTTGTTTTGGGTAAAATCGTGAATATTTCTAACCATAAAGACACATAGGAGAACAATTTCGAAAAAGCTAAATCATATTATTTAAGATGGAATGCTGTCTCATTGAAGAAATTTGAATGGTGTAGGATGATAAACACTAAATTGGCCAATAGCCACTGTACAACTCGCTTTTCATCAACTACAGGCTGTTTGACTCCTAGACGGTACACGAAAATTGCTAATTTCTAATTAAAAAACCATTATATTTTTCTTATAAGATAATGTTTTGTAGGCTAGTGAAATACATTACTTGCGAATACTGAAGTAGAACTTCACAGAAGAGGTGCAATGAGAAATGTAATGACTTTTTAGGTGCCAGATATAAAAAACTGGACTATGTTTTCAAGTCGTCATCATCAAATCTTCGCCAGTGATGGCCCTGCTTATGATCCTTTCGCATAAATATAATTTAGCTAGGTGCTTGAAGTGAATCTAGAAGGGAAAATCCTGCAAAACTTCACGAAGGAATGCAAAAAAGGCATTTGGCGAATATCAAATAGCTTATCTGAGGTATGGGGCAAAAAGAAAGATTAGGCCCGTTATGACATCATTAAAACTGCAAGTTCTTGTAGCTACTACTAGGAACTTCGCTTAGCTACGGACAGGCGCAATCTGCCTCTGCCCCTTGCCCCTGCCCCTTCTCAGCGGGTCTGGCTATGATGATTATGATCCTGTTGTAAGTACAGTCTTCGCTTAATAAAAAGCTATTCAACTTTCTTTATGCTGGGGGAACCTACCACTACCAAAAACGAAGGTACAACAAATCGTTCTAGCATCATGTTTCATATCTGGCAATTTCTGGATGACTACATGCCACATAACACCTTATTCCCCATTTGGTATCCATAAAGCAAGAAGGTATTACAGTCATCTGCTGATATAACGAAGTAAAAAAGCTGAATAGGTCTCCATAAACAAAAGAGAGTGGTAAAATAAACATATCCTATCCATACAGATGATCTCACAGAAGTCTTTTTTCCGAAAGGGATGAAAGAATAAACACATCAGGCCTACTGCGTGACCCAGAAAATCCAGGAGGGATTTTGCTTCAAGATTTCCTTTCTTTCAAATGATTACATTCTAACTCTGTCCAATGACAAAGCAAACAGTCCCGAAAGCTTATTTGTCAATAGACTAGAAGAGGATTTTTCCGTGCCAGCTTTTGTTGTCGAAATTATTCCGGATAGATAATATCTATGTAAATAAATCTTACAGTATTGCATGTCTGTTGGAGAAACTAAATTGCTTTTCTTCTCTATTTATTGATAGGCCGTTGTAGCTCTCAATGGCTAAACGATATCCTTTATGTGATAAATAGATTAAAATCAAAATATACTCCAGCTTTATATGTAGGAAGGAAAAGCGTCTTTTCAAAAGACAGAACAACGCTGCATGACTCACAAACAATTATTATTGTCATCCACAACCTCCTTCTTATTTAACGCCGCTTATGGTCATCCGAAGATTCGTAGGAATAGCTCGACAGACCGTCTAAAAAGCTTTGTTGCATTGCAAGATCATTTTGCATCTTTGAATTTTTTACATTATGCATTTGAAAATCATTAAAATGTAACCCACAAAAATAAAGGGTTTCACATATTCATAATCGCCCTTCATTGCTTGCTTACTAAAGCCACATTGACTAATAATCCTTTCCAAGTGCAGTAAAATCAACCTTTAAAGAGGTTGATAAAGTTAAGACGTCTTATAAGGGAAACCTCAATAACTAACGCCTTTTGATAACTGAAACTAAAAAAAAACTTGGGCTTAAGAGTAACGGCAAAATATATTTCTCCAGAACCTTGTTTTCTTGCAGCCAAAGCTTGAATGGAGGTCTACCAAAATGGACCATAACTCTAGTCCAACAGGTTCCTTTGTGTGGGGGTTTTCACTGTCCGCCCAGTATGCGTGCAAATTTATTCAGCTTCAAGTCATCATTAAACCTCACAAACGTTATACAAAACATGATGCGAACGCTGCCAAAATTTCCAAAATAAAATAGACCTATCAATGATCACAACCAATGCCACTGAAACCAGTTCCGAAACAAACGGCTGAAAAAAGGTAAGTTTATGATAAGAATAATAGCCCAGTTAGTTTAAGATGCGAGTTTTGAGAACACTGTTTTCTTCTCACTACAGTTTCTGTTTTTAACACGTCCAAAGTACATTCGATTCCCTGCCAAGATAGCTAGCCATTTTTGACCACAGCTGTGAATGGTTCCAACACCAACAGAAATTTCTAAGCTTCATGCTGCCTGAAGGAATGTCGTAAACTTTTTTGGAATATTGAAACGAAAAGCCAATTTTTTCATGTGAGACCCCCGCCATGTTTTATGCTTCCAAATCTATAAAGCAGTCTTCATTTTCGCAAGGCTACACCTGCGGACAATATAGAGAAACAGGCTCGCCATTCAACTTTATCAAAGAAAGGAAGGAGCTGGACACTCTCGGCTTCTTTATAGGTTACAGAAATATCTTGAAAGGTAAAAAAAGTTCATTTGCATTTAAGACAAACGCTAGAATATATGGTGATCAATACTTTGACGATATATGTTTTTCGTAATATGTCACAACCTTACTAGCGCTATCAAACACTTTGGCCCTGCTTTAGAAGATGGTTGGCCCGAAACATAATTTCGAGGAAACCACAGTGCTGTTTCTAAAGCCGCAAAAACAATAAATGGGTTTTGAAACTCCTCCTCTTGCTTTTCAGGTTAAAAAGTTGATCATGGTCTTCTTCTTCATTGAAATAGCCTAATTATTACGATTAGAACTGGCTTCTAGAATGCCAGCCTTGGCATCTTCAACCTGATAACCCTGATCCTTTCAGCCATCAAACAATGGTTCATCAACGTGAAGCTTTGCCCTTCATTACCTCTCACCGAGGGGAGCCTAACCTCTATATGCCTTACAAAAATCAATCTTATCTCTGACACTGATGGAACTAACAACACAGCTGAACATTTTAGGTCACGTTTTAGGGCATAGAGACTCGAAGCCGAAAATAACTGACTTTAAGCTTTGGTGAGCAAATTACGTGCCACTATTCTCCTGTTAACCTCAAAGAGTACACACTTACTTTACACCTTGAAAAAAGCAATAAGGAATCTACTAAACAGCTCATTTCTGCTTCGAGCCCTTGTTTAGAATCACTACCGTAGACTTTAATACCTTTTGCTTCTCTCTTTGCAAGTGGCTTGTCTGCTTCTGCCTTTGATGCAAGCAAAACCTGCTTACACATGCTTAGCCAATGTTGTAGATTATCAGAGGATAGGAGCTGCAGTAAGCTGACAATGCTCTCTTTAATATCCGCTCTCAGTCTTGGGTCCACTTCAGAGTCGAACAAAGTAAACAGCAAACCTAGGGTGATAATGAATATGGCCTAAGATATGCAGACGTCATATCACTGTAAAATACCTTAAAGTAAGGAAGTCCATAAAGGGATAAACTTCAGAAAATACAAGAAGACAATGCACCAATGCTTTTTGGCAGAAAACCCAGGTATAGAAATTGCACCTATGCCATACAGTAGAGCGAGCTGAATATTTGATATCCCAACAACCAAGCTACAATCGATTCAAACACTTACTAATATACTAAAAATTACTGGTAATAACAGGTTAACAATCAGAAGCAGCTTTCACTATGGTAAACTTGAGACATCCTTACCCTCTAGACTTTCCTCTCCCATAAACATCTTCTTCTTAATATTTGTCCAACGTTTAACTTCGAGTAAACCATGTTCACAAACCTCTTTGGCCTCTCTTTGAGCAAGCTGACGTAAGCAGGCTACACTGGCACGGCGAAGCAACAAATGCTTACTAAACAGTGTTTTACAAAGTTGCGGAATAAATATACTCAGATTGAGAAAGTCCGGAGCGAAAATATGCAGTTGTTGTAGGCAGTATATTGCCTCTGCCTGTACCAGAGCGTCTGGGTTATTTTGCATTACAGAACAAGCAGTCATGCAAAACATACGGAGTCTCTGAATGCTCTTTGATGTATCTGGGGAGCAAAATGGCGTTAGTGTTATTAAAATATTTACAGGCAGAAGAAATTTTAAGCAGCCTAGGACATTAAATATCGACTGTTTTGCTGCGTTGAATGCGTCTGTATATTGAAAGAATAGACATGGTTTGCACAATAAGAAGATCGATTCTGCTAATATTGTGTATAGTGAATGAAAATATATTGATATTATTTGTCTCAATGAAGAGATCTCTGTAAACATAGCCTTGAAAACAATAAATTGAAAATGAATTTTTTAACAGCGGATATGAAAATGTATAATTTGCAACATGTTGATAAATCCATACAAATATTGTACTACAATTTTAGCTGCAATGCAGTGACTTTAACCTAAAAGAACTATCACAGCTATAAAAATTTGAATCATCCAATCATGAAACGTTTTTGTATTGTTGTGAACAAGCAACAATTCAAAACTGTGAAGTTGCTTTGTTTCAAAAAGAGTTTCATAGCAACATCCTAAGCAGTGCTCTTTAAGGCGAACCTTAAAGAAAATTTCATTGGGTATGAAAACGTAGAAAGTCATATTGGCAAGTTTAAACAAAGTATACTGAGTTACTAATTTTATACAGGAGCTAGTGATTCGATTTCAACAGCCCGGAATAAAAAGCACACAAACGAACAGAAACAACGTGAAGATGTATAGTACAGGACTTGCAGTATATTTACCTTGTAACTCTGGACCGATGGAAGTAATAAGAGCCCCAATGCATTTCCCTAAACATTGGTGAATTTCAGTTGACGAGGATGGGTTTTTCAAAATCAGTTCCAGGACACCAGACATCGTTGGCTCCAAACACTGGCGAAACATTGGGCCACCGGAATCGGCGATCAATGTCAGAGCGTGCAAAGCCCATACCTGGAGACAGAGGAAATCAGAAATGTACCTTCTCTCTGATAAAGAATAGTCTAAACATTAAAAGTGCCGAGGTTCTTAAAATCGTGTTTTACTTCTATGTAGCCATCTCTGAAGCCTGTAATGGCAACTAGAACTTTTGATTACATGGAAGAAGGGCAGAATGGTGACCATATTTCTAGACTATGACGTAACTAACGCATATTTTATTACGGATGGCAGCATACACAGTGCAATACACAAATAAGAGGCTTAATCATGTTCTTAATAAGCGATTTTATTGCAAAAAGAAAAGCTGCGCTTTTTGGACGTGTTGCAAGAGGATGACCCAGTGGTACAGTTTTCTGAAATATTATGGAGGGCTTTATTTCAGATAGTAGATCATGTACAAGAAGAATCAGGATAGATAGATTAAAGAGTGGGCAAACATAAGAAGCTATGGTATCCTAAAAAGGGGTCTAATGACAGGGTTTGGTGGAAAACTATGGTCAGCGACTTACAGTTCACATAGATGCTACTTAGAATGAATGGATAAGCAATTAAAAACGAGCCAAAAAACCGAAGTCTCCTCTATTCCAGAAGTTATACGCTTATGATCTTTGGCAGAAATTGCCATTTGTTAATGATTTTCGACTTTTTTTAGAAGAAATATTAAAAGAAATTTTAAGGCTTTTATTTTGTATTATGTATTTTTGATGTGTTACATCTTTTTTTCTTTCAAACAGGGCCCTTATTGATAACAATACTCGTAGTATTGAAAAGGTTTTACCCTGTAAAAATATTCCTCTTATTATTATTATTATTATTTGTTTCTAGCAATAAATCCAAAAATAAGATACAAATTGAGTAACTACAAAAACAGCCTACTTGAACCAAGAATGAGCTTTCATCCTTCGCAAGAGCTAGCAGAATTGCGACGCTTTTATTCAAATGGTGTCCAGATCCCATACCACCAACATAACGGTGTAGGCATCCTAACGCCAAGGAATGCCCGGATCGAGGCACACCGTCACGTGCCGCTTTTGCCTTCTCAAAACTGAGCAAGGCCATCTGGGCAACGAAACTTGAGTCATTGACGACCTGTGCCATCCGTCCCAATGCCTCCCCTCCTGCGCAGCGTAGCGTGGGCTCCGCATTCATGAGGGCTTCTTGCACTAATGAATTGGCTGAATTTCGTAGACTTTCATCTCCAAATGTTGCTTTCACTTCCGCTATATTCTGAGAGAGGAAACTTTCACAATTAAAGCATGAATTTGTCAACAGTCTTTTTAATAGAAAAACAAAAAAGTGAGGGAAAAATTAGAAAACAAACAATATGAAACTTGACAAAAAATCAATGTGACATCAATATCATTGAGCAGAAAAATGCTTTGCATTGTGCGCAAAATTGCTTTGCAGTTTGCATTGTGCAATAAACCAGATGTTGAAAAGCTATGAAAGTTAAACCACAGTACAAAAATGAATTCTGATCAAGACCAATTAACTATCATGCTTACTATAAAAACAAAAACAGTGACAGCTTAACTCGTTTTTTGAATAAGTTTTATAGTGCCCTAGCCTTTACAGAAACAGAGACCAAAATCAAGCATTTGAAACCATAATAGATATAGGTCTCATGGAAATGTATGCGGTTGAAAACAGGCTTTGTGTACGGTGTAGCTGCATTTCCAAGGGAAAAATGCATGAAAAATTCTTCAAGTTTCTGCGTTTACAAATTGAAGAACAAGGCATCTTCCTCTACACGTGCCAATCGATAAAGCCTGTTTCAACAAATTATAGCATTGAAAAATGTAACCAGACTTATGCTGTCATTGTTTCGAAGAGAACGGGTGTTTTAACTATCTGCGATGTGTGGAATCAAATACTCGCATAGAGACTCATTTATTTAACGTGACTATTGATAAGGGACGTTAGAATTGACGCAGATGCAATCGTTTTCGTCTGTACTGAAGCGTACCTCAGCCCTTGCTCCATTTCGATTTCATATAATCTTGAGTTAAATCTTTGCATCTTTAACCACTGTGGGGTAACATCTAGCGTTTGACTTTGGGGTAACATCTTGACGCGGCATTTGAAATGTTTTGATTAATGGACTAAGAAACATCATGCCCTGGCATTTTTCTGTTTAGCTTTGTTTCACTTCAGTTGAAAACCATTGGCGTGAGCGAATAGTTTTATTTCACTTAAATCACAAGATCAAACGAAAATATCTTTCATGAAACTGGTTCAAAATGTATTTGTTGTTGCCCGATTACACCTTATTCTGATATTAAACGGGTACATTTGAAAATAAAGTTCAGGAACAAAGCAAAATGGCGACGAGAATCCAATGTAATAAGATAAATTTTTTGGAAAAAAAATTAAATAAAATGCATACCAATATTTCCCCCCGGCATACAGGGCTTCATCAAAGTAAAAAATCATACATTTAAAAACCCGTGTAAAGGGCAAGGGCACGAATAATTCCCCTGGGGCCTTTCCGCACCACACCTATTCTTTCTGCTTTTTCGCTCCACCAGTAAGCAGTGTCATCCACTGAGGAAATATGGTCATCAATTCAGAAAACTTTATTGGTTGTTCTTGTGACCCAAAGCCAATCAGGGATTGCAATTTTGCAACATGTGTTCTGTCGTATGCAGCAAAAAGTTAAGTTTTTTGCATCAACTTATTGTAGGTGGCAAAAAGCAGATAACTACAGTAAATCCCCGCATATAAGAACCTACTTTTTTGAGGTTCAGGCTGAAGTAGGTTCTTATTGGCAAGGTACTTGGATTAATTTCAGGGTTTGAAGGTTCTTATTCGAAGGATCCCTAATTTCAAATTTGAGGATTCATTATCAAAGGATGCATTCAACCCTGTTTTTTCCTTTTGGCAATGTTATTAATGCAACATTACAAAGATAAAGATATATAAAAAATCTGGGAGTAAAAAAGGACCATTGAAAACTCTAGTTTTTGCCCTTGGAAAGAGAACCTATTATATTTTATCACACTGTAACAGGTTCTTATTCACAAGGTGCATAATTTAGGAAAAACAGCCTCTAGGTTCTTATTTTTGTAGGTTCTTATATGCGGGGATTTACTGTAGCACACAGACCTGAAATCCCCCTACTAAGAAAAACTAGGCTTAAAACAGTATGTTTACTTGTAATTAACATGAAACTTTGTCAGTAGAATAAGTTTGCCAATGAGATTTGAAGTAACTTTATAGCTTAGACTTTGTGTTTTCAAGCTTTGTTAACAATTGTAAGCATCGAAAAAGCCACAGTAGGTCACTTATCGTCTTTTACATCACTTTGCGATAACATTGAAAAAGTGGCATCAAAATGCCAATGGTTTTAATAAATAGCGCAACCAAACACGCTTGCTCTGGTTTTTTTTAAAAACATTGATCAAACTCGCAACGGAAATAGTTAGAAAAACAATTGTTCAAAAGAGTGGGTTGAGGGGGGGGGGGGCAATGAAATAGCCTTTGGGTGCAATCTTTGGTCGCAATAAGGTGTAATCTTGGGGGTGCAATAAGATTTTTATCTAAGGAAACATAAGCATCCAGATTTTCAATTACGGCTTAGAGCTGCTGGTTATGTTATTGAGGATCCATTCATAGTGGTGTTGTCGAAGTTTTTATCATAATATGGCGATATATTGCATGTTACTTATTGCTATGGTTCTCTTTGAATGGTGGGCACACTCCTGCCATTGCCGTAGTTATAGATGAAGCTGTGTGCAACATGCAACAGATCTATGTTTGACATAATATTTCACAAGACACTCTTATAAAAGGAGGCATGCCAAGCAAATTCCTCATAAAGACATGTATGGCATGATCAAGGGTTTTTAATCATGAAGATTAATTTTGTCGGATGGACCCCTGTGCATCCTGAGCCTCATTTCCATCCACATGCCTCTCAATGATTATCGGACCAAGGAGCGAGGAGCAGACCTACTATTATTGGTGGTCAGTGTTCTGTTGCTACTGCTACCAAGAGTATTCACTAACATCGCTTTGTTACTTCTGGTATAAAATAAACATCCAAAGGGTGGTTTTAAGTACCGATCATATGCAAGCAATGTTTTTGCAGATTGGTTTCAGGGGTCAGCAAGAGAACCATTGAACTCAGTGGTCAGCACGAGATAGCAAACCGAGCATGAGAGATGTAGGAGATATAACATCCCGTACTACTGACGGATAGCGTTTAGCATGAAGAGTAAAGAGAAAAATGGAGGAGGGGTCAAGTATAGAAGGAAATGTGAATACTTATAACGCCTATTAGAACCATAGCAAAAGGTCATCGCGAGTTTGGTAGATGGTGTCATGTGTAGACATCAGTAAAATGGAAGGTTATCACGAGAAACAGTTCGTTACCACAATCAAGTTGGGAGGTTGGTGGTTGAGTCCTGTTTAGAATGGAACAAATCTCGCCTAATAAAAAATCGATGTAACATCCTTTAAAGTCCCCTTGACCTGATATGCTAAGATATTGCCCTATTCGCAAATCCTCGCCTGCTAGAAAATCACCAGTGGCCCTGACGACTCTGTTACCCGCTTTTAATCCAACTTATTCGTTAAGTCAGTTCATGTAAAATATTGTGGTTCAAAAAGGATAGTTTTAGTCTCAAAGATTTACTGCTAATTCCCTTTACATCACAAAAGGAGACTCCATACAGATTAAGGCTGCTACAATATATCCTCAACAGAAACATTTTTCCATGTGGCAATTAGCCGGGGTCAGCTCCGTTTTTAACTTCTTACACAAAAAGCGTCATTCTTTCCACAATTAATTAGCGAATATGAAAACACAAAAATGCGATTAAATACGAGTCTGACCTTTGGCAAACTCCGCCTCGAACTTAGCTTTTCCTGCACTTAAGAAGTGTTGACAAGAACAAGCTTTTAATAGTCCTGCTTGGAAATGAAAGGAGAGATTTGCTGAAGATCGATGTGGTCTATGATGGAAGAAAGGTCAAGGCAACTTTCATTCGTTTAAACTAAGCCAGCGATAAACTCAAAAGCAACAAAAGAATAGAGGTACCATAGAAACATAAAATTACTTCAAAGTAATTTTAGAGAAAATTTGCCAAAAAGCTAACTCTCCGACGCAGTCTATTCAAATAAGCATTCATCTGATTGATTTACGTTTCATACACACAACCACGAAATTCAAAGCTACTACCACAATTAACTTTTGTGACTATGACTGAAGCTTCCTTAGCTGTTGTTGCAAGAGTTCAGCGAGTAAAACAATGCTTTTTCTGGGCTTGCAAATTGATATTCTCACCGTACATAGTAATGTCGAACAAATAAAACACTGATTCACCAATCAAGAGTGTTCTGATTACTCAGGAAGACATAATGAAAAGTCTGACTTTTGAACAAGTATATCAAAGATAAAAAAGATGCAAAATTAACGACTGGTGTGTGGTGGTTTTCTGTAGTTTGGATTAAGTGACTCTAACAAATAGTATTGCTGAACTACCGTCGATATGAATAAGGCTAAAAGAACAGAGAAATCCAAACTGAGAGTAGTATATGAAGCACGTAATAAGCATTAATGCTAACCACAGAAATGGAAGAAGCAAGAGCACGAACCATCGACACGAGGAAAATTCGAGAAGCGATTAAAAAGATATGGCATTATGTGGTGACCCGGGTGCCTCGACACGGAAATATCGAGTACGTGTATTTATAAATTGAACAATACGAAAGGGCGTAAGCCTCACACCAAAACAGGCTAATATGGAAAACCCTGTTTATTCATAAATAAAGCAAAAAACATCAGATGAACTACCACACATTATTCTAAAGAATACATAACTGTATAAAAGCTAAATTGGTGGTCATCGGATAAATTTCGTGTCGGTTTCTGATTCAGCAATAAATTATTTCATGCTTCTAATCAGTGAAGCAAACGAACCGTTTGATAAGTTAATTGTTAACAACTTGGCCTGTTATTTCTTTGTGCAAGGCCTTCGGCGTTAATTTGGATAGAGCTGATTGTATTACCGCCGCAAACAGCAACTACATAGATCTTCTGAATAAGGCACTTACCAACCATCATCCGTAAGCGTCAAAATATTCTTTACACTATACACTGTTCCTATACACTGTTTTTCTCGTGGACACTAGAAACATTTGAAAATTGACATGGACCAATACAAAAAGGCTCAAATAGATGGAAATGAGAGAGCTTAGAGGAAGTCAGACACCTCAGAAAAAACTGGGACTACAATAGCCATCCCAAGAAACCTTCACATAGCTTGTAGGAAGCATTGAAAAATGAAATCTTTTTGTATACATAGAAGTTCCTTTTGCATTGCTCTAGTGGATAAGAACCCTTTAATACAATATATTGCGGTGTTTCATATTTTGTAGGAATATGATATATTGTAGGAATAAACGCCAAAAATACCTGACCTGGCGTTTTTTCTCATTGTATCTTACTTAGATCCCTTCCCAGTTGAAGAATGTCAACCAAACAAATCATTAAGGGGGCCAGCTATTATGTGAAACATTTAGTGAAATATTTATTGAGAACAGAGACCATGTTGGAAATTGTAATACCTTCAAAGCCGCGAGAAATGCCGTAAATATGTTAACTTGTATCGCCTGTTGTCGAGGTCCTTTATTTTTGCTGATGCATTCGTTGAAGTGATCCATCAACTGGCCGCGATGCTTGTTTGAAATATGCGGAAACATCTGGCCAAATAGCCGAATTGAAGCATCGATAACTGCAACACCAAGAGGCAAAGGTCCTGGAACATCCTCGTCCTGAAAACATAAAAAGCACATGTCCTAAACTTTAGAGTCATCAACTAAGCTTTTTTAGACGAAAAATGTCAAGCACATTTATTTGCGTCAATAGGCGAATTATATTTTTCTAAGTGGCTTTAAAAATGCTTCAAATATTCAAATATTTATTCACAGAGACAACAGCTGTGAAAAATTGTGAAAGTTGTTTTTGTGTGATGTATTTCTCATGTCTAGCAAACAATGGATTAAAATGATAAATTAAAAATATTACTTTACTATTTTCAATGCTACAACGTTACTTTCTGTTGTATCATGGACTTAAGTTATACTTGATTCACAACGAAAGCCCCCAAAGGTTCCCCCTGGTAAATGTTTGGCGCGTTAACTTAAACTGACCCCGCTAACCAATAGAGGGTTGTGTTTAATAGCCGGTGTTGTCATAGTGAAATTTGTGAAGGTTTGCATTGCCAATAAAGACACTGGGGCCTAGTCTTTTTAGTTATTTAGTATCAACGGTTGTAGTTAACTGATTGTGATGTTTGTAGTGTTTAGTTCAATAAAGAAGAGTATTCTATACAAACGGGCGCAGCAGTTTGTTTTCGACGATTATAGCCGGGGGCCAAGGCTTAGGGAGATTCACAACAACCATTTATACGTCACTACCTACAATGTTAGGGCTTCTTTTCACCACCGGACATACATGACATGTCACACCCACCAAACTTGGTCATTAGCCTCGAGAAAACTTAAAGTGTAACCAGGTGGGTTGAAAAGCATTAAATTCGTATTGACGTCATCAACATAAAAGGAACAGAAGACCCTAACCAAGAGTCATACCGCAGACGAGATATCGTTTAATTATCTATCCAGTTTGTTTACAGTGAACGAGTGGGCACAAGCCATGCCACAGATTTCATAATCATGACATGAATGAGAGAATAATCCTCATGTTTACAACATTTCCTGGGTGACAGACCATAGGAAATTCTTAATTTTGATACTATCTGTAAATGTTAACGGTTAAAAAGGATAATCTGATAAGCAAATGTCATTCATTTATGCAGGACATTAATACGAGCACGTGAGAGCAGATTAGTCCTATCAGGATTATCTTCCTTGGTATGCTTTTCATACACATATAATTAATTTCAAACAGACAGGGAAGCCATTTCTAATCCATGGTTCCTGAATAAGAAAACAGCCCGATTGTTTAGAGAGATTTTAGTAGAGATTTTGATTATTAATCTTCTCTCAACGGAAACTCGTCCCAAAAATTAAAAAGGAAAAATATTCAGTTTGGCTGATTTGCAAGTAATGGAACATTCAATGTGGTCAGATCGTAAGATTTCAAGAAATACTTTTGTGTATAAACAACGTAGAGTCAAGGTGTAATATTAACTAACTTACGCATTGGCAACACTAAGCGCAAAAAAAGTGAAGTACAGCACAATGAAAGAATGTTATAATGGGCAGCGGAGTGATACGATTGGTTGGAAGGAACGTAGATACGAGGCTTCGATGGGCTAGAGGCTTATTTAGGGGGCAACGGAAGAAGATGAAAGTCAAATTGTAGAAACATCAGAGGAAACAACGCAAAACTGAAGAAAGGGTGTGCGTGTGGGTTTATAAAGGATAAATTAGAAGATTGACATTTCTTTTTACTTCTTAAGAGATTAAAGTCATATAATTTTCTTAAGACAAGCATTTAAATACACACTTACATTTCCGACTTTTTCGTAGATGCAAAGCTGATCATGTTCCAAGGCTCCTGATCCAGATGCACTGTTTGACTGCAGCTGAAATTTTGTACGTGGGGCTTATTAATGAATGAAAACTCAACAACCTCTGTTTCATATTACTTTTCAAAATAGCAAACTACGTTAAGTCACAGTTCATCAACATGTCAACCTGTTATAGCATTAAGTAACAAATAAATATGACATATTGCATTAAAACAGACAGCTAAAATGCAAATGCTGAAACACGAAAAGGCAGAAAAGTTTTCACTCCAATGTTCGAAAAAAACATTTCAGAGTTTTAAGGCCAGCTCAGAAGTCAGATTTCGCATAGATATAAAATAAAGAAATAGACATCTAAAATTACACTGCAGGGGTGAGTTCTTTTCCTTTTTATCATGCAAACTGTCAAATTCTGCAAATATTGTTTCGGTAACATGATGTTAGAGGGATGCTTAGCAAGCTGACCGAATCTCTATTGAAACGAAATTCTTAATGGTTATTCAAACTCGAACTTGGCATAAGTTATCATTTACGAGATTTCTGAGTTTGCAGCTAAAAGCAGACAAAGACCTTTCATCAATGAGTCTACACTGTTTTATGTTATCAGGGGTTGGAAAAACATCATTGATAAGGAAACAAATCTTATTTACTTTAACTTAAAGACCAGACATAGAGCGTGGTCAAAAATCTCCTGTTGCCATTAAAAATTTGGGCACTCTCCAAGGGTTCTTTGTGTGTTAGAGTTTTATTCAATTAGAAATAATTTCAAAGCACATTTTCAGGAAAGGGTAATTACACTTACTAGGAGGATATCGTTAAAAACAGACTTTCAGTCTTAACCAAGAAAATAATTTCTCTATGAACTTTCTAAACCGAAAATTTATGGAGATACGAGCGAGAGAAATGGCAATAGTTCACAAAAAAACCAGATTTGAGAACTATCCGGATAAGTTGTGCCAGGTTTTCGCCACAAGTTATCTGGAACAAATTCTTTATAGGCTTTCGAATTTTTTCTGTAAATGTAGTTGCTCGCGGTTACCAAAATGCAAGCTAGCTAGAACTCAAAACGCGGGCCTTTCCATCCATCAAGCTCGATGAATAAACTTACAACATAAAAGCCAAACCAACCTGTTCCTCTACTTTTCTATGGTCAGTGTCCTGCAGCCAAGTTCCCAGAAGAATGCTGTCATCTTTGTGACACATTGATTGCAGCATTGATGTTGTAGTGGCTCCTTTGTGGTCAGCCAACGTGAACTCCGCAACGATTTCTCTCAATATAGCACTAAAGGATCCTGTAATGTTATCAACCGCTATTTCAAAAATTGTGTAGGACAGGAAAAGCAATGTGAAAGAGGCAGCAACATGAATAGGGTAAGCAAAGCAAATTGCTTTGGGCAAGGATAGAAAGTTTCATCACGGAGTTAGAAAAGGAACCAACTTCCACCTCCTTTTGCAGTACGAATGTTGCTTCACTAACCCCTCCCCCTCCCCCTAGACTCACGGTGTACGTTCAAGGAAAGCAAAACCAACTTCCACCCCTTTTGCAGTACGAATGTCGCTACACTGACCCCTCCCCCTCCTCCCCCTAGACTCACGGTGTACGTTCAAGGAAAGCAAAACCAACTTCCACCTCCTTTTGCAATACGAATGTTGCTACACTAACCCCTCCCCCTCCTCCCCCTAGACTCACGGTGTACGTTCAAGGAAAGCAAAACCAACTTCCACCTTCTTTTGCAGTACGAATGTTGCTTCACTAACCGACCTTGACTCACGCTGTACGTTTAATTAATCTACATGTGTAAAAGAATTGATTATAAGAATATAACTAATCAGATAACTGTGAATCCCAGCACAGCAACAGTGCTCGGTAAATGCAGTTGTGTCACAACAGCAACAAAAAAATTAAAAAGTGTTCAAATTGCTTCTAAAATAGGGAGGTATTAGAAAAGGAACATAGGAACCGAAAAACGAGAATTAAGGTATGACAAAGAGATATAGGAAGATAACTTCAAGGATTATCCCTTGTAACGAAATAAGGAAAAATTCCAAAGAGCCAACTTGCTCCATTGGGGGGGGGGGGAATATCAGTAGGGTTGAAAAATATAGGTAAACAAGATTGACAACATTTGTGGGAGTACCTTCGAATGCCTTGGGTGGTAAGAGAAGCATTGTTCGATACAGCCTCAATTTAAACATGGCTATGATTGGTTTGAGCTGGGTGCCGTGGATCTTTAAGATTGCTGGCAACCTGTAAAAAGCAATAGATTTTATGAATGGGGTAAGTTTCAGTAAATATTCAAGCAAAACAGAGATTTGGAAGAAAGCTTTTCATAAGACGCCTCGTAAATTGGTAACGATAATTACAGGGCTGAAAATCAAAACCAAAGATCATGAAAAAAACACTCAGGTAAACTATAGTTTTCGTGTATCTCGTACACGTACTTATGTTATGTTTGAATTTTATATCGAAAAATTATCTAATTTCGCAAAGCTACATTGCTAGCCTGAATTAGTCAGTTGCCAACAAAAACGTCTTAACGTGTAGACATTTGCGGATGAAAATAATACCACGAATTTCTAACCTATTACTTCTTAAAAAAATTCTTGCTACGAAGATACAAGGAATATGTCAACAAATTTCTTTCGTTTGAGTAATTCATTTTGTTCTCGCAATATCCTTAAATCCTTTTCGATCCCAATTCGTTTAACTGTTCAAACTCAATGGTGATGCTAACCTGCTTTATCAAGCTTAGCGTAACTACAGACAAAAATAGAACTTATGCAATTATGTTCACAACAGCACAATTTTTAAGAAGGTGGATTTAGTGATAGCTTTCCGTCTATTGAGCTCTTGTCTATTTGTCCATTCCGTTGTGATGGATTTCTGCTAAATACAGAGTGTCGAGGTGTAACCGAGGTGTAACAATCCGTTTTCTTTGCCAAAATAAGCACAATGAGCCATTCATAATTGAAATCTAACTGAAGTCCCGAAATCTCTCTATAAAAAAGCGTTATTAGGTCTTGCCATTGGGTGTGGCATCCATATGATATTCAATGGCAATATTCCTCGAGCAAGACTGATTTAATTTCCCTCTTGTTTCTCTTAGCATTAGAAGTTTAGAAGAATTAGAAGAAAAATTTAATGATTCTAGTAGGAAATCGTAGAAGGTAATATGACTTTAAAAAAAATACAGTTTAATAATTAAATATTTTTGTTTGCCATTCTACTTTTATAAACATTAATCAACGATATACTGTTGAAATACAGGTATGTTATAAAGATATTCCTCTTTGTGCGCAAGCGTGAACTTTGGCCTGAAATATGTTTTTCCTTCGGCCTACTCTTTGACCCGAAACAGTGTTATTAACGGAAACACGTTTTAATAAGGTTTATAAACACTGGCAGAAACAATTAACAAAAACTCATTTTGCTATCTCAAAAAAAGTGCAAATAAAATGCCGACAGATTGTAAGCAAGTTGGGCAAACATCCCAACGCCCCATTTGACCTTGAACCGAAATGTTTCTAATTTTCAAAATCAAAACTTCCACAGTTTATCTAATAAGCAATTTCCTTCAATAATCTAAACAAAATTTTAACAAGATTATGATTACAAAAGATCTCGTTCTTAAAACATTTAGACGGTTAAATAAAGCAGTGGTATTCTTGTATCTGCTAACACTTTTACTTGCTAGGTGTAAACATGAGTGGTGCTCAAATATATTGAAAATCCCAACACAATACGAAGGGCTTGAAGATTTTCTTTGTACAAATATTAGCTTAAGGAATATAAAAATCCGCTTAAAATATCGTACATGGGTCTTCCTTCTTTTCTAATACATAGACATAATAAAGGCTCACGCTTCTGTATTGAAAATGAAAGCAAATGGGGTCTGTTATAGTTTGTTTGGTCTGCAGACATTCTCCACAACATCTATTCTAATAACGCGATTTGAATCTAACGACTCCGATGAGCCTGATTTCACTGGTAAATAGGTAAACATGAAATTCTACCAATTTTATGTTCTCTGTATGCATTTGTATATGCTGATGTCTAAATCTCTGAGAATTTTCTTTCCCCCCTTTGAACCAACATTTATACCTGAAAGCTGAGATATTCATTTTTCTATTACTAGTAATAAAGTCTCCATCTAAATACGAACCATCTTTCTATTTATTAATTCTTATAAATTTGTCATCGGCCATTTTTGGTCTTGCCAATCTGCATTTATACTAATTGATAACCAAGATACTTCGTACGAAACTTCCCAAAAACGTCCCTTAAAAGAGAACGTCGTTTACTTCTACGTACGAAAATAAAAAGCAAAGAGTGCTAAGACTAAAGATGGCAGGGTCATTTAAACTTTTCAGGGTCGTTTAATCAAAATTCCTTCCGACAAAAACAGGCTTTTGTTAGAAAAAGTCATATATAGCTTTGGTTTCAACTTGTTTCAACTGCTTGGAATCTGATCTTGGTATTGGTTGTACGAAGGAAGGTTGCCGTAGGAGTATCGAAACAACGGTCTAGCCAGATCACAATTAAAAAACTCTTTAATTGACACACTTTTAGAACTTCAGATAAAAAATGCAACTAAATTTCGAATATTTCTCTCATTTTTATTTTTATTCTCGGATTGTCTTTTTCTACTAAACAATATCCTATAGGGCTTTGAAAATTATTTGTCAACAAAAAGCACAATATATCCAATTCAGAAATTAATGAAAATTACTATTCACCGGTCTGTCATCAAGTGCTCGATGCTATATGGGCAGAGCTATGCATCGTGAAACTCGGAATAGCAACTTAAAACAGTCATTTTCTATACACCAGAAGCAGTCCAGATATGAAATATGGTAACAAAGCGCAAAGTGATGACTTTTCCTTAAAACAATTTACAGATCATTCAAGACTAATGCTAATTCCTTTGAACAACAAACCTATTGATAAAGTCTATTAGAGTTACGAAAACGAAACTTCCTTAAACTCTATCTAGAGTTGAGTTGACGTACTCAACGTATTCGGTGGTGCGAGAGAAAATTGAGATGATATTGGTGATAATTTTTTATAGTGTGGTCTTCCATTATATTTTGACTTTATTGAATAACACAATGTTAAACATATTGATGTAACTGTGTAATTGGCAAATGTACCAGGAGGTTTCGTTTCAATAATCCCGTACAAAACTATCTATTTGTGCTTCAGTAAACATACAAGACAAAGGGCAGCTCACGGTAATCTCTATCGATTTCCAACATAGTAACCCAGACATAGCAAGCATTGGTACTTGGATCTGACCGACAAAAGTCGATTTTTTAATAACTGAAACAAACCATCAGAAAAATTTGACAAGGATCAATGTTACAAATGAGAGAGACTAAGGAAAGATGCCGGCATCTTTGTGAGTTTTATAGCAAAAAATTAATTTATCAAGTTCAAAGGGTACCAGTTCGGAATAAGTCGGAAATAATAAAAAGACAATCATTGTATTTATCTCAGTAAACGAACTGGACTCCTATACTCGATGTATCGCAACAGCAAATTTCAATAAAAAAATAATGAAAGTGCTTATAGAAAAAAACTTACGATTGAATCATGGAAATAGCCATATCAACACAAAACATGATTTTTTTCAGTACTTCAGTTGTTAGAAGGGCTTCGCAGTGCTTGACAAACGAACCCATTGCTGAAAAATGAAATATAGATTAACAAATTTCAGGCAAGAGCCCCAAAATTATTTTTCCTATTATTTCGTATACCTTCTAGAAAAAAATACCCCGGGATTCATTAATGTTTGAAAAAAACACGTCACGGTGTTAACTTGAAGGGAGTATTTGACAGAGGGGCGTCTGTTGGAATCCGTCACGGTAATTAGTCACAAACAGGGTAAGTGGTTATGCTTCGAAATCCTAAATCAGATAAAAATTGGAGCATTTGTGGGGGTTTTTCCCTGTATCGTACGGATATTCTCATCCCCATGCTGGAACACTTTAGTGGCTGTCTGGACTGCAACAATCTTCTCATGTACCTCATGAAATTTTCTTCTCAAGTTTACTTATCGTTACTGAAAAAAGTTCAAATCTTCGTGCTACTGCCCATTGCAAATAAGGACAAATGTGGGGTTTATTTGCGAGCTGGCATCCTTCATCTATTTTTGAAATACTTTTTCAAATAGACTGATCAATCTGATGTTAAAAACAGTTTCGAGCGAGATAAGATCCCTGCTTGAAAATGAATGTCTTGTTATGAGATTGCAGCTATTAGAGAGCAAAAAAGCACAGCCTAATACATAAATTGTGAGGAAGTCTGCCTATAATGTTTCCCTCAAAATTTCGTAAACAGCAAATGTATTCGCAACTGTATTTATTTGCAAGATTTATGTGCAACTACTAAAAAGAGCAACTGATATTTAAAAGCCCAAAAGAAGCGGTGTACCGTGGAAACATGGCCTCGCGTTTAATCTGTATGCTTGGTCTGTGGTGTGGCCTGATATCTTGGCCTGTACATGGGAATGGTGCCCAGATGAAATTAAACCTGGTCAGCAAATAAAAATCTTTGCTAATTGGAATCTTATTAATACTGAAGGGAAAGACTCTGGCAATGGACCTCACAGGTTATGAATCTATGATGCATGTTAAGCAATCTATGGCAGTTTTAACTTCTCATCATGGAGGCAATAATATAAAGAATAAAGAGACGAAAGAAGAAACGAATAACTTAAAGGTGTTAGGATAGTGAGGGTGTTAATGAGTTCAATAGTGTTAAATGAATATGATTTGGTCTGGCACCAACTTTGGTAAAGGAAGGGGAATGGATAGACAAGACAGTGTTTAAAGAAAAACTTGCCTGGATGTAAATAAACACAAATAATATACTGGAAAAAGGATACAATAACTAATGGAATCTGTACAGAAAACTTGAATGTAAAAATTGTACTGAGCACCCCCCTTCTGAACCATCCAGGACCCCATTCTGAAAAACTCTCTACAAACACCCTACCTAAGCTTTAAGTCCCTTTATAACATTCCTTCAACAATTCACTATGTTAGGGCAAAAATCAGATAGATGAACAAGATTTTATAATCTATGCTACGACACACGAAGTCCTGGCGACCTAAACAAAAATATAATTGTTTCATTGACAAGAATGGTGGTCTCCTTATCGAGGCAAAAATTTCAATGTCTTTGTTTTTGAAAATAAATCACACCGGGCCTGCTCTTCTCAAACAAACACGTCAATAAAGCTTCTGTTTCTGTTAATTAGATCAAATTAAACTGAGCAATTACTAGCTTTTCTCAACTGAAGAGCCAGTAAAAACACCTTATTCGTGAATGGATTCTAAGCTCGTCTATCCTCCAACTACGTTTGGGTCATTTTGTGATCAGCAGCAAAATTCAGTAATAAACATAAAACTTTGAATACTGACTGATAAGCATATAGAGTACTGTCATAGTCACGTTAATCACCTTGATAGGCCAAGCTATAATGAAATGATTAGGGAATGTACAAACTATCCACACACCGCGTATTAAACGAAAAAAGAGATTTCTATAGAGGTCAGGAGAATTAAAACTGGCAGTGCAAATTCAAGGATGTATGTAAAGATGCAAGGGTCCATGGATGCATGTCATATAGAACTACCTTTATATATAGGCCCAACCACAAGAATAAATAAAACAAAGAGGAAGAAATTGTTGAAAAAGAGAAAGAATTTAGACGTACCTGATAGAGCTCCTGCCCTGTTCTCTAGAGTAAGTTGCCACGTCGCAACATTTCCTTTACTTTTTTCGGTTTCTATATCTTTTGAGGACTGAGGAAATGACCCAATCCACAGTTGAAATAATCTTGACAAGCTACCCCTTGTAAACGACGAGCCTAGAAAGATAACATAGTGAGTTTTTAGGAAAGTAACGTGCTGGAATAATTCTGGCTATGATGATAGTGGTGATGAAGATCATCAGGATGACGAAAAAGATTGATGAGGATAGAGAGGCAGCTTTTCGAGGTTTACTTTTCAACACTCTTTTATTGCGCTATACTCTATTGGTCATATACTCTATGGACACAAGGAACTAAAAGACAAGGCACTGATATAGTGAGCTATTCGATGTGGCATGCTATGAAGCTTCCATTTAAGTACAATTTATATTTCTATTCTTTGTCTAGTAAGCTTTTGACAGTAGCTGAGAGAATGATTTGTAGAATCTATGTACAACCGTAGCAAAATTCTCTACGCGTATAGGGATAATATGGAAAACTTTTAAAAAACGAGCTATGAGCTCCAGCTTGCAAAAATATGACTTTTACTGTTTTGAAAAAAGAAAAGCATTAACCGATAACAACAATAGAAAAGACCAAGTAAACAATTCCGAAGACGAATCAACACAAGATAATTTTCAAACCGAGGCCTTTATGCTCTGTTAAAATATTTACAAGGAAATTAGTAAGGTAATGGAAAAAGTTGTACAAATATTTACAGAAATTAATGGATTAATTGAAATCTACCTGACTAAAAAGTTTCGACTTCCTTTCACGAGGCAAACACTTATTGATGCATAATGGAAAACTCTTTCAACAATAACTATGGAATTTTTGTCGAAATGAAAACAAAAAACTAGAACCACGCATTATTGTTACGCATTAAGATGCTCAAATGTTAGTGTCTTTCCTGTAGTCATAGTTGGAAAATAGACAATACACAAGTCACCTCTTGATACCTAACAAGAGGCGAGGCGATGTAACGGAGATGACACATCTTCCAAACAGCATTCACAGCTCAAATAGTAATTTTTAGATTTTTAATAAAAAACCAGCAACAAAAGACCAGATAATGCCACAGCAAAAAAACGCGATTTATCGAAAATGGAAAAAGGATGCTATTGAAATAAATCCAAAGTACTGCCTCACTTAAGAGAGGTGTGCACAAAATCATGTACAAATGCAATTCCTCGTTTGGGTGAACTTTTTTTCATTCAGAAATGATTCATACCGTATTTGATATATTCAACACATTCTCTCTAATAAACGTCTCTTTACAATAAATGCCTCCTAAAAATAAAATTTGTTTAATAGACGCTCACCCGATAAACGTTTAGGGGAGTTGATAGAAATATTGCAAAAAAGAGCAATTTCGTATTTTATGCCGTTTTTTTAAGAAATTGATTGATTAGATTTTGTCCTTTACAGAAAAGACCTTTACAAAACGCTCCCTTCCACTAGTCGCCCCTCCAAAATTTTAATAAACGCCCGGCGATCACATACGGTATACCTCTTTGCTAGGGACTGATCCTGGAATATGAAATATGGTCCGTTGGTTTTCAGGACTTTACATAACATAAACATGCATAGTTAAAATCGATGAAGGCATTTTCACATCGCACGGTTTTTTGTGGTAGGAACAAATTTTTTCCAGAAGCCTTCGCCCTGGAGCGCATGTGAATATGATCCATTTTCTGATTGGTTCAGGAATGGATAGATTAATAGCTTTAAACAATAGGGATAGAGACTCGTCTTCCCAATAAGTCCGGATCTGACAGCAGTAGAGCGGCAGGCTGGTCCGTGCCACATATAACGGATTGTAAGAAACTGTATTGCATGACGTACTTCTCAATAGTTGTTGTTGTAGTCATAAAATCTACGCGTTGAAGTATGCTTTAGAAATTAGATTAGAATTAAATGTAATTAAAGAAGACATATTAAAGAACCTTACTAGAATTTACGTTGAATAATTGAAGTTATACAGTCCTCTATTGGAATTGAAGCCTAAACAATATTTCGTTGTCTTTCTGATCCTGTATCTGTAGCACTGAACTTGAGCCACCAGCATATAGCAATTTCGCACACGGATCATACAATTACGATAAATTTCGGAAGCACCAAAATGGAATTTTTTTCATGGACTTTCGACATATATCGATAAGTCTTAAGGCTGACGAATCATGAAAACCGTTTCAGTAGGACGAAAAACCGTTGGTACATACCTAACGTCATTAGAGACCCGATTAATGCCCATCCCGTTTGAACTCTGCTCTGCACCAGTTTACCAGATTGCGTGGAAGTTTGAAGCATGTCGTCAGCAAGGTTTAGCAGAGCCTGCAAGGGATTTCAAATTAAAAAAGAAGTTGGAAAACATACATAAACGATGGATCACTGTCCATATTTTGTCCCCTCGGTTATAAACATAGGCAAAAGGCGCCTTCTTTCACATATAATGTACGTATTTTTCGATTTGCGACAAAGGAAGCGGTAATAAAACGAAAATTATTCAGTTTTTATCCCATTTGCATATAATCGTTTAACGGTCCCTTGGGAAACATCTTCTGACTGTCATTCTATTCTGACTGTCATTCTATTATTCCGAATTATTCTAACCTATTACTCCCCAAACCTTTAAGAAAACAACGGCCACAAAAAGGGCTTTATGTCCATGAAAATCTTTGTTCAACACAGTCTAGAACATCGCGAATATACTCAGAACAACAAAAAGCAGAATACGGAAACGAGTTCGCGTCGCGGTTTCAATTGTGTAATTAAACCGAGAAAATTATAAAAATATTGAAGTTAACTGGCTATTTTCCAATGACGTCAACCAAAAGTAGTAGAAAGTCTCGACCACAAAACCCTGCCACAAAAAATAACACGTAAGCACATTCATTAGACTCAAATAGCCGCTCCTCCTGAGCAGGGATGTCATCGGGGAAAATCGATGTTGCAAAAATAATAGAGAAGGCTAGAGAAGTATAGGGAAAATAATGGGTCAATAACAACTTAAACAGCAACTACAACAACATCAACAAAATAACAACAACTGCAACAAAAGTGGGTCTCCAAAGCACTCAACAGCTTCCAAAATGAAAGAAAGCTGGGGAAATTCCATTTCTCAAAAAAATACAATTAGTCATAAACATCCAATTTCTCTCGATTATCATGGTTTAAAATAATCGTTTACGGAAAGAGCGACTACCACCGCAAATAATCCAATATCTTACGGATAACCTCAGGAATGGGCTTGGAGAAAAAGTGGCCAATGGGCGTTAGAACACGCATAGTTATCTGTTGGGCGAAAATTCCTATGTTTTCATATGTATCATACGTGACAACAGAGGTGAATAATCTGACAGGCCACTGGTAAAACTGACTTATCTCGTTTGGAAATACGGTGGATAAAAGACTCATGTAGCACACAAGGAGACTGTTTAAATTGCTTCCAAAAATAGTAACATCAAAACTGCTTGCTGCCGGCTTTTGAAAATCGAGGCTAAAAATGCAACGCATAGTGTATAATACCGTAGAGTCACAATAATACGCATTAAATTTAGTCGGGGGTCTACGGTAGTGAAATATCGCGCAGTGGATCTACGGAAAGCACAAACCAAAATGGGTTTTGACAAAAAAGGACCTACTTCATTGGCGTACCTTTAGGCGTAGGGCTGGCCTACGTCATTGGCGTACCTTTTGGCGTAGGTTTGGCCCACCAGTTTGCGTGACGATTGTGTACATTTGGCGTAGCCATGGATAATCACAAATCCATTTGGCGTAGGCCTGGTGTACCTGAAAAATAGTTCCCTACCCCTTCAACTCTAATCCTTCATTGGTCGTACACCTCTTTTAGCCTTGCTTGACCAAGATATGATATATGCAAACAAAGATATGAAAATTGTATGACACGAATACCTTCCAAACCTTTCTATCTTAAACCAACCTCATATTTAGACCTTCATTTATCGCTATCAATGTAGCTGCAACAATGTCTTTATATTGTTATAAAGGTATTATAGACAGGAAGAAACTTAACAAAGGGCGAAAAAATCCAAGTTTGTTATTCTTTTCTTCTTAGAATACGGGGGAGTTCTTGGGAATCAGGAAATAGTGTATAAAGCACCTAGTCAAAACAGTGGGCCCTCTTTGTGCTGAACTTGTAATCGGCAGACCTGGTGAGCTGTGCAAAATATCCGACAGGTCAGTGAGTCACTTAAAACAAAACAAAATGCGTTATTTTGCCAATGAGGATGAATTCTGTTTTCATATTCGTGACCTCTTTCGTCGGCTTGTACCTCGGAGTAAACAAGGAACAATTCTTTTTAGTAGGCCGCTTGCCAAGTGTTACGTCATTCATTTCTTTCTTCTCCCTGGCTGCGTTGCTCATTGTCCTATTTATGTCAACTGAGAAATCGATAAACAAGGAACTTATTTCCAACAAACTGCTCGAACGGATGTGAGTTGTCAGGACAATACAAAAGGCCATAAAAAAAGACCAGTTATGAAAATCAACAGTTTTGTAGCATCTGCGGTCCTTAAAATACGCTATTTCAGTACCTCTAATATTTGATTTGCTAAACATGTAAATTTTTAGATCTAAAACAAAGGTAGAAAATCCGCTATAAGGGAGAAAAACCGACAGAGATTATATTTCCAAACAATGTTCTAATTGTGACACTTGGTATTAAGATCATCAGACAACTGGGAAAAGGTGAGGAGGAGTTTATTTAGGAGAGGGGAGGGTATAGGAGAGGAAAACTGTAAGTTATTATTAGGGCCAATGGCAAAAAGATTGACTTCATCAAAGAAACCAAGATTAGTTGAAAAAAGTAAGCAAAAAACTTATAGAAAAAATAGAGATAAAAAATTCTTTTGATCTCAGTGTCATATTTGTATGTTTAATGAATAATCAGAAAAAGTATTTGTAGGAACAGCAAAGGTGTCTTTCAATAACATAAGACAGTTCATAAAATGCATGTAAAACATTGTTATTTTGAGCAAAACAAAGATGACAATGTTATTGTTTAAAGTTTTTTCAAATCCCTCAGTCAACCAGATCTGATGAAACAATAAAAATGATTTGTAGAAGATTTCGTTCCGGAAGTTTAATGGTATGGATTAAAGTGACAGTCTTGAAACGATTACGGGAATCAAGATTAGCGCGCCCTTGTTCAGTTACAGGATTTTGGAACATGAAAGATAATCTCACAAAAAGTAGTGATGGGTGGCAACAAAAACAAAATTATCTGCTCATTGCTTGTAATTTATTCTCAGGTTCAATCAAAACAATATTGATTCTCCATTTCAATGAGTTTCATTGATTTCATGCCAAGTAAACAATGAGAGACATGTCCAAAATTGAGACTTTTTGCAATTAATTTCTTACTATGTGCCAATGGCAAATAACGGGCAAGGGTATTAAAATCGTATTAGACTATCGGCACCGCGCAATTCGGCGCCGGATCGTCTTGGTTCAAAAAACGTTTTGGTTCACACTACAAGTAGATGGAATATTTTTAAAAGATGATAGAAATCAAATACATTAATGACTTTCTAGAGCTTTGGTTGGTGGAATGTGTAATGTCCAACCAAACTTCTTAAACCTTTCGTCTTGAAGTTGGTTATTACGGATTTTGTCAAAAGGTAAAGAGTTTCATGACAATAGACAAAATCAGACTACAACATTTCAAGAAAGAAAAATAATATCTAAAATATTCAAGAAAGTGATATCTAGTTTTACCTTTTAAGCCAGGCTTACAGTCCAGACTTACAATTACCAATAAAAAGCAAAGTTTGCATCTTTTCAATCTATCAACTCATCTCTAAATTTCATTTCAACATACCAACACCTTAGAAACAACTAGCCTTGGAAAAGTAGGCACGATAACATCATGAATACTTTTTGTAACAGCTTAAAGCAGTGAAGTCGTTTGTGTTCCCAAAAAAAACTTCAATCAATGTGAGTCAGATTTACCTGGGTTCACACAAATATTTCAAATACATTTTAAGGTCTCTGGTTGTAAGCGGTTCATATTTTTAGAAATGGCTTTATAATTTCAATACGATGTAATAAATACCCATTGTAGTAACTCAACAACTATTCTTTGTTGATGCAGAGTTAAAAGCCTCTGAGGTAAGGAAGTAAAATATTGCCAGGACCCCTGGCTATTCGTAACACAGACGAATGTATGGTTTCAAACATGCAAATGGGAAGTCTTTTTACCAACAAGTCGCAATTTATTGACGTCACCTTTTCATCAATGAACAGACATGAATTTTTTATTTATCTAATTCAATTAACAAAATGTATTGGTGAATAGAGAGGGAGTGAGTTCTGCAACTTCTTTCCAGGAAGAATTAAGGCAATAGTTTCAAACAGAAATAAAGAAAGGTCTATTTTCTTAGCTAAATGGAACTTCAAAAGGTTTTTGAAGAAAAACCTTTATAGCCAAGGGCTGTCTTTTTATGAGAATACAGAAGAAAATGAGGAAAATAAGATGGAGATACCTTGGCCTTTTTGTACGGGATCCCAAGCGGACATTGATGCAGTCCTCCAATCATCGCTGCTAGCGTGTGCCCAAAACCGGTTAACGCATCCGATGAGGCCTTTAAGGAGCTCATCTTCTTCATACAAATGTCTATGAACTTGGTCATCATACGTGGTATTGCAAGGGCACAGCAGCGCATGCACCAAGCAGCAGACAGCCAGGCGGCAGGAGCTGGATGGATGAGCACAGACAGGACAGTGTTTGTCACTTTTTCGGATAAAAGCTCCTCAACTGACGAAGAAAGGCTAAGTGCAAGATTAGCAACTTCGTTGAGAGCACAAACTAAAACATGCTGAGTGTTGATCACGTCAGCATTGCTTGTGCTATCCGCTGTAGGCTCATTTGTTACTATGTGGTGCACTAGGTTCATCTGCTTGGAAATTATTTTGCATAGCTCCTTCAATGCATGGATTTGACCAGCTTCGGGCAGCATACCAAATAGAACAGAGTGCAAAATAAACGAATGCATTTTCTAGAGTATACCGCTTCAATGTGAGAGGCTATTGCTTTCGGGCTGGCAACAAGCTCCAGTACATGGATGATAACAGCAGGCAGGTACTTCTGAAGCCAAGCTGTGCCCAGTTCCCGAAACAGCACCACATAGGCCTGAAACAGACCAATCACAATAAAAACATCACGTAAACAACCTTTGCATAAAACCTCGAATACTTTTTGGTTAAACAGAACAAAAATTGCAAATTGCTTGCTATCAGATCGCCTTTGAACCCAGCAACAACAGAAACATAAGCATCCTACGAAGGAAAGCATTTCTCATCGACCCAACATTTACGAAAATATTAAATATAAATAATCAATGGGAATACGGTGAAGCGAACCTGAGTGACTCCAACTCTAACATCCTGAGATATTCCACTTTTCAACAACTCTCCTCCGCCGCCTTTCAAAAACCCCACACCACCCCGAAGAAACGCAGCACTCATTATACTGAAAACCTCTTCCAAGCTGTCTTTTTTGGCCTTCCCTGCTACAGGCTTTTGCGATGCAGCCAGCAAAGACCCAAGAAGCTCTGCAACACATACCCGCACGTCATAATTAGAGCCTTCTAACGCTTTGATGCAACATGATGCCATGTTGTCAAGCTCTGTCGTATACATAATGGACGCATGCTTTGAAAGCTCCAAGGCACACTAAAAAGAAATAGAGAGCAACATAGGATAGAAACTGAAACACCAGCCTTGTTTACCCACATGTGCAAATTCAGGGCCTAATTACAAAAAACATAAGGAGTAAATTACGAAGAAAAATATTAATGACATATTTCAATTTGAGGATATTAATCCTTGGATAGACATCAAACAAGAAGTAGAATACACTAATTTTTTTATAAAAAACTGGCTATAAGAAACGAGTACTGGACAGTCAGAAAAAATTAAGAAACTTCAGTACTCGAAGCAAAAATATTAAGAAACTGTTAAACCGTGATAAAACTGAGAACAACGAAATTTTGTAAAATTCAAGAACAAGATTGCCCTGTTGGCCAAGAATTTAAGACAAAAGGGATAAAAATATACTTCCCACATCTAAATACTGCATCGGAACGGAAGCGAATCTCTTGACGTGATAAAAAAGGTCACGAGCATTTCATAACATCATTCATGACATCATGATTAAAAACTCTTAAGAAACAATGAATATTGAAATTTCCAGAACATTAAGAAACTGTAGAACTCAACATCGATCTTTGTTTCTTATAAAAAATGAGTGTAAAATATGTCATTGGATAAAACTGTGACTAACCAAAAGAGGTAGCTACATTTTTCATAACAACAAAAATAAAGGGCGTTGGTATGAATCAAATGCTAGTTGTTATTCCAGGTAACAACTCAGAGGTTTCTTTCATTGCTTGGCAAATTCAGCATACATACACCGTTACTGGTTTTTATCTTCATAAAAAATCTTCAATTATTCAATGTCTGATGTTTGTTCATTGTTTGATAAAATGTCTGGTAACCGAAGAAGTTTGCATAGCTTTGCAAACAATTGTCCGAAAAACGCAAAAATGACAAAATCACTTCAAATAAATCCACCCTACTGTTAACAAGGATGATTGTTTTTCACATTAATTGGTCTTTTTACTACAATTGCTGGAATATTTCAAATTTCAAAAATTTCTGCCAACAATGATTTGTGCCAGTTGCTAGCTGCCGTTAAATGAATTCATCCGAGGAAACACTGGTTGTTATCACAACATACCCTGTCACATAACTGTCAATTCATGTTTTGCTAAAAACAACTTTTAACTAACAGGAAATCAAACTTTTTATTTTTGCAATTAAACGAAGGGATTGAGTGTCATCTCAATATTTTTTCAATCTCTGTAGGTCTTCATCACAATACATCTTTAAAGAGAATTTTGATTTCTTGCTTCCTTGAGTTTTTCTGATTTGTGCACAAATATGAAAGATTTTACAATTCAATCTTCCCTCTCATATTACTAGATTTGCAATTCTTATCATCCTTAATAAATCTGGAAATTTTTAGGTACAAGAAAATTCTCATTCATCTGAATAAACCTTCACACAGGAAAATGAATAAAAAGGTTTAATTAGTAAGGTTTTGGCAACTTGAGAGACCGAGTAAGATTTTGGCAAAGGCCATAAGCAGTAAGTTAGACTGAAATGCAGGGACAATAAAGCTAGAGGCTTCACCATAAAAAGTTTCTTCTAAAGGCCCTGATAAAGGTGTGGTCAAATAGAATACAAAATCAGTATGCCACATAAATTGTTGCACTTACCTTGGCAGCGGCACATCTAACAGCACATGATTTGCCAGTGAGGCACACTTTACAAGCCTTGAGCATATCTTTAAATCCTGAAGATGCTGCATTTATCAATCCAATCAACATTCGTTCAAAGCACATGAGAATTTCACATTTAGCCTCAGACTTGAAATTAGAAAAAAATTGATGAGAAATGCAACCCAAACAGGTATAAATACCTTAACTGAAATTATTGAAATAATGGAAAAACCATTTTGCTATGAATCAATTGACACAGATTTCTTGACACAGATGAATGAAAATTTTGCATGACAATATACTAAAAAATCTTTGGGAGAAGAATAAAAGGAAAGGTATCATGATGCTTTAGAATTGGGATAAATCTCTAATAGTGTAGGTCTTTGTTACTGTTGACTCTCACTATTCAAAATTGATTGGATTGGTTTGCAGAGATCAACAGTCAGAATCAAAAAAAACTTTCACCTTAATGGAAATTACTGTTTAACCAATTACTGTTTACCATTCTGTTAAATAGTGTTTGATGCCACAGAGACCAAGCTGTACACACATTGGTGTGTAGAATAAGGGGGTTCTACATTGCAACTCCAAATATCAGGCTCAGTATGATCTTTTCCTCATTTTCAATCATTTTTCACCTTAAAATTTCTCTGCTTCAACAAGAAATAGATATGAAACTTCTACTATAGTAGCACAGCAGATGTAAAAGATGGTTTTCATGAATCAAGCCATTATCTACTCTTCTTTAAATTTCTTTATTGTGGTTTGGCTTAAATAATAATTGTTGTTCATTAACAATCTCAAAATCAATATGACAGGGCCAAAGATTGGCCAAACAGTTGCAAATTGTTTCTGTGTTACCTCAGCTATCTTGAGGAATCTTGTTAAAGCTTGTTGAGAATCAGGAAAAAATGTCCCAATCTAGAAATTAGAGAAAAACAAATTTTTTAAAGTATTTTAGGAAAAGCTAAAAGAAATAACATCTGAAAACTACCAAAATTTAAAGAAAGCAACAGATAAGAATGCAGCTGGTTATCATTTGGATGGATATGGATCAAAAGGTGATACCAACAATTATAATAACACAAACTTGTCAAAAAAAACAAACAAACAAAATAAAATATAAACATCTGTCTGTATGATGTAAGCATTAAACTTTGAGTAGCATCTTTGATGTGTTTCATCTTTGATCAAAAATTAATTATATTCTAATTGCTCTGAACCTTTGGGCACTGACAGAATGGAGAATGCATACAATGATTTATGATACATTCTATAAAATAAGATCTACATCATACATTCTAAAGGCTATATAATAAGTAACTTCATTACCATTCGACCAGCCTTTTCAAAGATGGCACCTAAGCAGGAAATAGCAGCTCTACAAAGAGAACAGAAAACCATGTCTATATTTAATGTACTATTCATGCAGATTCAAACAACATTTTATCATTTGTATGTTGTATTTAATGGTTAAAAAACAAGTCAGGAAGGTTTTCCAAGGTAATATAACTCGTAAAAACAAGGGAGGAAATGTTTACTTTAAATAGAATAAGAGATCTCAATTGAAGACACATGGGCCCACATGTTAAAATTGGAGAGGAGCATAATACCGCATCAGAAAAAATACTGCCAAACAAACTGACAAAGCCAAACAAATGTTGCAGCCTATTTTCTGGGCCAAGTCAATGAAATAATTGCATGTGCAGCCTGCATGAATCTTAAATTATAGAAATATCTTGAATGCATTACTGATAATGAATCAAAAAGTTTGATTCCTTTTTTGGGAGAATTGATGCCCAACAGCTGATGGATCCATATTCTATCACAACATAAATTGTTACAATTTTGCTGAATACAAAAATGACACGAAAAGACTTGAACATACAGTTTAACTGGAAGGTACTGTTGAGAATCATCTTTGCTCTTTATGATCTCAATGCATTTTTCAACTGCACTGAATAAATCTGATGTGTCTTTGTTGAAAAATGATGCCATACATTTTGACAACTGTTGTCTTGTTGCTGGGGTGCAGCTGCATCTTATTTGCTTTAAAAGAATGTCTGACACCTTTTTATGGCACTTTTTAAGTTCTCCCTGCAAAAGAAAATATTTTTATAGTAGAGTTCAGAAAAGCATCAAACTTACTTCGGCTCAAACCCTACATCTGTCAAATAAAGCCTTCCAAAAAGATCTTCTAAGATACTCTGCTCAAAACACATCTGTTTCTTATCTGTGAACAAAACCTTGCCTTTTGTTGAATATCCATTTGATGTTTTCCTTCCTTTTTTCTTTTGTGACAAACCTTCCAAAATAGCCCTGGTTGCAGGGTCAGGTTTTATAAAATGTGACAATGACATTATATAACTGTCTGCAGAGCAAATCACACCCACAAAAGTAATATTTTTCTATCAAAAGTATCATGCAGCACCTATGATAAATTGAATAAGTATATTAAGGTGCTATATTGCATAACTCTCAAGGATTCACCAAATACTGAGCATTTAGGAATTGAAACAAACTGCTGACAAACAACTAGAACAACTATTCTGTGTTATAATTTAGGCCAATCATTTTTATTCATTAAAAAATTTGATCAAATATTTCATCATATCTTTATTTCAAATCATTTTAACCATTTGAAGATGTTTGATTTAAAAAGTCTTAATCGAGCAGTTTCTGAGTATAATTTCGATACTATAGGTATTGTTGTTTGCTGCTGTTGATAACTGTATTTCGTTAGTATAACAAATTTGGGCCTATTTCTTTTTACAACGAAAGAAACAGTTTTTGCGTTTATATTCAACCTCCTACATAAAATAGTATTTGATTTGTTTCATCATTAAGTCGAATAGAGTTTTTCGTTTGCATTTTCATGGCAAATACTTTGCAACTGCTAACAGGGAGCAGTTCGAAGGCAAAAAAGAGGACTGAATTACATAGTCAGCAAGCACCCCACAAAACACTTCCGTTAAAACTCACTCTCGTAACTTGTGAACTGTTGAGATACTCGTCAAGCTTCTGCAACCATTCGTGTAAATAGATTTCCTGATCACTAGATGATTTTTGAACAATTGCAGCCTCTTCAGCCAGCCAGGCCTCCAGGTTTATTATTGCAAACATTATCCCCTGGCTTTTTTGGTTCCTCTCCGTTTCATTCATGGCCTATGTCTCCTCCGCAAGAGAAGAACAACCAACGTTGGTGCATCAAAGCAGCAAAGATCAACACATTCGCACTCATAGTCATTTGCAGTCATTTAATGCCAAATTTTCAGAAAAGAGTTGAGATTTCTAAATCTAGGGCGCCATAGAAACGAACAGTTTACATTTGCAGACTCAAGGGATAAATAATACTAAACTCGATTGAAATATGAAAAATTGGAAGCACTTTGTCAAAAAGAAAATATTTGCCCAGACTAACAGCTGGGATTAAGTTTATGAAAACAGACTTGTGTTTTGCCACAAGAGTTAACGATAATTTGTATATGGAATGAAAAGCTATTAATTCTTAACATTCTCCAAGAAATTTCAATATTTAGTACATGAGTAATTAATGTTTTTCTTATTTCAAACTTATAATCTGCTTCATGCTAAGATATAGTATGGTCAATCTATAGCAACGCAAAATAAAACACATTCTTTAAGTAACAAAACCTTTGGCAACGGTCCTAAAGAGCTTTTTTCGGTGCCAACAGCAAATATTTTCTGTAAACGCGTAGGAAAATTGTCGTACAACGCAAGGCAACGAGTCGTCGTTAACATTCTGTTCTGCATTCGATCATTTTACGAAGAGGAGTACAGAGTTCCGCTTACGTCATATTTTCAAAGCCGTACCATTCTCCTCAGTGGTAATTAGTTTTTGGAGATGCTGCAGCATAAAAAAGAAAGTGTGGGTGGCTGAGGAAGGCAAGGAAAGGGAATACACTGCTTAAAGTTGGGAAAACGATAGGGAAACATCGTAGTGAAATTAAGAACGGACTATTGAACCCTGTAATACTAGAAGAACGAGTGGTTTCACTATCATTTTCATGATCATATCATCAGGGGCGTAACTTGGCCAATAGGTTGAGGAGGGGGGTGAAAAAGGTTACTGCCATGCAAACTGAGTGATGCCCTGCAGACCTCGTAGCAAAGGTTTGTCTATAGGTTACTAGTGAAAGCTTTACTCTAAGGTCCTTAATAGAAGGGGGGTCTTGATAGTTGGGGGGGGTCAGAATTTTTCAAAAATATAAATTGGAAGCGGGGGGGGGGGGTCCTAGTAAGTTGGTGGGGGATCGGAAATGTGAAGAATCTGAAAAATCACGGATGATTCTTTTTTGTGGTCAAAGGAAATTTTCTTCTGAATACAATCAATAGCAAAATGACAATTATCACCATGTAATAATGTATTGTTGTATTACTAAAATGAGCAGGCTAATTATCGTTGTGTACATCAGTCAGGCCTATGTAAATTTTTTTTAGATGTCATCACTTTTCTATGTTAAAACTTTTGTACAATGCAACCTCTACAGAGAGAGCAATGCAAACTTTACAGAAATTTCACACCTGCAAGATCAAAGGACAAATGAAATAAGGGATATGAATGACTGCATATAAAAATTAATAAACGGGGGGTCCAAAAAAGCGTCCCTCTACTCTAAGCAGTAAAAGCAAACATGAAACTTAATTGCCTATGAAATATCTTTACGTGAGCGTAAATTAAGTGTCAAATTTGATTTTCCTTTGTAATAAAGCTTGTGCCTCATGGCATATGACGAGGGTGTCACACCACCCCACCCTCCGTAGTATTTTCGCCCCTGCATATCATACTTCACAATTTCAATGTTTGCCTTCACACAGTCTGGAATAAAGCAGGGTTGCAACAAGTCAGATATATTTTTAGTAGGTTTTACCACAACATTACCAAATTAACGAAAATTAACGTAAAAAAGAGAGACATTTTACAGCCAAAGCAGCATTGACTCTATCGAATCATAGTTTCGTTTCGAATCGAAGTGTTAAACAACTTTTGTGATACAACAAACCCTGAAACCCTAACGGTTCACGCTCTTTAGCACATGATGCATTAGTCCTATTAATTTACTCATTACTTTTTTGCTTTCTTGCCTGATACTTACTACATTTTTGCTTATAGAAAGTGACCGCCCTTTCAAATTAACATCGATTTGTCACCGGTTTAAAATTAAATGGAGATTTATATCCAGAGGCCAAGATCATGCATGATCTGTATGTTATTTATTTCAGATCAAATCATTACGGTTTAATGATTAAGCTAATAAGGATGACAGGTTGCTTCAGTAACGTTGTTTTTACATTAGAACAGTGAAAATGCCAAGAAGATGATCATCACATTTTTAGTTTGAAACAATTTGGAACGGGAACTATGGCATATCTTCTACAAATTATCTTAGAAGACAGGATAAACGAATCATAAAATCATCATATTTAATTGCGTAATGATTTCAAGACAAATCGATGCATGTTCCCTGAAAAACTTTGGCACAGCACCAATAGGCTACTGGCCCATGTAACAATGTATAATTATGACCTCGATGCAGGTAAGCACCACGAAAAGGTGATGCTAAACAGGATTGCGAGTCAATTATGTGAGTAAGTCCTGTGGCATTTCACTTGACTAAATTTAAAAAATTTGACCACGAACGCGATGTTAAAAACCTGTTCTCGGAACAAATCTAGAAGACGACTCGAGTAAAACAATTTTCACCCGAACCAAGTTGCCAAACTTCAAAAGGTAACAAATTTTTGCAAGACTTCTCGTCCAGAGTTCAAATAAACTATATATATATATGAATTGGTTCATAAATTTGATACAAAGAACATTTTTTGGAAGTACACTCTAATTCTATAAGAACCAAAAAAAGTGAACCACGCGCAGTGTGAAGCAGTGTTAATCTTCTAGCCCTTTAAACTGCCTGAACTGTCTTCCTTTCCAGACTTTGTTATTTATCAGCTGAATAATATATGGTCTTTTTGGGGAAAGAAATTGCAACAGTCCTGTCAAAAATTCACTTTTTTATATTTCTCAATCCACAAAAAGTCAAAATTTTTCCAAATTAAGGGTTTTGAAATAAAGACCAGGACCTCCCCTCGTTCGTTATGGTATTGAACAGACAAATATTCACAATTTTTACGTCTTGCTGATGACCATGAAAGAGAAAAAAATCAAATCCGCTGGCATCAGTTATTTATGTGAATCATCAATGCAACTCTCGGATTGGCAATCAAACCAGTGCTACATCAGCGACGCGCAGCACTTTAGGCACTGGTTTAAAGTCAGAGCCCCTACAGTGGCGTACCCAAGGAGGGGAATAAGGGGGTCCGGACCCCCCCCCCCACTTTTCTAAAATATGATCCTCGAGATTTGTCCAAAAACGATGTAAAACTCATGGGGGGGGGGGGGGTCTAGTATACTGTATGCATGTGTCAATTAACAATTGCAAAATACTTAATTTGCTATTTACCGTAGCTAACATGAATCAAATAATGGGGAAAAATTTTGCAAAAAGGGCGTTTCCCCGCATTTGCGAGTGCTGAAGGGCGTAATCCCAAAACGTTTCTGAGGGCTGCGCCCCAGACTCTCCACTGTTGTAGCCCTGGGTACGCCACTGGCCCCTAGCGTTATAAAGGCCCCAAACTTTCTGGCATAGTTAGATTTTTTCGTTTATGCCACACTAATCAAAATCAAATACACTTCAGTTCAGGCGATGGCCATTTTCATATTAACAGGTATGTACATCGGGCCCCCTCATTATATTCGTTGCTTAAAGACCCAATAATCTTGATACGGGAAGGGTTAACAATTTTAATGTGAAAGTATAAACTCGTGCTAGGGAATTTGCACCCTGGGTGCCAGAGCCTCAGAGAGTCAAGAATGAAGAACGGGGGAAAGGAAATGCGAAGGAGAATGGAAGAGGAAAGGAAGAGACGTCTTCCATTCTCACTTTCACTATTCCATTCTCCTTCGCAATTCTTTCCCCCGTTCTTCATCCTTTGACTCTCTGAGGCTCCTGGCACCCAGGGTAGGGAATTTGGAACAACAAACCCATGAGATCACTGCTTTACACTGGCGTCGCATTCAATAGCAGTGCAGGGAGGTGAACGTTATATTTAATATATGAAAGAACATCCAACTATTTTAATACATGTAATCATTCTTCGTACATAAAGATTTACTGAAACATGAAAACGAGGCTGAAATCTAGCATCAGCAACTGAAAATTTACGATTCATTTCAAAAGTTTTGAATACATTTAAAAAGCGTAGACAAATTTTAAGTCACATTTAAATTTGCAGTTGTGATTATCGAAGGTATCTGCTCGCCACAAGTGTCTAGTTGCTAGATCTGTCATTTGCACTAGAGATATCGTTTCACTGCAACAGAACGGAAGGCAATGTGGCCTGGAATTGTAAGGAAGTTGGGCAATGCGTCAGCGAGTGAATTTATGCTACTTTTCAGAGCAAACTGCGATTTTTCGCGCACCGCTGGTTTTATCCTTGCTTCATTTTAAAAAACCCCAGTACCACTTGTGTGTACATAGCTATCAGATGCTGTCAAGATATCGATGTTTTCATCTAGTATTGTTTTCTTGAAACCCCGCAACTTGTTGCTTTCTAAACTTGTAATCTACTAATATGGAGAACCTGCATTACGTTTCCAGCAAAAAGCGCAAAATCAAATGGTTGATGAATTCATTAAAGACTATGAAGAATATTGATTACTAATCCTGAATAAAATGAAATTTGAAAATAAACTGTAAAAGTCAAGAAAATTAATTCTGAGTTTGGTTGTACTATCTTTTACAAATGACTCTCTATAAAAAACTTAGCACTGGCGCTTCTGAGAGGCTAAGAAGCCTTCAGGATTTGTTAATTGACATAAAGAAGCATAAATTTGATAATCAGTAGCAAACCTTCTTTTTGGAAGAAACGTGGTCTGTGATTTCAAAAAAGGTGGCTACATGCATAAAAATACTTTATCAGCTCAGGCCTCTCTGCCAAAACGTTCTTTCGATCTGCGCAGAACGAGATCATATTAAAATTAATGTTGAATTGAACAGAAAAATTGGTTTTATATAGCCAATTTCCTGTTGAAATACTTTTCTGCTATCCAAATTAATTAAGAAACATTTAAGAAACATTCAGTAGAAATTACTCAGTTCTCTAAAGTGTAATGAAAATTTCACTACTGAAATTTTCTTGGTTCTTATAAACAAGAGTCTAGTGAATTAATGTTGAAGAAATCTTTATTTCATCCACGCAAAGATATGATCTTTCATAGCGCTGCACAATGTATAATGGTGAAACCTCAATTAAATATTAGGGCTTTTAAGGTAGGAATACTAGAAAAAGTATAAAATAATGCAAACAAACCTTCAAGCAAAGGCAATTGATTTTCCCAGAATCTTTCTGCGGCCATATGGTTGAAAAAGCAATCACTAAACGACAAGGACCCCTGTACAACGGAAGTATTCCTTGCCTACATGTGTCGATTCTTTATGCGAGTTTCACCTCTCTGTTTTCACAATATAATTTTTGCCAATATAATTAATAATTGTTTTCACAATATAATTTAAAATAAGCGATTTCACAGTTTTTGCCGCCATTATGAAGGGCGATGCTTTCATGGCAGAGATATTCAGCACTTTAATATTGTTCAGTTCCATTATGATGATTATGAGGATGAAGATTGTTGTGATCATTATAATAATAATAATAATGATAATGAACTGAAGAGCAGATTGGAGGACATTGGGAAAGAAACACGGGTTACTGAGTTGTAGAAAACTGCGATCTTACATTCTGCCAGGATTTTGAGAAAGGTTCTCAAGATTTGAGAAATCTTGTTGCTGCCAAACCCCGAGAACTCATTACCACTGACATTTAGTGAGCGACAAATGTACATTATAATAATGAGTCTTGAAAATAAATAAAACTAAGGCAAGAATCATAATCACAATGTTATGGCACCCCGCTGAAAGCTTTGGCTCCTGTTGAGCAGACGATAAAACTCTTGGCTTTACACTGCATTTGAATTAGGTTTTATTAGGCTTGTTGTTGTGAATATATTAAACTTTGCTGGAACTTTGAGAAATAAACAAGACTGGAAATGAAAATTCTATGCCTTGAATGATTCAGTTACTTAATCATAACGAACTACGTAAGGTGGTGATGGCAAGCAAAGGAAAGATTGCCAGTTCCTTGAGATATTGTTATATTTTTGTCTTCAAGCGAGCTCAAGGTTAATCTGTGGTGAAGACAAGGTCGAAATATGATACTGAACTGGTTTCCAAGGCTGTCCACACAGGTCTATTCTTACGAAATGCCTGTCGACTGCGAATTGCTCAGCTGTAAAAGAAGTTACCTTTAATTAAATCAATGTTGGAAGCTCGATAGAATGCTACTAAACACTAAATAGAGATCATGTCAGTGAAAATCGCTACGTTAGGCCTCTTGTTAGAGTTTCTTGCATTGGGTTTAGGGATCTAATCTGACATTCTGCAATCTGAAAAGCATGTTATCGAATTACACAGTCGTCAGATTTTCGTTTCATATGGCCATTCATCAGTTGCTCAATATTAGCATTCAGTTCTCGAGTTTCATCAACGATTTTATCGATGCCGTTATTTTGTGATCTAGAAATCCTGTAGCGATTTGCGAACACCCAGGCCTCTTAAGGGCATACATCCTGCAAAAATACTTTACAGTAAATGGAAATTTATATTGCTGAAAGCAAACAATTAGGAAAAAGTTGAGGTAGAGTAGATTTGCCCTTTTTTCTGCAAAACAATTAAAACTTTTCACAAAATCTTGTGTTTATAGGTGTTACGCTTTCCCTTGCCCTCCCCCCCCCCACTTTCCAAACTGCGTCGGAGCCCATGTGACAGGATTTGATTAGCTACAGCCTTTAAAAGATCATACCAGTGCTTGATAGTGATAGCAAAAGTAACAAATAAAGAATTGACACTTTACGGTATCTGATGTGTAATGTCGAAATTTCCTTATCAAATATTTCTTGTTCTTTGAATGTATGTAGAGGTGATTAACTGTGAGCATGCGCATTGATCTGCAATTTGTTGTAATGTGGCAGCCAGGGGCCATAGGCACGGTAAATAAAGGCGTTAAAGATCTGGACTAACATCCGGGCCCCATTCTTCTTTATTTTGTTTGCACTGTGCTTCCAGGCTGCCTTTCTATGGGTTATTATCATTATGATGAAAAGCTTTCACATTCATTATGCCCGATTGCGACGTGCTATAATTTTAGTTAGGGTGTAAAAACGATATAAAATTGTGCCGCTGCCTCAGTCTTTGTTTAAATGCTGGATTTCTAACTTCAAAGCGTCAGGTACAAGGGGTCCATTTGACCAAATAAACGCTTGCTGAATTAAATTGAAGGCTTATTTTGAACTCTTGCAATATTTGGGGGCCAGTTTCATAACTGCTTTTAAATATTGACTCTGGACAACTGCCACCATTACAAGTATTTTGTCAGCTTATTGGTAATTAGGCAACGCCGTCAAATAACAAATGTTGGATGCTCTCAGACGGTCACGATCTATTCGTTTACTTTCTGTGGTGGTTTTTCCGATCGTGCAAATGCAACAGACAAGATCAGAGAATGCCAGTCAATAGGCAGATCAAAGTAATGAAGCTCTTTGTCCAATTGTAAAACCGGTTTCCTATTGTACGAGGCCCATTTCGTTGATCATGACCATGAGGGGGCCGATATTAGAGGGCCGGATCATGAATTGAATTTTATTCAAACGAAAAAACAAAATACTAGTGCACGAATCTCTAAGGGGCTAAACCATGTCTAAATACAACAAGTATTAGGTTTAGTATCTAGCCGGAATTATTTCGATAAATTTTGTATTTTGAGCTTCAGGTTCATAGATAACAACCCTTTGCAAAACAAAACGAGCAAAACGATCGTATGCGGAAGCACAATGTAAACGCTTCAAAAACGCAGTGCAAAGGTTTCAGTTGACTTGCCTATTATGGGCCTTGCTCACTGTTAGTTACACAAGCCAATGAAATTCAATATGAATCTCGTGAAAGGAACGCTTCCTGCCTCGCCAAACCGGATATCGAGCAAGTAACAGAGGCCAATAAATTTCAAATGACACAACAGAAGCAAAGAAACATAACAAAAAGGACCGAATAAAAATTTGAGGCCTCCTCGAACCTCTTATAAACCAATCACCTTAAATTACAATTTTCACTTTATACTCTAGAGTAAATAAATGATGTACCATATCTAAACTAAACGCATGAAAAGATGCGTTAACCTTCATAAATTACGTGCGATAATAGAATAAGTCCTATACAAAATTTGATTGAAAATACTTATAATACAAAGTGAAACACGAATACCGAACGAAATTCGGTAGATTCTGTTTTCTAAACGAACTTACTATAGCGTCAACTTTTCAAATTATCATACAAGTTTGCAAAATATTTTTCTCGATTGTCCGTATTTGAAAATTAACAAAAATACTTACAAAATGTCAATAATAAATATTAAGATAAATATGGCCTGAAAATGGAAAATAAACTCTTCTACACCAAATACAGGCATGCTATTTCCGTCGATTATATTAAAATACTCTGCAAATTTTGGAGTCATATAAAAATGTCGTAGTATGCATTGCATCTGTTTGTCAATTGGTTGCAGTCAGGAAACCCCCGGGACGATGTTACACATCGAAACACATTTGGCATGTGCGGGTCAAATACTAGTTCAATCTTTTATGGTCAATTGAAAGCCAGCTTAACAGCGCAATTTTCAAAATCACTCACAAATATATAAAACTAAATTTGGCTTATTACGACCATTGGCTCTACTGAATTCAGTATTATTTGATCATTTTATGCAGGACCCTGTTAGTAAATCTATGAAGCTTCTAGCAAATTTTCTCTGCAATGATAATAATTGAGAGAATTGACAACAGCATTTTTGCCCCTTGCAAGAATTACCTAGGCAATTTTATTGAATATGGGCAAGCGGCGTCTACCAAATGCGTCGAATTCCGCATCTGGGGGCAATGAGTCGGGAATGCCGGGAGACCGCTCGCCACTGCTAGATAAACTCGGGGAAGAGGGAACAGATCCCGTCAAGGAAGAAGCAGGTTGACGAAGTATGGCTGCTACTTTCGATACAATGTGTACATTTTCTTGTTGGGTATTCATTCCAAAGGGTGAGTGCATCTCAACGGGGCTGGTACTGCCACTACTTCCTGAAGAGGATGTCGGCGAAATTGAGGAGGATTCCTCGCCAAAAACGAATACCTCTCCATGAATGCTTGGTGTATTTGGTGTTGGTATGTTCACGAAAGGCGAATTCGGGCTGTCTAAGCTTGGGGTAGGCGACGGCGGTGCACTACCAATCGTAGACACTGAATCTGACCTCGAATCTGGTGATGGCTTTTCAAGTTCCTCGGCTTTGTGCACGAAATGACATCTTGGTCCATACGGGCAAAAGCCGATGGTATGAAAAGTACGACATAGTTCAGTTTTGTACTTTGGATGGCGATTTAAAGACCTTAATTCGTGTATTCCATGGGCAAACTGGCACTTATCACCATATTTACAGGTGCCGTTTTCCTCGTATGGTCTACAGAGTTCAGTCTTGTACCGGGACGAATTGGTTGATACACGCTGCTTTCTGTGTTGGCCATCCGACTCTTCGACCGTGCCAATGCTCATTGATCGTTCCCTACCTTGAGGAAACGCGAATGCTTTGTTGTAATTCTCCTGATTTGTTTTCGGTGAACCTGGCATGTTACTGAAAAAGCTACTTCCGTTGAATGTTTTCTGAGTTGAGGCCGAAGTTGTCGAATGCCGTCGCGAGATCAAAGATTCACTCCTCCTTTGTGCCAAGTTGTAACTGTTATGGAGATCAAGCGAATTCGGTCTCTGTTTACCCTATAAACAAGACAATTTTAAAGATTAAGTACCTGCTACGTTGCAGCAAATAGATGTAAAAATAATGCTTTCCCCAGTAAAATGAAAGTCTACGCCAGGGTCGAATGATAACGTGTCCGATGACTCGTACAGACTTTTACGTCTTATTGCGAAATTGCGACTTCATGTTACGTCACAGATTAACAAGTCAAGCACAGTTTACTTCTTTAGCTTTTGACTAAATTCACGAAATATAATCAAAATATCAAACGCCCACATAACATTTTAAAGTGATACGGGCACGCTCCACAGTCCGCAAATCCTTTACCTAATGCATATGCATTTCTAAATTAGCCATTCATCTAAACAGATTCCAAGAATGCATCAATCACAGCAGAAAATTTATAAACATGCCTCTGCCTTAAATCTGCAATTGACCGAAAAGCTGTTTGTTTTTTAAAAGTTTACTGCGTTTGTTATAAATTCAATATAATGTTTTTCACTGGAATATTTGTTCGGACATACCATGAGAAACAAAGAAAAAATCCAGTTTGTTTAAAACCAGGCTGCCTGTTTAAAATTCATGTTACCAAGACATGAATTTTTGTTGAAAATTCGTGAATATAGATTCTTACCTGTTGAATGACGTCATTTATATCGTAGAAGGCAGATATCAGTGCAGTAGACATGCCTAGCGTGTGTGTGTTTATGTCTAAAGAGCTTTCGCGTGCTTTTCCTCGATCCAACGATTCCTTTAATTTACTGACTCGAGATGTAAATTGTCACAACCATAAATGCACACCGTTCTGTGCCCAGCTTGTCAGCGGTTTCAAGGTGTGTCTTTTGACAAGAGCTGTCAAGGCTCTCAGATCACCATAGAGACATCAATTATCCCGCTAAAAAGAGACCACTGAATCCATCTCATGGCGAGCGGAAGTGACCTAACTACTTCGCACATGACGTAAGAGGTAGGGCCGGATAGGGAAATCGAAGTGTAACCCTGCTACAAAAGATAGGAGGAGGCTGGGTTTCTGCTTAGAGCATTTCATCCAATTTATCTGAATGAAGCACAAAGACTTCTATTTAATCAATTAACTGTTGGTGGTGTCTGGAACATGAAATCGTGACGTTTGGGTATCACGAATTTACGTTGGAAGTTGTTGTTTGATAAGCGGACAGGCAAATCCTTTTTGTTTCACGGCAGTTAGTGGCTTTGAAAAATGGCAGGAGATAATTATATGCAAATATGCCATTATTTTTAGAGAACCAGTTCTTGTTGTGAAAGTATACCATGCGAAATCATTCTACGTATGAAGACTTAATAAACTGACCTTGGCATTGCCAATAATGTGTTGATCAACTGCAAAATACCTTTTGTCTGCCCAAGTTGTTTTCTAGCACAAACTTGCTAATCATGCAAAATTCTAAAATAGGTTAATGTGTCAGCCCTTCGTGGAAAATCCACTTCCCCCTGAAAATGGAAATGAAAAGTAAAGATAAAATTAGCTTATTAAAATGATTGCACGCTACCCTGAAAGTTCAAACTACGGTTACTTTCTATTTTATATTTTCCACATTTCACCTAGCATTTATATAGATATTGACGAAGGAACTTATATTAAAGTTACCTCTATAAAAACATAAAAATGAGCAAAGTGTAAACACAGGTTATCGAAGTTGGAATTTCTACAGCCGGTTAATGGAGGCTTTATTTTGTTCGTGTGCGTAAGAAACATGGCTTTTACTGATATATGCAATCTTCAGTATTTCTTTTGTGTTATTTACGTTATGAAATTAATCTTGCAAATTTGGTAACGATCTTTGTTTCTAGCTTTGTCCGTGTTAAATCAATGTAAAATTGGATTGAGACGCAGCTAACCACATCTATCTCATAACAAGTTGCAAAACAAAGGCTCAGAGTTGATTAATGAGACCCCTGACAATGAAACGAGACACTGAGTTTGTTGAAAGAACAGGTATGAATAAAAGGTAAGGAGAACCGATTTTCCATACACGACGAAAGATTTAACCTGATAAAACCACACTTCAACATCACCCTGTCAACTTTAGGTTGACAATTCACTGCCGTTGTCTGCAATTACTCACTAAACAAGCCAAAATTAGATCGAACTTCATAGTATCCCCCTAGGTGTACGTCGACTTCCAACCGTTAACTCTGTGGATAATAAAAGTCGCTTAATTCCTATGTGGTGCCACGATGTCTGAAGAAAACAATGGACCCGTAGCTTGAAAGCAAATACGTTTAATAGCTTTTCGGTGAAGTTTTCGATGCGAAGATTAGATTATTTTCACTCGAAATACAATTGTCTTGTATTTGATGAACAAGTTCTTTCGATTTTGAAGGCTCTCCCTCTTGGTATGACTACTTTGGAAAAACATCTTGGCACTATTACTTTGGAATTTAGAGTTGACGGACTAATAAAATATGGTTCATCCGCACCCCATATCTCAGAGAAGTGCCCATACATAATATGTGCCCAAATGCTGTCTCCGTATTTTATAGTGCTGCTTGTGCTACACGCTAAGAATCCAATTGGACCTGCCCTCCCATTCCAATAATCTATTGCTCAAGCCCCGACACTAATTTTGCATGATGCAGGCCCCACGCCACGATTTTGAAGGCTAGCAAAAGTGAGGGGCAAGGCTTCTTTGCCCTTTTACTGCAGCTTTAAAAACTAATTGCTTCGCAAAAACTGGAGGGACCATAGCCACCCCCCGCCCCCCGTTGGCATGGGCCCTGTGATGATGATGTTGCTTCTGAATGTTATTGCAATTGTAATGCTATAAACATGGCATGGAAATGATGATTATGATGATTATGATAATAATGATAAAGGCTGTCCTTTTTTATTATGATGATGATTATGAACATAATCCTCCTGGAAACACCGTATACTTGGCTTCCCGTTAAAGCGGTGCGAAGTAACCGAAAATGGTCAGGCTTTGGGAAATAACATTGGCGAAGTGATGAATGTCTTCGTTTCCCCCTGTCTTTGCAAAGGAAATGAAAATAAACGGGTATATTGCTTACTCGGCAAACACGACACTGTAAATAACAACCTAACAATGAGAGCTCAAACAGGCCAGGGATGTGAAAAATCGCAGCAAAATTAGAAAAGGATTCAGCATAGAGGTAAGAGTAAATATTCAGGGATTAAAAGTCTTTATTTTTGCACAAGGATTAATCCTCTACCCAAAAGAAGAGATCCAAAAGCAGCCTTAGGCAGGTAAAGAATAGTTTATAATAAAAAAAAAGTTTTTACTCTAAAGAAAACTGTTAAGGACCATTGCCACAAGATATTGATTTCTTTCGAATATATACTTCAAGTTGCAATGATAACATTTCATGTTCAAAAAACGAATCTCACTCCATCTAGACTGGTATGAGTATGATGAAATTCCTGATTCATACAGAATATGAATCTTGTGACCAGTCCCTTCGGGAAGACTCGCACCTTTCGGAGATTCACGCTTTGCGTCTAATGGACTGGGGCTTGAGCGATAGACGATTGGAATGGGAGGGCAGGTCCAACGCCAAATTAGAAACCCTCAATCTAAAATCATAGCCTATAAAGATAATGATCGATATATATTTTTACAAAATCTCACCCACTGACAAACCCGAACCCAACCAACATTCATTGGATGCAAGTCATGAATAATAATTTGTGAATTTACCTTTATCCAAAGACTAAATGATGCATATGAGGCTTCAATTGGTCAGAATGAAAAAAAGATTGTTAAAAATATTCAGTTACAATTGTGACTTAATGTTCCAAAAGTAAACATGCGTGGATACAGCGGTGAAAGTGGCATTAAAAAGCATCACTTATATTATCAACCATATCAGAAACAACCATCACTTTGTCCCACAACTCATTTTCAAACTAAAATCAACAAACTTCATCTCACTTCTCCCTCTTTTCTTCGTTAGGGCTTTACAATCCTTTTTTTATAATAAAATTTTTATAAGAACACGAGCCTCAAATTTGGTCAAAAGTTAAGAACAAATTAAGAGCAGGCTGTGGCTGAGCTTCTGCAAAATGCAATTTTGAACAATGGCTTATCTCATAAATAGGATTTTTAGCTATATGTTGGTGCTTTTTCGATGAATATTCAAACTTGGCGGCAAATGAAGGTTGCCTTACTCACTTTAATTGCAAATGACGCCTGAACACCCCTGAACCCTCCCCCCCCCCGAGCCAAAAAGCTAGCAGTTGCACAGCATACACCCTATTAATTTAAGAGCAAATCAAGAACAATCCAGCCTCAGATTCTCGAGAAAAGTAGGAACAGTCAACCTGAACTTACTGGTTCTTATACAAAATGAGTTACCTAGGCCTCCGCACCCCTCCCCAACGTTACCCAATTTAAGCATTTTGAACAAAAGAAGGTCACTGGGGCTGGAAGGGCAATTATGTTGGAAGGCCCTGAGTTTATAAGCAAAACTCAAGATTTCCAGCTCAAGATTTCCATATTAATCGGGGACATACCGGTGGTCGGTAAAATTACACTTGAAAGTTTGGAGACCAGACCCGACGACACAAACACTCGAAAGCTCACAAGAAGTGATTATCAAAGCCAAAAAAAACATCTATTCAGGGCCTCCGACGAAGGGGGGCCGGGGGCAATGACCCATCCAACTTTTTTGCAAAACAATATAACTTTTCACAAAATCTTTTGTTATAGGTGTTGAATTTTCCCTTACTGATAAATGGGTGTATCGGGAAATTGAAAGTGAGGATACAAGTTTAAAGGAGCAGGAAATGTATAGTGTAAAATCGAGGGATCTATCGACCGAGGGGTAAATCACTTCAAGAAAATCTCGTACACCTTTTGTGAAAATCCTATTGTTTTATATGAAAATCCCTGGAAATCCTTTTCTTTTAGGGAAAAATCTCGTACGCTATTTGCAAGAGTGAATTGCCCCTCGCTATCGACCACCAAATTGTCTCTTGCATTTTGCGACTCAGGACTTTCTAGGGAATGAACAGCTGACCGCAGCGATCGTTCTCCTTAGAACTTAAGTTGACCCATTGATTCGGCGCTGAAGAAAGCGAAAGGAAATTGTGGTTTTCACGACCAAACAAATCTCAGCAGAATGATAAGTTTCTTTCTTTGCTCTGCATCATGTTGCATTTGTGACGTCACAGACTCCCAGGTAAAATGATTTTTTAGTTCACTGACAAATTTTACGTCACAACCTACGTGGTAAGCAAATTTCCACATTATCAGATACAAGCTATGACACGAACAAGTTACGCATCTTATTTCGCACAATTTTTTGACACGATTTCAATAAATGAGTATTTTCACGTAAAAAATTGCAACGTGAAACGTGTATTGGGCATTCCAAAATCTGGAAAAGCTTCAAAATTAATTTTTATAAGGTTTAAGAAATTATGTAATTTTGAAAAAGTAGAACTTCAAAATTTCGTGTTTATCATCAAAAAAACTTTCCCTGTTAAGCAGGAAGTAGATATCGGTGGCATCCCATTGCGTAAAACTTGCGCAAATGCCCCGCCAAAGAAAACAACTTTCAACCCATCGCGCAAAATACACACCGCCTCTTTTTTAAAGCGCTGTTACTGCGATTTTGCTGTCATTTCAAAGCGCGGCCTGATATTCCCAGTACACCAAATAGCTTTTGCCTTAATTCCTAAAAACTGAATTCTGCTACTCGGAAATCCTTCTATATTTAAAACCACGTAATAGACTCTTGAGTGGGCCTTTCCTACGGTTGAATGTCGACTTCCGTATTAAAACGATTTACAAACACTGCCAAAAGGCGATCTTGT